CTTCCCACGGGGAACTTGGTGTGCATTACATGTCCTTCTGCAGTAATCCTCTGGGGGCTGCGTGTTCCAATTTTCCTCGTCGTAGATGCGTACACTCGCACGGAAGTGCCAGCCTTGAATGCTGTCGAATACACACAACCGCCCTCTCGCTTGAATGCATATTGACCGCGAAATCTTTCCTCAAGCGCCTAGAAAATCACCGTCGACCGAAACGCCCCTTGGACACGCCAGCCTTGCGCTATGCAAACCAATAGAGAAAAATTCCACGTCATCTTTGCGCATCTAAGAGCCACGCCTGCTTGGAGTCGAATGCGACATCCGAGGAGTACTCTGCGGGCTCAGAGAATCCGCCTTGAAAAACGGTACTAGGTCAAATTCTTGCGGTGACTGGCATAGTGAGCCGCAAAGGGTCGGCAAACCGCTCTGGAGATTGGAGATCTCGCTGTTGAGTTGCTCGATTTGCGACTTGAGTCGGGCGACTTCCTCGGTCTGCTGCGAGTACGATCGAGAAAGAAGTTGGTGCTTTTGCTGCCATTGAGCGATTTGGCCCTCGAGCTCCTTCTGATGGCGCTCCTTTCGTTCTCGGTATGCTCGCTGGGAAGAGCGGTTTTGTTCTCGTCTCCTCTGTCGAGTTGTTAGTCCTGTGACACGAGATAAGCTGGGTTGGAGTTCCGGACTGACCTCGATCTTGTCCGGAATTGAACTTTTGACTTGGGCCACAACACTGCTGGTAGTGGGTGGCGTTCGTCGCTCAGGCGTCGACCTGTACGATCGGTCTGAACCTGACGATGACATACTGTCGAAAGAGTTGTCGAGCGTGGCGTAGAAATCGGCGGCTCTTTGCAACAGCTGCACTTCGTGTTAGCAAACTCATGCTTTTGTTTCGCGAGGAGGCTGCTCACGTCGTTGTAATGGCTAACCATGTTCTTGGGTGATTGGACGCCAGCGTAGTCCCACTGGAAAGATGTATCCATAGGAGAAAAGCCACCCGATTGTTGAGACCAGCCGTTGGTGGAGTGGTAGTCAGTCATGTTGAGTCAAGGACGTCTGTCTCTAAGGATCTAAGGCTTGGGTGTTGTTCGAGAGTTTCGTTGTGAGTTCGGTCTGGAGAGGATTCTTACAGACAGAGGGCGGGGGAGGGCAAACGGTCCTCTTATACAAGACCCGATGGCACACGAGGCTGGCGTGGGTACGAGGGTGGTCTGCCTACTCGGCGAGCAAACAGGGTCTGCGATGGACGCGAATGACTGTGCTTTTCCAAGTCTCCACGCGAGTCCAATCGGAGCACGCACTATCAACGGGAAAACGAACGATGCCAAAGCTGCGCTTTCCTCTTTCTGCAGGCGCACTTGTCGACGCAACCCGTCGTAACTGGCATGGCGTCCTGGCCGGGGCTTGCCTTGTTCATTTCTGCACGACTCGTGAATCCTGCTTGACTCAGCCAAACTTTCATGCGCCAGGCAGAAGCTTGAGCCGAATTGAGGGGCTCGAGGCCTCCCCTACTCCTCGCACCATTCTCTTTCAGGTAGATTGTGGCTTAAGGACGGAACAGCTAGCTCAACTGAAGCTTGAGCACTGGGAGTTCATTATTAGCTGGATAGGCGGTGGTCGATGGATCGTTGATGACTTGAACGGGCTGTCCAAGGCACACAAACACGCAGAGACAAATAAGCGCCGCACATCCGGTGTTGGGGTTGTGCTGTGGGTAGTCGATGACACAACGGTGCCTGGAGACGTGCCACACAGGCGGACTTCAACTGGTACCCACTGACTTCGGTTCCCAGCTGCGGTGTGGGAAGGCCCGATTTGGGATTATACCCAAACAAGGCCACCTGTTCATCTTGAACCAAAACCACAAGGTAAAATGGTTGTAGATGCAACTTGGGTGTTCCATTTACAGGGTCGATCTCTGTTGGGAGCAAGCCAGCGGGGAAACATATAAGTATTTTGCGGTTTGCCCTGGTCGGTATTGGCCGCCAAAAAGGCCAAAGTATGCTCTGCTGGTGCATGCTCTTCCTCACGATATATGTGTCTCAGTTGCAAGCCAGCTCAATACTTCTGTCCGCGTTTCGCATGTTTCCCGAGCCAAACGCCGGAAGGGACACTATACTGATCACTCGATCTACGAAGCGTCCAAGGGTACCAGCTTCTCGGTTCGAAGCCATGATTTGCAGCATGACCGAAGTGGACAGAGCTCGTTGACAACTTACCGCAGCAACGAGACTAAATTGGCAGCAAGGTCATGGAGCAGTGGCGGTTGTCGCTTAGGTCGGCGAATGGACACGCAGCAGGAGCTTCTCCAGGTCCTTACGCGTTGACACGTCTCACAGCGATCCTGCTTGTCGGGGTCGCACCGATCGACATTGACTAAACATCCTGGGGCTCACTTGAATCAGGAATAGCTCTTGATTGTGACCCGGATTCTGGAAGGTGACAAGTGTGGTTGGGCCTCGCTGATCTTCGCGCAAAAGGTATAACCCTCGGCATTCAGCCCTTAAAAGGCTCACAGGCTCATGACTGCCCCAATCGATGCGGCAACTGACAATTGCATCTATTACGTAGATGCATTATCGTCCAGGACGTTGGCCGCGCCGCCGTATGCTGCGTCTTTAACTGTTTGCGACTAGGTGGCAGGAGTGCGAGTGTGGTTGCGAGGTGTTTCCCCGGCGGACTGCAGTTACCATGAACCGACGATGTTGCAGCACACTGATGGCGGCACGAGAATGGCTCCGCATTTTTGGCGATCACCCAGGTTTTCTTCATTGCGGATAGTGGCTTCGGAGCGGCTTGACGCCTGAAATCCGGATGCAAACAAGCTTTGGCGGCTCGTCAGAGCCGCGCCGGTTTGGAAAGAGTCTCTCGCGCTGATTGTGTGTGGCGATGACGAGCTCGAAGATTGGGTAAGACATAGATTTCGCCAAGCGCTTCGTGAGTGACATCGTGCCCGTCTACTCCGGCTACCGGAACAAATCCTCCAACTCGTGGCTCAATCGGGAGGGGCGGCAGTCGCCGTGCAGGAAGACCTGCCTAACAGGACCTGTTCCCGACTTTCTTGTGAGCAATGGGGCACTATCTGGAGCTTATCCACTATCGAGCTCAATGGCCCGACCGCGAGGCCAGCATTGGCGTCGGAATCATGTCTGTTTTGGCGCACCCGGCGACCTGTGCGACGCTTCTGCAATATCTCAGGCTGAGACTAGACTTCATTGACAGCCAAGTCCAAAACGTGCCCATCGCCCTGCTGGAACACGAACAAAAGCCATTTGGGAGATGAATTGTATGATTGGCTGCTGGGTTAATAGGAGGTTTCCGAAGGAAGGTTAGATGGTTAGTAGCTGACGTTATCAAATGTCTATGCAGGCGTAAGCAGAGTTGGTGGAAGGTAGTGAATGCGGGTGCAGGTGAAAACAGGGAACACAGGCTAAGGAGCGCTGCGATTTGCTTCAGAAGGCAGAGGCTTCCTTGACCTTGTACTTCTCGAATCTCTCCCGACTTCAAACGTCTCTGGCGTCCAGCAAAAATTAGATACTTCTCTCGGATGTCATGCCACCCAGTTGACGGTTCTCGTCGCAACGGGGCCTGTAGCGGCGGAAATCTAGCAGGCGCACTCGTAAATGACGCAGCAAGCATGCATGCTATGTGGATTGCTGGATTGACGCATCGACAGGAAAGCTTGAACGGAGAATAGGTCTGTTTCGCTAGAGGTAGGGGGGATGGTGTTCCTGGCATTCAGAGTGGGCCGACCCTCGTGTTTACGTGTTCTTCTTCGATTCCAGAAGTGTTCTCTTCTTGGTCGGATCAGCATGGGGTATGCGTGACTTGGCCAGATAGGAAGTCGTAGCTTCTCTTGGGTTCTCTGCAGGCCTCGCCAGGAAGTCGCGGAAGCTGAAGAGTCCATTGATGTCATTCTGCACCAGTTTTTGCTAGATTCGCACTTGCGGTGAGCAGCCCAGGCCAGATTACTGGTACGTCATCAGACGAAATCGGAAGAAGAAGAGTTGCGAAATATGGACTTCAACGGCGGAAGAAGGGATTGACAACCAACACGCGTCCGGAAGTACGGAGTACGGGTTCGAGTACGGAGTACTTCGTCGCAGGAGGGACACGAGGGAGGAGGACGATCTCACGGAATGACTGCCTCACAATCAGCCCTATGAGGCAGGTTTACCGAGGGATAAGCTTGTGGCGGCTGGACGGGTGGCTGGGGCATGATGGACCGGCCGAGGAAGCCGATGGGGTGGCTAGTGGCTTAGTCAAACGCGCTCGTTGGAAAGGGCAGCGATCACCCCGAAATCAGGGCCGGAAGGCGACAAGGCAAGGGCAGCGCGGTCTGCTCTTTTCAAAGGCTTCCTGACCTTGCACTGTACACAGTATGACTGCTCATCGCCTCGACCACTTTGTACAAAATTTCGAGGTACATCGATGATCAGATAAGCAGGCTAGGTACCACTGGATACTCGTCCTGATTAGCATGTGGCCGAGGCAGCATCCCCCACGGCGAAACTGCCACCAAGCTCCAGCTCCCATTCGGCGGTAGGTCCGGCATTTCACTCACCAGAGATCAAGAGCGAACACATACGTTGCGGTGTTTGACTCACCATCTCGAGACACAGGAGATCCGTTCCATCTAGTCAAACCAATCTAAACTTGTTTCCCAGCCACCCGAACAGGCTACTAATCTTGGTGCTGATCTCATGTTTGGGTGCATCTAAGAAATTGTGTGGCAGGAAGAGGTTGGTACTTCAGAAGCTGCCAGCGCCGAAAAAGCCCTAACAGCGCTGCCCAACCTTCGACCACATCTTTGAATGCTCTCTGATCTGAACCTTCCTTTGCTGTACACTGCTCTCGTTGATTGACGCCTCTCGTTTGGAAATATCCGTTGCCGGTTCGATCCAAGAACTCGCCATCCTAACTCAGTGGACATCGATGCGAAGATAACGCACCCAAATTTGCGGCAACAACACTCCATTTTCCGCGACACGGCGGTTTGGGCCGCAATCATGCGAGTTGGCGACATGCCATCCTCCCTCGCCTGTCTCGTCCTCACTGCTCTCCTCTCGAGACCGGTCATTGCGGGGTTCCTACCAGACCTACTGCACAGTTTCGAAGACCTCCAAGATGTTAGAAAGAGATGCTCGAATCCATGCGGATATTACGGACAACTATGCTGTGAAGCCGACGAAGTCTGCTACACTGATTCCAATAACCAAGCTCAGTGCGGCGCCGGGACAGCCGCCACCACCGCCGCAGGAGAATGGCAATACTACACCACAACCTACGTACAGACGGATCTCAAGACCGTCACAGAGACTTTCAGTTCATACATTCCCGTCACCACACTCAGCTGCTCGTACTCGCTGGGCGAAACCCCTTGCGGCAACGTCTGCTGCCTCTCGGGACAGTTTTGTCAAGCAGCCGGGATTTGCGCAGCCGTGGGCGGAGGCAGTTCGGGATACTACAGCAGTCTCTACACCGTGACCACGGTCATCACCAACACAGCCAGCGCCCCGATACGACCGACCAGCAACACCCTCGTCACCGTCACGAGCATTGGAGGCGCAACTACCACACAGCCCTTCGTGACGCCCGTGGGTACGGACGGAAGCATCATTGTGGGGACACAGACTGACTCTGGGGGCGGTCTCAGCGGCGGCGCAATTGCCGGCATCGTGATCGGCGTCATCGTCGGGATCTTCCTGCTCCTCCTCTTCTGCGCCTGCTGCATCTTTAAGGGCCTGATCGACGGGCTGCTGGCGATCTTTGGGCTCGGGCCAAGAAGAAGGCGCACAACGGAGGAGGAAGTCTACGTCGAAAGGCACTCCCACGGCGGCAGAGGCCGAAGAACCTGGTTCGGCACGAGGCCTGCAAGGTCCGAGGTGGTGGAAGAGAAGAGAAGGAGCGGCTGGGGCACGGCGGGCTGGATGGCTGCCGGTGTAGGCGCTTTGGCGCTATGGCTCGGGCTGAAGAGGAAGAACAGGCGCAGCGATAAGAGCAGCTCGGTATCCTACGACAGCTCCTACTACACGGATTCCAGATTCTCAAGTGAGTAACACCCACGAATCATCCCAATCATGTGCTCTGGTTACTAACTTCTGAATGCAGGTAGCGAAAGTTCCTCCGATCGAAGAACAAGGCGAAGTAGCCGATCGCGGTCGAGACGATGATAGTCACGCTCGGACGTTGAATGATCGTCCGATAAACAATCTTATCGTCCTTTCGTTAGCCGAGCATATGGATGCATGAATTGGAATGGGATCGGGCGTCCGCAAAGCACCGGGCATAAGCGGCCCAAACGGAGTACGAGCTACACGGGATAATGAGTACGGGATTGGCATGTATTGTATGAGCCATGAGCCACTGGCGGGACGCTTCCTCCACCCTGTATATTCAATGGACAGACTGCACAAATCGGAACACCCCGACCAACGAGACGGATATATTGGAGAAGGACTGCAATTCAGCCTTCCTTCCGGTGTTGCGTCTCGGATGGATTGGAACAGTGAAATGAAGCCTTGCAGGCCTGCTCAACAGGATTTTTGTCTACCGATGTCTTGACCCTCCAGGACAGATGTTATGATCTTAAGCACACATTTTGTTTTTCAATCCTTTCCCGTTGTGAATGTGCAACTGTGGCCCCTTGATTCCTGAAGCTACTCCATGGGTGAAAATGAGGTACTATTTCCTGGGCGAGATCCTGGCAAACCCAACGATCGCCGCTCCAGACAAATGTACACCATAGTACTACGGTATGCAAAAACATGATTCCAACTGGCCGTCACCTGAGCAGACATCTGGCGCAGCCAATCTACCTTAGCAATGCATGTCAAACTTGGGGGAGCGATCGCTGCTGAAGCTGCCCCAGTGCTTCTCACTCGCCACTTGTCCGTTGTCGCCGATGGCGTCGGCCTTGTTGGGCTCGTCGAATGCCTCGAACCAGAAGAGATCGACGCCCCAGTCCAAGAGGCCGCAGACGGCAGAGCGCCAGTAGGTCTCCATGTTGTCGTCGCCTGCTTTGGCTGCGCCGGCGTCGGAGCCGCCTGTGCCTGGCCAGCCGGTTTCTATGGACGAAAAAAATATTAGTTTGAGACTAACCTTGATTTGCTTTCTACGGTGGGGTAAGAGGTGTCAAAGGACATACCGCCGTTCATGAAGTGGACCTTGTCCAAGCTGCCGGTGACTTCCTGGACGTGTCCCAGCGCTGCGGCCATGTCGTCGAAGTAGGTCTTTGTGGCGTTGGAAATGTCCTGGTACTGCCAGTAGGCGAACCCGTTGGCGAGACTACAGTGAAGATGATCAGCAGTATTGAAAAAAGTAGGTCCCAGCAATTCCTACATCAATTGGATCCCGCTTTGGATGATAGCGTCCATGGATCCGTTGTTCCAGCAGTTCCAGCTGTCGGCAGTCCCCAACAGCGTATCAGGGTAGGACTTTTGCATGTCGGAGATCCAGCCCAGGAGCTCATCGCCGTCGTAGGTGCCTCGGTACATGCCCTCGGAGCCGATGGTGATGCCATAGAGAGTATCGCCGAATGAGGTTGGGTCTGCTTCGTCGACTGCTGCCTTCTCCTTGTCGTACGCACCGCCGTCGGGCCTACAGTGACAGTACACATCAGTGCCGGCTCTTGTATCTGTGCATCCCCCACTTACCACATGCCCAATAGCACCTTGATGCCTGCGTTCTTAGCAGCTGGGAGCACCTCTGAGGGAGTGTGGCACGGGTTGCCAAAGATATCGGAAGAGGAGTAGGTTCGAACTATTTGAGCATCGGTGTTGCTCTGGATGGCCTTGAAGTCGGCTTCAAAGTCGGATTGCACCTTGCAGGAGCCATCGGGATTGGTGTTTCCCACAGCGAAGCCAAGTGTGCCGGCTGCGGACACTGCCAGCGGTGCCGTAGCCAGAGCTGTGGAGAGGATGTCGCGGAGTTGCATGGCTGACCAGGGTGTTGTAATTACGGAGTTCGAGCAACCTGCAGAGGACACGGGGGAGAATGAGGGACGGCAATGTAGAAGAAACCGAATAAAGAGTGTGAATGAATGGCACGAAGGAATGAATGAAAGTGTTTGGTGAAGGACAAACACGCTTCTCCAGAATCTTGGGTCCATCGTCCTCATCCCTTGGGCTTGAACCGACGCGCCTCTCTTGTCCCTGACTAGTCCATTTTGACACTAGTGTGCCAAGTCCGCCGCTAAGCTTGATCAAGCTTCCAAATCTCGCACACTTCTGTTGACCTGCCAGCCTCGCAGTGCTTCCCATGACACGAATGGGATTTTTGTCTATACTAGTCGACGGACATATTGGCTCGAACCATCAGCAGATTGGCCTCTTCGCAGCTATGCACAGTTTCCTACTCTGCAATTACTCCTGGTTGGGGTGGCTGGAGACAACCTCACAGTCAATGAACAAGGCTGAGAAGGACAACTCGAGGGACGACTCGATGATCACCAGTTGCCATCCATTGCATCAGCCATCATTCCAAACAGCTCGGCCAGTCTGCAGCATTATACCCCTTGTTAAAGTCTGCTAGACGCAAGTACTGTACCGGATGGCAGAGAAAGCTTGACCAGTGACTGTCTTGAGACATAGCTGGGGAGAATCCTAGATGCTCTCCTTCGGGCCTCGCTTACTACAGCTGTGCAGAGAACTCTTCTGAAACAGGTTTGATGCCTTTACTGGGCACAGAAGGTGATCCCAAGCGCCTTTGCGGTAGGCGCTGCCGTCCTTAAGCGGGAGCCAAGACCGGTGGCTTCGCAAATACGAGTAGGCAGACTCGCAGCCAGCAAGGCGCATCCTGGGGTTCTCCTAGTGGTGCACTACAACCCCTCCATATCTGCAGAACAGCCATCCCCGGGCCAGGTGGACAGCGCAACGTCATCGGTGGCTGACTTGGGACTTATCAACCTCTCGTTAACAGCCCTTCTCTCTTCACACACTGATTTCTGCCGTCTTTCGTCGAATTCAAAGTCTTTCCTCCGAGCTGAGATCGTGCTTCATCACTGTGCAAGGGCAGGGAGGAGAGTTAGATCTTTTCAACATCAGGCTGTGAAGTTCTGCTCCTGTTCCGAGTTGTGCACCTCTGTCCCGCATCTCGTGGCGCGGCAGTGGTCTCTCAGATCAGCGGCTCCCTTGTGAGGCTGTTGCTATCAAAGCCATGGGTCCGGCCCAGGGCTTTCTTACACTAATCACCCAGATCATTCTCATCTTCACGACATTGCGCATTCAGACCAGTCAAGCGGAGTCCACCGTGTCCATCACTGCTCAGCCAGCCTTCAGCTCCGTCCGACCTTGTGTCCAACACTGCATGTGGTGCGGTGAATACTGGCTAGTCAATTGCCCTGGCAGTGCTATCGGCCTCAACAACGTCTTGTCCGCTGGCTTGGACTCATTGTTCTGCCGGACAGATCTGCGGTCCTCAGCCTCATCTTACCTACGTCATGCATCTATTCCGGCTGCACGACCAACACTGTTGACCTCCAGGACGGGCTATCATTGTATAATGGCTACTGCCATATCGATGGAGCTAGCTTGAATGACTACCCAACTCTGACCAGCTCATCCAAATCTCCAACCACTTCTCCGAAAACAGCCTCCTCTGCGGACACGGAAACCAGTACAACGCTTAGGACCGTCGATGGCAATCCCCCTTCGGCTTCAGACACGTCGAGGGTCACTTCGGAGGCCTCACCAGGGAACACCCCTACCACAGTGGTCACCAGCACCGTGACTGCCACATCTGAGCCTTCATCCACTGCAGCAAGACCAAGTGAGTGCTCCCTCAGACTGGCTCTGGCACTCGCGCTCGCCATCTCCGTGGCGTGCACCGCAACCTTGCTAGGATGAATTGGCCGACAATATGTGCTGACGTCAAATGTAAGCGACCCCAACAACATTCTCTACCGTACACGCCGTCACGTCGCATACGACACTAACTGTGCCTCCCACAGGCGACATCAACTCCGGGAGCAATCCCACAGAATCCCGAAGCGGCGGCGGGGGGGACAACGACACTGGCAAGAAAGTAACAATTGTGTGTTCTATCTTAGGAGTTATCTTCGCCTTCCTCGCACTATTCACTGGCAGAATATGGTGGAAGAAACGGAAACGAGGTGACGATGCAGAATAAGTTACTAGACGCTAATTTAAACATATATTAATGTCCTCGTACCCGTCCTCTTGTGTCTGCTTTCTTCCGGAAGGGAAACCAAGGCTTCCCGTTGTCCGTTGATCTATTTAGCCTTCTCGGACAGAGTTGGACAGATCACCATCCTCGTCAACGCTGCTCGGACTGTACCTTGCCTCCGGGAAGGTTACAACGCCTCTATAGCACCCTCGCTATTCTCAACGCTGCGTGTGCGTGCGTGCGCCAGTAAGTGCACACGTGCCGTTCACAAATGCAAAAGCCTTTCTCCTGTTTGGCCAATGGTCGAGTCCATGTGAAAGCTGCCAACAAACGGCCATCGAGACAAGTATGGAACCTGGGGCGTCTGCCAATTGACATTCTTGCTGGGACTCCGGTTGTTGGCTGCTCAGGTGCGCCCAGAGGCTCCCCTGGCTTTTTTCGCAAGATCTCGACGAGCGGTGGTGTGCACTCCACTCGCTAGAAGAGGGAGGTGGATAGACAGACAGGCAGGTAGGTATCTTGCAAGACTCAGTGAGCTCATATCTCATCACTACGCATGTATCATTATATATGGATTTGTGGCATCATGCCGAGCACAGCCCAAGCACATCCGAGGGCAAAGTCCATGTCTTCATGATATCATTCCTCGTCTGGAACTGCATGAGCAGACCGGACTCCATGTGCCAGGTGATGTGACAATGCAGCGCCCACAAGCCGGGATTGTCGGCCACGAAACGGATGAGCACCCAGCCATAGGCATCAATCATGACTGTATCTCGCTTCAACACGTTGGAGAGCGTCGTGTTCAGCGCTGGGTATGTGGACCAGTCAAAGTATTGGTCAGGACTCGTGGCAAGGACCCAGAAGCTGTGGCCGTGCAGATGGAAAGGGTGTGCGCCCTCGTCGTAGTTGGTGATCAGAAGGTCCACGACCGCCACGTCAGGAACATCAATGACATATTGATTAGCACTGAAGGCCGAGCTGACCCCTGAGGTGGTGAAGTTGGAGTTTGCCGCCCCTAGGCCAGCAACTGCCTGGTTGAGCGTCGGGGTGTCTGACATGACCCACGATGTCCCGTTGATGTAGGCGCGATCAATGGCATAGTCGCCGATCTGAAAATTTGCAGCGAGGGCATACATGATCGTGGCGGGTGGCGCCTCTGTTTCGAACATTGGAGTCAACAGCGACGAGTTCAGGCCAATACACTCGACGTCTAGTGCGTCTTTCCAGTCGACAGAGTCCGTGGGCGCCGCTGTGCTGTTCGTATAAGTTATAAGAGCGCGAGCATCGGCGTCGAGGACTGGGTTATCGTCCCCGAAGCAGAAAGTATTCAGTTGGGCTCGCATCCAGTAGTTCGACGCAGAGGATTGGTTGGCGTTCATGACGACGGAGTATCTCTGCGCGACTGCAATGTCGACACGATGGACCGACAGCGGCACGGTCGCAGTGCCATCGGCTTCGATGACCGATAGTGGATGGTTGTCAATAGAGAACTGGAAGGTCGCGAAGGCACCGGCATTGATGAGTCGGTATCGATAGCGCTTACCGTGCTCTACCGTCAAGACTGCACGTGTTGAGTTTTGCACGCAGACGTAGCCGCTGTCAGAGTCGAGCGTCGAGCAGTTGAAGTAGTTGGTGCCCTGGTTCGTTGTTAGCATGGATAAATCGGCGAGGGAAGGACCGTTGGGTGGAAGATTTTCAGCACATGAATCCATCTTGGAAGACTGACCTGAATCAAGCCATTATCTGGCACAGGTTCACCGTTCTCACTACCACTCGCAAGGTAATCGGGTAAAAGAGCCTGGCTATAGTCATGGTACCAGTCCTGCAGGAGCACAACTTGGTCGACGTCGTAGTACTTTTGCATCTTGACTTCATCCGGTGAATGGATGATCAGTGGACCGACGGGGCCGTCCCCTAGTTTATTGTCAGTCTTGCAAGATTACGTAGGGGTAGAAGGATGGGGAACAGCCCCTTGGGATTTCATTTTGGCCTACCATTTGTGGTGGAATAATGGGTGTGGTACCAATACGTCCCGAACTGATTCTCGAGAGTGCTACATCTAGGTCAACAAGCCAGGACACTGGTGTGTATTGACGGGTCACAGTGTAGCCTCTGGCATAGCAGATGGAATCCAATATACTCACAAATTGTAGGTGAATTTACCCCCGTTCGGAGGGATCGGGCATTGCGTGATACCTGCAGTGCCATCCATCCAATTCGTACCATTCTGAAACAGACCATGCCAGTGGATGGCGGTGCCGTTGGGTAGGTTGTTCTGCACGTTGATGATGAGACGATCGCCCATGTTGGCGCGAATCAATGGCCCAGGGAAGCGGCCATTGATGGCAATCATCGTACGGAACACACCATCCGGTGATAATTGAATCTCGCTCAAAGTCAAGTTATATTCTCGCGTGGTTGGTGGCGCGTTGAAGTCCCAGCTCGCAATGTCGAGGGTATAGTCCTCCACATTCGACCGCCATGGTGGTACCGACAGTGATGCTTGTGAGTCTTCACTCGGTATCCGAGGGTTCGATGGCAAGGGCGCGCCTGAGGAGTTACCTGAGTTCGACTTGCTGGAGTGTCTCAACCCCAAACCAAGGCCTAAACCTAATGCCAGTGCCAGGACAACAAGAAGAACGACAACAACGGCGAGGTATACTCGTCGCCTCCGTGAGACATTGGATTGATGACCGCGGTCCTTTGCATCTGGTGAGCGCTGGCCCTCCGACGTGGCAGTATGGGTCTGTTCTTGAGTGGCAGCCTTCTCGGCAAATGTATCTGGAGCCATTTTTATGCTGGGAACTGGGAACTAGGGCTGAGGCTCCGTTCTTCCACAAGGTGTAGAAATAAATGCGAAGGACACTGATTCTTTCGAACGGAGCGTGTCCTCAACCTTGCCACTGATTTTGCCTCGTTCCAACTCCCACGGCGGAAGCTGAGCGATAACACATGATTCGCGGTCTACCATCAGCAATCCAAGCTAGCTCCTGCCGTATTCGACATCGGTTAAACAGGGACTGCGTGGGTGAGTGTTGCAGCACGAATGGCTCTTCGATCAGAGGATGGCAAGGCTGGTTCTGGTCTATCGCTTGTGGTCTACCTTCGGGCATCGCTCAACATCGCCGATTGTCAGCAGCACCGGGGAAAGGCGCCCTTTGATACAGCCTCCCTTGTCGCCAACCTATCAGAAAGAATTTTTTCTAATCACTGTAACCCTGCTGGCAGATGCTGCAGCACGAGGTTTACGAAGAGAAGGAAGTGTCGGCAGGGACACGTGCCCCGTCAAGCTCGCACGGTTGGCCTAACGCCTTGGCGCGGGCTTTTAGCGTCGTAGTTAGCTCCGTCAACGGCCCACTCCTGCTGCGTCATTACCCCACTCGAGCTCAAGCTTTGGCCGGCCCCGCTTAGGCGCCATGGCACTAAAGCTTAGTCTGCAGCTTTGTTTAGTGGTTTGCGACTCTCCCGCCTGCGTTGACCTCGTACAGTTGCCAGAACAGGCGAGCCGTGGATCATGGAGCTACTGTACTGTGGTATACGGTCCGGTAACTCGGTACGACACAGGGAGCATGCTCTCAGCTGTGGCCCTGGAGCAACGAAGCTCGCAGGATCCTCGCGAGTCCCTGACAGGGAACTTTTTCGCGTGCCTTGTGAGCTGAAGCATAAAAGATGTCGTCCGTCGCCCACAGCCGAGGAATCGTTCTCTCTCCAGCTCAAGGATATCCATTGTAAGAGTGTGTCGGCACTGCAAGACTTTCGTGCAAGATGATGAAGACTAGTGTTCTGCTCGTTGCTGCGGGCGCTTTGGCAGCTGCCTCTCCGTATCAGTCTCCTCCCCCCGTCTCCACGATCGAACCTACCCTCACTCAGATTCAACAATCAGCCGCCACAGCAACCAGCCTCTCGCCGGTGAGCAATGTCAAGGGCCTGGCGTTCAACCGCTTCTATCAGATCTGGCTGGAGAACACCGACTACTCCGCTGCTTCCGGCAACGCAGACCAGAAGTTCCTTGCCTGTAAGTAGACGCCTGAACTTGGATCGATGCGGTGGCTGTCGCAAAGTCCAATTGTCCGCGTCTACTCCTCGAATGCTAACGACGGCACAGCTCAGGGAATCACTCTGACCAACTACTTTGCCGTCACTCATCCTTCCGAGCCAAACTACTGCGCCGCGGCTGGTGGCGACACCTTTGGCATGGACAACGATGATTTCCACCAGGTCCCAGCAAACGTTGCCACCGTCGTCGATCTACTCGAGACCAAAGGAATTTCCTGGGCCGAGTACCAGGAGGACATCCCCTTCCCAGGGTTCCAAGGCTTCAACTATTCCAACCAGGAGACCTTTGCCAACGATTATGTCCGCAAGCACAATCCCCTGATCCTTTACAAGTCCATCACCAACAACGACACTCGCCGCGCCATGATCAAGGGTCTCGATGGCTTTGAGAGCGATCTTATGAACCAGAAATTGCCCCAGTGGGCGTTCATAACTCCGAACATGACCAATGTAAGCCTCTCTGAGCTCCAATACTGTCCTGTTCATCATCGTCATCGCGAGGCTCTTAACCGATAGGTACTGATGAATGATTCTAGGACGCCCATGACACCAACATCACCTTCTCTTCAACATGGCTGCGGAACTTCGTCGAGCCACTCATGAGCAACGAATACTTCTGGAACAACACCCTCCTGCTGCTGACGTTCGACGAGAACGAGTCGTACGGCATTCAGAACAAGATCTTCTCCATCCTCGTTGGCGGTGCCATTCCCGCGCATTTGAAGGGAACCAAGGACGACACGTTCTACAACCACTACTCGACCATCGCGACGGTGTCTCAGAACTGGGGGCTCCCGTCCCTGGGACGCTGGGATTGCCACGCCAATGTTTTCGAGCTTGTTGCCAACAAGACTGGGTGAGTTTCTGCCTGAACTCAACATAAAGCCCTTGCTAACAAATCCGTGCAGTTACAAGAACGCCAACGTCAACACCAAGGGACTGTTCTTCAACTCGTCATACCCTGGTCCTCTCTCTGACGACCAATATGTAGCCACGTGGCCGATTCCCACCAACTCATCCACCTGTGCCCACGGCAAGGGTGTCTTGAAATCGGTGGTCAACACCTACAAAGGAAAGGTGGCCACCTTCAACTATACCAGCCCATATCCGTATGATGCGAAAACTGGCAACGATGTGCCCTGAAGATTGGTAGCACCGGGGCCGGCAGTGCGGCGGACGGTCTAACACGAGGGCCTTCCTGTGTAAGGGTGCAGAACAAGCAATGTGATGCCAGAGGAGAGAGTCTGTAGTAGAGATAGAATAATCCGATTGGACCAGTGTATGAGACCCAGCTCGTCTACCTTCCTCTTCTGAACATCTCCACCGTGACATGGGAACAGGGGTCATGACCATGATCGTCAGGGCATGGAAGTTCCAGAAGCTGCACGTGCGTTTTCCCTGTGCGAGTACACGTATGAGTTCCGCGCATCGATGAGTTCAGATGCCCCAACGAATGAGCTCCCTGGCTCGGTATATGCGGACATGTTTCCGAGGAGCAGACATGGTGAAGCCGGCTCACTGAAAAGAGCTTGTCGAGCCGAGCTCTGCGGTCAAGACTATACGGCCACCTCCTCTGAGATAAAAAGCCAATTGGGCAGGAGTTGCACCGTGGGATTATGGACAATACTCTCGTACCTCGTACTATAATTATGGAACTGTGACCAGGGTTCGGGCCCGGGCTCGAGGGCTAATTATGCGTATCCACACTCAACAAGCATATGCTCAATTGCGGAGCTCATGCAGATACCGAGGGGCAAATGCTTGACTGACTTTGGAATCTGGACTCTGGATTGATTACCCACGTGCGCCTGCCGGCTTTTTCTCTCGTGCAACGCCTGAAATGATCCTTTCGCTCCCTCACGAACACGAACGCGGACGCCTACGTACTGGGTACTGAAAATAATTTTTACAGTAGTCGGGTCCGTTTATAGTTGCAGAGAGCTGAACAGGCGAACGACGCCCATGGCACAACCGGCTGCCGCGCCACCGATGATGACCATCTGTGCCGCGCCCCAGAGATTGCATCGCACGCAACGCCATCCTCTCCAGCCTTCGACGTATCCGGTCTTGACATAGCCGAACGCGAACAACGCCACGATCATGACGCTGATGCTCCACGCCAGTCCGTGCGTGACGTGGTCGGTGAAGAAGTACGGCACGAGCGGCACGAAGCCGCCGATGAAGTAGCCCAGCGCGATGGTGAGCGCGCATGTCACTGCCCGGCTTGCCGCGGGTTCGGGCGTGTTGTGCTGGAAGTGCATGAGGAAGTCCACCACGGCGTCGGGACTGTTGGACGTGATGAGCTGATGCGTGAAGTCCTTGAGCAGCGAGGGCGGGAGATGGTAGGGCGCGAATATAGACGTGACTTCTGAAGATAGGCTGCCGCTCGATTCGAGGACCTGTGTTCGCGTGGATCGGTACGTAGCATTGTAGGCGGCTTCTTCGCTCTTGGCGCCCAAGTATCCGCCCAGGCCCATGGAGATGGCTCCAGCGATGAGCTCGGCCAGGCCGCCAAATACCACGACTTTGGTGTTCCCGAGAGCAGAGAGGCCGGCCGTCAGGGCAAAGGGGACGGTCAGGCCGTCTGAGAGCCCGATGATGGCGTCCGAGACGATCCGCGCGTTGACTGGCGTGCGTTCGCGGTGCGGAATTGTGGGTGGTGTCTCGCAGACCGTCTCGCCAGAAGACTGACTGCTCGTCTCGGCGGCTTCGTCGGAGCTGCGACACGTCGTCGTTGCCTGGGCCAGCATTGCATCTTTCTCCGCGTCGACGGGGACGCGTGAGTATGGATGCTTCATGAGCGCTTTGAGCATGGACGCCATGGCGTTTGTGTCTTCGAAGCTCTCGATCGACATTGTGTTGTCAAGGGCTTCTCCTGTGCAAGACGGTTCGTGGGGAGATGGAGCTGGCTCAGGATGTCTCAACTTGAAGATTGAGAAAGAAAAGAGATTCTGGAGAGAGATGTGAGGCCAGAAGGGATGCTGTCTGGTCCGTCGCTATACTGTCCCATCCTTTCTCATCGCGGACTCACCGGTTGTTATCTCCCTGCACCTTGCTCGTTGTACGAATGTAACGTGGACTGTGCTAGGAAGCGAGGCACTCCTCCCATCGCTCACCTTCCGGACGAGGCATGTATTGGGTCCTCGTATTCGAAGCGTCAACGGCACCGCTGAGCTATCGTCAAGACCGGGTCGTCGTGTTTCCTACGACCTGTCAAACAGAAACGTGGATTGCCCTGCGTGAGCAAAAATTCAGAGCGACCGGTTAGCGCGTGAAAGGAAGCAAGCTGCAAGCAGCTCAGGAACGCAGCGCTCATGCAGCATGACGATCTTCCTGCGTCGCTGTCCCCGCCCCGTGGACAACGTGCGTGGTCATCGACAATCCCGGGCAGATGATTGGAGGTCTGGGGACACGGCACTCTCTTGCACGACCAGGGGTGTAAGAAACAAGTCGAGACAAGCATCGGCTAAGCTCTCGACGCTCCCTGCATGGCGCCACGAAACTAATGCAAGTCCCACAGCTGTTAGCAAAATTCGGCGGCTGGGAAGATTCTTACCTGGACGAGGCTATCAAGCTTCCTCTTCATCCAAGTCCCACGAGACCAGCGGACGGGTCCTCTAATGTCCCTGTCCACAGACGGGCGTGGCATGGGTTCGATCGTCGACGGATTGTTTTGCCCTACACAGAAGGTGACATGCCGGCACTTAGGCACCGGGAGGAAGTCAAAGCCTGAGAGCAACGTGTCGACGACCAGCCACAGCATTCGCCAACGATACTTGGGCGAAGACGCATGATGAGAAGCCATGACGACGGGTGCACATACGCCTACGACTTCAGAAGATTTTCCGGCAGACGGCCGTAGAGGCATGTTGGCATATTGAGTCGTGCTACACGATTCTCGGTGCGAAGCACGACGGACCAGGGCATAAAAGGTCGGTAACCCGCTCCTTGCCTGGAAGAGGGCCGCCAGGGACCACAGACGGTTACAAGGAAGAGGGACCAGGTTCTTGTCAAGATGTTTTCCACCCTCTCAGTTTTGAGCGCTTCCGTGCTCATTTCTTCCACTCTTGCCCTCCCGGTTGACCGCCAAGCGTCGACATGGCAAGACCTGAGCAGCAAAATCACCCATGTCGTGTATCTCATGTTGGAGAACCACTCCTTTGACAACATTGCTGGTGAGTGGTCTCAAAGTCTGGACCGCTGCCTCTGCCAATCCATATATGCCTCCGCAGAATGCCGGCCTTCGCTATGGACCCTCCTGCTGCATTGACAGCTGCTAACGTCATCCAGGATACTGGGACTTCAACAAAGACATCGACAACTTACGCAACGTGACATACTGCAATGAATTCACCAATCCCAACTGGACCGTGTGGAACGAGCCGTTGTTGATCTGCGCGGGCAAGTACGAGGCCGAAGTCCCCCTGAAAGACCCGGACCACAACTTTGCCGGCACCAGCTACGAGATCTACCGCAAGTGGGAGCCGACGGCCGACGATGTCCCCGACATGTCGGGATTCATCGAACGCCAATCCGAGAGATACAACGCCACGCCCGGAGACAGCTCCTTTGTCATCAAGGCGTATGACCCGGACATGGCGACGACTCTGATGACCCTCGCCCAGAACTACGCCTTCTGGGACACCTACCATGCCGAACACCCTGGACCGACCAATCCAAACCGCCAGTTCGCGACATCCGGCTCGAGTTGCGGGTACGTGGACAACACGGACCAAAGCTCGGGCTGGTTCAGCAACACGACGGGCACGGACTGCGCCGTGTCGATCTTCGAGTCGCTGTCCCGCAAGAACATCACGTGGAAGAACTACTACGAGACGGACATCATCGATGCGTACATGTACAAGTGGGTGCAGGACAACGCAATGGACCGGCTCGTGCACGCGGACCAGTTCTACGAGGATCTGGCCAACAACAACCTGCCCCAGTTCTCGTACATCAACCCGGAATGCTGCACCATCGACTCCATGCACCCAACCAGCAACATGGCCGCCGGCGAGATGATGATCAAGCATCTGTACGACTCGCTCCGCAACTCCTCCTACTGGGACAACGTGCTGTAAGTAATCTAATTCTCCGGCCGGTGTGCCTAATCGAGCGGACTCGCAAAGCTAACGTATCAACCACCGCACAGGCTGATCATCAACTTCGACGAACACGGCGGCTTTGCCGACCACGTCCCTCCGCCGGTGAACATTCCCGCGCCCGAAGACGGCATCACGTTCAGCGGCAAGTCCGACGGCCACAACGTGTCCTACGACTTCACGCGGCTGGGCGTCCGGGTCCCCGCGTTTGCCATCTCGCCGTGGATCCCACCCAACACGCTGATCCACGACCAGGGCACCTCGTACGCCGACAACTCGGCCTACACGCACTCGTCGATGCTGCATTTCTTGCAGCAGCTCTGGGGCTTGGAGGGTCTGAACAACCGCGTCCAATGGGCCAAGACGTTCGAGTATATCTTTGCGGATGCCCCACAGGCGGGCGGCGGCCTGACGAGCCTGCCCAGCCCGGTGTGGCATGGTGGACCGGGCCAGCCAGAGCCGGACCCGTTCTATTTGTTGAACCAGGATGAGAGTTATTATGAGAACCTGAATGCGTGAGGAGGCAGATTACATCCAAGAAGGCAGCCAGAAAGCATCGAGGTAGATTAGACGTAGGTCTTCCGTGCGTAATGAAACGTCCGCGTCGCGACGACGAAATGATGTCGTCTCTTCGGGACCGTACGACCCAGCATATTCAGTGACGTTCCGTTGGCTCATGAATTGTCTTCAATGTGACCACACCTGATGTCGTCCAGGTGCGTTCTACCGATTGACCCGCGCCCATGCATCCGAACCACCAACCAGCGCGCTGATCGACCCGGCGACTCCAACAGTGATGGGATCCAATGCCAACCACCCGACTGCGGCACCGGGGATCAGCAGGTCGCACCCGTCGATGACAAGCTGTCTGTACATCGACCGTCGCTTTGCAGCGTTGAAAGCGAAAGTATCCGTACCCTTGGTGGGAGGTGCGTTGGGTTGAGATTTTGTGCTTCGTGCTCCCTGCTTTTCGTCCTCCTCTATCGATGAACCCTCTGACGTAGTTGCTGGCGGTGAAGGTGTCGGGGCCTGTGCCGGTGCCGTCGAGTCATTTGAATAGACGACCAAGATCTCGTACAGGTCCAACATGACAGAGATGGCCAGGGAGTAGAACCACAGTTTCAGCGCCTCGGTCTGCGTCGCGACGGCCCAGGGCCTCCATGTCCCGGCGACAGCGTCGACAATCGTAAACATCTCGACGAAGAGATACGCTCCAAGTAATGACCACTTCAAGACGATGAGCAGGAAGTGAAGCCCGTTATGGGCCGAGGGGGTGGTCTTCCCAGTCACGGCCTTCTCGCTACGTGGATGCTGATACAGCTCGTACTGTGCATACCCGATGTTGAAGCAGTCGATCCATTTGACGAGGCGGAAGAAGCGACGCGCTGGTAGGTAGGTTAGATGAGATACTGAGTACGCAGTCGTAGGTTGCAGGTCAGACACGTATCTCAGATGGAGATACAAACACCAGGGCTGAACATGGGGGGCAAATAGGTCATGCCAGCAATGCCAATGCAATGGCAGTGAAAAGATCTGCTTACCGAGAGTGAAGTTATTCTTGGCCACTGTCCATAGAGCAGCCTCGTCTGGTGACGAGTAGCTGATACTGGCGGCGATCTGCGCGGTCGACTGCAGCAGCTTGAGAGTCTTTTCGACCCCGACTAGGATATGGTATTAGTAGCTTTGGATCGCTGGCCAAGTACTCAGAGAGCTTGCAAAGCTAGTGAGATGCTCACCTGGATCGTTTGAGAATTTGGAGATGGAGTTCAACATGATCGGTACAGTAATGTAGGCACGAGGGAAGATCGGCACCAATAGTAGGTAAAAGAAATTGGTAGTTGAAGTACTGTATACCCAGTATGTTTGAAGGAGAGCGGAGTCCAGTAAGGAGAGTAGTGAGCAGTTGAGGGGATCTACTTCTACCACAATAGTTTCGTAGTCCCTTGAATGCTACTGTACAGAAAATTGGTACATTCAAGAAAAGGAGACTGGTCCGTTATCGGCAAAGTTTGCTACTGGTGGATGGCCGCCTCGCTGACTTGCGATACGGCACAGCGAGCACGCCATCGCAAGAGTACACCCACGATAGCAGCACGACCTTAAAATCACTGACAGTGAGGGCTCATTTATCTTCCTTCGGCCTCGGCTTCTTCACAGTAGAATCTACCTCGGGCGCAGGATGCGATTGATAGGCCTGTGCCGGCGTTGCGGAGGGTAAGGCTGAGGCTGTAAATTCAAAAGCGGCGGGGCGGTGTCTAACCTGATTTAGTTTAAGGTGCGTCACGCTGCATTAAGCTGCCGTGTCAGGCCTGTGAATCTATCCGAGACTTGCTATCACTTTCACTTCAACTGCCCACCGACTCCGATCTGCAAATACGTGTATTACTGGGCGTAGTACTTGTCGCCCCAGACTCGGGATCGATAAGACTCCCGGAATGTCGGCGCTCTCGCGGTTACTCGTCCTCGTGGGGCTTCTCTCACTGTTCCATGCGTAAAGCCACGTTCTCAGTCCATGCCGAATCCACAACTAACAGAAATATCAGAGCCTATTCCGCCCATGAGTTTTCAACGCTCTCCACCAAAGTCCACAAAAATGCCGCCCTTCCCTTAGACATCAAGCTCGAGACCCTTGTGTCTGTGTTTCTGGCCTGTTTCGGCCTTGTACTGGGCTCCGACCCTTTGAAGCCTGTCAGTTGGAGCGCGTGGGCTGGGCAGATTGAACGAGATGGCGGAGGAGCAAATCCCTTCCGAGGTCTGGAGGAGCGGGTTGGATTTATGGATATTAGAGCGCAGAGGAGGGAGTTCGCGGAATGGGCGAAACAGCAGGGAGGGGCGTAGGAGAGAGGAGAAGAAATTCAATAAATCCTGTTTGACTTGGTTTGAACAAGCTGGAAGAAGGTCGCATCTTGTGCAGCGTCCAAAGAAGAGTCCGCTTGATATTTCAAACCATCGCGCAATGTTGTATGGCGCTCGAGCCATCGATATACGGATATGTCAACTCAATCCGCTGGGTTTGCAGAGAGGTAAATGACCGGAGCGAGGACCGGGTTACAGGATTGTCTCCATCGCTCAGCAAGTTTCATCTACGGCCCGGCCTGGCTGTTGACGTCTTCAAAGTCCATGTCCATTTTCAGACCCGAGCAGCACGGCACTTGATACGTCCCCAATGAAGCAATCCTGAACCTGGAGCTGTGCCCTGATCGCCATGAGCACGGGCTGCCAGCCTGTGTTATCCCTCTACTTGGTACCAGTCTGGTTGATTCCGCGATCAGATGTATTTACTAGTCTACAGCTGGTCGATGGATTTGGGAAACGCCTTTGCACAACTTCCGAGTCCTGCAGGATCGTTTGATGCCCGCTTCTCATCACGAACATTTCGCTCGATCCTCCAAGCAGACTGCTAACATCCTGTGATCTCTGATGTGAGCTAACGATGCTCTATCGCCAGCTACAAAACCAGCCAGGCAGGTTATCAGCTCGCCGTTTGGTTCCAGAACTATGAGTGTTATAGTGATCTGCGATCAACTTGGGATCAGCCAAATCAACACCGCTCATGGTCAATCCGCTGGACATTGCCCGCTATGGGCAAAGTAAAGCGGGCCCGTCTGCTCGCAGCTCATTGACTCTCCTGCTGCAAACACGGCTTGCGCAGCTGAAGGCATATACCCCACGCGGAACATCTTCAACCATGGACAACATAGACTGGAATCTGTAAGCACCTCCAGGTGTGCCAGGCTTACATTTCTGCTCACAATGACCCAGAGTGACACGATCTCGCTGTTGGAACCTGAATGATGGTATGCTTGATCACCACTCCGGCAACGGTCGAAGAGCCGGGATACCGACTATCAACATCGTATTCGTCTACGGAAACATCTTGACCGAGCTGGGAGCCAACGTGATTCCATTCGGCGCTGACATCATGTCGTTGTCCTCGATGGCTCAATATCAAACGCCAAATGTGCTACTGTACATTTTCGCGGTGTGCATCTGCCCATGTCAGATCATTGCGAAGGGTTATCGGCTTTCTTAAGTTTCTGAGCGAAGCAAAAATCGTTGGTGGGTTCGTTCCTCGGAGTGACCCCGACGGATTGGCTCGTGGTCCGCGAGGGCAATGTCTCTGTCAAAAGTCTGTACCAAGTTGGTGGCCGATACTGGGAGTTCCACGGCGTGGCGTGGAAGGCACTTGTGACTTGGATTATCTCGGTCAGCGTCTGATACGTCCAAGGTCGGGGATTTCATCGCCGAGTACGCACTGCAGTGGCTAAATATGAGGAAATGAACAAATTCCAGGGCTTGACGGCGTGTTTCGGTCGGTGCGATAAGTCAATGATATAGCAACACCTAAGGCACTTTTTGAACAAGTATTACCCTCGAAGCGAGATCAGCACAGGTTGGTGGTCGACTCAAATCAGGTGCAGCAGCTATGGCTCCTCGAGACACCAAGACCGAACACGTAGAAAAAGGGCGTGTTTCGAAATAAATGTGTCATATTGTTCGTTTTTGAAAGCCTCAATCGGGCTGATTCATCATTTCTATCTACCTCGTACGGAGTACAGGGTTCTCTATCTACCTCGTACAGTGTCGTCAGATTCCATTTCCTAATTTCTCGCCACAGCCGGAGCACTTCCATGGCATGGTGGCATAATGTGTATGGCTCGCTCGCCCACGATCTAATTGCGTGTCGCATAATGTTGTCCTCCCAAACTCCTCGCTCGTCCGGCACTTCCATATCGTTTTCCAATCCGTAACAGCTGTCTCGACGTGTTGCGCAGAGTCGGTAGCTCGTAAGAATCATCTGTGATTCGTCGTGACGATAAAACGTAAGAAATACTGTAACAATGATCCAAAGGGGATCTGGATCATGTTTCCCAAAAAGATGAAGCAGGCTCCGCCCCATCCGTACCGCGTAAATCATAGCATGCCGAATCCCAGAGCCGCGACCACCAAGCCAATGCCTGCTCCTGGGATTCTGTTCGAGGCCGCCCCGCCGGTGGCTTGGGGCAGCGGGGGAATAGAGCTGAAGAACGTGAAGATAGTGGAACCTCCACCACTCGAAGTCCCAGCAGCGAGTGTCGTGCTTGTAGCCAGCGTCGTGGGGCTCGGGCTCGGGCTCGACACCGATGCTGAGCTACTGGTGGTGTTGTAGTAGTATCCGGAGTAGCTGGGCAGTGTGGCCGACGGAGGCTGGCTGGTGACCACTGCCGGTTGGGTCGGCTGGGAGGTCACCACGGAAGGCATGCCGGTGATGACGCCCAGCGAGTTGGTCATGGAAGTGTAGATCGTGAAGGGATTCTCGTAGGACGAAGTCGACGGCCATGACGAGGAGGACGCCGCCTCGCTGGGCCAGCTGGCTGTGGCGGGAGGCGCTTGGGGCTGGCCGTCGGGATACTCTGATACTGCTGCGAGAGTGGTGTCTGCGCTGCCGACCTGGAAGAGAAAGCCGAGGGCGAGGGAGAGCAAGGACAAAGATAATTGTGCGGTGTGCATATTTGTAGATGGCAACTTGAATCAGTATAGTTCAAGTGGTCTCAGATGCTTCGAGGGACAGTTGTAGGTTGATGGGTACAATTGTGCAGCGTCGTCGATTAATGATCGAGAGCGAGGTGTGTTGAGCAGAGCAGGTTGTACTGAATGATCTTGTCGGTGGAAGGTTTGCATATGATTTCAGACAGTCTATATACCCCCTTTCGTCGCAACCGCTATGCCTCCAGCCCCGCCCCTTTCTAGCCTTCTATCGGTCTCGTTCCGGAATGAGACTAGAAAACAACCAAAATATTGCGGGGGCTTGCTAACGGTTGTTAGGGGTAGCCGCCAATGACGTGCAGTGGAACTGGGCCTAGACTAGGCCGAAAAGGGTGGCTGGGCCAGCTGGAGGCTGGAGCAGCGTGTGTGAGGTGTGAGGCGTGAGGGGCTGGTCCGCGTGTGACGAAGATGAAAACCGTCCTCGTGTTGTGCCACCCACGCGATTGTGCCATGCGGGCGCGCGGGAGCGGTACAACGCGGTCGACGTCCATCAGCCACCAATATTGTTGGTCAAGTCAAAAAAGAAAATAGCTGGATCTGTGCTTGGATGTCTTCCCAGGTCACGGAGGACTATGCTATGAAACCGGTGGCGCGAGGGCAACATATCGCCGAATTGACCGGCCGCCCGTTTCGTCCCGAACCCATTCGTTATCCGTGACTACACAGTCCGCTTGAACGCTTGGTTCGAAAGATTGTGAATCTAGCAAACAACGCCACACTGCGCGATGAACAGGCGTCAGAGCCTGCGAATCCCTATACGTGGCTGCCCTTTCCTTTTCGTGCTCAAAGGTTTGCGTACTGCCACGGGACCGGATACATTAGATGGGTAGGGAGGAACGCATGACTGCTGGGCTGCAACCTTGTTTCCTTCCGCCTCGCCCTCTTCGACCGTGGGCGCTTTCTCGCCTTGCTTTATGGTTGCCGCTGCCTGGGAATTTGTGGTCCGATCTGATACACCTGAGGCCGTCATCCTGGGTGACTTCCTTCTAGGCTCTGAGTCGGTGTCAGACAAGCTCCCAGCATCATTATCTTCGGGGACCGGTAGTTCCGACAGAGGCCGCTTTGATCTGATACTCGTCTGCGATCCGGGAAGGGGACATGTGGACGACTCGCCAAGTCCACCCGCATCATTTTCCTTCATGTCATCTTGTTCAGGCGTTGCTTGGCCAGCGGTAGGCTTTGATTCCGGTTTGTGGTCAGCATCTTCACCCCGTCGCTTCGCTTCTTGGACAGCCGCTAACAAATGCTTGGGAATGGGCGCGTGTATCCTTGTCATTAACTGCGCTTGCGTTGAAAACGCGTCGTAGTCTTCTTGTATCAAAGCTCCAGCGGCTGCATTCAGTGCGGAATCGGGATTGGGTTGAATCAAGAGGCATGAGATGGTGACCAGGATGTCCTTCAGAGTCAACTTCGGATCCCAATCTCTCTTTAGTGTCTCGAGACACACTGCACCGGTCTTCTCATCGACGTTGGGATGGTATATGCGCGTCTTGAAGGTGGCTTTGGGCGGACTCTTGGGATAGTCCATGGGAATTTTCAAGCTCAGACGCCATAATCCAGATGCATAAGGCGTGCCATCTGCGCCGGTAACTAGGACTACAAGCTGTGTAAGATCATCTGGCAGAGAGGAGCCATCTTCAACATCTGCGAAGAGGTAGTTGGGAGGAAGCGCGGATTGTAGACTCGCGTGATCCTTTGCAAGCCGACGGAGAGAAGCCTGTCATGGAATTATGTCAGAAGAGTGGTCTACTTTCATCGGCAAGGTATCTGACCATGATTAACGTAGGCAGGACGAGGAATCGCTACGGCTGTGCGAATACGTGTCTATGTTGTATTCTGTATTGTGTAATATGTAGTGCAGAGCAACAGGCTTGAGCGGCACGCGACGCGGTTTACCGACACACGCAGCTCGTGCGTTTCGCTGCATGCTGTGTGGCGCTCCGTACTCCTGTATCTTTAAGTCAAGTGTTCCGCCGCACCTAGCGCATCAATCTGTTTGACCTTGGCATTTTGGTGAGATGAATGGGCTCATGTGTACCAATCAAATATTCCGTCCTCATAGAACTTAAGCCTGCATACTAAAAACACGAGATCTTGGGTAGATACTCGTGCACGCCTGAGGGAGAGTCCTCCGGAGTACGAGCTCTGAACAAAGTGGAGCCTACCAGATCATCAATCTGGTTCGAGGTTGAGTCAACAGTCAACACATCGGCGCTTTCTAAGCTTCCGGCCACACGAGTGTTAGAAACTCGGCGTGATCGTGTGCTCTCATAGTCCGGGGCTTGGATGCTGTGATCCGTACGAGGCAAGGGGTAATCTGAGAGCATGCCATCTCACGCGTGCAGCGGTCATCGGTCACTGGTGGCAGCAAACACATCTGCCGCCACCGCCTCACCCAGATATCGAGAGATTACCGAGAACTTGCAATGCAGCTACGATGAACCTCCAAATCCCTATACGCAATATGGGAATTTAGCATCTCAGGGTCTTCGCAGATGAGTGACCAATAATGAGTCGTCTTCCCGAAGCCTTCCTCCCGCTCCGGCGGCAAGGCTTTGGAGTGTCGGTAATGCTTCGGCAGTGAGGAAGTCGAGATGCACGCCTGACCAACTCTTGAGTGGTGGCCGTGGTGGCACAGCGCTGCCTCATGTATGCAAGCGTTTACGACCCAACCTATCACATGGCAGCTGGGCACGCTAGGCCCATCGCAGGCGAATCGGAGGCCCCGTTTGTTTGAAGCCAGGCCGAGACGGGAGTGGCTCTGACACCGGAGCGATTCTCAGCCAGTTTTCAGTTTTCCTCGTGCCGCACTTTCTTTTTCCCAGCTGACTTGCGTTTTGCTTGCAATCTCGCATCCCTCACCCCGCCAGAGAAGGTCCTTTTGTCTTCGTTCCAACGTCAACCGACCACCTTACAGGACTTATTCGCATACTTGCGCCGATCCCAATCTTTCCTGCCTCGGCTCATACGCGTGCCCCGGTTCTGGTGCTTCGGACTTGCCTACGACTCTTCCTGTTCGGATCCCCATCGTCTCCTGCTAGCCCTATTGTCCCCCTAGCGATCATCCACTGTTCACTGGTCTATCGGCGACACCGCCTAAACCATCGCCATTCCGGGCTTTCCAGGCTTGCCAGCCTTATCGACCGTGCTCGTCCTTGCCTGTGCTACTGCCAATTGTCCCTCTGCGCAGTCTTATTGAATGGTTGCTTCCCGCCCCCGAGGCTCTTTCTTCCAGCTGAGGCTCCCAGCACTCAAAGGCAGTCTGGCAGGCTACCTTGTCGACAAAGGACCTCCAGAAGTCCGACTAGGACGTTGACGGCATTTGACACTCCCGTCATTGGTATATACGTACATAATTTCCGCAAGCTTGCTTCTTCGTAACAGTTGTCGCTCCATCATACCTCGCCCCTCCGTCAACCCGTCCCAGTACGTGCATAGCACGCTCACCCAGGACCCGAGCCAACCACTGCAGATACTGCCACCAATCCGGCCACTGCAAATCCCTTTTCGAGCTTGGACGTCTCCGCCGCAGGTCTTTCGGTACTCCAAACTCTGCGCTGGCGCCCCTCGTACTTTTGACGCGACATCTTGCCACCTGGTTTCAACTCCGCCCGCACCATGTGGCCGCCACAAGGTCATGCTGGCCCCTATGTTATACCCATCCCCTCACGACCGCCAGTCCCACAGTATGTGTCCGTGCCTGAGCCAGACTTTACCTACACTAGGGTTGAGTCAATGCCTGGCAGGGCGTCGGAAAGGCACTCGGCATCCAGCAGCTCCTCCCTGGCCTTGGCGCGCCGGAAGAGGGCTAGCAAACCAAAAGTACGAACAGGATGCAAGACGTGCAAGGTGAGTTCAAGAAAGAAAGTCGCTTCATGCCCTCCCCCACCCAATGGCCGCCTCGCATATTTTAAGTGCACGGCTCAAAATGCTCGTATGGCACCCGCCACAGCCTTGATCCTCTCGGTGGATAGCTGAGCCCGCACCGGTCCCCCATCTTCGTTCCGTGTCCTGGCCAGAGTCGACTCCTCCCCCGCGCTCCTACTGGCCACATCGCACTTTGATGCTAACAATGGGAAGATACGTAGGATTAAATGCGATGAAACGAAACCGAGCTGTAAGTGTGCCGTCACTTGGCCCCGGCCACCTCTCTCTTTCTATTGTCCGCATTAGTGCTCACTTGACCTCCAGGTAAGCGATGTACCTCCACCGGACGCAAATGCGACGGGTACGAGTTCCCCAAGGACAGCTCTAGCAGCTCAGCATCAAGTGCGGTATCGCCACCTCAGCGGCGACCGGCTGTCTTCGAATACCTATTTGAACCCAATTCGATCACCAAGCCGTTTCAAGGCACCACCCAGGAACGCCGTATCTTCCACCGGTTTCAATATTGCACGGTACCCGCCTTCGCTGGAGGGTCCGAAACAGGTTTCTGGACGAAGCTCGTACTCAAAGTGGGTCACGAGGAACCGGTGGTCCGGAACGCAATCATCGCACTGGGGACCTTGCATGAGGACTACCAGGACCGCTGTGGCAAATACAGCCCTCAACTGATTGACGATCAGAGCTACCAACACGCCTTGAAGCTCTATGGGGGTGCCTTGCGTGAGTTGAACCAGCGACTGAACGAGCCCACCAAAACCAACGCCAAGCTTGCCATCATCGCAAGTATATTATTTGCTTGCTTCGAAGTCCTCCGCCGCAATAACATGGCCGCCGTCATCCACTATCAGCAAGGCATGCGAGAATTGATCAGACAGATGAACCTCCCTCGGGCCACTGAAATCTCACTCACATCCTATTCTCCAGGCTCAAAGGCGAAATTCCGCGAGATGCCTCAGGACGAAGTGGACGAGCTCCTCCGAGTTTTCGCTCGATACGACATACAGGCATGCACATTCTCGAAAGACCTAGCAGAGCCTTTGTCAGCCGATGTGAGCCAAGTGCCTCGGATCCTGCCCACCAACCTCACCTTGGGTCAAGTTCGTTACCATCTCGATAATCTTCTTGTTTCGGTGTACCAGCTGGTCAAGTCGGATGCACGGATGTATCGGTATTGGAGACGCGATACCGTGCCGTTGGAGTGGCAGACTCGACGGCAAGAGGCGCTCGACATATTCGACGCCTGGATGGCGGCACTGGAAAACTTCTTCTCAGCCCAAGGATCGAGATTAAGCAGCACCGACATTAAAAGCCTGTTGGGGCTTCGACTTCAGATCAAGACAGCCGTCATTATGCTCAGGGCGTGCATAGACTGCGGACCGGAGAGCACGTTTGATGCTTTCCAAGATGACTTCGAGGACATGGTCTCTAAGGTTGAACAGATGACTACTGCCCTTGGCATGCCTGAGCAAAAGCCTCTGGAGGACGAAGCCACACCTTTCACCATGGAGCTCGGTATTGTTCACCCGCTCTTCTTCGTCGCCTGCAAGTGTCGTGACTGGCGTCTCCGGCGGCGGGCAGTCGCTCAATTGAAGCGAGCAGGCAAGGAAGGCGTGTGGGAGGGACCCATCATGGCAGTCCTCGCTCAAAGAATCATGGAGCTCGAGGAAGAGGGCCTGGTAGAAGGAGAGTTCGTCCCGGAAGAGAATCGCTTCCACGAGATCAAAAAGAACGTGGACTACGACGGTCGGCAAATCCTCTTCGAGGCCACCAGGGCACTGGATCCCACGTGGAAGACATTTTCGGTGCACAGAGAGGCCGTTCTATTTTGAAGCGTTCTAGCCATAGCACGCAAGGCGTTCGAGGGAAACTGTCCGATCCACGAAGGACGGAGGGGAATTCGAGCTCCATCAGAATCACGGGCTCTATTATTTGATAACGACATGACGACGAACATGATGACCAGCAAGCACGGATCGGCAAGAGATGGAGTCGCGATTCCAGCCACGGCATTTGAGCGTCTGGTAACGGGGAGCACATCTGGTATTGCTCCAGCAACATTTTGGACCATCATCTCCTGGGAACCCTGGTCATATTCGGCTGAGTGGAAGTCGAACGTGAAACGTATCAGCCTAGACAGATCGGCAGTGTACAAATATTTGCAGGACAACTTCGACCTTTTCTGTCTTGGAGCCGCATTCGAGCTTTGTGTGGCTTCGGAGAATTTGTGCTGTGTGCGTGTGGCTCTTCCTTGGGAGGCGTGCGTGTGGTTGTAACCCTGATCCCTGAATTATGCGTTGATTTTCCAGCTTTGGACGGACGGCGCCGCGGCTTAGTGCAACAACCCGCCAATCAGCCACCGCCAGCGCAGGGTTAGGGAGACTTAGAGCGCTGGTTGAGGGCCGGTCTCAACGGCTAGCGCGTCGCGTTGGCGTCCCTAAGTCGCTTTGCTAATGCCGGCTGATTTCCCAATCTCGATGGACTCGTTTCTGGATTTTGACACCTCAACACCACGTCTGAATTAATTCACCTCCATCTCAAAGCCTTGGTATTCTTTCCTTTCCATGGCGCTGCGTGTCGGAGGACCTGATGCTTGCTCTCGTGTTGTCATCCATCTCCGTCTGAACGCCTCGGGTCTCGAGTCCTCCTCTTCTGCAGTTGAGTTCCGCCAATCGCCAACCTGCTGCGACCTCCGTTCATGAACCTCGACGGGCTCAGTCAATTCGAAAATTCCCCTTCCGCCGGCCACCATAGTGATTTCTACCCTCTGCGCGGCCATCACGACTCCTTCCATTCTCTGAAAGAGCACTCTCTTTCGTCCACTCCTTCAGAAAACGACTGGGTCTCTCCTTTTACCCTCCCACCGCTGCCGACTCTGCGTCGCGACCGCGACCAGCCAGACAACTTCCGATCACCCGAGTATCTGCGTCAACGCGACGGCAGTGGCGCCTACTACGCGGCCGCCTGGGGCTCGCCGTACGCTACTCCGAGTCCTCGAAGAACACCCCAGCCGCCCTCAGACCCTGCCAGTCACCGCCTGGACTTCGACGACACCCCTCTCCCTAGTTCATATACTCGATCGTTCCTTGATCCCGGCGACGACATTGGCGGTAACAGACCACGCTCCCGGCGCCGCATATACCCGCATACCGCCACCCTCGATCCTGCAAAAGAGCTACGAAATTTGCGGTCCGAGAGACCCAATTGGCTAAGCGACTCTGAAGACAGCGGATCTGAGACGGGTCAAAAGGAGGGCGAGAATACACCGACCCGGGTAGCATATCTTGACAGCTGGGGAGCGTCCCCTGCTGACAGCGTGAGCCGCGTTCCGGTGAAACACCGCAGCACCGAGAGCCTCGCTACCGTCACTCAAGACACGTTCCATGCTTCCGGCAACCTGTTGGTAGGGTCAAAACGGCTTCGTACACCGCTTCCGCCCATTGGACAAAGCAGCATGGCCGAGCAAGAGTCGGAGAACGTTGACACGCCGGAGATGCAGCTGCCTGCTCTTCCTCGCAGAGTCTCCCCAATAGACGACAATACGAAACCACCGGAAAGCCCGACCTTAGCAGCCCGACCGCGGCCGACTTCGATGCACTCCTACCAGAGACCAAAGAAGAAGGTTATTTGGAAAGGCAAGGCCTGCATCATTGCATTGCCGCTCACAGATCGAGAAACTGCAGGCCTACCTCCTTTATTGACACGGGAAGAAATCCAGGCGCGAATACAGGAATGGATTGACGCTGGATATTCTGTGGACGGCTTCAAGTTGACCCATCTGGCACACGAAGGCTCGGAAGGGGGCACCGGACAGAGCCGTCCCGTCTACCCTGATCCCATCGAGGTGAACGCGGAACAGAAGTTGCGGCAATTCCAGGTCCATATACCTGACCAAGCGGAATGGGAGTCGTGGGTCGAGAGTCTGAAGGAGGAGAAACTCCGTGCGCTCGGTGTCAGCCCAAGTGGCTCAGAGGCTCCCCCGTCAACACGGTCACCTTTCTCTGCCACGATGAGCCGGGTTTCATCGACGGCTTATCCGGGACTCACCGCCTCACCACCGATTGCACCCTCCTCCTCGGCAAGTAATCCACTCAGAGCGACAAGCAATCCCTTCTCGCCCTCACTGATTTCGTCCGCTGGCATCAGTCCTCAACCGGCATCCGTTGCATCTTCGCAGTTTAATGGGCCACCGAAGAACATGCACGGGTACAAGCCGTCTATGGCACACCCAGGCTTCCATGGACGGATCTCACCCTATGAGCCGATACTACCACAGCCGAACGCTTTCGGCAATGGCGCTCGACCGAACATCCAACCTCTCTCGTCACGCCAGAACAGCTTCTCTCCCAACCATCCGTTACATCTTCCGAATATGGGAGAAGTCCTGTCGCAACCCATGCACGTGCGGGCGCCTACAATGCAGTTTGGTGGTGAACAGGCCCGAAACCAGCTGTTACAATCGAGAGGACATGTCCACCCGCAACATGCCGCTCAACATACTCCGAGCCCTGTTCTGCCTCGGCGAGTCGACAGCTTGTCCCACACTCCTCAGTTCAGCGAGTCCTCCCGTACCCCCATTGAGATCGCCCACCCTACGCCCAAAAGCCATCGCCACAACCTTAGTATGGCGCTGCAACGGGAGATCGACGAAGCGGAAGCTGCGTTACATGCAAAGCACGACAGCCTGCATGTTGAAGATACGGAGAATTTGGATTTGTCTCTTCGCAAAGACTCCGTCGTCGATGACACTGTGAATGAAGAACTCCCCATTCTGAGGCGACCCGAGACTATGACAGCTGCTGATGAGAGATCTGACATCGAGACAAACCCAAGTATAGCTGCTACGCCGATGCTGATGGACGACAAGAATCCGTTTGTGAACTGGCAGGCTCTAAGCGACGCGGCCAAGGCAGAATCGAAGCCCGTCCCGGAACCTACTCCCACCACCACCACAAAGTTCAATGTCGAAGCGAAGGAGTTCGATCCTCGGGCAGGGTTTCTAAGTTCGAATTTCTCATTTGGAGCACCTGCTTTTATGCCAATCCGCCGAGCACCATCCAAACCAATACCTCCGGTTGATAGAGGTTCCGCCAAGAACAGGTTTTCGATATCACGACTAAATGCTGATGCTCCTGCTTTTACCCCATCATTTGTGCCGCAGGCTGCGCCTAAGGGAACTCCATTCAGCTTCAGCTCTGCCACATTCAACGTTGATGCTCCAGTATTCAACCCCTCCCAGTCCCAGGGGACGCGTTCGAATGACAACGTGGCGTCTGATGCTGATGGAGTGTCCAATAATACGAGTAGCATATTTGGAAACGTTGTCATCGGTTCAGGCTCGAAGGCTACAAGAAGAGCGACCAAACCAGGCGCCCTTCTGGCCACCAAATCGAGAGGCGTCCAGTCTGATGTGTCAGAACCAGAGTCAACGGATGATGGTCGCCCAATGGCTCCAGCAGACAGGCAAAAGAGAGCGCGGAGGCACGGTAGTGATGGTGATCGAAGTCCTGTGTTCGCCGACTCGGCACCGTTCCATCACAGAAGGATCCTCTCCGAGATTGTGGATGATGTCGACGCCAATGGAGCTGAATCGGAAAGTCCAAAGAAGCATTTCGATGGCTGGGCGTATATTCCTGCGGACGAGACACGACCAGATGAGAACGAGCCAGTCGCTGCACAAGAAAAGCCGGAGGACGCCAATGAAGCCGGTGAAGCCGAGTCTGCATTCACTTTCGCCAACGCGAGTGATGCTGCTATGTTTAACGAGGCTCGCCCTCCGCTTGATATTGACCAGAAAATGGAGACTGAGCCGGAATCTGAGCCAGAATCTGAGCCTGAGTCCAGTGAAAATGTGGAACGAGAGACAGAGACACCCGAGAAACCATCTGACGGGTCGAGGGGTTACAATCGCAAGCCAAAGTCTTCTCTTTCTGCTTTAGCGAAACCTTTCGAGTTCAATCCAGGTGTCTCAGGGTCACTGGCATCTTCGTCCACTGCCCCGACAGCGAAAGCCCGAGGACTGGAAGCTTCCAAATATGCCACCGTGCCAAGTCCACCGACAAAACACACGGCCATTTTGTCCTCACCTCCTGCTGAACTGCCTCACCTCGTGGAGAAAGATCATGAGTCTCTCAATGATGCAGAGGACACTGTTGAAGTGTTTGAAGACGACGACCAGAGCAGTGTAGAGGAGGTTGTGGAGGTCATTGAAGAAAAGTCCACTGATAACGAGGCTGACGTGCCGCCAGAGTTTTCAAACCCCAAGAAAGAACTGGGTGTCCAGCCACAAGTGGAGGAGGATGAGTTCGAGATGCCAGGACCGTCCCTCCGGCATCAAGACCAGCCCGTTCCATCCTTCGAAGAAATCGATGCTGTCATGAAACATCTTGAGGACCATCCCGAGCTCGGTGTTGAACGTAACGATACACCAATTCAGTCCACCCCACTTGTCGATATGCGATTAGGAGGCAATTTCCGAAGTGACGCTCCCAGCCCCAGCCCCCGTAGGATTCACGACAATAAATCTGCTCAGAGCGACACTTCGTATCCACCGTCATACGGACTTGGTATTGGTATTCACAAGCTGAATTCGGGCAGAGATGATGTCAGTGACTGGGGCGATGCTTTGCCTGCGCCAGAGGCTGCGAAGCTTCAACTTCGGTCCCAATTCTTTGACGGCCACGTCAACGACCTGGTTGATGGCATCCTTGAAAACCGTCTTGGTCCTCTTGAGCGCGCCCTCGAGACGATTCAGCACTCTTTGGCGTTGATCGCCACGCAGCCGACACGAAAGAAGGACCGTCGCAGCACGTCGACAGAGCAGAAAGAGTCGGATGCGGATGACGAGGATGATTATGATGCATTTGAAGGATTCTCGTCTTACAGGTCGCGGTCGCCGATAGCACGCAGAGGAGAACGGAAACATGACCTGATCCGTGCCGCCGTTGCTGAAGCCATGGCCGCGTACCAGCCACCTCCTCCGCCTCAACCCACCATCGACATGACTGAGGTTAACGGTGTCTTACAGGAGATGAGAGAACTCGCACAACAAACGGGCTCCCAGAACACACAGAACGAGCTGAAGACAATCATGGAAGATGTCATTTCCCATCATCCTAGACTTCGAGGGTCACGAGTTCGCGAGGATCACGAGGCTGCGGAGTTGAAACTCAAGCCCCAGATCGATGGCCTGGAAAGTATGCTGAAGATTTCGCAAGAACATGCTGCAGAAGAAGCTCGTCTCCGGCGCAAGGCCGAAGAGGAAATCAACGAACTCAAACTGAGACTTCGTATTGCCGAAGAGGAAGCCTCTCAATATCGCGAGTCCTCGGAGGAAGCCCAGCACACATTGGAGGCGTTTGTGGAGGAGAAGGAGTCGTACAAGAACCTCGAGCGCGACCTGGAAGGGCTGACCCTCAAGAACACAGCGCTCGAACATACACTCGAAGAATACCGGGTATCGAGTGACCAGTGGCGTGAGGACATCCGCAACGAGCGAGCTAACAACAAAGATCTCAAGCGCACTCTGCGTGAACTTCACCAGCAACTGCAGGAGCAAACACAATCACGCGAAGGCCTTCGAGCTAAGATTGAGCGTGTGCAGTCGCAAATGGCACAAGTCATCCACGACATGCACGCTGAACAGGAAGACTGGCGGAACAAAGAGCACGGTTTCCAGAGCAGAATTGCCATAGCTCAGGAGGCACTTGAACAAGAGCGACGCCACCGGGAGAAGGCGGAACTCGAATTGGACGCCTTGGATAAGGAGCACAAGGCGAATCTCCAGCTGAAGAATGTTTTGGCGCAAGCTCAGTTAGATGTCTCGAGACTGGACGAACTGGTTACTTCCCTGCGAGAGGAGAACAGAGCCCTGGATACCAAAGCATTCAATCTCGACCGAGAGTTGACCCATACGAAGAACAGCAAGGACGCCGAGCTTGCAACGTCCGTTCTGAAGGTGCAGACCGAGCTGGAAAGTGCCCTAGCTCAGTTGCAAAGCGTCCGCGCCGATTCTGATGCACAAATCGCCCGGCTACAGGGCCGTCTTGACGATGCTGAGCTGCAGCTCGAAGAGCAAAAGGCCAAGCATGATTCCGTTCTGGCTGAGACTCTCGAGGCCCATCAACGGGCTCTTCGAGAGGCTGATGAGAAGAAGGAATCTGCTCTAGGAGAACAATACCGGTCTCATGAGAAGATGCTTGATGAACTACGTGACCGCCACGCGCGGGAGATGCACGACTCACTTGATACGCGGACCAGGCTCGAACAGCAATTCCACGAAAGGTTGAGCCTGGGTGACGACAAGGTCAAACATCTGGAGAACAAGGTCGCAGATTTGGAGGACAGATTGGCGATTACGAAGTCGGCTGCTCGAGCTGCTGTGGAAGCTGCCACGGCCAAGGGCGTCAACCTTCCCACACCCGCCTCCTCCGTAGTGGCGTCACCACCTCAACGTGCAGCGACCGCGTCCATGTCATACGCCAAGGGAAGTGAAGAGCCAGAAAAGATCTCACCGCAAGCCCTTCGAGAATCTATCATGGTCTTACAAGACCAATTGCAAAACCGCGAGCAGCAGATTGAGCAACTCGAAGCAGAGCTCGCTGCCGCTGACAAGGAGGCTCCTGCCAAGCTCAAGGAGCGCGACACCGAGATTAGTTGGCTGCGCGAGCTTCTTAGCGTCCGCGTGGATGATCTCGACGAGATCGCTACAGCGCTGTCCAAGGCAGACTTCGACCGAGACACTGTACGAGACGCCGCAATCAGGCTGCGTGCGAATCTGCAGATGGAGCAACAGCTGAGAGAACGCACCCCGGGAGGTTCCTTAACCAGCTCCTTCCCTTCAATTTCTAGCCTGTCAAGCTACGCTCAGTCTCCACGCGCACTGCCCCTGGCGGCTGCGGCTGCGTGGGGAAATTGGCGAAAAGCGCGTGACACGTCGATCGGGGCTCTCTCGGATCTGGCGACAAATCTAGGCAATCAGACACCATCGAAATCGACCGTTGGAAGCCCCGCGAGTTTTCTGTCCGGTATGATCACTCCACCAGCGACGAGCCAAAAGACGCCGACCTCGAGCGACACGCCACTTCAAGCACCACCAACCATGAGACCTCTTGCGGCAGCTGCGGCGCAAGCTCGAAAGGGCAGCGGACCCGAAGCCCGACCATTGAGGGCGTACAATTCGCAACCTCGAGCTCTGTCAAGCAGACAAGCCGAGAAGCGGCCCGAAATCTCGCCGTCACAATCGAAGCCTGAGCCGCCCCAGACACCAACTCAGGTCAAGAATCAGCCCAGCTTCGACTTGACTGCGGATGTGGACGAAGATGCCTCGCCTCTGGACGAGGATGCTGATGCTCTCGAAACAGCAGAGCCACTCCCTGCATGAACATTTTCCTTTGCACTGTAGGCAAATTTGTCGGAGCGGAGAATGTGCAAAGTTTTCCATTTTTTGTCATGCCACATGATGATACCCCTGTCGATCGTTTTGCGTTTCACTGCCACAAAATGTTAATATCTTGGTCTTTGTATAGAAATACTGCTTGGAAGACATGCACAGATATGTTGGAAACTGGAAGGGAGAAGCAGATTGACTGACCGGATGTGAATCTGGGCAGCGTCAAGAGATTTTATAGGGCCCTGGAAAGGGTCAAATCTTGTCCATTCATTCATGCGAAAATGTGCTGGGAAAGGGAAAGAACAATATCCCTCATGCATGCCCTCTATTGTTTGGTGTTGTGTTTTGTACGTGTGGATATTTCCCTTCCTTTTAGCGTCGGATTGGGAGAACGGCGTCAGGGATATAGCATAGCGAGGGCAATGACGAACAAGATGATGGCCATGTTAGCCACCCCTATTGAACCTCAAGCTCGGATGTACGGTACCTCGAGCTCGAACGTACGATAGGCCTTGGGGTACAAGTACATAGTTTGTACTGAGTAGTGCCGTGAGTGCGTGAGGCTATTCTCGTACGGAGTACTCCGTACTGCGCTACGTACGGAGTATACTGTATGCATTGCCCAGCCTTGAGTGGGGGGGGGGCTTCCCCACGATACGTGTGTCAACCTCGTCAACCATTGGACTCCAACCGACTTCCGAACGTCCACATCAACGGCACCTACCCCAGTACAACGAAGCAGCCAGCCATCGAATGTCCTCCGGGGGAAGAGCCTTAGCTTTAATCAGGTCTACTGTATCTATATCAAACACGCCTGCTGTTTCTTAGGCCATTCTCGAGACACGAGCTGCGTCTCCACTGCGTCCCGTCGAGGATCTAATCTCCAGCGGTCGGTCGGCCTGAAAAGCTGGTGCCTGCCTGCCTGCCTGCCTGCCTGCCCGCCTGGTTTTTGGTGCTTGCTTGTTGTCCACCACATTTCTGGCATCCAAGCTTGCCTGCTGTCTGTCTGTTTTCAGTACTTTATGCGGAACGAACGTCCCATGAAGGACGACACCTCATATTTCAGACCCGTATACTGTAGATATCAGCGCAGAGCAGAGCAGAGCAGGGCAGGGCAGGCGGCGGCAGTCAAACTCCTCTAAGGACGCCGGCTTCAACGCTTACAGTAACCGCTAGACAACCAGTCTCCGCTTCTACAATTCCAAGAACAACCCATCATGAACTCTCTTCGCAGGCAAGCTACCGTGCGGTTGCTCCTCCTCCTCCTCCTTGTGGTTCCGACCCCCGTCGTACAAGCGATATGCCCGGCGCAATCACCATTCTATCCACCACCGACATATAATCGACACGCCTCGGAGATGTGGGAAACGTTCAGCCAGATCGAGGCCTCGCTCTCCACTTTGACGAGGAACAACACGACGCTCTTCGACACGTCGTCGTATTCCGTCGAGGTGACTTCGTCGCACCGCACGCTGTGGTCCACGTTCCACACAGCCAGGGACAAGAACGAGACGAGACCGGGTGCCGTCAAGGTCGATTCCACGAGCCGGTACCGCATCGCGAGCATCACCAAGGTGTTTACCGTATTGGGCATCTTGCAGCTTCATGGCGCGGGGAGGGTGTCTCTTGACGACAGTGTCGCGAAATATGTCTCTTTTTCGCTGCGGACCGCGAACTCGAACTCAACCGCCAATTCCGGATCGATAGACTGGGATAAAATCACCCTCCGGATGCTGGCCAGTCAACTCTCCGGCCTGCCCAGGGATTGGGCGCAAGGGGATCTGCTTACCGCGCCGGACGACCACACGGCGATGGGTCTCCCGCCCATACCGGCCTCTGCACCGGACCGCGATAACCTTCCCAAATGCGACTCCTACGAGCACTATAAGCCCTGCACGGCACACGAATTGCTGGCCCACCTCCAGCACAGGGTGCCGTTGTTCGCGCCGGGCCGGAAATCAACTTACAGCAATATCGCGTTCGAACTGCTGGGAATGGTCATCGCCAACGTGACGGGCATGGCGTACGAAGACGCGATTACGGCGTCCATCCTCCGCCCGCTCGGCATGAACGAGACGTCCTTTGCCAAACCCCCAGACGAGGTGGCCGTCCTCCCGAAACACAATGCCTGGTACTGGGATGTCGACGAGGGCGTGCAGAATCCGACAGGCGGTCTGTACTGCTCTGCCGGCGACATGTCGATTTTCCTCCGGCACGTGCTGACACAATACATGGACGCGGGGGCATCCAAGATCAACTGGCTGCCTGAGACGTCCTCGTCGGCCGGCGGGTCGGCCAGCTGGTACGCCATGCCGTGGGAGACGTTCCGGACGGAGAAGATCCTCGGTGGCGACGACGCAGCCTCGCCGTCACCCTCACCGTCGCGGTCCGTCACGTTCTTCACCAAAGGAGGCGGACTCCCCGGGTATACGACAGTTATTGTGGTGGTCCCGGAATTCGACCTGGGCATCACCATCTTCACGGCCGGGGATGTGGAGCTTCTGGGTGATTTGATCGAGATGATCACCGTGCCGTTGATTCGCGCGGCCGACAGACTCGCGGCCCGGCAGGTCGTTAATAGTTACGTCGGGGAGTACGACTCCTTCTCTTCGGAGACAGAGGAGGAAGACAGTGAAGCCGACGCCAGTGCTGGAGCTGGAGTTGCATTCCTCAACTCCTCGCTCACCCTAAGCTACACGCCGACCCACGGGCTTGAAATCACCCGCTGGATCTCCAACGCGACGGACATGCTCGGGGTATTCCGTGCGCAGTTCAAGCTTCCGAAGGATAGACAATTCCATGCGCAACTTATTCCCACGCTTTTGTATCGCGAATCTTCGAACTCGGACCGCCACAGAGACGACGATCAGAAGGAGATGAACAAGCGTGAGCCCAAGGGCGGTGGCAATGGCGATGGCGAACTATGGCGCATGGTCGTCGCGCTGGACAAGCCTACCACCAACCGCGCTGGCGTGGGCGTGTGGGATGACTTCTGTGTCGCGGACGTGGACACCAAGATGTATGCGGGCAGACCGCTGAACGAGGTCATCTTCTGGGACAGGAACGCGAGCAGCGCAATGAGACAGTTTGGCCGCGTCGAGATGTCCGCGTTTCGGGTAAATTTGACGAGGGTACACGGTAGTGGTGGTGGTGGCGGCGGCGGCGGCGGCAGCAGCTATGGTTATGGCGGTGGGAAGGCGACGACAGGAGAAGACTTGAAGTTACTCGCTCAGGACAGAAGAGGAATCTAGGTAGAAGGGAGATTCGTATGAGGCGGAGGTGAAGGAAAGATTAAAGGATACAGCGTGGATCCAACCGGCTCAAGGACATGCATGACGTTATAGGATATGGCACATGACAATGAGATGAGACGCGATGCGACGTAGATAGTCCGGCGTCACAGCACTGAGCACTGAGCACTGAGCACTGAGCTCTAGGTGAGGGTGAGGGTGAGGGTGAGGCTGTCCACGGCATACCGCACAGTAGTTGAGTCAATAACACCGCCCGTACGTACGCACAGAGCATCGAGCATCGCCCCTCATCATCATACTGTACAGACATGCATCCATCACATCGCCTTAGACACATAACAAAAAGGTCGAGGTCCTAAAACCCCACAAATCAGAATAGAATAGTCGATTGCCTACCTTGCCTAGGATCCGAACAGGCGCACTTTCTTCACCCTCACCCTCATACACACATACTGTAACTAGTCGGTGATTCCTCTATCACAGTGCCAGATCCGCGAGAGCTATAGTTCGAGAACTACCTTGTTGATCCGTTTTCAACAGTCAAAAACAGTCACCGGGCTGAGTCCCTTAACTGAACGCGCGTTTCGTGAAGGAAACAGGTCCAAGAGATGGTTGATCAGGTATTCACTTGCTGTACTGGGTTTTGCCGCTATCTCACACGACAGCCTCAGTCTCTCAATCACTAACTAGACCTTCATCTATTCGTAGCGTGCTCTCCAGTCACCATACTGTCCTCACACATCAGCCCTTCGAGTCGGGACGGACACTCTTACACTTTTCAACATCCTCTTCCCCATCTTCATCTCCGCTCCCTTCATCGTTCGCAGCAGACTCCGTCGAGAGCCTCAACTCCTCCTCAGTCAATCTGTGCCGGGCGTCTAATTCCTCCTCGTCAATGTCGGAATGATCGTCCTCGTCCCTCTCGACGTCGATTTGTGCCGGAGCTGTTGTGTCGCCCGCCATGGCATGTTGCACTCTGCTTCGCCGACTCTCGTCATCATCGATTTCGCGGAAAAATGGATGATCTTCCGTCAATGTTTTCCGTGCGCAGATGTAACCCATAGGTGTATGGGTGAAGTCTTGCCCCCTGCCCCTCGTTCCCAGCCATGCGTGGAGGAATGTGAGCATTCGGGTGGCCTTCAACTTTGCAGCACGTGCCTCCTTCGTAATGGTCTGCTCCTCCCATGCGACTTGCTCTCCGTTGTGCGTAGAGCTCTGGCGCTCATCCGAGCTACTTGAGCCCTCGGTCCGCTCTCCTTCTATTTCGATGGCCAGGTCGGTCTGGAGGTTGCTTGCCTCATCATTTCCAAGTCCGAGAAAACCGCGTATGTGCGCCAGCTCCTCAAATGGAAAGTAGAGCCGACCAGCAAAGATGCCAATTTGAATCCTCAGCCATATGGGCGCAGCCCAGTCAAGTGGAAGCGGGGGAACAGCGTAATAGCTGAGATTGTTGAATTGAAGCATCTTCTGCGTGACGGGAATGGCATAGCTCAAGAGATGCACGACCTGCTTCGGCGCTTCTCGACACAGAGGGATCAACTCTTCTGCCTCCTCAGGGCTCACAAGAATGGCGGTTTCGGTGGTCATACTCCATAATACCCATTGAACAGGACGCTGTCGGGCAGTCAGTACATGAACAGGTGTCGGGGGGCAGGGATGGGCCTTACCAAGAAGTCGTCATTGACCTTGCCAGAGGGCACAATAACTGCTTGGCGGAACTCAGCAGAAACCAGAACTTGGGGAGAGGCCGGTAACTCGGCAGGATATTTGAGACCGGTCGCACTTCGCTTCATGTAGGAAAAGGCGCTCTCCCAGAGGCTATCGTCCAATCCCAGACCGCCGCTCAGAACAAAGTCCCTCAGCGCGTTGGCCAGTCCTGAAAATGTATGAGGGTGGAAGTAGACAGGCTTCTGTCGCTCGCGAATCGTCTCAGCTTCGACTGCCACTTCACGCTCCTGCTCTACTTCCTGCAACGCAGAGGCATGGACCGCGCTTCCGGTATCCTGGAAAGCCTTTCGTCGTCGTTCAAGTTCTTTGATATGCAAGCTGATCTTGCCTTCATACTTTTCATCCTTGATATGATTTCTCTTCTTCCTCTCAGTGCGCGGTTCATACAAGGACTTGAGCGACTGCTGCTCATGGTCCTGAAGTGCTCCGAGGTAGGCGTCGCGCTGGGCTGGATTCGACAGGTATTGAGGATTGTTGTGTGCTGCTTGAGTGCGCTGGCAGTAATTCACACCTTGGGCATGAAACAATGGCTGCAGGTTTTCGAGACCTTGGCAAGTCTGCTCCAGTAGCCAGCAAACCACGTCATGAGAGTCCAGATGCGTGTTATCACTCTTGCATCGGAAATCAAGAATAGACTGGTGTACCTCCGGCGGTGCGAAGAAGGTGATGGACTGAGTGGTCGCCAGCTGTCGAAGACGCATGACAGCTTGCATGGTATGGTCCTTGGTCTGGCCAAGGCTGAGCGTCACTGCCCCGCGACTAAGGGGCGGAAACTTCATATCTGTTCCACGCGTATGAGATTCGTCCAGATAGACCAAGCAAGTACTCAAGTCCTCGGCGTATGGCGATGCCAGAAGAGGTGTTCTTCGTCCTGTCCGCGTGAGGACGGTAGGCTTGTTATTCTCATCGAAGAATACAGCCGCGTTTGCGTCAGTGTCAATGTCCAGCCACATCTTCGCTAGAGTGAAATTTGTCATCTCCAGGATCAACGCGCCAGCATCAATCAGTACACGGATGCCCTTGTGGCGCAGCTTCCTCAGAAAATCCGGCTCCGACATGCGGCGGTAGACCGCCCGTCCGCTAAAGTCCTCCCTGAATCCTGCAAGGGCGTACGCGCGATTTCGATCGTGTAGAAGGTAGCATAGAACTTCGGCATTTGTGTGCGCCAGTCCTTTCAGGTCGTCCTGCTTGATATTGAGAGGCAAGACAAGACGATTGTCGTTGGTCCCACTGAAGCCTGTTGTTAGACTGGATCCGTTGCCTGCTAAAGGTAGATCCCATCCGCTCGCCTGCAATTTCACCTTGAACTGTTTTGCATGCTTGGGAAAGACGAAGTTGTTCAGAAAATGATCAATCGCGGTGAGGTTGTAGCGCACAGCGCTCCATATCTCCGCCAGCTGATTCGTATCTTCAAGATTGATCGAGGTCCAGTCACGGTGCCGGTCAGAGAGCGCGCTCGATCCCTGAGTCCATTGCTCGTACTCACGGGCAGGGTCATCCGACTTGAGGATACGCTCGAGGCTTTGCTTCAATTGTGCGGGCGCTAATCCTTGGTAGTAGAATGAAAGGCATGTAAAGAGCAAGGAAACATCAACGTGGCCCCATTCAGCAAGGTTTGACGGGACCCCTTTGCCTAAGAAAGGCACAGAAACAGGGTCTCGAAGCGGATGGAGACCGTACTGAACGTTCCACCGCCTGCTGAGAGTCAGAATCAGGATTCGATGGACAAGGAGGCCGCGAAGAAGGTAGATCACGTAACCGTCACCCGGACTGTTCTTGTGTATCTCGGAGACGCACTTGACCGCAGAGCTCTGTGGATTGGCCTCGGTGACGAAAGCTATGATGGCTTGTCTTTCCAGCGCAGAGAAGTTTTCAATGTTGAGCAGTGATGTGCGCCCACTGCAAACTTCCGCAACAATTAGTTGCATTAAAGCGTGTTGCACATCTGGGCGGAGGAAGTAGATGAATGGAAAGCCTCCCATTGAACGACGTACGACCTGAATGCTGGACTCATACGATCGTTCCAACACATCAAGGTGGGAAAACACCAATCTGAGCACCGTTTGGATTGTTTCCCACCGGTAGTTGCCGCCGTTAACGGTAACTTGCGGACCAGAGGGATAGATGAGCTGTGTCTTCACCGCCATGGTAAAGTCGCTCTCGTCAAAAACGTCTCGACTGACGCCGGACAACCAACGCTGTAACTTGATCATCCTTGTTGCCTCTTCGATCTTTCCGTCGAGTAGTCGCTGCTGCCCTGAGAGCATGAAGGACATGAGATGCTCTGGTAGTGCTATAATCACACCAGAACAATTCAATGTCGACCGATGAATCCTCGCATAGGCTTGGAGGTGGTCGGACGTACATGGCGTGCGGCGGGAGAAAGGGACATGGCACAGTTCTCGACCCAGCAGCCCACCAAGTCTTGATTGCAACAATTGTGCGGTTTGCAGAAGCAGAGCCTTGGGAACAACCACCCTGCAGAGAGATCGTCCATTGGCCAGCACGGACGCCACTAGGGGTATAATAGTCGAGGTTTTTCCCTGCCCCATATTCAGCTGCAAGACTGAATTTGACCCTGATGCCGGCGATATAATCTGAAAAGCCACGTCCGCCTGAACGGGTCGTATCAGGATGTTGGTATCGATCTCCAAGAGTAACCAGTCCGGATATCCCTCGGGGTCCCAATTGGTGTGTCCAAGGTGTTTGAGCTCATCATCAAGCTGTTGAGTCTTACCACGCCGAGAAGCATCTTGAATTCGGAGAAGGCGCTGCAGATGAGTGACAGCGACACCTAGCCTAGTGATCGCGGTACGCATGGACGCCGTCATTGATGTATGACTAGTGCTGCGCAGAGACTCTAGCATGTCAACACTCGATGCGACCGGCCAAAGCCCTGCGGCGTCGAGCCAAGTCGCGCTGGGCTCATCCTTCTTTGTAGCCGCAACCAGTCTCCTCTTCTGTAGATCAACCGTGTCTTGGGCCTTAGCAATGAGAATATCAAGCTGTGCAAAGTCAAGAAATGATCGTTGTAACTCAGATCCCGAGCGAGATCTTTCTAGTGCCGTGGTTGACCGCAAAAGCCATTGAATGTATTCCTGTCTGACGATTGATTCAGAGGTCGGCAATTCCTTGACAATCTGCCTTAGCTCATTAATGTCTTGGTTCGATTTCCACAGTTCTACAGCCGCCAAACAAGAGGGTCCGCTGGCAGGCTGATGGGGTGGCAGGGTTGTCAAGGGCCCTTCCTTGTTGAGTAGATCAAGCTGTACCGATGGAAAACCGCGAGAAGAAGCGGCACCCAGCGAGGTGACCGCCTTCTTCGGGGTTCTGGCAGGTGGAGACGTCCTATATCTGTCTAGGACATCTTGTACTTGCCGCAAATGCTCCTCGAACTCGTGATGTTGAAACATTGCATGCCACGCCATGGCAATCGCAGACCGAGCGGCGTCTAGGTCAAGTGTAGAGGTCGAAAACTGCTTGAGGTCCGGTAAAGCGCAAGGCCATTGTGCACACATGAAGTTGACAAGAGAATCCAAGTCTTGCACAGCGTTCACCTCATGCGCCCGTCGAGCTGCATCCACCGCTTTACGCTCTTTTTGGGTCAAGCCGATCTGCGACTCAGAAGTTGTGAATGGCAAAACGCACGAGCTCAGGATTTGTTTTAGGTGGTAGGTCTTTGGGCTGTATCCCGGACGGAATTGTGTATAAGATGGCCACGACGGCAGATCAATCTTCTTCAGGTCCTGGAATACCGAGAATGCGATCAGTGTGTGGATAGAGCGCATATCGACCTCTTCCCTGAAAGAGATGGTCGCGAGGAGGAATAATAGCTTGTACTTAGTGTCCTGGCTTGAGAGTCGACAAAGGTTGACCAGGGGGCCCCAGGACGAAGCGATATCTGTATCAAGACGGTCACTCAGGCGTATCCTGTCATAGACAACCAGACCGTCGCCGTACCCAGCAATATGTGGCCACTGCTGCATCATAACATGTAAAAGCGATGGCGAAGGCAGCTTGCTCGGCCAGTTGTGGAGTAAACTCGCCGCTTCGAAGACATGGTCTTGGCTTTTCTGGTAATTGTGGTAGCCACGAGGACGGTACAGTGTGTCACCAGCATCTTCGGCATTGGTGGCTCTCGACGCAACCAAGTCACACCGCCGGTACTGTAGATGCCGCATCTGACCTCGGATAACCAGGTCAGTATTTGTGTCGTCGACCACGGCACTTCCCGCCAACATAGAAGACTGTTCTGCTTGAAGGGTAACGTCCTCCTTGAGCTCGAATTGCGCCAACAAGTCTGATTTGTGCTTGATCACGTGGACTAGATGCCAGTATCTGTCATCTTGTGTAGCAGCAGTGAGATCCTTTCTCCACCTCACCGTTTCCATGACACGGAGGCCTTCTGGGTAGAATTGCCGCTTTGGAGTGAGATCAGCAATTGAGGCGAGGAGCATCTCGTTGACAGCGCTGAGCGGGGCGTACGGCTGACAGGCACCGGTCTGCAGGATATGGCATGCTTCATCGGCCCCGGTCTTCCCCGTCAGTGGATCAGGAATGCAGAAAGACGTACAGGCATGTAACAGCGCCTTCGTGTAGAAAAGTCGAGGTTCCGAAGCACAAGTCACTCTCCCAAGCACATTGTCTATGAAGAAGCGACCCACAACCGGATCAATTCTCTGGACTTGAACATCAACATGAAAGCCCTTGCGCCGCACCGTCAAGGGTGCCAACGGAACGATAATGCTTCTGTCGCACGGATTCTGGACATCCCGGAGCACAATTTTGGATGAGAGACCGTACCAAGTGCCGGCGTCTTGATTTTCATCCACTTCAGCTCGCAGTTGCTGACACTCTAGAAACCCACGCGAGTTCACAAAGAAGGTCAACTCGTAGCGACGGAGCTCGACTGCAAAGGGATATCGTGCCGGCTGGTATACGGTGATGTGACGAGGATCTTCGAACCCTCGAAAGACACTGGCGAAGTGATGAAATAGGTTACTGCCTGGGTCGAGCAACGTTGATTGCCTGCGGTTCGCCATTCCTGTATGGAGGTTGATCTTCCAGTTGCTGGGAGCAGTTCTCCATATCTTCGGCACTCGTCTGACTTCGATGATGTTGGAATCCAGATCAAGCCAGTGTACGCAACCGTCTATCAATGATGCTGGCAGATCAAACGTGTCGTTCCGCTCGAAGATGCCTGGGGGAATGTACTCCCATGACCCGGTTGGTCCCCATAGCCGAATAATGAGTTCGCCTCCCCGGAAACCAAAGTGGACTTCCTGGCCCTCTACATCGAAGGCAACTTTGTATGTCATACCAGGCAGAGACGAGCCGTATACAACCAGTCTCTGGTTTGGGAAGAGTCGAGCAGTTGCATCTGCGTGCCGGACTTGGGCTGGCAGCTCTCTCTCAACGGCCCGCCCATCCAGCAGCAGCACGCCTCCGACTAGGTGGTACTCAATTACCGGAGCATCGAAGTTTGACTTGCTCGGGAGACGGATTTCAGCCCATACACCATCATGGCGTTCAGAGAATAAAATTGACGTAGGACCACTAGACAGAGCTGCACCGCTTATGACGCGTGCATTAACCGCCGCAGCGACCAGTGAGCGAGGCTTCTCTCCGAGAGAACGCCTCAAATGGCTTTGCAGACCGCACACCATCTTCACGTCGCGAGCCAATATGCTGCGGAGAGACGGCGGAAGCTTGGTCAGATCTGCGACAAGATTTTCTTGCAATGTGATGGAAGCTTCCAGGAAGGTGACCAGGGCCGATGATGATAGAGAGCTCTGGGCTGATTCTGCGCCGGCATCTGTGGTGGAGGCGGAACAACTTCTGGGCTGGTTTGAATTGTCTGTAGAGCAGATTGTGAAAGTCCGCCTACATAGCAGAGCTGCCCAGACAATAGAATTGGTCAATGCTGCCGCAGCAATTGAGTTGACCGTGCCCCAGAGCTCCTCACGAATCATCTTGATCCAATTGAGGGTAATGCGTCTGACGTTTTCCACGAGCCGTGTAGCCTGGAGACACATAGTATCACTTCCAAGCTCGACAACTTTGAAGATCAAGTTAAGCAAGACTTCCATACAGGAGTTCTCCCGCCAATTTGAGCTAATGCTTGACAAGCGTCGTTCAACTTGGCTCAACAGGGTTTTGCAGAAAGACTCGCAGCGAAAAACCACGTTTGTCGTATGAAATGGACCTTCGCATGGCCGACCTGTGCGATACGATAGAGCTTGCAGTAAAGTTGCGACAGCCTCGGAACTGAAGTTGAGGTTGGAAGATCCCAGTTCAACTAGGATTGCGGGCCACAGGCGCTGGGTATCTGACAGGAGCCCCTGAAAGGCCACGAATTCTGGCGCACCAAGAGTCTGTGGGCAGCGCGGTAGTCCAGCTAGAACCTCATTAGAGCTGATGGCAGAATTGGCGACCAGGTATTTCATTGCGTTCGACTTTGGAGGATGCACAGATGCTGCTTGATTGTTTCCATTCTGCCAATAATCTGGAAGGACCCTATGTGGGTAGTCGATGTGCGCAAATGGGCTGCGGCGTGGAATCGGAACCCAACAATGATGGCCAAAGGTAACTTCGTGCAGGTGCTCCACTGGCCACAATTTCCGGGTGAGGTCGTAGTATGCAAATCTTAGGCCGTTGTTGACACGTACTTTCTCAAAAGGGATGGGGAAACGCACGTATCGGAAGTGCGTCTGCAGAAAAGACTTCGTACGCGACGCCAGAGTGATTCCCGATCTGTGAGGCGCTCTTTGCGTCGAGAAGTCGGCATAGTAACTGTGCACCATTGTGAAGGGTTCCTTTCTTGTCTCCTGGACATTCGGTAGTCCTAGGTCTGCAGCAATAGCCCACGTAGCATTTCTGCATGCAGCAAAAGCCTTTGGGCATCGTAATTCGAGCAAGGCAGCCCTCGCCTCACCACTGTTGTACGGCAACGCCTGCTCGATTCTCTCGATGCCTATCTTGTCGGCCTTCTTGGTCAAGATACACTTGTGACACTTGTACTCATCGTGCTCTGGAACCAGCAGATCCCCGACAAACGTATATTGGCAGGTGATAGCTGAAAGCTCCTTCGTAATCCTCTGGTGCTCGGCGTCTTTCTCCCCCCATTCCGTCTCCTTGTCACGCTTCCGCCGTTCTTCTGCTTCCTGCATGGTTAGGTTCAGAAGATGAATGTCTGAGCCCGAGTCCAAGTTCTGGAAGTAGCAGTCGGCGAAACAACCGGACATAGGAGTATCGAAGATGGTCTGAGAGGGGCCGGTGCCGTCAGCAGTTGCATGACGCTGTGTGAGGTAGCACTGGATCTCGTGAAGGCGACATAAGTCAGCGTAGCTGGATAGAAGCAGACAGTCCAGGACCAGAGGCTGGAAGACTGGTTTGTACAGGGAGTACCCAGGCATGAATCGGCAGCACAAGCGGTCCATCAACAGCCATAACCACATAGTTGCTAGAATCATGCGGCTTCGGTCCACCGTGCCGATTTCGTAGCAGTGGTCACTCGACTTGGAAAGATACGAATGGATATCTTCTGCAATTTCCAGAATTTGTTCTGAGCACGTCTCATCGTTGACGGATGCCAGTCCTTGGTGTCGTGCCAGAATATCTTCTTCGGCATGCGCCAGCCCAGAGTATGCTCCGAGAAATTGTCGCAAGGTTGGAGACATGACATAGGTGCCCCTATGGACGTTTTCGACTAGGGGTTGCTGCCGCATCTGGCAGAGGTAAGTTGCACTGTTTCTTAGGCCCAGTCTAAGGTGTTCAGGTCTTGCTGTGCGAGTTCTGAACGGTGTGATCCGACGCTCAATCCTGGACTTGTAGCTCTCCCACGCATTTTGGAGCCTCACGTTGGCGTCCTTCGTGGCTTGAAGTAAAGGCGGCCGTATACTGTTGAGGATAATGCCATGGACCCTCGAAGTGTCGGCGCCTGCACGAGTTGTAAGGACTCTATCCTTCTCCAGTTTCGCCATACGCCGACAAAGCTTCCTGAGCAGGAGATGAGAGAGGTCCGGAGCCTGTGAGCCGACCACTTGGGTCAGTAGTCGAGCTTGGATTAGGCACATGATAGCCTTGTACAGTGTGTTTGCCGCTGACGGGCTTGTGAGCTCCCCCAGATGGCGCAAGATTCCCACACGCAGCAGCAGCCAGAGCGCCGATCTCCTCCAGGGAATCAGAGCATCTTTAAAGCGGACTTCATCTTTGATACGCTTAGATATGGGTGGCACGGTGACCAGTCGTCCAATGCCTTCGAGAAGTGTGATGAGGAGGCCTGTAATCAAGGCAGGGTCGGAGGTGTCTCGCGGCTCAAAAGCGAGTGACTGTGCTTTGTGGGTGACTGCGCCGAACTTCTTGATGTTCTCCATGCTGCCTCTCTCGAGAAAGTCGGCCAGGTGTTGCTGGAAATGCTCGTCGGCAAACACGTTATTCGGAATAGCTGCGGCCGAGGTAGGAAACGTCCACTGCAAAGCACCCTTACATTCGAGGACTTTCTCGGATTGAGCAGACACTTCAAAGGCTTCGAAGATAACATGACCTTTCAAGTCGCTGCACTCAAAAGTCAGTCCACCTTGTGGGCACCAAAAGCAGCGAAGAACTCACCCAGTGCCATGCCGCACCAAAAGCCCCGCATTCTGCTCATTGATGTGAACGATTAGGATTTCGCCCTCTTGCAGTCTTCGAAATGCACGCTGAAGCTGTAAGCTGTCGAGATGTGCTGAGGAATGGGTAAAGTAACAGTAATCCAATGAGCTTTCGAGAAGACTCAGTTCCCGCTGGAATTCGCTTTGGACGGTTCTTTTCAACTCGGCACATGCGTCTTGGGCGCGTCGAAGCAGGTCGCCGTCGATCTTGGGGAGGTTCCTGTCCAACCCGCCTGGTAAATCCGGAGGGAGGATGATGTGGTTGGCTACCGCGCGAAGGAATGTAGAGTCGGCGGCAGCCATGTTCGGCGAGGTGATGCGGTTGGGAGGGTCGAACGAGCACGCTGGCAGAGGAGGAAAAAGATGGGTTTGACGAAGAGTACAAACGTGGCTTTGTTTGATCGGATCTCGTCCTCATTCACCAGCCTCGAACACCGCTCCAGGCAGGCAGCTGAGTGCAGTCATCAATCAAGGCAGTGGTGATTGCAGTTCTCGATCAAGGCAGTGGTGTGAGTAACTGCAGATGCGCATCGTCGATGGTTGAGTGAATATGTTCTGATCAGAGACGTGAGGCTGCGACTTTGAGGTGAGGCTGAATTGAGATGCTGCCTAATGTGATGCTGCCCAATGTCATGTCCGTGCCTACACCGCCAACAGCCAACACTCAGCCTCTTGGGACGACCAGGTACCATGGCGCAGTCATCGACCCCGGAGGCATCGGTCGACCCGCCTGTAGCCGTAGGACGGCCATGCCGGCGGCTTCCCAGCCCGGAAACCTGCAATTGACCTGCATATGACTTTCCTGTCTAGTCAGAAGATCAGTCTGGCAGTGCCAGTTGCTTCCCCCTCAGAGTGCTACATGTCATTGCTTCCTTATTCTCAAGTAACCAGGAGAGCATTCCACGTAGCGTTGCATCGAGGTTGGTATGTAGCCCGCCTACAGCTCAAGCCCCAGTCAACCAAGAAGAGGCCAGACGCCTCCACGTTGAAAGATCCAGTGAGAGCTGTCTGAGGCTGGCGCGTGCTTTGAACTTGCTGTTCCTCGCCACGACGCGTCCGTTAGGAAAGGGCTAGTGGCGCTTGGCACATGCTGCGTCGCCTTCTCGGGCGGTTGCTGAAACACAGCTGGCCGTCAATCGACCGTAGCCAAAGTGCTTCCTCATCAGTCTCTCCATCGCTGCGGCAGCTGTCATGACTTCTGCTTCCCAGTCTCCAGGTCGGGTGTCCATAACGTCGTGTAACGTGTCAGAGGGGCCACTTCGAATGTTATCCGCCAGGGGTTCACTCCAAGAGGAAGTAAGGAATGTCGTATACCACGATGTTGCTAGAGCAAGAAGAAGGAATGAGCCTGCAACTCCTACGAGGAAGCTTACTTCAGATGTCACGGAGTACTTTATCACCGAGCACACCCTGACGCCAACTCACGGACAATATTCGGCCAGATCCGGGCGGGATGGTGGGGTCGCAAGGATACCAGCAAGCCCAGTAACACGACTCCGCAAAGTGAGGGGCATCCGGGCACAAGCAAGAACCCGTCCTCCCCGTCTCCACGGCGGCGGCGAGGCGCCGATATCGCCGTGGAGTGGAGGTGGATTTACGAAAGGGAAGCACCACGCCAGGAGCGTCAGTATGACTATAAACCCCAGCCAAAACGCCCCCTACTAGTTACCTGACTTGAGCAGCCATTCAAGATCGCAAAGCATAGCAAACCGCAACCGCAACCGCAACCGCCATCAGAATCCGCAGAAATGCCAATTTACCACATCGGTAAGCTCCTGATGGCCCCCTCCACGAGTTATCACCATTAATTACCGGGCGGGTGACCCGATCTGGGTACCTGGTTACTGACCTAGAGCACCCGTCACAGTGCTCTTCAAACTCAAGCCCGGGGTCACGCCCGCGCAGCTGGACGCCTGGGGTGCCAAGGCTAAAGGCATGGTCGGGCAGATCCCAGGTTTGAAGAAATTGGAAGTGAACACGCCGCTACCGTCCACGGCCAGCAGAGGCCAGGGGTTTAATATGGGTTTGGTGGCCATTTTGGAGAAAGCAGAGGATGTGAAAGTTTATGCTGAGCATCCCGCTCACTTAGAGTACGTCTACCCGGCTCCGTATCTGGATTTGGATGGATCAGGTGGATTGTCAGCACAGCTGAGTCCTTGGGTCGGGTCACTGATTGTCTGAGTCGCTGACTGCTTCGCCACAGGGTCCATAAGTTCAGGGAGGAGTTAGCCGACGATACCCTGGCCTACGATCTGGAGTATCGAGATTGATCGGAGCGTGAAAGTGCGCGATATAGATCTCGAAAGACGCTCCTCTTTACATCAGCGTATCACCACAGTGGATGACATCTCATTTACAGAGTCGTGAGAGTATGATACATTCATTGGCAGTCCGGTAAATGCACGCCAGTTTTCTACGGCGAGTCCTACGAGTGCAGCGTATGGCACTGTTCAAGACATCCTGAGTGCCCATGGCTCATACCCGGCTATAATCATTTTTCACTGATCTCCTGACGTTCCTCGCTCGACACCGACGCCACCGACGTCCGTCTCTCATCCTTCTTGTTCCGTTTGAGCCCTATCAGCTGCATCATCTCCGTCCAGAAGCCGACGGGAGGCGAGATGAACGACGCCTCATACGCATCCACCACGGGCCGTTCCCAGACCAGATCTGCCTCGGCCGGATGCACGGTCTTTGTACGTTTGCCCAGCTTCCACCCGAGATACAGCACCGGCGCCACAATCACCATCGTGTAGTAACTGAAGAAGGTGGCGACGTCCCAGGGCGTGAAGCTGGAATATCCGTAAAAGACGACAACCACAGACATCCACGCCAGGCCGATCCATCCGCAGTATGGCTGGAACCATCCAGTATAAGGGAACGTGTTGCGATCAATGCCTTGGACCTTGCACGCCCGGTAGAAGAACAGGAACGTGACACACATGACGATGTAGTCGATGATGCCGCCGGCGGTGATCAAGTTGATCAGCCAGGTCAAGACCTTCGCGGAGCCGTTGGACACGGATAGGAACGAGAGAAGCGGGAAGAGCATGACGACGCAGAACGACCAGATCGGTACGCCATTTCCCGTGCATCTCGCGAGGACCTTGGGAGCTCGGCCTTCGAGAGCAAGACCGTACAGGCTGCGGGTCGCGCAGTAGGTGTAAGTGTTTCCGGCGGAGAAGATGCTGGTCACCAGCAGGGCGTTGGTGACGTGAGGCAGAACTTCGACCCCGAGATTCTTCATCGCGATGACGTATGGCGACGCCGCTGCAGTGCCACTGCCAGATTGAGTGCCTCCGACAATGGCGACAAGGGTAGGATCGTTGTACGGGATGACGATGCCGACGCAAAGAGAGCCTAGGATGAAGAAGATACCAAATCGCCAATACATGGTCTTGAAGGCCTCCTTGATGTAGATACGTGGTCGCTTGGCTTCGGCGGCCACCATGGCGAGATACTCAGGCCCCTAGAGAGGTAAATACATTAGTTTCATGGCCAGGGTTGCAGCTGGACTCGGGGTCAAAAATCAGACGAGTAGGGAGAACAATTCAACAAGCAGTCCATACTCACGACGACACAGAAAGATGCGCTCCACAAGCAGGCCAAGAAACCCTCGAAGCGTCCTAGGGAGCCGGTGGTATGGTGCTCAGCCATCGGCCCCGGGTTGTTCCAGTAGCGGAACCCATAGGCATCGTGGCGTGGATTGCCGCCCACCATGGTCACAAATGTGAACATAAACAACATGAAGATCAGCAGGACTTTGCCTCCAGAGAGCCAAAATTCCGCCTCCCCATAGGCCCTGACAGCTAGGATGTTCAGGAGGCTAGATCCATTTTTTAGTATGGGAATGCATAGGGTAGGGGCGTTTGATGGGTATTCCTCACGCGTAGAGCACAATACATCCAGCGCAAACGGCAGCAGTGGGGATGTCGTCTCTCCAGAATGACAATACCAGGTTCAGAGCCGTGATCTCGAACGGTATCAGCAGAGCTTCGTAGAAGAAAAAATTCCACCCGGCCATAAATCCAAAGGCATCGTCAACCCAGTGCCCCGCCATGCGGATGAAGCCCCCTGAGACCGGTTGTAGGATCGTCATTTCCGCCATGCAGTTGTTGACGAGGCCCAACATGCATGAGTAGATGGTATAGGCTAAGAACAGGCTGAGGGGACCGCCTTTGGCAAGGCCGCTACCGATGGAAACAAATAAAGCGGTACCGATTGAACCTCCAATGGCAATCAGTTGGATCTGCCTGTTGTTGAGACGGCGCTGGAGCTTGTCGGCATTGTCGGACACCTCACCAGGTTGGATGTCGACACGCGTGATATTCCCCCCACAAGGAGCCATTCCAGGGTCGACGGATCTGATAGCTTTATCACCCATCTTTGTTGCGTGCTGGTAGAATGGTGACGGGCGGCTTGGGGAAGAAACAGCCACACATTCTGAGTTCTCAGATGTGGAGGCCACCGCTCTGCCTATATAGCCAGCCTGTACTGTTCCTGACCCGCAGGCCCACGGCAAGTCCTCACCAGGTCGTCATCCCTAGGCGGGCAAGCTCCACATTCGCACAAAATCTTCTCAGGCGCCTGAGCATCCGAGGCTGTTTGAAGAAGCGCAATCGAGAAGCTACAAGGACCCGATCCGTGATATTCGGCGGAGAGACTGCGTGATGGATACAGCCGACTTCCACTAAGGCGCCAGAAACTTTCAGCGAGGCTTCGAAATATTGTCGTTGCTCGTGGCGAACTCTAATTAAGGTGGACGAGCGGAGTACCAGAATAGGGATGAAGTCCTGAAAACACCAATGAGCGCAAACAGATTGACGTTACACTCGTGAGACGAGTGGGACGATGGGACTCTCCGCTTGATCTGGTTTGGCCAAGTCCTGAAATCCGGGGTGTGAGGAAGGACAAGAAGGGCCGTGACTCTGGCCCCAGTCGCCGCCAAGTGGACAAGATGGACAAACAAGTGAAAGTTTTCCCACAATAGAGGTGTGACCCAGCCGAGAGCATCGGCACTGAGGAAGCTTGTCGATGTTAGACTTATGCTGACGCCCTAACACAGCCAAGTCCCTATTGAATCTGGGGTCACGCTTCTCGCGAACTTTGTCCTCTTTCATGCTAGAAAAACGTGGAGTCAGCTCGCCATGACAGCCGGACCCATTAGAGGCGCATAGGGTTTTGTGGGGAAAGGAGCAGAGCACGAGCTGGGGCTCAAGAGCTCGGCTAAGCTTTGGACAGTCATAACAATACGTAAAGTCATGCTATCCGAAATCAACCTGCTTGTAGCATTCTCGCCTAGCGGAATTCTAGGGAAAGGGTGCGCTGTTCCACGATGTGCTTCAGTAAGGTTGATTCGCGACGGTTAGGAGGAGTGGAATCATTGTGGAGTGAACAACGATTTTGGAAAATTTAGCACCCAGTGCGGGGTACGCCAGCGGCCCCTGTGCTTCGCAGTAGCGCGGCATACGTCTGACTAATTATGCTCATCTGTAGTCATCCATTCCTCGCCATTCCTCCTTGCAAGTGACACTTCAACTCGAAGTCGACTACTGACGGCAGAGTAATCTGCGAAATAGGCCGGGATGTTGGATTTTTCAATTCTAATATCAGTGTAGATATTAGCGATGTTCAACGCCATTTACATCCTGTAATCTCGGCTCCTAAATCTCTTCGAATCCCGGAAGACTTCTCCGTCCTCAACTCGCACTACCCGTATCGGGAGCATAAATCCAGCAATTGGCTTTTCGAGTCGAAAGGCAACTTGATTCGGGAGCTCAGGGCAACACATCGTGATGGACGATCCGGATTCACTCGCGAGGCCGACCTCATCCACCCTCGCTGCCAGTTACTAGAACTAGTAGTTCGGGTCGCATTGTACGGGGTGACGCAAGAGCACTTGTGACTGTAGCTGCGCAGCACGGCCGAGAAGCGTCTCAGTCTTATGATTCAATCATCGTTATCTCGTCATAGCGAGGGAATCTCGCGCTCGGCCGTCCTGCGTGGGCATTGCTCACACAATAACGAGCATCTGTAGCAGTCTGCATCGCATATGTGGTCGTATGTGTTGTTGACTCAGGGTACTGCGCATCCTTTCTGTTCTCCCACCTCGTGGCATTTTGCGATTCTGTCACTCTGGCTTTAATTTGGTGCTCTGTGCGCAAGAGTCAACCTCCAGTCTCCCACAAGAAATCGTCTGCTCGCTTGGCGAAACAGATAGCAAAACACCCTGCCATTGTTGTGCGAAGAAGGGGTAGGCATGTCGCTAATGTGGTCTCGTCGGTGGCGCGATGACCTGAAAAGCCGGCATTCGAAGTCTGTATCCTCCAGAATCGAAAATACGAACGCTGTCCTTGCCTGGGAGTGAAGATGTCTGTTATCGCCAGCAATCTCGTCGGAAGGGTTAGAGCGAGTAGTTCTAACATGGCAAGGATCAACTGAATGAGGTGTGATCGCTGGTGCCCAAGCATTCTATGAGCTGGTGCAAGAAGGTTGTTTACCGGTGGCCTTGCACTGTCAACCGAGTAATGTAGGCATAAATTTCTTCGACCGCGGTGCTGGTAGCAAATTAACCGTCTGAACACACTCAGCGAACTCAGACGTAGCAGTATCTGAGCTATGATGTGCCGGCTTGTGATATAGCTGAGATCTCTCCTCGTCTTGCTATACCTGGAACTCATCGCTACTATCGTCCAAACATTCGTCTTATCTCGCTTTGGGAACATTGCCAGTCCAGCAATTGAGAAGCCTGGGTCTCGAACTAGTCGAGGGAAGACGAGAGCCTTGCTTACTCGTCTGAGTTATCTCGGGGAGTGCTCTCGAGGTCGATCACACGAGTCTTGGCTTGTTTGGCCGGCGGTGGTCTAGCACTTCGGCGCGGGACATGTTTGTGAGCAGACGAGCTGGCGGTGGGAAATCGCTGTAGTGGAAGGTCTCGACACGTTCGCGGCTGGGTTGACACACTGCCCGAGGGTTGCGAAGCTGCTGTCAGTGGACAAGCTAAAGATGGCTTTGGTCTGATCTGCTGCGAATGTCTTGCTTCATCCAGGGTCGATATCGTCTGGGGCGGGACTGAGACTGTAGTCTCCTATGCTCAGTGTCGTTTCGTCTGGACCGCGTCTGCAGGAAATTGGGTTCGGTTCGGGTGACGGTGAGGAACCCCGGTCATCATCACCGTCAGAGCTCCGGTATTGTAGTTGAGGCATAATAACCTCTTTGGCTACTGCAGACGTCGGAGCACGAGCGTTGGAGAACGGCCTCGAACGCGATTAACCCCCGGATTGTCCTACAGCCTAATTTGGCGTAGCCTAGCGCTTCCAGGGTTGCCCCCACCGCTCTTAGGGGCCGCCAGCCTTGTGAGCCGATACACAAGATGCAGCACGCGGCGGCACACCGACACACCTTAGGCACGTATGTTCCTTGAATGTACCATGGAGGCTTTCTATTGGCTCCTGAGAGATGGTTCCATAGTCACCTATGGACCGACTGGCAAATACATTGCTCATCATGGACAGACCTACCTCCAGAGAAAAACCCAGAGCATTTACGTCATCTCGCCACCACCCACCTGCTCGACAATCACAAGGTGAAAAGCACAACTTCTCTTCCACTCTCCTCAGCTTCCTCCCTCATCTTCTCGTTACTCTTCCGCAAGCTGATTTTCATGACAATGCAGCAGCAAATACTCAGCACTGAGAACCCCAACATCAACAACATCGCCATGGTGTACCTCGGTGCATCAGATGCTGGGAAGAAGTAAGGGCTCCAGATATTGCCAAACTGGCTGAGCAGGTTTATCATGGCGGTCGCGCAAGCTCTTTTCTCGGGTGTTTGGTTGAGTGTCGATGCTGCCCAGGTGTACACCATTGCATTTGCAGAAAAGCAGCCGGAAGTATAGAGGAATGAGGCGAAGTACCGCGCCGGCACATTGAGGGTCGCGACAGAGATGATGAAGCCAACCATGGCGACTGCCATTGGCACTGAGATATGGAAGCCTCTCTCCTTGCGGTGGTCCGACGAATAGGCGACCAGGAACGAGACGGCGGCACCGACGAGATACGGAGGAGCCGTGAGCAGCAGTGTCTTGGTAGTAGATCCCAGATGAAAGCTGCCTTTGCGTTAGCGTTCAGGGAGTTCCGGGGGACAGGGGGGGACCAAATGTGCAAATTCAGGCGTCAGCCGGCACAAGTCTACAGGGGACTCACCCTTTGACAATGGACGGGTAGAAACTATTGAATCCTAGTAGGCGTAAATGAGTTACAATCACTATGCCAACTAGGAGGAAAGACTTACCATAAGCGGTATGATTGGCACACAGCATGAGGACCTGCAATCAAAGTCAGCCACTCATACACTCTGAATAGGCGTCATGCACATACAAAGACCCATGTTCGGTAGTCCTTCGCAGCGAGCCTCAATCCGTACCAGACCGACCTGTCAGCCTCTGGCTGGGAGACGCGATCGCGTGCAATGCGTTCGGCTGCAAATTTTCGCTCTTCTTCTGAGAACAACCATCTGCCGCTTCCAGTCTTCGACTCGGGATAGTCAGGCATAACGAAGATGGCGATCACGGCGGCGATGAAGCTTCCGGCGCCCTCCAAGATGACTTGGTCCGTTAGGTTAGTATGGCCGTTCGCATTCACCGCAAGATGGAGAAACTCACATAGCCATCTCCAACCAGGGAGGCCAGAAACTCCATCGAGTCCCGCAAACACCCCAGCGGCAATGAGACCAGAAAATGCTGTGGCCAGCACAAGTCCCGAGTAGAGGACCGCAGTACGGAGTGCAAGCTCTTTGCGAGTGTACCAACAGGACATGACATAAAAGGCCTGGAGCAGAGACATTAAAGCGCGTTCACCCAGTGAGCAAGGGGATTTGCAATGTGTACTTACCCCGGGAAAGAACGGAGCCTCAACGATGCCGAGAAAGAAACGGACAGCGATCAAGCCACCATAGCTATGAGTTGCTGCTGTGGACGCAGAAACACAAGACCACAATGCGGCACAAAGTGGAAGATACAAGTGTGGTCGGACGCGTGTGAGAATCATGTTGGAGGGCAGCTGGGCAAGCATGTAGCTATTCCAAGTTAGCAGATAGTCCGTCGCGCAATGGGGAGGCGCCTTACCCAACATTCAATATCGACACTGCCGTATTAAAGTTCTTGCCGACGAGGCCAAGATCCTCTTCGAAAGAATTGAGCCTTGCTTGACTGCGCACATGGTCAATTACTTTTCAATCCTGCGAAGAAGGAGAACATACGCAATATTGTTCCTGTCCAAATAATTGAATAGATATAAGACCCACACTGTTGGCATCAGAGTCATGTCCAGTTTCTTCACCACCTTCCTTTCTTGCGCACGCCATTGGGGCGTCAGTGTAACATCTTGCTCGAGATCGACGTGTTTCGCAATTTCGGCTTTTTCCTCGAGCGAGAATCTCTTCGGAGGCATTGAGGTCTCCTTTTCCGATGACATGATGGTCTTGGCTTGGTAGAAGGGTGCTTGAGGGCCTATAATGATCGCACGAGGATGTCCGCAGCAAGAATGGATGGGTGTGCTCAATCCGGGGCAACTTGCAAGTCTTATAGACGAGGCGACAACACGCCATGTGTAATCCAGAGCCAAAGTTGAAAGATCCGCCAAGCCGCTGTCCAGGCCGGACCGCTTGTTCAGATAAGGGGCATTTCTTAGCCGTCTGACTGAGAGACCCCGTGGGATTCAGTCCGTCACAATGGGGCATTGATGCGGGCAATGCGGAGCCCCAAACTACGGCCCTCGGAGGTTCCGATAGCCCCCACTAGATTTGGTTGTCGGCCAACAAACAGCGATTCGCATGTCTTGGCCACTCCGATCGGACCTGTCACGTGATAGAGCTTTCCGGTCCGGAGGTTGAGCGAAGTTACAAGGCAAAAAGCTGTTTACCTTTGTCGCCGGGTTCGGCATGGCACTGCAATGCCCGCAAAAGTCTCTGGAGGATAAAAGGGAGACCATTGGAGACATCCAACATTCTGCGTGAAAGCCGGACTGTTCCTGTTCGCCTACCTTGCTAAAGATAATTCCATCACCTCTCCCCGCAACCATCATGACTTACTCAAACGGTCACACGAATGGCCTTACCAATGGCTCCACAGTTTCGCAGCCTGTGACTAGCGCGAGCCGGTTCCGACAGCTTCTGGAAGGCCGTCGCGAAATCATTGTGGCGCCTGGCGTATACGATGGCTTCAGCGCCCGCATTGCTTTGGAAGTCGGATTTGACTGCCTGTACATGGTGAGTATGTGCTAATGCCACTTACCGGTCCCCCAGCTGACTTTAGTGGTGAGACGGGAGCAGGGACATGCGCTTCGAGACTGGGACAGCCAGATCTTGGACTGGCTACCCTCAACGACATGCGGGAGCATGCCGAAATGATCGCCAATCTTGACCCGGCTATTCCTCTCATCGCGGACGCCGACACAGGGTACGGCGGTCCCAATAACGTGGCACGAACAATCGAGCAATATCACCGATCTGGGGTCGCAGCTCTCCACATTGAAGACCAGATCCAGATAAAGCGCTGTGGTCACCTTGGGGGGAAGCAAGTTGTTAGCATCGATACCTTTACCCAACGCATTGCGGCTGCTTCACAAGCCAGAGAACGAATTGGGTCAGAGATCGTGATCATCGCCCGAACAGACGCTTTGCAAACTGACGGTTTTGAGGAAGCAATTCGCAGACTCAAAGCGGCAGTCGCAGCTGGCGCAGACGTTGCCTTTCTGGAAGGGGTGACTTCGAAGGAAGAGGCTAGGACAGTATGCCAAGAGCTGTCGCCGACCCCTGTTCTGCTCAATATGGTGGAACACGGCGCAACACCGTCATGGACTCCTCAGGAGGCCCAAGAGTTGGGATTCAGAATTGTGATCTTCCCTTTTGCTGCGATTGCCCCCGCGTACGAAGCCATCCGCAGCACCTTTGAGAGCATCAAGAAGACGGGTCGGACCGGTCTAGCTGCTGACTTCACTCCCAAGAAGCTATTCTCCATAGTGGGCCTAAAGCAGGCTACTGCGATAGATGCCGCGGCGGGAGGCCAATTGTATAGCAGAGTTTAGAAAGCTCACCCGCCCATAGAGAAGAGCAGTTGTGCGAGAGGGGTGGCGAAGTATGGTGCGCCCACACGGTATCTAGCCTCAGAGCTAGCCATTTATGCTAGGACCAACAGGCTCTTTCTGATGCGGTGCAAGCTTATATAGAAACACAAGCTGTTCGTGCTCTTCATTGACATATTTGTGACCTTGTTCGAGGCTAAGGAATCCAGAAACGGCCGTAGATCTTATATGCAGCTCGAAATCTGTCATCCCCGCGAGTTTGATAAACCTGCTGGCAACGGTATCAATGCCCAGGTAACACCGTCGGGTCCTGTGGGTGGAGATGACTTGATTGCGCAACAGTATAGATGTTCAGGTGAACCAATCGAATTCGAAATCATCGGAGTATATCCCGTTCAAGTCCGCGAGATCAAAAGCCAGGTCGAAGTTTTGAGTGCGCTGTGCCGCCAAGGGTGTACCTGCACCATTTAGCTGGGAATACCCCTTGGCAAAAGGGAGTGCATTACCGCTGCGGAGTTCTCCAGGCAATTCTCTTTCTGCTTCGATCCGAAATTGCTCCCGCCACCTCCACAATGAGTCGTAGACGATGCTCATGCTCATCCGACTTTGGACCTTGAGTTGAAGCCCATCTATGCCACTTCCGCCGGCGATTGACGGGTCTGGATGAGTCCATAGGTAAGCGAGGACATCGCTGAGCCTCCCCGGCAAGTCGTTGTTTGCCACAGACATCTTTCTCAATGCCGAGACAGAGAAGTTGATGAGCTTTTTGCCCAACCTTGCATCTACGATGGCATTGAAGTAATCATTCTTCAACACCTTGAGCACAATGAAAGATGCGCACAAGAAAGCCTCGTAGCAGAAGAAGGGGCAATGATACAAGAAATCCGACTTTTGGTTGTCAAGTGTCTGGATGTGCTCAAGCAGAGCACTGGCGGTGGAGTAAAGTACGACAATGCGTTCGGCGTAGCCGAAGGTCGATGCGTCGTCGAACAAATAGAATGCCTGCAAGTGCAGTTTTGCAATCTGGAGATAGACAGCAGTGGTACCTAGTATGCATCAGTCGGGTTGCCCTATGGTCGTACTCCCACACAAGCTGATCTGGCTTACCAGGTGTCCAGCTCCTACTGGACTCGAGGTCGACGATTTCGTGGTTCAAGATCGTGTACACCGGCAACCTTTCCCGAGCCTGCAGGAGCCCAGTGTGGTCCGACGGATTGGATGCGAGCCCCTGGGATATCCTATTGCACACGGAAGCACATCTCAGATGTGCACGTAAATTCTCGTCAAGCCATGGAGCCTCGAGCGAAGACGTGACGAGTGACCAGTCACGCACGTGTGCTGGTGTGGGAAGGCCAACGCCGCAGCTGACGCTACAGTACATTAGTATAGGCCACCAGAATTTGCCTGACTGGACATACCTCTGAGCGACAACATTGCTAGCTACCCAGGCCCTTCCCCGATCAGCCATAGCAGTAGAGTCAAGATTGACGCGAAACTTGGTAAAGTCTTCGGGACTGTTTGGTCGATGCAGGCCCATCGAGAGTCCAAGCTGTATACCCATCCCTGACAACATGTAGCTGGGATCGGTCGAACTGCTGCTTGTCGGAAACGGCCAAGTGCAGATCAGCACCAAGCTTTGAATAACAGCCAGAGAGTGTGGAAGCGCTTGTAGCGACTTCCAGAGTGTGTCTGTAAGCGTCCTAGCTAGTCTGGGTAGCAGGGTTGGATTTGCCTGATACCGACGTGACGCGACAGAGACGATCGACCAGAAGAGCAGGGCTGACTGATCGTAGTATCGGTCAGGAGAAACACTCGGGTCGAGAAACGGCAGGAAGACGTGGTAGTGGGAGAAATAGCTTCGGCTTGCGTCAGTCAGCAGATCAAGAAAAATCGCACAACATACATTTGGAATAAGTCGTTTATCTCGTCCTTCGTGAGCTCGATGTCGCGTATTTTTCGCGCAGAGCTAGCTTGCACGATTCGAGGAGGTGTTTCATCGGGGATCGTGCCGTTGGGAATTGTCGTTGTTCCGGGCAGGCTCGATTGATCGGGCGAATCCAGGGATACCCCGCTGGGCATAGTTGTGGTGAGCATCCTGTCCATCGGGTCGAAGCAATGCGTCGATCTTTCATTCATAGCATGTTCGGTCTGTGTGACACTGCTCTCGAGGTGAAAAGATGCTGTTGGATGTGTTGTGGAAGCGGATGTCAGGTCTGAGATAACAGTGCCTTCGTAGACCGACAGTTGACGTTTCAGTCTGGCGATTTCTTCTTCCATTTCGCCGGACTTCCTGCCAGTAGGCCACGGGTCAGCCGTGGTCACCTTAGAGCCTTGTGGGTTGCTGGGCTTACTTCCTCTTCCGCATCCTCTTGAACGTGTCGTCAACCTTGCATTCGAGTCCCAATCTTCGACAGCGCGAGCAAACATTTGTCAAGGGAGCTTCAAGCTTCGTCAGGTCGCATTTTAACTGCAGTAACGCGTCAACTAAGAGGTATATAGAGGCATGGGCTTGAGTGACGCGCTTTTTGCTGTCTGCAATTGTTGCACGCCTTCGGTTTCAGCCCATTCGGGCGGGTTTGATGTTCGACGCTGAGCCGCCGCTCTGAATTGTCGCTGGTCGTGGGTTGGGACTTGTGAGCTTCTGCGCCAGGCGACATCATCTTGCCCGTTGGACATCTCGACGGGTGCCAATCCTGAACCGTTCGAGAGGACCACGACGAGTCTGAACTTGGAGCATAACACGACAGTGAGATTGACTTGCAGCGAGCTTCATCGAGCCAATCGTGCGGGGGAGGGATTCGGTCAGGTGACTTGACCCTTGAAAGGCGGTACTGGGAAGGTTACCCGAGGCACCGCCGAGGCTTGACCTGACGGCGCCAGGGGGGTCACGAACCGGACCCTCTCCCCCTTTTGTAAGACACTTGTTGTTTATTGTACTCCGTACTGTCTAGGCATCTGTAACTGTATGCCCAGGTGTCTTCCCAGATCCTCTGAATTCATCGTGTCCTCCGAAATGTGTCACAAGGCATTGCACGCGTTATCAATGTGACGAGGCGCACGGAGGGAATGTTTCGCGCATGTGTGTACAAAGTCAAGGGTACTATGTATCTACTACCAGAGCACCTCCACTTCCACCGTATGCACATGGTTCCTTCGCCCTGCTAACGGCTGAAACAACCCTGATGTGTCCCTAGCTCTTGCGACCAACTTGTATTTTCCTGGCTCTGGTAACGACGGCTTCGCACGAAACAACTGCCATTCAAACTCTCTCCGCGGACGTAAATCTACGACAGGGCGTGGCAGCCAGGTCTCGCCGCCGTCAATACTGATGTCCACACCCTCGATTGCTTGGCATCCCCAAGCCCTACCTGATATCTCAATATGGGGCCCTTGCAGGATTGCTCCCGGCTCTGGCCTCACGATCATAGAGTTCGGCTCGACCATCCACACCGGCCGTACACTCTGTCCAGTTGGATCAGTAGGGTCTACCTCGTTGTAAAAGGTTGTGGTGAATGGTCCAGGGGCACGACGGTCCTGGACTGAGAGCCTGCAAAGCCACTTCGTACTATTGGTGCCGAAATACAAAGGCACAACCATCCTTACCGGTCCGCCTCGCTTTTTGCTTAAGCGCTCGCCGTTCATTTCGTATGCAATTAGCACCTCGGGACGCTGAGCCTTCTCCAGTGGGAGGTCTTTCTCGTAGCTGTCCGCTGAGACGCCAGCGAAGCTCCCCGCGTCAAGGCCTCGCGACCAAATGAATCTCGCCCGGGGTTTTGGTCTGGCTAACTTCAGCAAATCCGAGAGACGAACCCCAGTCCACTTCACATTTCCAATGCGCCATAGCGCATGGACTGGTCGCGTGATAGGACTGCCGTAGCATTCATGGAACGCCGTTATGGTTGTGCGAGGCATGCTTTTCAGTTGCTCGAAAGAGATTGTGAATGGCCGCTCTACCAGCCCATCCATGACCAGCCTCCACCTTTTCTCGTCCACGACTGCTGCGCCCATGTGGATGGTCTGGAATAGTTGAGTCTCATCTGTGAGCTCGGCTTCAAGCTCGTGAGGCTTTGGGGGATGCCGTATGAAAAAGCCAGCTGGATCTATAGCCTCGAGGGCGTTGAGCTCACTGCCATTGTGTTCGCTGCTTGCGGCTGTTCGGAAGTCGACGTACTGCGAGTATGTACTCTCTTCGTCCGGCTGCTCCGCTTGAGGAAATCGACAATCATGACTGGCTTCCATTGGTGCTCAGCTGCTTAGTCCTGGCCGATCCGCGAAAAGCTGCAGAGCATTGAGAACGCTTGGCGGTCCGGCGAGGTTGCTGTCAGCAAACATCAATCCGGTTTCGCCGTGACCGCAGCGGAGCCGTGGATCAATCACATTCGACCTCGGCTTGGGTGCGGAACATCATACCTCCGAGAACCCCTTGCATGTAAAGCAAAAGTTGAGATAAAAGGTATGATGGTCTGGGGGATCTGGAGTGAGGCTTGCTGGTAGAGACCACCTGCAACGAACCATGAGAAAGCCAAAGTTGACTTTGTATTTCGACCTGCACAGTCCCTACTCTTATTTGGCCTTCTATGTTATCAAGGTCAGCACGACGCAGGCTTTGATTCGTGCTGAATGCTTGAGCGAAATTGTGCGCAGCGACGGCTGATGCGTTTGCATATCACAGAACTCTGCCATATTCCGCGCCTGCGAAGTGACTTATACCCCCGTCCTCCTTGTAGCATATATCAATGCTGTGGGTCTAAAGCCCCCTTGGAGCAGTCCCAGTAGGTCTTCAACGGAACTTCAACCCTTTGTATGCTCACAGGGCTTTCAAACCGCTTCTAACATATTGCAGACAAGGTCAATTGGATCCAGACAGATGTCGGCCGATGGTGCCAAGACTGTGGTATACCTTGGAAGCAAGGCTGGCCCGCCAACTATCCATTCGAAGCGACCACAATGGAGGTAGCTTCTGGTCCATCCTATGCTTGGCTTTGATCCGGTTCTCTGACGCCACCAAAACAGGTGCAAAGAGCTCTGATTTCATGCTCGCTCGAGTGCCCAGAACGTTTTCCGGAGGTTGTAGCTGTGTTGTACCACGCGTTCTGGTACGAGAAAAAAGGGGTCCAACTCCCCGAGATCCACGGGCCTCTCATTGCTAAAGTTGTAGGGGCAGAGCTCGCTGCCAAGATCCGAGGGAGGGTAGGAATTCCATGAATGTCGCACCGCGCAAGGCTGATCATCACGGGACAGACCGCAACTGATGAAGTCAAATCTCTCTTGAGACAGCACACGGACAGCGCGCTTAGCGGTGGATCGCCAGGCTTACCTTGGATCAAGGCCACGGATTTGGAAGGACGGGAGCAGAGCTTCTGGGGATTCGATCATCTGGGCCAGGTTGCAAGATTCTTACGGCTTGGTAGATTGAATGAAGCCCATCTGTAGGTCTCCAGCAGCCGAAGGGCTAGCGGTGCAGTGCGGTGACTCTGTCGCTGGGGAGTCTTTCCTGATATAGGCGTATACATCGCGGATGACATATTGGTAGACTTTAATCACAGGTGACACCACGTCTTGATCGGGCGCCCTGTAGGCCCATCCAATATTTCTGACAGTACTCCGTACTCCGTACATTTCTCTGTTCTCCGCACTGTGTCAAAGGCGGAACGGAAAGTACGGTACACGATGTATGCTGCGCCGTAACCCCACACAAATTGATTGGCTGAAGCTACGACGCGCGGCATCGGCGGCTTGCGGCTCCGTTGCGTGTACTTCCTCCATTTCACCGATTTTCTTTGGTTGTCGGAGCCGAACCTTGCAACGTCCCATCTCTTCGTCGATCCTTGCCACAGCCTCGAAGGCGATTGTAATCATACGACTAGTGCCAGTCAGCTTCTTCGACAGCTGCACAGCACACTTGCAGAGTCAACCGTTATCCCAGGGAGAAGGTTGCAGCATTGACGTCAAAGTGAGGGTAAGCTGAACAGACGACTATGTCCCTTTCACCAGAGTCGCACTGCTTCTACGACTTCAAGGTCTGCAGTCGACTCCGCATCACAGACGACCCGGACTGAGTAGGTCAATTGCCGAGCGGTGCCTTGCACAGAGTCGCGAGAATCCGCCATGGGACTCGTCAATGCGCGGAAGCAGAACTCTTCTTGCGATCCTTGCCGGCGCTCAAAGCGAAGATGTGCGTTTCCACACAGTGAATCTGGACCATCGACTAGCTGCCTCAACTGTATCCATCTCGGACATGATTGCACATTTAATTTTGTGAACTCCCGACTGAATCAGAAGAGGAACAAGCTCAAGCCATCCTCCTATGCACACCAACAACCAATTGCACCTGCCATTTCACAAACACCAAGCCAAACAGTTGGCCCTCTGCTTCCGGCCTCGGAACCCGAAGTTGGGGACCCTCTTCCTAGCGCGATACAGGATGCACTTATCGGTGACCTTCCATATCCTGGATGCTTCGATGTCGATATGTTCATGGGCAACATTGTGTCCGAATGGACAAACCTCGACCGACGTTCTTTTCTCACGAGCGAAACACCCACCAGAAGCCAGCATCCGAGGAGCACCTCATCGATCGAAGACTCCACCGCCCCTTTCTCACCGCATTCTGGACCCACGCAGAAGAACTCAACGCTTGGGTTATGGCGGGGCAGCCCGATTCATCTTCTCAATTCTTCAGTCGAAAGGCAGCGAATAAACCAGAGCCTGGGCGAAGTTTACACCTCCATGATGTCCGGCATTGCCATCAGGTATCTTGACTACCATTGCAACCTGTTTGCCGGCCCATACAAATATTCCTTCGAGCCCGATCAATCCGGGATAACGTCCTCAAATAAGGACGATGCCCACCCTGTTACTCTGGCCTTCACGTCACCTTGGAGGAAAACGGGGCCAGGTGTTGCTCATGGCGCCAACATACATGCTATAACCCCGGAGTCTCTGGCGAGTCAGATCAACAACGTGACGATGATCGGTGTTGCCCGGTTCCTGGACAACTTTGGCCCCTTATACGGCAATGTCATCGACCAGAAGGCACGCAGTCAGAATGAGCGCACCTTGACCGCCGTTCTGCAAGCCTTCGCACTCCAATACCTGCCGTCCCGGCAGGCTGAGGGACCACTAGCCCCCTTCTACGATAGCCTTGACTCAAATAGCCTATCCACTGAGTCGCAATCTGGCCCGGGCGACCGTGGCACAAATAGCCTACATATCTTCACATCGGCGTGGTACAACGCTCATTCACAGCTCTTCAGTTCGATCGAAAACCGTTCCTTTGTCAGGCTGTATTCGGTCTTTCTTTTTCTAATGACGAGTGTTCCCGAGGAAGCGACTTCGACCCAAACATACGAAAAGAGTCCGCTTAAACTCCTGGACGATGCTCTGCGCCAGATGGAAGAACTCCAGAAGCTGGTAGAGGACTACTGCGAGCATCTCGGGCGGCAGTCCATATATCGCTTCCTCCTCCAATCTTCAGTCGGCATCATTCGCTGGTACGCCTATCTGCGTGACACCATAGACTCCGTGCTGCATGAACGGCCCTGTATGTTAGAGGATGCGCCTTTAAGATCGAAAGGTATGAAGCCCGGAAAGGATTACTTTTGTCCGTACGTCGATAACAGTGCCTCCAGGCTCCCTACTTGGCGGGCATGTGCCTCCGCAATGGCAAGAACCGGCGCTTTTTGACCAGGAAGTACCTCGGAATTGCCAGAATGCTGCAGGGGACCTCTTTCGAATCTTCAGGGGGGTTATTCACCTGCGGCAGATGCTGCTAACAGGCCGTGGGACGTTCGACATGCACGCAACAAGAAATGCAGTGTCAGTAGCTTTGGGCACGACCGATGAGTTTACCATGACATATGGTCCTTGGCTCGATCAATGCGTCATCTCCTTCTATCTTCTTTCTGAGAAATCGAAGCTGGCTTCAGGTGAGTTGATCGTGCCGCAGCCGACCAACTGAGCGGCTGACGTTGTGTCTTCCAGCATTCATGCTTTTATTCTGGAAGCTGTCCAAGCTACTGCTTGTCGAGCAACTCCACCAAGCAGCCGACATGCTGCCGGCTATCGAAAGCCGTCCGATGCTCGAAAAAGCGCAGTCATATCAACAAGCTGCCGTCACTTCGCTCCTCACAATTGCACAGCGGATTGTCGACGTATCTGCAATGGGCGAATTCAGACTTATCAACAGCGTGCAGGCAAAAATGCACTTCATCTCCCATCATGCAAACACGCTCTTGGTGGTCCTGGCCCTCTCAAAGGCGATTGAACACACCATTGACTTGCACGTTTCGGCAGCAGAGCAGAACGACTTGGGCCCGGCTATTTTCCCGAGTGCCGCCGAGAATTCAGACTGGATTGCAAGTATGAAGCCGTTGCTGACGTGCCTGTTGACCCTCGATTCGACCGTTTCTGGGACCATTACAGCGAGATCGGCATTACGGAAGCTGATGCAGCGATACGGCGACCTACTCATGGACTGCTGGTCGCATGAAGAAGTTGATGACCTTCCGTTAGCAGGTTGCCGACTCGCTGCGACTTGCAACATTGACCCGTGACCCAAAGTTCGGCGGTATGAGCGTCATGGAGCAGTTCTCTCCTCTGAGCTGGGAGGCGCCACGTCTCTCATCCATAAGGGAAGTGGTGTGCGACCGCCAGCTCCTCCCATACCCGGTCTTGCTGTAGCTCCACGCCAGTGCGGCTCCCCGGATCCGACGTGTGGAGACCGAGCCAACGGACGCCGCGGCCTTCCTCTCCACCCCCAACCGATGGTGGTCCATTCATGTAGCAGCCGCGAGTTCAGAAACAAATACAGCTGCTGCTGCTGCTATGGCTCAGGGCATGCAATAAAGGCTGGTCATCCCAGCTACCCCCAGCGTCACTCACCTTTCTTCCCGCTGGTTCTGTACAGAGACCAGAGCGCACTTCCTAGAGGCATTCACGGATCGTCCGAATTTAAACGACGTTGACTCCAATTCTTCAACATGCCATACAACTCTCGATGGCAGCTAGCAACGCCAGCGTTATCGGTTCCATCTTTCATGTTCGGGTCCGCGAGTTCTAACATCGATTCAGTCGATAAGATCATTATAGACGCCAAGCGGGCCAATACACATTATCTCACTACCCACTCCTACCGCGAATGGTCGAAGAGGTTTGCGGCAGGTCTAATGTCGGCTGGCCTCGAGGATGGCGACCGCATACTTCTGTGCTCCTCCAACAACATATTCTACCCGATTGTTGTGATGGGAAGCTTGATGGCAGGGGCAATCTTCAACAGCGCGAATCCAGCCTACACTGCACGAGAACTGTCGCATCAACTCAAAGACTCGGACCCACGATTTGTTCTCGCGGCGGAGAGCTGCATCGACAGGGCATTGGACGCGGCCGAGCTTGTCGGATTCGACAGAAGAAGGATCTTTCATTTCAGCGAACTACCGATGGACGATGAAAAGGATGTCTCGGAGCCAACCTGGAAAAGCCAAACTCGGCACTGGAGCAGTCTTGTGGCAAAACCCGAGGTCGGTCGAAGTTTCGTCTGGCAGGAGCGCAACAGCAAAGACTTCTCTGAGCGTACGGCGATCTTAATTTATTCTTCTGGCACGACTGGCCTACCCAAGGGTGTCGAGCTATCCCATCGCAGTATCATCTCAAACATGCTTCAACTCAAGACGATTCATATGTCTGACCCAAGTGTTGTTGTACGGCGGACGCTTTGTGCAGTTCCGATGTACCATGCGCTCGGGTTGTGTTATTATACCTTCACCGCACCCAAATGGGGCCTGGAGACATACCTGATGGAACGATTCAACTTGGCAGATACGCTGGATCATATACAGAGATTCAAGATTACGGAACTCGTCCTCGTTCCCCCAATGTTGGTCGCTATGGCTAAGCATCCTTCAGTCAGGGATGGCACATGCAACATCAGTAGCATCAGGAAAGTGGTGGCAGGCGCAGCACCGATCGGCATGGAAGTCACTCAACAATTTGAAGAGCTGTGGAACGGTCGACTCAGAGTACGACAGGCTTGGGGAATGTCGGAGTAAAGCACCAGTCCATCCTACGTGAAATTACAAACATGCTGACAGTCCTCCAGGGCGCCTGCAATTACTTTGTGCTGGGACGAAAGCCAAAGCTCCGGCCCCTCGTCAATATCAATTGGAGAGCTTGTTCCCGGCGCCGAAGCGAAACTGGTCAAAGAAGACGGAGAGGAAGAGACCCGGGCGGGCGAAACAGGGGAGTTCTGGATCCGCTCGCCAAATGTCATGACAGCCTACTGGCGTAACGCTAAAGCTACCGCAGAGGCAATCAGCAGTGACGGCTGGTTGAAGACCGGTGACATTGCATATCGGGACGAGTCAGGGAAATGGTACATGGTTGATCGAAAGAAGGTGAGCTGCGAATGCACCCATTGTCGGCAAAGGCTGGCCCCGTTCGACGAGCTAACCTAGCCAGGAATTGATCAAAGTCAAGGGCGTCGCTGTCGCGCCTGCAGAGCTCGAGGCTCTTCTCCTCGAGCATAGTGAGATTGTGGATGTTGCGGTTATTGGGATCAAGACGTATGCTTGCTCTCCGAGCGGGCTTGACTTCGGCTGTACTGACATCACGGTTAGGGCTACAGACGATGAGCAGCCACGCGCGTACGTTGTGCGAAAACCAAACTCACAGATCTGTGAAAAGGATGTCGTCGATTTTGTCAGATCCCGTGTGTCAACTATCAAGCATCTCACGGGCGGTGTGGCCTTCCTTGATGCAATCCCTAAGAACCCTGTGAGTCCAGATCCAGCTTTTGTGCTACACAAGCCAATATCACTGACTCTGAAAACCAGTCTGGGAAGATTCTGAGGAGACAACTAAGGGAGCTTGCCACCAAGGAAACCGGCTCTAAGCTGTAGTCACGATCGGCGGAGAATGCATCAACCCGCAAAGCCCTTGTGAAGAGTCATTCCATCACCGGAACTCGTTGAAGGGACAAGGATCCTCTAGTGGAGCGATAGGTACAAGGTCCAAGACTGCTGCGAGTCTCTGGGATTACCTCTCTCGTGGTGGGAGCACTGACCCTTATCGGGGTATCGTACCGCATTGTCCCAGCATACAGTGGACATCGGAAGAACGCAAGAAACAGCATTATACGCTCGAATCCTCGAGAATTGTCTCTGTCTAGTCCTTGCATCACCGTGGGTCCAGATCTCTGCGTTATCTCCTCCATACCGTCACAGCTTGGAAGTCTTGGTCAGACCCAGCTCCCTCTTTGCCCGGTCTCTCAATTCCCTTCGAAGAAACTTTCCAATTGCATTCTTCGGCAATTCATTCACGAAGACCACGCCTCCCCTCAGTTGCTTGTATGGAGCTAGGCGTTCTTTCACAAAGTCCTTGATCTCCTGTTCGGACACCTGTGCGGGATCCGCGACAACGTATGCCCGCGGAAGGTCAGTGCCAGGGTCGTCTGGCAGATTCACGCCCACAACCGCTGCTTCCTGGATTTTAGGATGCGTGAACAGCAGGTTCTCGATCTCGGCAGGGGCGATTTGCAGACCCTTGTACTTGAGGAGTTCCTGAGATGACCTCGTCAGTTCTGAGTCTCCCACAGAGCAGGGCATACCGACCTTCTTCCTGTCCACGATGTAAAACTTGCCATTCCGCAGAACCCCAATATCCCCCGTGCAGAACCAACCGTCATGAAAAGCTTCCTTCGTCGCCTGCGGGTTGTTGAAATAGCCTTGCGTGACGAGTGGACTCCGGACCAGCAGTTCGCCTTCCTGACCCGGCTCTACGTCATTGAAGTTGTCGTCGACCATTCTGTAGGAGCAATGAGCAAGAAGAGGAAACTATGCAGGGTGTGGACAGCCTCACCTGATCTCGACATTTGGCAGAATGGGCGATATGCTTCCGGTCGTGTCACTCTCTCCCCGCGGCATCATAGTCACCGCTCCGGTAGTCTCACTCAAGCCCCAGGTCTGACCTATGAACGTCTCCCCTTGGCCGAGTTTGGAATTCGCGGCCTTTTGAAGGTCTTCATCCATGGGAGCGGCTCCTGTTGAAGCTGCATCGATCGACTTGAAATGATCCTTGACCTCGGGGGACTTCGATATGCGCAAGTATATGGAGGGGACGGTGTAGAAGGCCGTGATCTCATATTCCTTCACAAATCGCAACATCTGGGACCACTCGTACTTGCGCATCCACACCACCAACCCGCCAGCGTAGAACGGTGCAACGAGATATCCGAACAGTCCGGCGATGTGGCTGATGGGAAGGTGCGCGAGGGTTCGGTATGGCTTAAGTTCTTTTCCGGCCTCGATCTGCTTTGCCGCCCATTCTCTTCCGGGGAGCGATACGAGATACAGCTCTTGCACCAAATTCTCATGGGACAGCATCACCCCCTTCGGGAGACCAGTTGTGCCGGACGACCACAAAATCACGATGAGGCTCTTTGTCAACGTTGCCGGGTCCGTGATGCGGGGCCACTTGAGTTTCTCGTTTGAGATAACATTGACTTTGCCATCCAGACTTTTCAGACTCCACGACGGACCGGACTCGAGCACCAACACCCGGTCTAGAGGCAGGTTGCATTGCTTCGCAGCCTGCGTCGCGACATCCTTGTGCTCGGAGCCACATACGATCAAGCGACTAGTTCCCACGGTGATCTGGCGGGACAAATCTGCGACCGTCGACGAAGGACTCGCGGCCGAGTACACTCCACCGGCGGCGATGGTGCCATAGAACGCAGCGGGGACCATGGGCTGACCGTAGCTAATCACAGTGACCACATCCTTGTTCGGGCCATTGGCACCAACACCATAGTGCTGCCGCAGGCCATGCGCGATCCGTTGGGTGAGATCTCGCAGGTCACTCTTGGTTATCTTGTTGGACGGGTTCGTCGCCTCGAGATGCAAGACCGTGTCATCTTGCGCCGCGCTATGCTCCGACTCTACACCATCGTCTCTATTCAGCACGTGGCCCTTCAGTTCATGGCCGCTACGGGCTCATGACTTACCGAATAACAGAGTCAGCAAATCTAGTTTGGGAACGTCAACAACAGGTCTGGTGGGGTTGCGATATATCCGAGCCATGATTTCTAGGGTAGCTCCAGTAATATGACTATCAGACCGGGAAGACATAGACGGTACAAGAGGATGTCTACATTCTCTCCTTATGGGCCACTGGCCGTCTCTGGAGCCTTCCCACAGAGGGTGGGGTTGATTGGGGAAAGAAAGGCCGAGGTCTGGGGAACAACCACCTCGTACCCAGTAAATAGCCGTACCCGACCGAGGCGTGCGAAGCCTCCCATTGCTTACCGAGCTAGCGAGTTAGAGCCTTGTTGCCGCTAGATACGGTTTAGCTCAGCCTTACTGCTGGCCCACATGACGTCAGAAAGTGTCGCGTGTTTCTCTCGTCACTGTCATGTTGACCTCTTCCTCTATTCAGATATTCACCAACCCGGCGATACCTCGTGCCGCTCAGTGGCTCAAGCTCGGTCCAGAGGTGCTGTCCAATACATCATGGGCCGTCGCGATGACCAGATCTCGCGATCGATAGTGTTTGCTGTGCAGCGAGATGACCAGGCACAGGACAACCGGCTTCGATTCTGGAAGCCAATCAGGACGTTCTTCGCGCTTTACGGCCTGTTCCTGATAAAGATACGGCCCGAGCTCTTCAGGAACCTGCGGGAGAAGACGTGGAATTTGTCCGATAAAGGGTACAAGGCTAGCTTCAAGGACAAGAATTCATTGGTATCGCAGGGGGACATGGGATATTCAGGTTCGGTATGCACAGTCACATCCACCCTGTCACCAGACGTTGCGCTCATACCAGCACAGACATTCTACACCACAAAGGACAACAGATACCTCATCAAGTCTGTTCCTCGTCGCTTCGAACACTCCTTCTTCCGCGACGACTTACTGCAACCGTACGTCTCGCACATGGAATCGCGACCCAAATCGCTTCTCGTCCGTATCACCGACTTCCTTGGCTGGCGGTACCCTAGCCTGGGTGGACTCTTCGGCCTTTCACCAACCTACCATCTCGTGATGGAGAATCTACTCCATGGGCAGAAGGAGAATTCCGACTGGCAGACATTTGATCTGAAGCCCATGTCGTACTTCTTCCCTGAGCGTGACATTGCGGGTGGGAAGCTCGCATCCGAGGCGACAAAGTCCAAGCTTGCAGACAAGTTCAATGAAAAATTACTTCTCAGCCGCGAAGACGCCGACGAATTCCTCAAGACGCTCGAACAAGATACGGAGCTCCTTGCGCAGCACAATGCCGTCGACTACAGCCTGATGCTGGTGCGGATACCGAAGTCGTCCAGCCCCGCTGATGAGAGCCAGAATCCCTTTAGAGACCCTCCGAACTGGAGAACCGGCGTTCCCAGCCAGGACGACAAGTGGCTTTACCGCGCCGTCATTCTCGACTTTTTCTGGGCCAAGCATAAAACCCAGGCCAAGACCATGACAATGCTAGTCAACGCATGGAGGATGCTTGATGACAAAGGGCCGATGAGTATCACGACGACGGCGCCAGAGTACCGGAGCCGGTTCTTGGACATGTGCAAGGAGATTGTCAAGGTTGAGGAATGATGACTTGGGGAAATTCGGGTTAGTTGGCACGAGTATTTCACTTCAGTCTGTTTGGCAAGTTTTCAAGCAAGCGAGCACACAAGCGAGTGAGGGAATGAGCAAGGCGTCATCGGATCATGAATTACAAGCAAACAGGTGTATACACAGGCAACGCGACCGAGATTTTGCTGGAAAGAATTTTCTACTCTTGCATACGTAGCACAAGCGAGTCGCGGTTCGCGGATTAGGACTCTGAATATTTTCTCAACCACTCCTCAAGCACCGGGGATGGAAAGGCCGAAGTCTTTAACAATACGGAGCTGTCCCTTGCCTACTGGCAGTCAGCTAGGAAGGCTCAGTCCGTATGATCGACATGCACAAGAAAGGTCCCACGCTACCGGCCTGCATACGTACCCTTGTTGTGTTTGAATTTATACAAGTTATATTAGCACACTTCCTCTCGCAATCGACCATAGGATGTGGAGACAAGGCTGCCCGTCCGTTCAGCCGCACTTGAGTCACGCTGTTTACTGGGGTAGATTCGCTATATTCGGGCCGCCTAATTATTTCGGAGCTTGCTTACCTATTACTATAGTGTACCTATGAAGTCGTCTATCGAAATATGCTATGTGGTTCGTCGCCGCTTCACACAGCCAATACAACCATGACATGTTTCTCGTGTGGATGCTGATAAATTGGTTAGCAAGTCCTCGAATTCAAGCCGCACGTCTCGGCCAGGTTGCGCCCGGTTGTGTTGACGTAGGTCAACGCGCTGGTAATGAGGCATTCCAGGGCGATATCGAATGTTTCACCATGCCCGATCCGTGGTGGAATGAGTTCAAGCCACTCTCCCAGCACATAAGGCTGGGGTGCACCAGGAAGCATGATCTCGCCCAGATTTCTCCAGCGGAGGACGAGGCTTGCTGACCTGCCACAGAACTGGGCTTCCCGGACGAGAGTGCGAGATTGACCCTGTCCGAGCACGCTTGAGTCTATGCATCCAGGCCGTGCGATGGATTCGTGGAACGTGCTTGTGTAGGCAGCTGGTCTGAGCGTGAGAGTAGTAGTATCATGTGCCGGGGGTCGACTATTACCTCCGCCAGATGTCGACGACCGAGACAGGTCGTTCGTGCTGGATGAGGCGCTACTGTCCTGTCTGTCCGAGTCCATTCGGTACACCTGGTAGGAGCGGTCGAATCGGCCATTCCCCGAGGTATAGGAGCATGGACGACCGCCTTTTCTGCACGCACCGCAGGCCGGCTGTTTCTCATCGCACTGTCACAGGCGTGAGCGTGAGCATGAGCATGAGCATGAGCATGAGCATTCGAGCATGAGCATGAGCATGAGCATTCGAGCACTTGTGTAGAACGGCGAAGAAACGGTGACTCGACTTACAGAAACCTTCCGCCTCCTGCAGACGTCGCACTTGCCTGGTCGAGTCATGATCCTGGATTTAACGGCGGTCCACTACTTGGGTCAGTACAGTACAGTATGTACTTATCGTAGCCACTCCAGAACAGCGATCGATGCTGTCGCGCCGAATGGAACACATGGACGACTGTGCGTCTGTGGACATGGTGTTTAGGAAGGAAGAACCTGAACATCGTCAGCGTCGAGTCACTGTCCTCATCAGCGCGCTCTTCCTCATCAACCAGTCGTCCTCATCACCTACTTACTGTGTACTAGTTCTAAAGTGCGTAAAGTCCCTGGGGCCCTCTCGCACTCTAGCGGTACTAAGGCCTCCCACGCTAATGCGATGTTAACATGTTAATCCTAGGGAAGATCATCCGCTTCAGCGTAAACTATAAGGTACAGTCCATGTTAAGCTTAATGCTCTGTTGTATATTTAAAAATCCGCAGTATACTCAGTACATTAATTAGCATAAATTATGGAAGCCGCCCAGTCTCCTCTCTGAGCTATCATTGACCTGCACCGAGCAATTTAGACTTGCATGGAGGTCCAGAGTATAACATGCAATATGCAACATGCAACATGTGGATATGACTGCCCAGGTGTTAACTTCTACTCGCTATTTGCTCCCTCGGCTTGAATATTGATCCCGCAAGAAATCTTCGACCTGCGCCTTTTCCTTTGGTGACATGTCTCGCGGGATACTCTCGCCGCCACCGCCGCCGCTGACCTGTCTGACGTCTCCATTCTGCTCGTCACTTGTATTCATATTCGCCGAGGCTTTCCTATCCGGTTGCGCCAGCACGACAGGACTTTCATGCCGAGTCCTGTCGGCCACGAGGGACGTGGCCTCCGTCTTTCCTCGGGGAGAGTCTGCCTCCCGATCAACTTGCACCTGCACCTGATGCTGCTCAGAGCTTGTTACGTGGGGAGACTTGGCCGGCTGCTGGCCTTCTTCGGGACCAACAATTGTGCTTTGGCGATGGAATGAATACGTTTGAGAAAGGTCATGCTGAGGCTGAGGCTGCGGCTGCTCCTCGTATTGGGCAGCACCGCTAGACACTGCGGGAGTCACGCCATTGACTACCGCATCTCCGGTTCGTCCGGTCCTGGCAGTGCCGTTGACTATCGCATCTCGATTCGGTCCGTTCCTTGTAATGCTATCGGTATGCGAATCTTCTGGCAAGAGATCTCCATGGTAAGGTTTCTTGAACAGGCCTTCATCCCACTCTCTGCGTCGAAATCTCCAGGCACCAACGGTATCTTGGGGATTGAAGGTCAATCCGACTTTAGTTGCCAGCATTGCTGCAACTTCATCGGGTTTGGATTCACTTTCATAGAACCGCCGCTTCCATTGCTTACCATCGGCATCGGTCTTTCGCATTTCACGCTGCCCGTCCTCGACCTTGGCCTTCGCATCCGCGGCATCCTGCATATCTCCGCGCTCGAGGGCTTCCCGGACGCTCTGCCAGGCGCGGCGGGACTCCCACGGATCTTGTACGGCAAGAGGTTCGGTCTGGAGTGGTGTGGTTTTCGCAGTCATGACGTTGAACGTTTCCATGTCAACGTCGTTCTGGCAGTCGTGGATTATGAATTCTCCATCCCAGTGGCCTGAGACGGTGTATAAGGGCGTGTTCTCCTCACCATCCCGATACACCTTGGCTTCAAAGCTGTGTTTCTTGTCCGAGCTGGAGAAGAGGCCCTTGCCGCTAAAGTCGACCACCGAGGTGTAGCCATTCGTACTGGGTATGTAATGCGTCCCCTGCAACTCAGGGTACGGTGATCCTGTCAAGACGCCTTTGATCTTGATGTTGGGGAGTGGAATGAGGTACGTTTCGTCATGCCGGGCGAGATAAAGCGTTGCGTGCCCGATTTGTTGTATGTTGATGCTGCCACTGAATGTGATCTCTTGGCGGGTATATCCTTCAGCCTGTCGCCGGTAAGTGCTCTGGACGAGGTCGTCATCAGGAGTAGAAGAACCGGCTTACCGCGACACCATGCTCCTCGTTCCAGACACGACATGCAGTGACAGGAGGATGATGACTGCGAGTGTGGGAGTCAGAATTCCACGATCGTCGAGCTTCAGATGGTCAGGCTGAGTAAAGTATCTACCTGACTTGCTCGCTAACCAGCCTGGTCAGCCCGGCATCGTCCTCCCAGCTTGCCAAGAAGACCTCTCCGAGGAAAGCGTTGATCGGTTTCTTGATACCTTGCGCCTCGGATCTGCCTGCGTACTGCTGGCTTCTCAGGCTGGAAAGGAACCACTTCAACACCAGCAATGCCCGCGTTGCAGGGTCCTCGGTCGAAGCTGGCGCGACGAAGACCGATGGTCTTTCAGCCCAGAACGCGGGCAATTCCACAGCAGACTTTGTGTCCAGAACAAAGGGCGGGGCCGTTATGTTGGAGAGGTCTCCGCGAATGGTCGAAATGGACTGTGAAAACATCAGTGGATACCTCCACGTGGGCGGCGGGCAGGAGGAGAAGGTCTGGACTGGATGGGAGACGACGCTGGGCGTCTTGACGGCCAAGTTCTGGGCAAGCATAAGTACATACAGCGATAAACTCCTTCAACTTCGACCGGTTATCCGCCAAGGTCGAGTCCGACATGCTCGCCTATCTGGGCCGGGGATCGTGGTGTAGGGATGTCCGAAGACGTGCAGAATGAGGTAGTCACCAATCCACAGGTCAAAGATGCAATACCGTCCGATCTAGGGTTCTGAGGCAGGCACATATACAGTGGCTGACGTGCTCGATTTTGGCCACCCCATGGTTTCACCTTGCTGAAGGCCTATCAAAGCCGTTTATGCCGTGGAAACTTCCATCGCTGGCGTGGCTGGACAATATCATGACGTCGTGATTCGAGGCGTGCGGTCGCTGCATTTACCGGCCGCTGCTGACCGGATGTCGTACTGCTTCCACCGAACCAACTCGATGTATCGGCTTTGAGATTCATGGTGCAGACCGAGAGATCAATACTCGAGCCGCACCGGGGCGTGGAAAGATCGAGGGAGGCCAGGCTGAATGTGCGTCTCTTAAGAAACGAGGGGCAGGAATCACCAGAATGAGTGCCCGTATGACGCCATCGGACTGGCAATCATGGTGCTCACATGGATCAGGTTCTGGGTCGCACATTTACAAAGCACATGCGAATTTGATGTGAGCCTCTATCGCAAATGTACAGACGAAGCACGTACGGACACATGGCAGCGGCTTGTTTCTTCCGCAGAAGGCAAGATAGTGGTGGCGTCCGAGTCTGGCAACCAGTCTTGAAGCATGATGAACTAAAAATGTGTGCCGGGTAGGTACACCTTCATTGCTACAGAACTGAGTATCTGTACCCTTGGATGCTCAGTGCAACCTGCGGGCTACTTGTAATGCGGCATCGCGTCTGTCAACCCTTTCCCCTGTCTCCTTCCTCCTGGCCGTGATCAACACTTGCGTGAACAGGCTGGTCTCCTTCATCTAAGGCCAAGTCGGCCCAGCTCTCAAGCAACTGACTGAGCTGGACATCCGGATCCTCCTTCACCATGACGTGGTTCGGATACTGCGAGCTGAACGAAAGATGGTCTCGTTTTTCCCAAGCAAGATCTTTCACTATGATACCTAGCTGTTCGACCACTGCTTTACTGACACCCCCTGCAGGAACTTCTCCGTCCTTGTTAGCAGCAAGTTGGTCTTCGGCAGTCTTCAGTAACATGTGGGTGACGCCTTTGACCAGATTGCGCTGCCTGGAGCACCTCACGAGGATATGGATGATCTGTAGCAGCATACCCTCCTCGCTGACCGAGGTGAGATTGCCGGACAAGAGGAAACTAGCCGCAAGGATGGCTGTCTGTGCAGTCAGGAGGGTGTTGAAGATGGGGCCGAAGGCGGCGTCCGCAGTCGCAAGGATCCGGGTCGTCATCGACACGATTTCCAGACACGTCTCCTTGGCTTCGCGGATTATCTTGTCGGTTTCGTGGCGTTTGGGGGTCCCAGCTCGATCATTGGTATCGTCGTTGCCTTTGGGGGCTGCTTTAACTGATGGGATCATCCAGTTCCACATCATCAAGCGGAAATGATATAGGCTCGACCTGTCCGCACGTCAGTCAATCGGTGCTGGCATGATATTACAGAAGAGGTGCCGTACGCCAGATCAATGGTCGTCGGCACAACAAGGAAATCTGGTTGTTCGAATTGGAAGTGAGGAGGTAGCGCCCCGTACCACTCCATGAATCGGGCATCGATCGTGCGAGCTGCATCCAGCTTTTCGGCGGCATTCATGGTAGCGTAACCCGCGAAAGCCAGAGCCTGGGCGTCCGGCACTATCAGGTACAGCTCGCATACGTGATGATAAAGAGCATGAAGCGGCAACTGAACTGTCTCTCGCTGCAAGGGATATGGTGTCCAATCCGTGAGGCGGTGTTGCCAGCTTTCCACAGCATATGGGGCGTCGACAGATGGCTTGGAGTTTGAGGGCGGTATGAGAAACCCGGTCCCAAACGACCTGGCATGGTTAGCGCATGTGGTCGCGTCAGTGGCTACCGATTGACACTCACGTCCAATAGATGTGTGCTGCCCATTGCACAATAACCAGGGACCTGCGCAAGTCCTCGGATATCGTCTGATCCTGCAGTGACTTTTGATGCCGACGAAGCAGCTGAGGGATCATGATCTCGAGCTGTTTCAGCGACATGGTACTCACTCTGTCTTTTCCGCTGAACGCCGCTCTGTCCCACGCGTTTAGCAGCGTTGATACATCCACGGCCAGCCAACAACCTACATCATAGTCATGAGGGTGAAGCCCTGGATATTCGTCAGTGACGGTTTTCCCTCCTCAAGCATCCAAAGCCGGTAAGCCTCGTTGTAGAACTGGAGGCCTCGAGAACTCAGGTCCCCAGGTGTAGCAAAGACAGCTGGATGGTCCGAGAACATCTAGGAACTGCTTAGCACCCCATCATGACAGCTGGGAAAATGGCGACGACTGACGCAACCCATTCCTAGAACCGCGTTGACCAAAAAAGGGGAACAATAGATCGAGCCGAGGTCGCCAGCTGCCATTGCACCAAGAAAGAGCCGCTCGTCAAAGTTGTGGTAGTACCAATGATACCAAGACAGGTACGCCGACAGCAGATGGGAGACAAAGAAGTCATCCTCGGTAACCGTGGTCCAAGGAGCTGCTGTAACCTTATATGTTGGGTTATCGGTGAGTTCGGTCAGAGTCAACATGCGGCGTTGTTGGCTGCCCAGAGGTGGGCTTGGAGAAAGCGTGGCTCGAGCCTCGTCTGCAAGTTTGCCTGGATGACGGTCGAGGAACCGAACGATCTCTTCCAGAGAAGCATCTCCTTTGATGAGCTCGAGCAGTTGTGCTGCCTCGGAGCTTGATGAGCTCTTCAGGCTGCTCAGTAGCTTGTCTAGAGCCTGACTGCGCAGCTCGAGTTCATCAAGCCTCCGTTTGCGACCTTGTTTCCTCCGCCCATCCTGTGACGGGTCGTAGTTGCATATCTTGTGGGTTGCTAAGCAATTCGAACATGGTAGGAGTCCATTGCACTGAACGGAGTGTCAGCCTTTGAGGCCAGCCACGAGCGAACAACCGAAGACAGGTTTGCCATTGAGCGCCTCATGAACCACCCGTCGCTCCTATCTTGCAGGCCATTTGCTTAGCCATCCATTGCCGGAGGAAAGGAGCCTACCTTTCTTTTCGAGAGTTTGCAGCCTTGACAGGCCATGGACGCGTTCCTCTTGCTGTCGCGTCCTGCATTTGTGGTAAAGACTCCGGGATCACTCCCGTTATGGGTTGAATCCTCAGGTGCATGTGGCGCACTGGGCATATTTTCTGCGGGTGCCAGTGGGCGGGGGGCAGCGAGAGGCTCGGATGGTCCTCTGGTGTGAGACACAGAGAGCGCAAAACTCGAACTGGACGAAATCAGGCAAGAAGAGAGGTTTTTGAGCGTTCAGGGCGAACCCTGCGAAGCCTTCGGCCATCAGTGGTAACGAGCACTCGAGGGTATTGGGTGGCCCTCGCCTCGATATGAATAGGAATTGTGATTTCCTCAGGACGAATGGGGCTGGCTGCCCCTCAAGCCTTGTCCGTGGGTAAGTTCTCATTTGTGCTCTGGGCGGACATGTTTCTCCGTCATGCAGGGCACGCCCACATGCCCGCCCTCCCGCCGTGGCCAACCCTCGCCATAAAGAGCCTGTTGCATGCGTAAACTGCAGCGTCCGCACTGTGGCTGCAGAATTGGCCTACCAAAAGAGCTCCCGGGACCCCCTTCCACCTTCCCCAGTCGGCGACTGTCCCACTCCGATTCGTCGGCCAGGCATCCCGCTCAGCAACACCCTCATGGCGATGTGGTTCCCTGCGAAGCCGGCAGCACTTCAAGGCGTGGGATGTTAGCATGGGCATTCCGGACGCAATCACGCTCGACTGGTATTTGAGAGCAGCATCGCAGCAGCGTTGTCCCTGCTGATAGGTAGGCCACCGGCATATGTATTCCAGGCTTTGTTGCAGGTCGCTTAGAAGACTGCACCAGCATGTTTGACATTTCACGTACTCAGCCGAATCAGGGCTTCTACCCATCTCTTAGCGTCGACACCTACGCTTTCAGTGACCCCTTGTGCATTGGCTGCGCCGGGACTAGACATTGCGCTGGCGCCGCTGACTTCCCGACTTCGAGGTTGGTCGCGAAGGAGCCATCTGCCAGCAGAGCTGGCATTTCTGGCCTCTGATCGCGACCGAGACGTCTCCCTGGATGAAGTGGAACCATCCTGGGGAGATCTCCTGACAAGAATCGCTTCTTTGGCACAGTTTTTGCTGGTTGGGCAACTCATCTGGTTTGAAGTCGATATCTTCATCCATACAATCCACCAGCTTCTACTCGTCTTGATTGTTCTCTCCAGTTCCTCGCTGTGTGGTCGAGCATCTGTTAGACCAGCTTGCCTGTCGCGACTCGCCGTCCAGGTACTTAGAATCTGAGTATAGACATTCAGGGCCTCGATACGAGTCCAATGGCTCTTGACTAATGCCGCCGCACTAGGAGAGTCTGTGCTATTGGCCGTAGATGATGAGCCTACAGGTATTCCAAGAGTATACCATGAGCCTGAGACGGTGATTGGACGAGCATTCTGTGGGCTTCGATGCAACCCTTCGGCGGCAAGGCTTCCTGGCAACGGTATATTCGGAATAGAAGTCCGAATCGTATACTTCGCCGGGTCATAAAGGAGGTCGTACATTTCACTGACGTCTTTCGGCTCGGGTAGGGGCGGCACGCTACTACCGTCCTGGCCCGGAGAGCCTGACTCGATCCCGAGGCCTCCTCTCATACGCTCCCTCCAGCGCTCTGGATCCGTGCTTCTCAGGAGACTTTTTTGCAAAGGGCCTAGCGTATGGTGGATACCACGGTAGAAAGCTGGGATTGTGAGATTTGGCGTGTGCAACTGGAACAGGAACACGAAGATGAATGGCTGGTGGACGTAGACCACAACTTGGACCTTTTCATGAGTGACGACCGGTTGAGCACCGTCCGCAGATGCCGCAGCACTTGTCTTGCCTCTGGAGGAATCGCTCTCGGGGGTGCCTCTGCTGGGCTCTGATGGCTGCTGCTCTGCACCAGCACGCTGAGAAAACCTGGCAGTAGACATCTCCACCGTCAGGGTGCGAAGCACAATCCGACTCGGTGCTTCTTCTCGCTGCGTTGGAATGTCAGGACCCGCTTCAGCGGTTCCCTCATCATTCGACTCGTCCTCGAATTCCGTGTTCTCAAGGTCGCCAGATAATCCAACCAAGAACTTGCCGATAGACTCCTCCAGACGCTGCACGAACGGGGTTCCTTCCTCATCGCTGACTTCTGGTGTGGGATCGAGCTCGCGTAGCTGAGCTTCCGTAGGTGTTTCCCTATTCACAATCCCTTCTTTGCTCGACTTATGATCTTGATCAGCTGGTGTTTTTGATGGACCTTCAGCGTTGAAGCCTTTGGGATTTAAAGTCCAGCTCGACCCGTATCCAAGGCTGAGATATTTCATCATTTTCTCTGGTTTAAACAAGGAAGCCTGCTCTGTGGTTTGCGGACTTGGCTCAGTGGTTGAATGCCCACGGCCTCGATCTTGGCCCGAGAGAGTTTTTCCATCTGCTTTGGCTATGGCATTGTCCAATGATGTCTCCACAGCGCTGACAAGCGGTGGCGGGATGCCGGGCGGTGTGGCATTATTCTCAATCGCTTTGCGTCGTAGGTCCACCGCCTTCGCTGGCGGAGACTTGTTTGTTGAATGAACTGTCTCAGCTGGGGGCGAAGTTCGCCCTGGAGCAGCTTGTTCATCAATTTTCCTTCTCCTCCGCCGATTTCTAGGGCGGGAAGAAGGATTCTCGCCAACTCCGTATGCGGCATCGCCGGACACGTAGACAGACTCCATCCACTGCGAGACTGTGGTCAGACAACGCCTTGAAATGCCACCGATGCCAGAAAAGACAATCCCATCTTCAGCTCTGGAATTGTCTCCGTTGCCCAACCATGGTGATGAGTCTTTCCCTAGTTGTGATGCACTCGTGCCAGGGACTCCGGTTGAGGATGGGACATCCCCGTATCTTCCAACCACAAGATCAACGAGGCCCTCGTTCCGTGCAGCAAACCCTTCCAGTACTTCTCGCTCACCACTACCCCAATCTTCTTCGCCAACCCCGACACCGAGCTCTCCACCACTAGCGAGCTTAATCGCATCGTAGAGGTCGACCGTAGGGTTGCCATGTAGAAGAACATCCCAGTTCCAGATGAACCTTGACCAGTATCGATGGAGAAGACTGCAGAACAATTCTCTTTTAGCCTCATGCTTCTTCCATAACTCAGACAAGGATGACGCATGATGAAGCAGGAATATCCGGTGTGCTTGGAGGAGCTGTACAAGCAGCAGCGGCGCTGGCGCGACTTCTCTCGAGGAGTATTCGACGTTTCTTGAAGTTGCAGCCTCGCCCATTGGCGTGTTTCTGCCCGACCGCGCATTGCTTGATGTGGCTGAGGATACCCTGTTCGCCGCAGGTAGTTGCGTGAGGGCAACGGCGGCCAGAATCCACCATCCAGGCTCGACTTCCTTCAGCACGACCCGCGACTTCTCTGTGTCTACAGACTCGAGTGATCCGCCATTGGAAAAGTTCCTACAGCAGGCGTGCGGTCAGAATGCCAGTACGTGGTGAAAGGACCATGACTCGTGTTTACTGACGGAAGATGGTAGATGGCAAGGATGAGACACATGTTTGCTTCCTACCTACTTTGCAAAATTGACCATCCCCTGTGCTAGGCCAACCTGCCGCAATCTTTCATTCTCTATGGCTTCCTGCTTCTTTTCGGCTGCATCCCGCTCACGGCTCGACACATCTTTCCCGCGTGTGGCGTTTTTCTCCCTCGTCTGTCGCTCAATCTCTGCCTCGAGCTTGTGCGAGTAGTAAAACACAATCTGATCGCGCAGTGCCTCGTCGGTGGAGCCGAGAGAAGGGTTGAATATGGCGAGGTAGGATAAGTGAGCTGGGACCACGATGGGAGCGGACATCACGCTCGTAAGCGTTGTTTCGATGTCGCAGATAAGGAAGTAAACATATCGAAGGTCATGCACAGATAGACTGTCAGCCCTCCATGGCAGCAACAAAAAGCGTGTCCGAAAGCCCGCACCGAATCCTCGACGAGAGAGGCTCACAATGAGAGTCTAACCCATAATTATCAACAATCTACGTCATCCAGAGAAGTGGCAGATTGCGAGGCTGAAGCATGCAGCCTTGCGTCAATAGGCACGTGCTCCATCCATCAAACATTTGGTGTCGGACCTCGTTATGCATATGGTGTTACCACTCACCAGGAGTGGCATTGTGCGACTACGGACGGAGTTCAAAGCCTGATTGGATCGCCACAAGATCGCCAAAGCCGTGCTGTTGAGGAAGAGCGAAGTCCGGTTGAGGTTGACAGTACAGGTTGACACTATGAAGACCGGGACTGAATTCAGTGTGTTGCCATCCAGACCCCAGCGACACGCAGAAACGTGATGGCAACCTTTTGAAGCCGGAGGCAACAGCTTCTAGGATACGGTAAAATGCTAGTGAGCCACATTAGATTGCGCGTCCTCGGCACTGCTCTGCTTGGAGAATGATCAAGTACAACTTGATAGGGCATTTGAGGGGATGGAGTAGGGTTGCCCGAACCCAGAATTTGAAGACATCAACGCCGTGGATGGGTTTCCTATTTCGGTGATGACTCAACATGACTCGACTGTACCAAGTAAAACGCCCGTTCATGCTGATAGTACCGTTCGAACTCGGCGATCCCTACATCTGTGGAATCCTTTGTATTGTCTCAACCATCAGCCCCTCCACCCTTTGCCCGACAGGAACCAAACTAGTGTATCAGTGGTGGAAGCCCAGCACACTCACGCTGCCAAACCCGACCCTTTGTGAAGCAGGAACCAGCAAAATTGCGCGTCTTGATTTGACTCGGCATCTCGAAACCCCGATGGATGATATCCTGGTATAAAGTTGGGGACTCAAGTGGAGCGTATGTGTGCGACAAGGAAGACTCTCGCTTGACCTTACAAGATCAAGCATTTCTTGCTCTTTCCACTCTTGCGAGTCAGGAGGGCAGCGCGGGTGGCAGACTCGAAAACTTCACGCACACCCTGGTTGGTCTTGGCCGAGCATTCGAGGTATTTGTAGGCACCGATCTTCTTGCGAACTTCCTCGCCCTGTAACAATCAACGTAAGTCCAATGTCTTGACCGCCTCGGGCCAGACGGGATATGTAGACGAACCTGCTCGGGGGTAACCGGCTTCTGCGATGTCTTTGCCAGCTCTTCGATCGTCTTAGGATCGTGTCGTAGATCGCATTTGCAGCCGACAAGGATGATAGGAAGACCTTGGCAGAAATGAAGGACCTCGGAAATCCACTATTGTTATGTTTGTCAGCTCCATCGCGACGGAAGTGGGCTTCGAGTAACATGTACCTTCTCCTGAACGTTGTCGAGCGAATCGGGCGAGTCGATAGCGAAGCAGATAAGGATGACATGAGAATCTGGGTACGACAGAGGTCGAAGACGATCGTAATCTTCTTGGCCTGCCGTATCCCACAGGGCTAGTTCGACGTGTTTCCCATCGACTTCAACATCGGCGACGTAGTTCTCGAAGACAGTGGGGACATAGACCTGTTTTGTTGTTGTCAGTTCGACCTCTATTCTGCCCAGCTCTTGCTACTGTGCGGCTGGGTAGGGATGGTTTGCGTCACGTCCGTTGCACAAGGCGGACGGGTGGATTGGGACTGCGCACCTCTGGGAATGTGCCTTTGGAGAAGACGCTACAGGCAACAATGTCAGCATCAGATGAGGATGGACGAAATTGCGGTGGGTGGTACTCACATCAACAAGCAAGTCTTACCGCAGGCACCGTCACCGACAATGACAAGCTTGCGACGGATTTCAGCCATGACGGCTGCCGGACCTGTCAGATAAGGGATGGAATTGAATTTCAAAAATGTGCTGGGGTTCCAGCGAGCTGTGTATCGATGATGGTTAGATTGTCGTCGCGCAAAGGTGAGAGAGGGGGAGTGTAGGACAGAGATGGACGTTGAAGAAAGAGGTTGAGAGATGATTGTCAGGGAAGCACCTTGAGTTTAGTGTGGATGTGGCTAAGACACTGGCGCGGGTCTCCAGGCGCTGCACGGTACTCTGCCACAGAAGGATTAGGCTTGCCCTCGACTCAATCCTGACCAAAGGGCTGAAGGGCTCAGGGACCCTGTGTTTGTGGACGGGGCGGACAGTAGTGATGTCAATGAAATAGAAAGATCTTGTTGCGGTCCCAAGAAGCAGTCCAGGTATGATCTTGTTGGATCAAAGTACGAAAGACGACCGGGGCGTGCACAAGTGATAACCATCAAACGACTTCCAAAGGCTCCCGAGGCTACTGCGAGGCGCGCTTCAGACAGTGCAACCCCCGGAAATATGGAGGGCAACAAAGCAGCGAAACAGAGTGCAACAAGCGAGGCTAACGGGGCTGCTCAGCAACCGCCGCAGGCTGAAGCACGCCTGGAACCTGCGTAGACCCTCCGAGACCCTCATCCTTCGGGGCTTGCCTTGATCGTCATCCGAACACCCAACGCATGTCACCCACATGTTCAGTTGTTGCAGTGCCACAGCGGTCAGTCGTCCAAATGCCTCTCTTTGTGCGCAGTCACCCTCACTTGAAAAGAACCCGTACCTCGTATCGCATCGAGCTCATCTACACCGTTCTGTGTATCCCCCACGCATCTGCGCGATCCGTGCCAGGGCTGAGTGGGTTAGCCAGCCCGCCACTGTTTGGATCCTGACCTTCCCCCTGCAGGGTCAGGCGGTCAAGAGCACAAAACAAGATAACCATCTCCAGTACCACTGCATCTTGCCCATTTCCCTCATCTCTCTGATTACCCCGTTCTGCCTATTGCGTCTGCACCAGCGCCGAAAGCTGGACGTTCTGCTGGCGTTTTACAGTCTATTGCCGAGTCTGACACCCGAGCGCTACGGTCTCCCTTTATCAGTCATCGGGTAGTCGCGAAGTCGAGCGAGCCGCCTCGTGTTATGGAACCGTTCACAGAAAAGCTTGTCCCTCACTGATTGACGCTCTATCCCGAACACACTCCGATCTAAGGACGATGGCGACTATTGTAATCTGTGGGAAATAATCACATATCACTCTGGTTCTAGAGATCATACCCTTTCCCACTATTGAGACACTGGATGATTGTGCAGGTTCTCACTTGCAGAAACGGGGCACGAGTGACACTTGGTGGTGAGTTTATCTGACGCAGCTTCCGACTGACTGAACTTTTGTTCAATCCCACCGTATAAGCATATCTTGGGCCCCGGCCTCAGCTGGACTGGGATCACCTGATCCGGTTGACCTCTCGGAAGTTACCATGCAGCCAAGGCCGGAGGTGCTTTCGGACGGTGGCTTGTCTGGAGGACCGCGTCTTATGCATCACACTGTACCGCTGTCATGGGCTCACAAACAACCACATCTGCACCATGTATTGGGTTCGCTGCTTGTCCGCAGCTGGACTGTTGGATATCTACAGAATCTAGCCTCTCCATGACGCCACTCAACTCTAGTTGACGTTGGCAGAGGCTTTGATATTCTTGGTGATCCGACGGACAGCAAGTTCAATTGTACCCTTGATTGCTGGAAGTCTTACGGTCAGAATTGCCTCAATTAGCTACATAAGCTCTGTACCAGGCACCAACGCGACCGAGTACTCTATTCCTTAGATGGAGGTCACAGTGTCTCTTGCGTTGAGAATGCCTTGACAGCGTCCTCCACAAACGCCACAGTTTCTTCCGGTTTGCTCAGCATTGGTGAGTGACCCGCTTCGCACTCCCGGGTACTGACATCTGCGCCAGCTTCGCGACATCTCCTGACTAAGTCGTGTTGTAGCTGTGGTACAATGGCCTTGTCGTTGGTGCACACTAGGTACCACATCGGCACGTCCTTCCACCCAGCATAGACAGAATCACGAGCCGAACGGGTCGCATTGGAGAAGTTGATAAGCTTGGAAACCCATTTCTCCCCTTCCTCCGGCGACATGTCGTTGTAGAAAGCCTTAGCAGGGTCGCCATTCAGCTCCAACCAACCAGAACCTCGGTCCTCAGCAACAAGCTGGACATCCTTCGGCCCCGGGTTTCTGCGTGTGAAGTCCTGCGCCAGATCGGCCAGGGAGACTTCATCTGCAACAGGCACCCACGCTGTGAGCTGGACCAACCCAAGCACATGGCCGGACTTTCCACTTCTTAGCCTCGATGGGTTCTTCTTCGTGAGGCCTTTGATGGCGCTTGTGCCGGCCATGCCCCCCATCGAGTGGTTGACCACAACGACATCATTGCCCTGATTTGTCTCCTCGGCAACGACCTCCTGCAGAGCATCGACGACAGGCTTCAGTGACTGCAGCGGCTTCTCGCCGGCACGGCCATTATAGCCAATGGCCGGGGCAACGCATTTATACCCTTTGCTTTCGAGAATTTTCTTAACCGGATCCCAGTATTCAGGCGTATGCCAGGCGCCATGGCACAAGATCAACGTCGGCAACGGTGACATCGTATGCTATCTGAAGCAGGAATCTGGAAGCGAATCGACCCCGACAGGAGCGTTATATGAGTGAGAAAAAAAGGCGATGGTACACGGTGGATGCGCCGATGTATTTGCGTAGTTCAGTGTTAGTTGATATTCAGGTCGATCTCAGTTCAGGCACGAGCAGGAGAACAGCGCCCCATATATCCGTCAGTCTTTCCCCATACACCTACCGATATTTTCATCGCCAACGAGCATACACCCAGCGTCGAGCCGGTCAAGAGGCCACCTGCCGGATGACATGTCAGCCATGTAAACATGAAGAAGACCCTCGAACAAAGCTCGCAATTACATATATAAGCGAACCAAATGCCCGAAAACAACTTTAGAACCAATAGTTCACCCAATAGGCACCATTCTGACCGACAATACGGAGTATACAGATAACTGTTGCTCCGCAAACAGAGAAGCTTGGTTTGCCGACAATGGCAACTGTGCTGTATAACAAGATTTCCACGGCCACATGCCGCGTGTCGCGTCTTACATGCTTGTCTCCTGAAAAGGGCAACTTTCAGCTGAAACTTGCCGTGACTCGCACGCGACCGTCGCTGATGTGCTGACTGGCGCTGATACTGCGTCCCCGTAGGGATATCGCGGGGCAATAGTGGGCAGCCTGTGGATTCTTTGTCGAGATCAAGCACGATCAGCCGCGATCAAGTTCACTTACAGTCGTTTCCACTTGCGCCACAAATCACCAGGCCACAATGTGATCTTCGCCGCACAGCCTCAAGTCAACCAACAGAATCCACCAATAAGCTGATCACCGCCACCTCATGACTCGGTCGGCATTGATTAGTCTTTGTCCCCGAGCATGCGGATTATTCGCGGTTTACTTCTCAATATTCAGCCGCCCAGGTTTGGGCAAACGCTGCGATTATACGAGATGGAGAGCGGGACCACATGGTTTCTCGCTTCTCCATGGCCATTTCATCTGTCATGCATCTCCTCACCCACTCCTGAGACTACCGAGATTAATAGAAGGGGATGCTCTCCGAAGTCGAGGCACAACCGAGGGCTCGTTCCTCAGGACCAGGTCCTCGTACACGAATATCATCGCATCAAGCTAGTAGCCTTCAAGCAACCTGTGACACGAATGTGCCGGTCCATCTTCCCAGCGTGGCAGCTGCTGTCCGATTATCAAACGCTTCAAAAAGTGGAAACGGAAAAAGTGATAAGAAACTCAAGCTTCACCCGCGTCAACATGCTAACAAGTTCATTTTTATTCAGTGGTTTTCTGAGCAGATAATATGCGCCGGAACAATCTGAGATCGAAGACGATATGACGAACGCCAGATCATGCACGTGCGACGTGCTTTTATTCCCAATCCTGAAAATCCCTCATAGAATTGCACGTCGTTCACATGCTACTCCTCCACTTTCCCACTCGGCGTAGTGGGCTCGGCCCTTTCAGCCGGTGAGCATCCAGAGCCGTGTTCGCATTCACGAAGCATCGGTGGTTTCTGGGACTCGGAAATCACCGAGGACTTGAGGGATACTCAAATGCGAGCGGCAGAAAAAGGATGCTACACGCGAGAGAGATCCAGAGTAATCAACGTATCGACTGCGAGTCCGCCGAGTATCGACTTCAAGGAGCCCACTCTACACTCCCACAACCTACACGCTGCCATTCAAAACTCAGCATCGACCAACCCGTGAGTGAGCGAATTACATTTCCGCTAGACTGAACCTTCGATGCGATCCTACTGTCACAAAACGACCCGTAATCCTAGCGGACATGGGAGCTCTTAAGGCATTGCATGCAGCACACAGCCACAATCTAACCTGCCTCGTCGCTATGGGGGGAGCGGGGGTCCAGCCTGCATAATACTGATCGTTCGTGGTCTGCCACATTGATACACCTCTACCCATCTCCGTCAACCATGGCCAATCACAAAGCTGCCAGGACGACAGCCGGAGAGACGGAACGACAAGGTCTGGGCAAGCGGTGGGTGATTTTCCCAAACGATATGCTATTGCTCCTGCTCTTGTCATTCCCAATCGTGTCTTTTCCTGCCATTTCCAGATAATCATTGAGGCATTTTGTCCTGATCTACGCGGCAGACCTCGAAATCCTCTGCAGACTCTCTGACAACCCGGCTCATCTTGCTCTGGCCATGCTTTGTGCTCAGCCCCCAGCCGTATCGCATCGTGCCTGGATACCTATCATTCCATTGGGATGTTACCCTTGCCAAAGCTGCGCACGCCGTGCGCCCCTGTGGCGGGTTCTAATGGAACATGCTCAAGGGCATGTGTGCGGCGCCTTTTCTGAAGTGGAAAACAAGCCATGCAAGCATTCGCTGCTGCCGTTGCAGATTGCCTGCATCTTCAGCTCATATATCAATGAAGGTATCTGGGTGCGCTGCTGCTCTATCGTTCTTCCGTCGTGTCTAGTGTCTCTTGTCTGGTCTCTTCCACTCTGTCCCTGCCTTTCCGTTGCTCGTCTTCCTAAACCCTCCGGTGCCCGAGAAGTCCGTGCCATCAATCAGCATGGTGGTCGTCGACGTTCCTCAACGCTCTGAGAAGCCCAAGGTCGTTGACGTTGTGGCGCCGCCTGGGCCCAATGATGATGACTTCCCCGCCGCCTTGGCTGCCAGACGCCGCATTCGTTATGCTGGCGACGATGAGGAGAACCCAGGGCCATCTTCCTCGAACAATTTTGGTCACACATTGACAAGGCGCACCTCAACATACTCGGTACATTCACTTTCCAGCGTCCGTAGCGGGCAGCGCACCATCGACCCCTCAATCATCCTGCCAGTTCAATATCGCACGCTCAGCTACGATATAACCAATAGCAAGGCTATTGGAAAGGCTAAAGATGCTCGTGAGAAAGCTACAGTCGGTAAGTCATACTGGTGACAGCACGCCTCGAATCGTGCTAATCATCTTGCTCAGACGTTGGCCGCCTCGAATGGCATTTGCTCACCACCGCAGAGATCTGCGTGCGATTGAAGACATCGACGGAAACCGGTCTCTCATCCACCGTGGTGAAGGAGAAAATGACAGAGTTCGGTCGGAATGTTCCTTCCGCACCACCGTCTAGGCTCATGCAGAAGCTTTTCGGTTACTTCTTCGGAGGATTTGGCTCGATCTTGCTCGTCGGCAGCGTTCTCGTCTTCCTCTCCTGGAAGCCGCTCGGACAACCACCAGCCGTGGCAAATCTTGCACTCGGGATTGTTCTCGTCGCTGTGTTCTTCATCCAGGCCGCGTTCAACGCCTGGCAGGACTTCTCGTCTAGTAGGGTCATGAACAGCATTACCGGCATGTTGCCTGAAGCCTGTCATGTCCTACGCGAGGGAAGCAAGCAAACCGTGCAGGCCCCCGAAGTTGTCCCCGGCGATATTCTCTACTTCAAGGCGGGCGACAAATTGCCGGCCGATGTGCGCTTCATAGACGTCTCGATGGACGCCAAGTTCGACAGAAGCATCTTGACCGGAGAGTCACTTCCTTTGGGCGCTGTCACCGAGTCACCGGAGCCCAATTACCTTGAAACGCGATGCATCGGCATGCAAGGCACACACTGCACGTCTGGTAGTGGCGTCGGAATCGTCGTCTCTACCGGCGACAGTACCGTGTTCGGCCACATTGCAAAGTTGACGAGCACACCATCGACTGCCCGGACTACTTTGCAGAAAGAGGTGCTGCGCTTCGTCATCATCATTGTTGGGCTGATGATACTCATGAATATTATTGTGGTTGCGGTATGGGGCGGCTACATTCGTCAGAAACACCATGACTACATCAACGTGCCGACATTGATTGTCGATATCGTGAGTGTCGCAATTGCATTCGTCCCCGAAGGACTCCCGATTGCGCTCACCGCGTCCTTGACTATTACGGCCAACACCATGAGGAAGAACAACATCCTTTGCAAATCGCTCAAGACGGTTGAGACTCTTGGGTCCGTCTCGGTGCTCCTGTCCGACAAGACGGGAACGTTGACAAAGAATCAGATGGTCGTCACGGACTGCCTGATCGGCGCAAGCGCCATGACCGCTCTTGAGGCAGCAGAAGATGTGGCCGATGACAGTGCCAAGTTCACGTCGAAGAAGGCCGCGCTTCAACAACTTCGCGTGGTTTCTGCGGTTTGCAATGCCGGCGAATTTGATCCCACGACGGTTCACCTTCCTCTCGATCAGCGCAAGATCATTGCCGATGCGACTGACCAAGCCATCCTCCGCTTCTCACAGAGCTTGGGACCGGCCACACAGTCTCGCGATATGTGGCGCACGCGATTCGATCTCACCTTCAATTCTAAAAACAAGTTCGCCCTTCGAGTTGTGTCTGCCGAGTGCGCTTCTGCGGTTTCATCGACAATGGGTGTCTCTGAGGCCAACGTGTTCCAGGCCGACAAGGACCTGTTGTTGATGATCAAAGGTGCTCCGGACATTCTCCTTCCGAGATGCACTGAATATGTCGGTAATGATGGCGAAACCCACGCGCTCGATGCCGTAGTTCGTTCATCCATCGAGGCACTCAAGGATTCGTGGTCCAGTCAAGGCAAACGGGTCCTGCTCCTGGCACGAAAGCTTCTTCCTGCACACATTGTTCAGTCATCTCCGAATGACAACACGTTTGAGACGGAAGCTCTCAAACACGCCAGCGCCAGTCTCACTCTGATATCACTGGTGGGCATTGTCGACCCTCCAAGAGACGAAGTCCCGAGTGTTATTCAAAGCCTCCGTCAAGCAGGCATTCGTACAATGATGGTGACAGGGGACTTTAAGCTCACGGCTCAAGCCGTCGCTCGTGCATGCGGCATCATCACCGTTCCTGACAGTGAAGTGCATACCGTTGACAACCTTCCTCACTTCGCCCCATCAGATCCACCAGAAAATAAACGTCAGAAGAGATCGAACCTGCTGCCCTCGGAAAACAAAGCTATTGTCCTGACAGGCTCGGACCTCATGGCCCTTTTGCCGCATCAATGGCACGCCCTGACCACGCAGTACAGCGAGATTGTCTTCTCACGCACGACGCCGGACCAAAAGCTGCGGATCGTCCGGGAATTCCAGTCTGAAGCCTTCGTCGTGGCGATGACTGGCGACGGCGTGAACGACGCACCCAGCCTGAAGCAAGCAGATATTGGCATCTCACCAGCCTCTGGTTCGGACATCGCGATCGAGGCCTCCGACATGGTGCTTCTGGGCTCCTTCTCCGCCATCCCCGAAGCAGTCATGTACGGCCGCGTGGTGTTCGACAACCTGAAGAAGACAATCGCGTACCTCCTGCCCGCGGGTTCGTTCTCGGAGTTCTGGCCTGTAATGACAAGCGTGGTCTTTGGCCTACCTCAGGTCCTCTCCAGCTTCCTCATGATCGTCATCTGCTGCTTCACAGACTGCGTCGCCGCCACGATGCTGGCGTACGAACAGCCCGAAGCGAACGTCATGCTGCGGCCCCGACGAGACATACACAACGACCGGCTCGTCGACTGGAGATTATTGCTTCAGGCCTACGGCCTGGTCGGCATCCTCGAGACAACCTGCTCCTTCGCCATGAGCTTCTGGTACCTGCAGCGCAAGGGCCTGGCGTTTGGCACGCTGTGGTTCTCCTTTGGCAACATTCCCACCCCGCCGGGCCAGACGGCCGACGACGTCTCCTTCCACTTGACCGTGGCGAGCTCCATCTACTTCGTCACGCTGGTGGTCATGCAATGGTTCAGCGTCATGGCTCTGCGGACGCGTCACCTTTCCATCTTCTCGCACCCGCCCATCTTCAACCGGAAGACGCAGAACCGGTTGCTCTTCCCGGCCATTCTGTTCTCGCTGGTCGTGGCGTTGGTGTTCACCCTTTCGCCTGGGATCGATTACCTTGGCTGCAATAATGTGCCGGTAGAGCATTGGTTCATCCCCATGACATTCGGGATTGGGCTTCTGAGTCTGGACGAGCTGCGAAAGATGGCGGTGCGGAGATATCCTGGGGGTTCCCTCGCGAAGATCGCGTGGTAGAGATGAGCCGTTTCTGTGCAGACTGGTAGACTAGTTCGAATTTCGTGGGGCATAGAACGTAAACCCGTTTCAAGGATTTTGGCAGCAGATTAGACGATGGTGTTGCACAAAGTGTCGACTGCGTCTTGAGCCTATAAATTACTGCGAGGCAGAAAACTATAAGCCATTTTCAACTCCCCTCAACCGCGACATTACTTCGTACCATCATCATCACGCTCTACCGCAGCACCTAATTGGCCGTGGAGCCAAACGAAGGGGCATGGAGGTGAAGAGATGACCAGATTCTACGATCATTGTAGTCATGATATACAAGAGCGCCCGCCACCAAGCTGCAAAGGGCCGAAGATTCTTCCGGACTCCATCTGGCTATATGGGGATCGGGCCCAAGAATCTTAACAGGCAACACGCTGTGGCAATTTTAAGAGGCGGGTGTTGTCCTTCCTCCTTTGGGATCCAGCGTCAATGACATTCCTGGTAGCCTGTGTAGATGCTTCTCGGTGAGGCATATGTGCATGGCCGGTCTGATGGCGATGTGTTGGAGGTTGTTCTGAACTGAATCTGAAGTCGGGGTGAGAGATCTCTGAAATCAGCCCTCGAGCCCCTCACCGGTACGGCGGCCTAGCCTCAAATGGACAAGCGTCTTCGCTAGCCAATCTTGCTTGTCCAAGGCGGGGCAGAAGTGGCCCGTGCACGTCTCGGATCTGCGACATCTAGTTAGCGCGTCCGATCTGGCACGCGAAACTCAAAACTCTTGCATCCTCCCGCACAGCATCTGCGGCAGCTACAGTCTCAGATCTTCCACACGACGCAGAGTCTTGTCGGCTCGGCGCCTCACCTTTGGCCGTGTCCTAGGGGCTCGCTGCATCCTTGTCAGCGTTTCTGCGGCATCGAGTGTCTCGGGCCTGACCACCGGCACCAGTGAGGTTCTTTGCCAGACCCAATTCTACCACTTCGCTGGCTGCAACGTGCGACAGGAGAGGCACAGGTTTCGGGTTCCGTGGTCAACCATTCCTTATCAATGTTAGTCGTGCTATCGAATGGTCAAGAGCATCTGCGACGCCCCTCTATATCACGTCATAGGGACTTGGATATGGCTGATGCAGGATTCAGACAATACCATATCGACCTGATCTGGCGCCGGACAAGGGTTTCTGCGGCTCTGCTACGAGAGAAGACCACGGATGTCCAGTCGTCCGGTCATCCGTATCGTAACTCTAGGGAGGATCGTCCTTGCTTTCGGAGTTGATCTTCGCCAATCTCACTTCCTCTTCTCCCCAGCTTCCCCCGGCGGGTCGGCCTTGTCATTCTTTCTCTATGCGCCCGATGGCCTGATCGTTCGTTCATATATCCAAGTGAATTGACCACATCCGTTCTTTCCTCTTGTCGGCATCCACAATCGTTCCTTTTCAAGGCCACGGCGCGGGCGCTGAGCGCTGGACGCTACCACTTACCTTCGTTTCTCTCCATTTTTGAGCGTTGAATCGCTGTATTTGTTTTCCATTCGGGGCTCTGACCCATCAGTCAAAAACTTGTACGTTGTCATCAGCTATTCCATCGCGACCGAGCCTGGTCAATTCTTCCCCGACCCGTACGAACTACGATCTTCAGGGACCAGCAATTCCGCAAGATGCAGGTTCGGGCGGCACAGGTCATTCTGCTGATATTGTCGCTGGTTCTCTCGGTCGTTATACTTATTGCATCCTCGAAATATGCGGCCTGGTCCCATTCTATGGTGTCAGCGGCAGCTGGCACGTGGCTGTAAGTGAAGCCACCTGACTTTCCTTTCAACCATTCTTCAATCACTGCTATCTCCCAAGGAAATGAAAACTGACGAAGATTTGTCCAGGCCGCTAGTGTTTTACGTCGGCACCATCCCATTTGTCTCACTACTGTACACCGTCGCCCATTTGGCGGCTCTACAGTTCAACGGCTTACCTTCACCACCGTACCTCCAAAACGGCGGATACTCATACCCAAAGTCGAATGCACATGCTTACGACGCCGACTATGCTGTCACGAGCTCTTTCTTCATACTTTGCGTCACGGTTCTTCATACGCTCGCATGGCTTGCTCAGTCAATTCTCTGTACGTCTTGTGAGCTGGCTCCAATTCTGCAGGGCCATCAAGGGCTCGTTCCGAAATGGTGCCCACAATCGCGATTTCGAGACTCCGGTCAACCAGGGCTCGCCAATATGTTAGGCACGTTGGCGCCGGTGAAGGATTTCTTACAGTGGGTCATGGTTGTGCTGGCAGCCGCGTTGATCGAATGCGCAAGGCGCGAATATGTCCGCGCCGAAGTTGTGCGACGACAACAAGTGAGGATGATGGGTGCGGGCGTGGACTTTGGAGGCCGGAGCCAAGGCGCAAACGCTGTTGTCCAAACGAAAACCCCCGGAGTCGAGCTTAATGAGATCAGTGGGCCACAACTCATTTTCAGAGCAGAGGAGGAAGCTCGAAGGAGGCAAGAAGAAGAGGAGAGAAAACAACGGGAAGAAGAGAAGAGGAACAAGCAGTTGACGACGGGAGGAAGCTCGCTTCCACCCCAGCCGACGGGGCAGGGAGTGTCCGGGAACAAAGACAATTACTACGGCAATGGGATGGGGCTGAAGAGGAGCGGTACGTTGAATTACATGTACGAGTCCAGGGTAGCCACAGGACCTGCAGCTATCGCCACCGAACCTGTCGCGCCACGTCCTGCTCAAACTGCAGCTCCCAAGCGGTCGCCTCAGCCTGTGGCACCGCCGCCGCCGGGAAAAACAGACAACTACTACGGGAATGCGACGGGCTTGAAAAGGAGTGGAACTTTGAACTATATGTACGAGTCGAGAATCTGATCACGCCACGCTCTGCTCAGCAAAACTCAGCAGCCTGACCGGACCGGACCGGTGTGGCCAGACAGCAATCCACATTCCGGCATCGTATGGGTCGATGCAACGGGATCCGCCGACGTGGCAGCAGAAAGACGACTGGGGCCAGCGCATTTAGCCGCCACCGAGACGATTAAACAGAATCGACGAAAACCCCCTACCACATCACCAGGAGTTTTCACTCCTGTCGCGGCCGAGCACGAAGGGCCAGAAGGAGAAGAAAGACACATCTCTGCGAAACTTGAATATCAATGCCCCTTCAATGGTGCATTTTGGCAACGCGTCCGACGGAATGATGGGTTCCACGTCCTACGTCGTCAAGGCAGCGGTGAGGTGAAAAGGCTCAGTCCCAACAACCTACTTGAAGTGTCAAGTGAGAAGGAGCGCGAACGAGGCAGGGACTGTTGTCAAGTGAAGATGAACAGTCCACGACACGGCAGAGCACAGAACAGGCCGGCAGAAGAGACTACAGTCGAGTACAACAGATATCAAATGAGTATGGCGAACATACGATCTCAATCCCTGACTGTGCGCAGTAGACGTGCATATTCTTTTCCCCGTGGCACCAAGAGCCGAAAGCCGCGATGGCTCCTCTTCCGCCCCCTCAACTTACTACGTGAAGCCCGTCGGGTACGCAGCTCTCCGCCTTGTAGCCAAGGACGGCCACGTTGCAAAGCTTCCTCGGTCCTGGGCCACCATCACGACCGGTCCAGTAGCGAAGCCGTCGGTTGGCTCGGGCGGGATACGAATATATCGTGAGTGGAACATGTGCGAACGTGTTGGTGGTGGCAGTAGACGTGGTGGATTCCGGGCCGCATGAAGGGGGGCCTGTCTCTTTGCGGTGTCATCGACGAGCTCATCCTGCTGCGAGAGACATCAAGGCTCAGCCGCGTACCATTTGGCGATCCGCTGTAATCGAGCGCAGGCGTTGTCACAAGTCCACGCAACTAGATACCTAATGCTCGTGGTACTGTACTCCGTACCGTACTTCTGGAGTCCGCACCGCCCACTGCCACAAAGTTACGATATACGTAGTTACACCACAACGTGAAGAAAGCCAGCTCTGCCTCTAACCAGGATTACGGATAACCTTCACTACGCATCGTCACAGCGCGCGAGCTTGACTCACCCAAGGACTGCCAATTGGATACAGGGGTCGTATGCGACCCAACCGATGGCATCAACGACATCGCGTCTCCCTTCTAATCAATCGTCCCTTCTCACGATCTCGCCTTCAAACAGCCATCTGATCACTGATCACCACGTTGACCTGGAGATGCACCCCAGATCAGCGTTACGTACATACCTTGCTATGCGCGATGAACCCCGGATGAAACGAGATGCGAAACAGCTGGCCGGACGTTTTGAGGCCCCCTGCAAGCGCCGCCGCCGCCGCCGTCGGTCACCACCATTTGAGGCCACAGCTCCGGGAGCATCAGGCGAGATCGTGGTTTCGGCTAAAACGCCAAAGTGTTCCATGGTAGAACTGCTAATCACTGGACTCTTGCATACCAGATGAGGAAGGACTCTCGATGTGGATGCGCGTGGTATTCTGCGGTACTCCGTTCTCCGTACTTTGCGAGACATACATGCAGTACTGTTAATATCCGGGATTATATATGATGGGATATGGCATGCAATGGCATTTGCAAAAGTCCTGTAAGTCTGTCGACATTGTCTGAGTTTGTCTTGTTCGCATTCAAATTTCCTTCGCCATCGTTCTTTTACTTGCAAACGCCTGTTGATCAGGTTTCCATTCTTTTTGCCTGGTGCATTCATTCATTCATTCATCCATCCGCTCTTTTTGCAAAAGTGTTTTTGCATATTATTGCGTTCTTGCATTGCATAGTCCAGCAGCATGATACCCCTTGTTCGCGTTGCGTTTCTTCTGGGGGCTGCATCTCTTGTTGCTGCTCGCCCTGTTGTCGAACACCGCGCCGTCACTCAGCTCGACCAAGCTGCGACCGAGGAAGCTCAACAGCGCGACGACACTGCCACGAGGGCGTTTTCCTCGGTGCCGATCAAGGTATGTCACAACGCAAGCTGGTGCGTGGTGGAAGGTCCATGCTAATGTTTGTTGTGTCTGCCAGACTTCGGATGGCCAGTGCCTCTTCGTTGATCCTTTGTCGGGAGATTTCCGCGAGAACTTGACCCCGATTCAAGTCGGGGCCTGTGATGGGAGTCAAGCTCAGGAGTGGGACGTCATCACCGCCGGCAAACACAACAATGTGGCAGGCAGTGCGTTGATCGTCAGTGGTCTGGTAAGGGATCGATCTATGAACAACACCCGGTGGACCGAGTTAACTTCCATCTTGTAGACGCAAGCTTGCTTCAACTTCGATCCCCGTCGTGCCGCGGGGAATCAGGTGCTTCTGTTTTCGTGTGGTGGACGTGCTGACGGCGGTAAGAATATCCATGCTTTGCAAGTAATCTAGACTAACGAGCAACCTTGTAGGCGGTGTTGTCACAGATTCTCAGCTCTTCCCCTTTTCAGGGGGTGCCGGACCTCTGGCCTTCACACCGGAAAATGCTCCAGGGAGCTGCTTCACGGTCAAAGGAGCCGTCATCGACATCGCCGCCTGCGACTCTGCCGATCCGAGCCAGTCATTTACCTTGGGCGACACTGCTCCTGCGGCCAGTGGTCCTCCGGCGACCACGGCTGAAGTCGCCTCTGAGGGCGCAAGTGTCGCGACAGTGACGGTGTCCCCAACTCCTGCCGAGTCCGCAACCTCCTCAGCTTTAGCTACGGCCATCATCTCCGCATCACCACCAACGGTTGCCGCCCCTGCTCCCACCACCGCCACCGCGGCATCTGCTGGTATCATCTCCGTCTCCCGCGCCGGCAGTGTCCTGAACCCATCCGACGCCGCCGAAGCCAACCCCCGTGACGACACTGCAACCCGCGCGTTCTCGTCCGTGTCGATCAAATCGTCCTCGGGGCAATGCCTCTTCATCGACCCAACAGCAGGCGACTTCCGAGAGAACCTCATCCCGATCGTGCTCCAGCCTTGCGATGGCTCGGCAAACCAGCAGTGGGACTTCTTGACCGCGGGCGTCCATAACAACGAACCCGGTTCGGCCTTGATCGTCAGCAGTCTGACGCAAGGCTGCCTGAACTTCGACCCCAGAAGGGAAGCAGGTGACACTGTGATCATGTTCAGCTGTGGTGGACGGGCCGATGGAAGCGGCCTCGTCACCAACAGCCAGCTCTTCCCCTTCACGGACGGAGGAGAGACGAGCTTGCGCCTCCAGCCGGGAAATGGGAACGGCCAAGTCTGTCTGGTTGCCAACGCGGACGGCAGGCTCGACCAGGCGCCGTGCAGCGACGATGCCAGCCAGGTGTTTACTATCGGTTGAGGCAGTGTTTTGCGAATCATCACCATTGTTGCCGCTGTGCACATTCTACCGCCCCGAAGCTGCTTTCTTTGGTTTTGCACGGGTGAGCCGACCACGGCAATACATATTAGCTGATTGGAGCCAATTTGCTCCCAGACTGTAATTTTACAACTGCGGTGACTCCGGCGACTCAGGCGACTCAGGTACGCCAGTGAATAAGTACGAAGTGAGATATGTACGTATCCATGCTGCAACGTCTGAATACCCCTTTTCTTATTGTGCCTGCGTCTGCGGGCGGCGGGCGTGATACGACGCCTATGAGTCTATGGCGGGCGGAATGATGAGTCGGACCTGCTCGTACTCGTAGAGTCGAGCCAATCTGAGAAATTCTAGCCGGTTCCTGTTTGCCGTCGAGTCATACATATATCCTTCGTGATCCTTGTCCGTGGTCGCAATGATGACTCCGCCCCCCCCTGTCCGCCGTCGGAGTAGGTAATCTTCACTTTGAGATCCTGAACTTTTTTGCGGCCGGATAACATCTAGATCTGGCGCTTATGGGTAGTGAGTCCCCGGAGACCGCGAAGTTACGTGCAATAAGCATGGTACCGCAAGAGGTGTGTAGAGTGCAGTATGAAGTTGCCGCACAGCCCCTGCCCTAGGGCAAGCTAGACGGGCAGGAGCTGGGCTGAGGCAGTGCACGCGTGAAACAGTCATACTGTACTCCGTACAGCCCAGCCGGACCTGGTGAAATACCTTACCCGTCCATTTGTCCGATCTTTTCCAAGTCAGTCATCTAGCGAGAACAAGAGCCCTGAACGCTGACGAGGGATCTCTGGCGTTGTGAGCCAAAGGCGTTTTTAACCAGGATAGGAACGTGTGTTATCACGCACCGCCCGCGCCACGATGATCACCCTCGATGGTTCTACTCTCGAAGGAGGCGGCCAACTCGTCAGAGTAGCGCTCTCTCTTTCCGCCATCTGTAATATTCCCGTGCGCATCACCAACATTCGCGCCGGCCGTGGCCCGGGTTCGTTCTACAAGAAAACGCGCAAGAACGGAGGCGGTCGACATGGGAATGCCAGCCAGAGCGGCCCTCGCGACGGATCGGAATCGTCAAAGAAATCTGCTTCCGGCGGCGGATTGAAGGAAAGTCACCTCGCCGCGCTGACATGGCTAGCGCGGGAATGTGGTGCCGCGGTCGAAGGAGCCGAAGTGAACAGCCTCGAAGTCGTCTTCAAACCTCAACGTAGCCCCCGAGAGAGAGTGCCAGTGCCAGTGCCAGCGCCAGGACCGGCGGGCAGAGGCGCGACCAGCGAGCCAGAAGTCATTGAACTCCGAAACCCGGGCAGCATCTGGCTCATCTGGCAGGCTATCTTCCCCTACATTGTCTTCGCGGTGCTGGCGCGCAGCGAGGACGCCAGCAGAAAGCCCCCCGAAGAGCCAGCCTTCCGCATACGACTGAGAGGCGGCACCAACGTCCCCAAGTCGCCGTCGGCCGAGTACATGCAGCAGGTTTTCTTACCACTGTGCGAACGGATCGGACTGCCCAAGGTGCACGTCCACGTCGCGAGGAGGGGATGGACGACCGGCGCACCAGAGATTGGCGAAGTCGAGGTATCTGTCTTTGCGCCGAGACCCACAACTCGTCGTGCTGAGGCATCATCATCAATGGAACCAAAAGACGCGTGCCCAAACAACGGTAGTACACCTCACGGCCGAACAAACGCAGCAGTCTCGTCGGAAGAAGAAGAAGAAGCAGAAGAAGCGCGACGAGCCTTCCGTCTCCCTCCCTTCGACATCAGCCTTGGACAAGACTTCACCATCGAGTCCATTTCCATCACCACAATCAGCGGTTCACCTCAGACTCACTCCCTCTTGCACGCTCGACTGCGTGATTCCTTGCGGTCGATCCCTGCGTTCTCGGACCTCCGGATCTCGATCACGGACCACCCGTCCTGCTCGGCGCACTCGGGCGACGAACGCCGTCTGTACATCCTGCTCACCGCGCACCTGGCTGGCGGGTACGTCCTCGGGAGAGACTACCTCGGCCCGGGGAAGAAGATGACCACCGACGCCGATCGCAGAAGGACGGTCGACGAGGCAGTCAACCAAGTGGTGCGGCACCTTCAAAGAGAGGTCGGGAGGGGAAGGTGCGTCGACGAATTCGCCGAGGACCAGCTCGTTATTTTCCAGGCCCTAGCCGATGGCGCGAGTCTCGTCGATACCGCGAGGGCGGGTAGAAGTGAGAATGCCAAGGCCACGGTCGAGACCGGGAGTCTGCACACGAGGACAGTGCGATGGGTATGTCATGAGATGCTGGGCACGGTATTCGACGGCGTGGGCGGGTGTCAAGGGGGCGGCGGCGGTCTGCGTCGTGGGATCCCCAGCGGTGGCGTGGACGAGATCAGCCAGCAAATAAGCGATTTGGTTTTGGGCGTCGACAGGACGTGAAGAAGGGGGAGACTGAGATAGTAGAGCTAAACATCGCGATATGTCGTCGTGTACAACCATGATATCGCCAAGATACAGCAGCGGGAGCAGCTGGAGTAGCCAGAACAGCCAGAGCAGCCAGAGTACCAACTATACGTATGTAGTCGGCTCCCCTTGCAAAGAACATTCTCATCCTAATATGTACGTGCTCGCATGCCTCGCTCCGTTCACAAATCAAGTGCAACTTCAACCTCAACCTCAAGGATACTACTCGCTTTTGTCTCGACCTCGAAGCTTTTTTACAGAATGGAACATCGTGCACTCGCGCCACAATCTGACACAGAACCATCTCATTCTCGATGGCTACCCTAGGCAGGCAGACCACTGAGTGATCTTATTTGCCCACCACCCCCCAGCTTTAATAATCCTCGCCCCGAACCCGATGTGGAGGCAATCCCCTAGCCGCCCGCTCGGCCACAATCTTCTTCTTCATCTCCTTGTACGCCATGCGTGTGGCCTTGTCGTACTTGCCCTTGCCCATCACGGCAAGCCGGGGATTTTGCTCTGGGCGTTCGGATCGGGCTTTGGCTTGGTGGCCACCAGTTTCGACTTGGGCCCCCGCGCCTTGACCAGATTCTTACGCTCCTTCTTCGGCTTCTTGACTTTCAAGGGCTTCAACCGGCCCTCGCCGCCGTTGTGAGGTTGTGCGACCTTGCCCTCCGTGTCGTCGAACTGGCCGAGGGAGATGAAATCGGCCGAGAGCTCTGCGTTGGCGTCTGGCAGTGGGGTCGGTCCCTCTTCAGCTTGTTCATCTGCGTCACCAATATCAGCGGGTTCGGGGATATCGGTGGGCTTGTTGACTGACTTCTGCGCCTTGTGCAGTGCTTTCTTCTCCGCCTGCAAGGCCTTCCTGTCGGCATTGAGTGCCTTTTTCTCTGCTTTCGTCAGCTTCTTTTTCTCGGCCTTGGTCAGGCCCGTTTGATTGGGATCTGTTGCTGCGTCGTGGCTCGTCGCGTCGGTCGTGGAGACGGGTGCGTCGACCTCCATGGCTCGCGGTTGAGGCTCGGCTTCAGCGTCCTTTACTTCAGCCGCTTTCTTAGTTGTGGCTTTGGCGGACTTTTCAGATGGATCGGAGATAGGCACAGCAGCACCTTCATTCTTCTTTCCTTTCTTGCTCTTCTTCTCTTTCTTGGACTCGCCATTCACCACGCTGGATACAGGGGCCGGGTTTGCGTCAGGAACAGTTTGGGGATCGCTCTTCTTCTCTTTCTTGCTCTTCTTTTCCTTCTTGGCCTCGGCGTCCACCAGACTGGCTTCCACGGAAGGATTCGAGTCGGGAATGGGCGCAACTTCGTCCCTCGCCTCTTTCTTGCTCTTTTTCTCCTTCTTCGACTTCTTGCCTTCTTTTGTGGCCACCTCGTCTTTGGGCACATCCGCAGGGGGCTCTATGGCGCCAGTGGGACCAGTATTCCCGTCTTCGATTTGCTGCGGCACACCTTGGTCGGCCAGCCTTTCCTTTAGAGCAGCTGATGGACTGGTCAAGGTTGAAAGCGGCATCTCCAGACCGATTGCCTTCATCTTTTCAGCCTTCTTGTCGCGTTTCCGTTGTTCCTTGTCGACCTTCTTTTGCCATTGCTCTTCGGTCTTGGGTGCAGCAAGACGCTCCCGCTCAAGTTTCTCGTGTGGAATCTTACGGAACTTCTTGTTGGCACCTTTCCACACGTCCGGGTGCAGAGAGCCAGGCTCGGCGTATTTGCACTTCAGGATGTGGCCGAACATGAGGTAGTTGTCCATGGCTTCGGCAGCTATCTTCGCGACCGAATCGTGGGCGAATTCAATGAATGCAAAGTGCTTCGAAGCGCCGGTCTTCTTGTTTCGTGAGAGTCGTAGTCGAGTTATCTCGCCGAATTGGGAAAAGTATGCCCTCATCTCCTTCTCGTAGAAGCCGTGGGGGATGCGGCCCACATACACGGTACCAGGGCCTTCGTCGCCTCCTTTGGCCTTGGCCTTGTCAAGCTTCTTCTGGAGCTTCTTGGATTTGGGCAGCGCCGGGATCTTGGAGAGGTCAAGACCTTCGTCTCCTTGCTTGTCTTCTGTGTCCGAGTCGAACCCGGTAAGCAATGCGGCAGCATTGTCGTCCGCCTCAACCTGGTCGTCGTCCTCATCGGCTTCGCTTGCAAAGCCACCGAAACCATCTTCGAGCTCGTGATCAACGGTGCGTTCTGCTTCGGCCTGCATTGAAGTCGAAACCGGCTGGTGCTTGGTTGCAGTCTCAAGCTCTTCTTCTCCCGTATGCTCAATCACACCATTAACGCCGTCTGCTGTAAGTGGTTCGCCATCCTCGCTCTTTTTGGTTTTCTTGCTCTTCTTAGCCTTCTTCTTGGCAGGTTCGTCGGAGATCTGGGCAGGTTCGTTCTCTAGGAGCTTGACGCCACCGTCGGAGTCCGCAGCTTCATCTCCATCCATGAAGTCCGCTGCCCGTTTTCGAGCCTGCTTTGACTTCACAACAGTTGACTTGTCTATGGCGGCAGACTCTGGAATCAGGTCAGACAGCATGTTCGAGGATTTGTCTGGGTCGATGGCAGGTGCGGTACCATCGCCGTCTTCCGTCTTTGTATCGTTCTTCTTGTCTGCCGGCTTTGACTTCTTGCCCTTCTTCGAGGTCTCGTCCGTCGCACCGAACGACTCTGCACACCGTTAGATGATCTTCTGACAGATATGTCCGCCACACATACCCTTGCGTTTCTTGCTGCCCATACTCACGACTTTTTGGACCGTTGGAGGTGTCGATCGGCGAGTGGACAAGTCACTACAATGCCTGGAAAATACCAAAACTCGAAAGTCTCTCGATCTCAACTGCGGGTCGAACCAAGCAAAAATTTCTCCAACTGTTATTGCCAAGCATTCTTACAGAAATGCGGAGAGACGAAAGCTTGGAGGAAAGTCAGCCGACCGCGTGCTGAGGAGGCGCCTAATTTGTGAGTTGTCGTTTTCCGCTAGGACATGCCTTTTCTCCCTACGCAGACTGTCTTTGCGAGTGGTCAGATTGAGGATCCTGCCAATGTGCAATGGCAGTCGAATAACAGCTGACTTTACGTCAGATCGGAGGACGATGCCTAGAGGGATTCCGAACAAGTTGAAGCTGATGATTTCTGGCGGGTTGCTTGCATGACACGAGTAAGATGTAGGCACAATCACCTCCTGTTATCCTTGCATAAAGAGCCAAGGAGCTTGAAGCACTGTTGTCGCCGCTCACTGAAAAGGCATTGTAGATGAGTTGCCAGCAGTGCTCTGAGTGACGGCACATGAACCCGATTAGCCACTTGAATCGTCCTGCCATCCGCCCAGAACTTGCTCAGTCGCCCACGTATGCTTGGTTCAGGCTGTCAGTAGCCACAATGCTGGTGGCACCAGACACTACAATATCTCGGGACGGACGGCCGTTACTGCTACGGGTGATACACTCCATTATCGTCTTTGTCACGTTCATGAATCTCTTGCAATCTTCTTGCCATTCATGAATAGCAAGATGAAAGCCTGCATTCTCGAAAGCCGCCAGTGCAATCTGATATTGCTGTGGTACCCGAGACTGTAGACCATAAGGTTCGTAGATGTACACGAACGAGAGCAAGGCCAATCAACCTCCCTGCCCTGCCCTGCACCAGTATCCTGAGACAAGGCTGCAGAGAGACGGCTGCATCCTCTAGCACAATAGCAATACGGTCGAAGCTCGGAGTAGCGGGAAGGTTGAAGAAGCGGACACCGAAACTTGATCATGACGGTCATCGCAAAACCTCTCGGTTCAGCTGAGCGGGCTTAGAGTGGTGATAACTCCGGAAAAGGTGTCGCCATTGATCCGCACAAGCTCATCCAAGCATTGGTGGCAAGCTCATCTTATTTTTTGTTTGGCGGGCCACAAGAGCTTACCACATTCACGCCCGTACCTAGTACTGCGTTACGGACAAGTATGAGGCACAAAAGCATGGCAACGTGTTCTCGGAGAACCTGGTGCAATCCAGCCTGCCAGTTATCTCGAAATGGGAGCATTGTGAGGCTGGGCGGCTGAATTCATCAACAATGATGCGCCGGGGGCTATGGAAGCATTTGGAGGTTGGGTCGGTCACCGAGGAGGTTGATGAGACGAAGTAGGCAATTGTACATGCATTTTCAAAGAAATGGATATGTCATCCTCAGTCAGATACGGCCAGCTCAGCGAATACGGGCAGCTTTATCCGCTGTATTCTCAAAGGGGGCTCCGCATACAGTACTCGTACGAGTATGAGAGACTGAGGAAAACATCGTCTTGTATTCCGTACAAGCCGAACATTCGGCACATTAATTACGCCTCGTGCGTCATACACCACCGGAAGGCCGTTCCTGTCGTTAGCGCCTGTTAAAACGCCTCAGCCGCAGAGATTTGCGGTCCATCTCCCGCTTTGGCACCAACGATGTCCTGACCTTTCCAAGGAAGTCCTCTGACTCGATCAGATGACAGGCTCTCAGGCACGCGTCAGGCTGACCTAAACCCAGTGCTTTGCTGCTGTTCGTAGCAGTCATGGAGCACCATCCCTGTCGCTGGTTGAGCGGAACAGCCGGGATGGGCGCTTTAGTAAGCCATCTTTGCCCGACGTGGCCATTCGCGCACTTTGGCCTTGGTGTGCTCGCCGCTTCGTTTGAGGTCTTTGCCTGACCAGGCAAGGCAGGACCATATGACTCGTCGGCTGCTCGCGTACGAATCGACGGAGCTTGCAGGGTCGACGATGAGAGCCTTTTCTGTCTGGCCGATCTTCCTGGTGACATGTTGCTTATGTGGATTGGCAACCCGAAGCAATGAGGCGGGTTTTGATGATTCTCCTCCGGCCTCCCACGCCACTCGCAAGCCTCTTATTCTCAGATTCCCGTACTCTTGATACTTCTTGTCCTCTCTTGACTTTCGGTATCTGCAAGAAGCATCTGCTTGGCGTATTATCCCAAGCGTCAAAGGTGCTCGGAGCTTGACTGACGAGAACTCGGTCAGCCATTGGAGCACGTGTCTGCGCAAAGATCAGTCTCTCTCCGACCCTTCGGTGCCATGGCGCCGGTCATATGGGGTCTCGACCTACGAGACATGAAATGGAGCATGTTTGGAAGCCAGTGGATGTGGAAGAACAAAGATTACCACCTCCGGCGGACGAAGTTCGTCATCTACCAACTTGCCATGATTTGCATGGTCGTTTCTGAATCAATAGGCACCGCTGCCCTGTCAGGTAATTGAGTATCCTCGTTTGAAAGGCTTGCTGAGGCTCTTGTCTGACACCGAATCGATAGATTACGTCAAACAACAATCGACGATAGAGAGGTTACACTCATCAGCAAGCGTCCACAACGATGACTTCGTCGGCATCGCATCGTACAATATCTTCTGCGGCATTGTTGTCGCGACCATCTTCGGCGCGGGATTCTTCTTCGATCTCTTCTTCCCTGAGCGCTACGAGCCCAAGAACATTCGCTGGGCATGGAGACTCAGTGCCGTCTTCGTCACGCTTTGCACCATCGCCGATGCTCTGGCGTTCACGGTCATCGTGGCCACTGGCAAGGCCTGGATCTCTGCCAACTCCCAAGACGCAGAGCAGATTGCCCTTGAGCATATCAATCCTCCTTTGGTGTACCGACATAATCATAGAGCCATCGCAGCTACCGTGTTCTTGTGGATTGGCATGGTTGCCACAGTCGCCAGCTGCATCATTCTCTGGATGTACTACGCACATCTCGACGCCCATGGGCCCAAATCCCGCTCTGCCCGCATGCGAGATGAATTTGACAAGACCACCTTGGTCAATGAGAGGGCTCAGTCCGGCATGAGATTGCACGAGCAGATGAGAGAGCAAACGGTCTACAACACGACCACCGGTAAAAGGCAAGTCACCCCCGCAAAGCAATCCCGGCGTGACAGCCTCGAGCTAACCCCATCTCTTAGCCCGGACAAGCCTTGAACGGCCGTCTCAACGGTTCTTCCTGACTACAGGAGGGAGTCGTACGATCTGATCGCACTTGACTGGTCGAGGCATGGCCTGCAGTCAATCCAGCACGAAATCATCACACGTCTGGCCACATTATGCCCGTCCGTCACCATTTCAGTCTGCATCCGCAGACATAGCACCACTTCAGCTACAAACCAACACTGTCATCATATAATTCAGCCATTCTTATACATCGTGGCTCCCATGCAAGAATCAAGCATAAGCATCAAGCATCAAGCATCGAGCATCGAGCATCGAGCATTTTCTCCGGCGTTATGACGCATATGGACAAGGAACCAGCCAGGACCGTTGACAGTCCATGTATCAACAGATTCAATCAACCAGGTCGAATATCTATCTACCTGTTCACTCAGGCATGCGGTTGGGTGTCTGGTGTTGGGTGGGTGTGTAACCGGAGTGAGAATGGGAATTACGCAATATCCTGTACGCATACGGGAGTAAAAAGAAGCATGGGAACGAATCCCTCTCTTCCTTGGTCGTTCCAAAACAGGTCGCACGCATGATTGATTACACGCATATATGGTTAATGACAGACACGAACAGTAACAGTAGGTGAACAGTACGAGTGAGTGCTGTCGATTGAATTAATAGTGATATTGATAATTGCTCCGGCAATTTCCTCCCGCTAGTGAACGTTGGGTGAACGTGCTGTGTATGTAAGTATGATGTATTTCAAGTGAAAAGTCTCATGCGATCCTAGGTATTCTACACTATGTGGCGAAGTGAGCATGAGCATGAGCATGACACCGACTGTTCGTTCCAATGCAAGCAAGTTAACAGACAACGTCGCAAAGGGACTGGTTATCACGTTTGTCAGGATCCTGCAGACGCAAAGACACACATACACATACGCATAACGCGCACGCGACTTGTTCGATATTATGCCCGTTCGCTGCACGAGTCTATTGTTTTCGACCTGCTGCATGCACGTCTTGTCGGGGTGCATCTATTTTCGTAAGTGGCCCTACAAACGGAGCCCGCGGCCTCTAGGCATTTGTGTCCGAATGTAATTCCACGAGATGGGAATTTCATCGGTCGTGGTTACATCCCACCCACATTCGCATCCCTGTCGTGGAGTACCTGACCCTTGTATCTTGTATGCAGTCGGCCACTAACTGGTCGTGGCCCGACGGCAGGTCCCCATCTGGACAACGGTAAATCGACGGGTCACTTGCACTCAGCTCAGATCCATGGGCTCGCCATCCGCATTGCCAGCAGGCTCCGTCTTGACCGTCTCTACAAACTCCCTGCGTGCACTTCCCATTTTCTCGTCCTTGAATTTCCGGATCTGCTCTTTGACGTCCGTTGCTGAAAGATGAAGTCAGTATACAAGACCAAAAGCCGTGGGGTGGCACACGGAGGTAAAGGTCAACTTACCAGGAATGACGTCCTCTATCTTCAGCGGCACCCGATTGAATGGATCATGTGGATCACTGAGCAAGTGACTCCGTATCGTGCTTCTGTCAATCACAATCTTCGACACAGGTAATCGGACTGGATCTTCCATGAGAGTGTACATGAGCGGATCCAAGAACTCGTCAGGTATCTCGCCCAGGTCGGCGTCTGCAGCCTCGTCCTCTTTCTTCGCTTGTGCGAATTTCTCCGTCAGACGGTGCCATCTGTCGAGCTCCTCGGGGCCCTTAAGCATGAATTTGCGCATGATGTTGCCTGCGCTGACGAAGTTGTCGGGCTTGTAGGATCGGCCGTCTCTAGCCACCGCGAGGACAAAGTTCTCCTTCTCACCGAGGTTGAGATAGACGTCGATAATCTCACTCAGCAACGCTTTGGGATTGAAGTTGTATTCCTGCAGGTTTTCGACTTTGAGGTTGTTGGACTTGGGGCCGACCATTGCATCGAGGTTGTAATCCAACATGTCCGCCAACCGCTGCACGATTTCAGGCATGGTGAATGCATCGGCCAGAGCTTCCGTGAAGAGTTTCAACATGGCAACCGTCTCGTTGGTCAGCTGCATGTAAGACTTGGCTCGGCCCTTCGCCTGTTCCAAGATTTCCTCTTTTGCTTGACGTTGCTCCTGGTCGAGCGATGTGCCAGCCATGGAGAGCTCTTTGGAAGTATCGTAAATGGTGTGGAAAGCCGTAAACGACTCATCCAGCACGAATGTGACGTCGTTCAGCAAAAGATTAACGAACCGCACAAAGAACTCCATGTTGACTTTGGCCTCCCTTAGCAGATGATCCCGGTATACCGTGTTTGGCCAGATGCACTTGATGATTTGAAATATTTCGAACCGTACGTTGAACTTGTCGAAAAATTGGCCATGGCCGCCCATGAACTCGGCCTCGATGAAGAATCGCATCAAAGAATGCAGTAAGTGTTCTGTAGCAAAGGGCATGCTGTTATACTGATCCGCCAGTATACCTCTTCCACCTTGACGCCACGTCCAGGTTCCCCGGAAGAGGATAGTAACAAGCGATGCTTTCAGATAAGGGTTCTTGATGTACTCGGAATTGCGCAAGAAAGTAATGCAAAGCATAATCAGCTCGTCTGATTGCGTTGACGATATGAGTTGAGGCAGGTTGTACATGATGAAGCCAAAATTGCCGCTAATAACATCCAAGAAGTATTCAGGCAGATTCTTGAAGGCTTCAGGTTCGTCAGGGGACAGAGGAAGCGTCAGGTTTTGTTTCGGAAATTGTCGATGAGACGATACCTGCCGAAGTATCCAAACCGTCACGAAGCGCATGAACTGCATCGAAGGAGTCTGAGTAAGCTCGTCCAGCAGTACGCCCGTGACTGCGTGTTTGTAGGACAAACCCTTATCATGCTCGGTCTTGTACTTCTTAAGTGCGTTTTCGAACATCGTGAGCTGCGCAGGATTGTTGATGTATCTGTGTCGTTGCGTCTCGAATTCTTCGATCTGCTTGGCCATGTGCTTCAGACTTCTGTCCATATCCTTGAGCATGTTTCGCGCAGCCTCCGTCCCATAGTGATGAGCAGCGACTGTCAGGAAGAAGCACTCGGAAATGAAGTTGTTCGTTCCTTCCAGCTGGTTCTTGTAAAACTCGTCAGAGTGGTCCTGATCTGAATTGATTTTCGTTTCGTCTTTGATGTCAACTCGAGGATGTCTTCGCAGATAATCGATGTCAACGCGATCTATCTTCGAGAATTGAGCGTCCATGAAGGGCTCACAAAGCTGATCCAAAACTGTGGTGACGTTGATCATGAACCCATCACTCGAGACGGTCTTCTTGTCGACCTGAATCGCCCTACGTTTGTGGTTTGAGTTGACCACTAGAGCAAACCAATCCAAAACGCGATCTCGTGCCTCTGGCGATGCGCGTACCAGTGTGTTGATGATGTCGAAAAGTTCGGATTGATGCGTTCTCAGAGCCAACTGCAGCGACTGTTGAGAGTTTCTGATCCTGCCTGGATCCATGGTTTTCGGGCTTGAGAAATATGACTGGGTCGTTGCTGCTTGTAGGGGGGACAATTGAAAATATGGCCCAAGTATTGTCTTAACCTCTAACTCAGCTGCCGGTACCGACTTGTCGACAAACATAGGGGACCGAGTGATGGCCACCGCTACCGGTTTGTACCTGATCAGATATCGGAGCATCGTAGTATACCGCCTGAAGTCTGAGTCCATCGACATGCTAGCAAGTCGCTTGCTGAGGTTTTCTACCGCACCCACAAAAGCATCTTTGATGGTCTCGTCCTCGTCGAATCGCCCAATAACTTCTGTCAGGAAATCGGGGCATACGCCTCCGTCGTCCTCGGGATCGGCTAACAGGTGCTCGGCGAGGGCAGCAACTCCGTCATATTGCGCTTCAAACACATCAGGCGTCGTGATAGATAATATGCACCAGCTCATGCAGAGTCTCTTGGCCTCTGCGACGATGGTCCACTTCTTGTTCTCGGGCGACCGGTCCTTGACAGACTTGCTCAGCCTGGTGATTCGCTTCCAGCAGCCAAAGAGCCAGTCATGCGGAGTCAGCTTTCCAAGATTCGCACCGGCTTCCATGATCGCCTGATCGAGCAGATCGGTGTTCAGCATCAGCGGCTTCCCGTCCGACTCCAGCTCTTCTCTGAGTTGTGAGATGACATGCAGTGGCTGTCCTGATGTGTCCTTCGTCTGGTCGGGATCCAGAGTGATGCGGAAAACGCTCCTCAGAGTGCGGTCTTCCCACTGTTCGATGGATTCATTCTGTCGAGCCCCTTGTCTCGAACTTGGTCTCTCTAAGCCGTCCATCTCTCGCTTCTGGGGTGTGACGGTGGCTGGAGCGATCCGTATTCGGACCGGAGGTGACGGCGGTTTCGCTATATTGATGGACGCTGGGGCCAACTCGGTCTCTGAAGGCTCTTGATGGGTGTCGGCTTGCGGCGTCTCTGGTCGTGAGGGTGGTGTCGACGTCGAACCCTCTTCGGCTGGTACTGGGGCTGCGGATGCGGCATCTTGCGACTGCTGCGGTTGAGACTGCTGGAGTTTGGCGAGTCTCTTATTGCGGATCTGGTCGACGTTAGAGAAACTAGATGCATGCAGACCTCACGCACCTTGTCCGCATCCATAGAAGGGTCCTCCATCGTTGTGCCTGTCGTGGATGACAAATGTACACTGTACAGTGAACCAACACTCAGCCGGAGGTGAAGGCTGCGATTTGGGGTTACAAGTTGACGTCGACGCTGCGGAGGGAAATAGCCAGACGCGCGTGGAATCTCTAGACGAGCCCCACCAGAATTAATCAAAGCAATCCAAGGTAGTTAATGACTAACCGAACATCTGTCACTCTACATCCGAGTCCAGCCTCATGACAGACTATCGGACGTATCAGGCAGAGAAGAGATACAAAGGTCGAGAGATTATTCGCTGCTTCATGGAGTGCTACACAGTGCCTACCTTCAGCCTGACAGGCGAGGCTGCGCCACCAACTCCGAACAATGATGCAAGTAATCGTCCAACAATGAAAACAGAAGATCTGCACACAACCTTGTCGCATTTGAATCAATACTGTCGTTTGACTTTCAACTCTTCCAGTCGCCGGCAGCCAGGCATGGCCATATTCCTTGCCCTCTGCAGCCTGTTCTCGTCTGTAAAAAAGAAACCCGTAGCCTCGTTGATTTCGTGCCGTTGCCGCTGTACCTCAGTTTCGCATTGGTACTTCAACGTTGAAACATAGTCCACTTCTGCCCGCTGATCTAGGGAGCTGAACTGCCTGGAAGTGTAACCATCCACCTCGGCGGGATTCAGAAAGTAGTCGATCTTATACCGAGGCGTGACCCGATGCATCGTATGCGGGGGTACGGGCGAGTCATATCGAACATGCGGGCCGGAGTCGGTTGAGCCAGTGAAGAAAGACGACAATAGAGGAAGGACGAATAACAGGAGTAGTGGTAGAAGCTGTGTCAGTGCAGACATTCCCGATGGGGCGGTTTCCGATCCATCTCGCGGCCTTGCTCTCGGTCTGTTGCCTCCCATACGATGTACTGTAAAACCGGGGCCGCCGCCCATATTGAAAACGAACTGGGGCCCTCCAAAGCCGGCGCCGCCTGTTCAAGTCAGCATGTTAGACGCATGTGCAGGAGTTTGGCCAGACCTACCAAACTGGAATCCGGGGCCCATCCCTCCGCCAAAGAACCGGTTGAACAACTCCTCAGGCGAGATCTCGTCTTCATACATAGGGCCCCTACCGGGAGACCTTGCGAACCCACTGAAGGGACTGGCTCCCGCAGATGCGGCACCGCTGCTGGAGAAGCGGTTGTCAGGATCGCCGCCAAACTGATCGTACCTGGCCTTCTTATCGGCGTCTGATAATATTTGGAAAGCGCGAGAGACCACTGCCAGTTGTCAATTCCATGCCCGCACATGCGGAGCCATTATACTGACTCTTAAAAGCCTCATCAGCTCCCTCGTAACCATTTTTGTCGGGATGTGTCAAAAGACTAATTTTGCGATATGCCTTTTTGATCTCGCCGTCGCTTGCCGTCTTTTCGATCGCAAGGATCTCGTAGAAGGCTGTAGGGCTGCATTTCCGTATCCGAAGGACCTCCGCCTTCTGTTGCGGTGTGTACTTGCGATCCTGGTTTCCCTGATTATGAGCCCGTGGGTCGGCCGAGCCGTTTGCTCTGGCATCGGAGCCAGAGGCTGTTGCGGACATGCCGCACTGGGAACACGTTTGCGGACGGTATCAGAGAATGCGGCTATCTCGAGTCGTAGTCGTAGGTGGTCTGGAAGCGCCGTACTTGGAATCTTGTTCGGGTGTGGTGATTTACGACTTTTGTTTGGAAAGGTGTTCGAAACGCCAACTTGGTGGGTTGCAATTGCAGGGTGGAAAGTCACCGCAGTCGCTGCCGAAGAGATGCCAGAGCAATGACGTTGACGCCGGCCTCCAAGCTACAACAGCTCCCACCGTCCACTGTGCCAGTAGCTTACCTGGTAGACTGCTTCATCTGGTCGCTCTCAGATGGCTGACTCTGAGAAAGAGCAAGCGAAAGAATCTCTCGTGGTCACCGCGAAGAAATGGGGAGGTTCGTCAAAACCATGCTTCTGGCTCTATGCAATGAGATTGACTACTTCTCAGAATACCTGCTTACACTCCTAACAGAGAACCCCGTACCACCTGCTCTTCTAGCTACTCTCGTCTTCGCTCAGCATGCCCGGCCATTTCAACCTCTGCCCATGCTTTTCCCCCCATTGCTGCTGTTCTCGACATATCTGAACTTGCAAGGCTTCAAGATTGACAGCGCCGGCACGACCGCCGCATTAAGTGGCGCATATCTGGTTCTGGCAGGTAGGAGACGGATGGGCTTCGTGAACAAGTTTGGCGCCAGAGGTGTTATCCGTGGCGCCACGATGGGTCTGTGTCTGGTCAACCTGGTCGGCGGAGGGCTTGCATATGGATTTGGCAGTCGCACGAAGGAGGATGACAAGAGGAAGAGCCTTTAGGAAGATGTTGATCTTATTTCGGCTTCTCCTACATCCACACAGAATCAGGGCACACGGCAATGGGAAGGAAGAGGATCGTGGCAATGACTACCTCCGTTGGAGGCACGAGGGCTGGCTCCATGGGAACAAAAGGCGAAAGGCCCACACCGCAATACAGCAACGGGGACAGTGCTCTAGGTATCTACGGATACACCCAGAATCAAGATGTCGGGTTATGAGAGATGGGCATCTGTTCACCGTCTCCTTCGAAACCGACGTCTGGTGTCGGGATGTACTTGTTGCCGGCGTTGCAAGACCTCTGCTTGCATGAGCTTCCAAGGAACAAAGTTCGTGTAATACTAGGGCAACAGAGTATCAATGTGGGAGCGATCCATTAGATATCGGTCACTTCTTGTATAGGAAACAGGGCATCGCAATGACTTCATGGACAGTTTGAGGAACGGGTCCTGAGACTTCCATCAGGTTTCAATCAACAGTTTCATGGTCTTTTTGATTCTCGGCTTGTAATGACTTGGAAATCAATGACGACGGAAAAGACATCTTTGTTGTTGCGGTTTGTATCTCCTCATTTGACGCACTCATATCCATTCTGCCTGGCCAGAAAGGCATGTGATCCCAACCAAGAACGAATCAGAGTGTAACACGACAGGAGACGTCCATTTCAATGGACTGAGCATCAATCTCGGCATACTTTGACTCCATCCACCATCAAGTACCAGAAGGCAAGGCAGGATGAAGCTTCGAAAGTGCCAGGTCTACTCACCAACTGTGCCTTGACCTCATTTTCAGATGGGCGCAGAGAGGTTGGTGGCGATTCTGAATAACTCACCGGACTTCTCAAGAGCGAACTCTTGAGGAGCGGTGGCAGAAAGGGATGGGCTGGGTAGGATAGGGGAGTTGAAAAGAAGGGAGGCAAGGAGAGCAGACATAGAAAGTATTGTCGATTTGCCTACTAGCTCAGGTTGTGCCTGAGAGAAGAACCAGCGTTGGCGCGTTAGGGCAGGTCCTGTCTGATAGAAAATAGAGAAGAGGGCCAGGGCCAGAAGACAGGGGAAATATTTGTAGTCGAGAGACGACAACGAGGTCTTGGTGACAGTGAAGTCAAACCGGCCAGCGAAGTGAAGATCACCTGTGAAGTGGAATTCGCTGGTGAAGCGAAAATCATAAGCGACGTGCTAACCATTGCTGAACATGGCGTGGATCAGGGTGAAGTCGATTGAGCTCTCTTAAGTTTACAGTATATTGAATGATCATTGTCAGCCAAAAGCGAACCAACACCACCACGATGCTGCCAGCAGGACTGGCAGCAATCAAGCAGGTTGGATTAGATAGGCATTGTTATGTGATCTCGGCCGCTCGGGAATGTGTTAAAACCACAGCTCTGAAGGATCTTCGAGAGAAGGCATTAAACAAGGGTATGTTGAGGGCCTGGACAATAAAATTGGAAAAAGAGAAAGCAGGAACAAGAATGGCTTTTTTCGATGAGGCTTTTGCATTCGGCACTAGCAAGGATACTTTATTCTGCGGGCTTTGATTGGGGGATCGGGCTGTGGGGAACCGCAGCGGCCGGCTACGGTCTACTTACTGTTATTCTGAGTTGAACGAATGTGACCGAGTCCGGCGGTCGTTCTCACAACTAATGACAGCTCTCTTCTTCCCAGTCCGTGAACGATTCATGTTGCTATGCATAACTTGATAATAGCTTTACTATGTTGGTCCTGTGCTTGACCAGCGAAGAGCGTCTGCTCGGCGGGTAGTAGGTGGATAGTGACATTATGAGGTGCGTTTGAACGAACTGGATGGGGCGTGTAACTGGCCCTTCACACCTGCGGCCAGTCTCTGTACATCTTCGACAATACGGTCTTGTCTCAACGCATTTTAGCTCGCCGAATCCTGACCGAAGTGAGCGCAATCCGAGATGATTCTCTGGTAATCATACTTGCAGGTTAGGCAACGATTTCTCGATCTCTCGCTCCCAGCCCGTCGTGACCGCGTATGCCTGTTTTTTGAAGCGCCATTGGTCGTCTTTGAGCATCGTCGTGAGCTCAAGCAGGACGAAATGGATCCAGTAGTTCACTGGTGATGAAAGTACCTATCCCTGGACACACGAGGACCAACCAAAGTGAGCCAGGATAGGGGTGACTTGTCAGGTTCAGTTCCAGTCCGGCTGCAACTGATTGATCGTTAGCAGTAAGGTTCAAGTTGCGTGACATCCACCAAACCAACTGCGAGCTGGAGGCTTCTGTATTATATGCGTGCGAACAGTGAACGACACGGTATGTATCGAGCAGGCATCACGGGGTGCTACAGCAAAGAAAGGGATATCGAGGAGCCCCGGAGTAAAATTGGACGACTTGGCGGGCTGCTGCACAGCCTGAGCCTGCTGTACTTGCAAATAGCAGATGGTAACTGTACTGAGGATCTATTATGTAGGTCTCCTGTGATTAGAAGCGCCGATTGATGACCTTGCTTTGAGTTCATCCTAATCCACATTCACACTGCGTAGCCATGCTGTCCTATGAAGCTTTGGTGTCCGCAGTCTTGAGAGGCTCGATTACTGAAGCCTCCCAACTCAGTCCCCGTGGCTTGCCAGCTCTGAGGACCTCTCTGGACCGAGCATCATGCCGTTCGGCTTCATTCAGGCGAGCTGCCGGAGCAAATAGCGTGCATGTTCATTTTACCAGCAGAGGCCGTTAGGCTGTGGTGTCCACCGATATCTCGCTCAGATCCGCTGAATAGCAGCGGCTGGCGTGGTGATGGTGACGTGAACTCGGCTGTCATGCGCTGCAGCGCGGCCATCAGACGATTGTTCGCAACCCAATTTCGGATAATCGATGCTCTTCATCCTCCTGTAGCCTCACGATAAATTAAAATCGCTTTGTTGCTTCCAACAGTCACGAACTTTTCCGCCTTAGCTCTCCCCACGCTGGTCTCTCCCTTTGGAAGCCACATCACAGCCCACAGACCTTTATCGCTCTCGCCGTGCGTGGCCACGCAGACTCTTCGCTCGATATCCCATACTTTCACCTTACCATCCAGACTGCCACTGAGGATGTACTGGCCAGTGTGGCTCCAGTCGAGACTCGTGATCCAGGCCGCATGGCCGGTGAGATTCGCGACTTGTTCGCCTGAGTTGGGGTCGTAGAGTGAGATAATTCTTGCATCTCCGGCTGCTGCGAGTAGCTTCGAGCCTGGGGAGAACTTGACGGCCCGGACAGCTTTGATCAAACCAGGAAGCGAATGGAGAAGCCGGGATGTGGCGGTGGAGAATAGATAGATGTTGCCGGATTCGTGACCGCTGGCTATGAATCGGCCATCGGGGGACTTCGCACAATTGAGGTTAGTCGAAAACAGCAGACTCGAAACAAGTGTCACTTACCATATCGATGGACATGCCAAAGGAGCCTTTGGTCTCAAACTCCCTGATCTTCTCCCGACTTCCAGTGTCGTTCAGATCCCAAACGTTCACCCGCCCGTCATGCGTCGTGCCAGCAAGAAACTTCCCATCGAAGGACAGGCATACTGCCCATATCTCCCCAGCCTTCTTTCTCGGTCCGACTTTGATTTCTCCAGCATCTTTCCATGCACCTTCATCGTACTTCCATACTTTGACTTCGCCGCCAAACCCCACACTCACTGCATTTCTCCCCGTCTCGCGGTCCGTTACAATATGATGGCAGCCGAGTTTATGCGCATCATTGAGCACCTGCACGATGGGGAAATCGTCCTCGGTGGTGGAGTGGACCTTAATGGACGATTCGCCGGAGCCGGTGAGGATCTGGGTCGTGGTTACGGCAAGCGCGAAGATATCGGCGGCATGTGCTGGTAGCCATTGTCAATTCAAGCCGACCAAGTGCGTGTTATCCGGGAACTCACCGTCATCAATCGCGTGCTGAGCGAGATATTGTTTGGACTACGGATTACGAGATGTCAATTTGATCGAATCTTATACCAGTGGATATGGGTACAGACCATCTTGACTTCGGCAATACATTCCAATGTCAATTGCAACTTAGCAGGCTCGTGTGAGTCAAAGTACCACTGAGCAAGGTGTATCAATCGAAGAACACAAGAACAATTAAAAGTTGAGGTCTACTTCAAGGCCGTCTCTCTGATACTCCATTTCAAATGACGTAATTTACAAACTTGGAGGCATTCGATGCCAGAGTTGAGCAACGCTCCGTGTGTACTCGCCAATTTGTTGTACAGGCATCAGCCATTCTTCAAGCTGCACTCCCTCAATGCCAGTAAATCTTCTTCCTAGCTCCTTTCCGCCCAGCTCCGCCCCCTACTATCCGAACCCCTCGATCTTCCTGAGACTGTGCTGTGAGAGCAGGTCGAATTCTGTCCCGGCTAGCTGTGGTACCAACGTGGCTGGTACTCTTCGGCCATAGCTTCGCGGAATATCCGTGGCGAGCAGAGCACCCCTGCCTTGTTTGGGGTGGTATGCTGTGCCGAATTGAGGTGTTGGATGAGAGTAAGCCGTAGCCGTTGGTCGTCTGGACGCGGACGAGCCTCAAGCTCGATAGCCTAAGCAGATGACTTGGTTTTGACAATTCGGTCATTTCGCCTTCTCTTCACGCAGCTGTTGTTCTCCAATCCCATTATCGCTTGTAGTTTCGCCGAGTTTAGCCATGTCTTTTGCTTCTGCATCGCGTGCTCTCCAACTTTCGTAGATTTCTATCACTTGGCTCAGTACTTTTTCAACATAGCAGGTGCATTGAACGAACCTGCGACACAGTATGGACACAGTGTATGAGCTCTCTTCGGTTTGCCACAACCCGGACATTGATTGACGGCTTTCACATCTTTAAGTGCCTTGCCAGCTAACTGTCTGTGCCTCTTCTTGCTGTGCGAGGTTTTCTTCTTTGGTACTGCTTTCAGAATACCCTCCCAGATGTCTGATACAAGACCCGGGATGATGACCGTAATGGCAGGGAGTGGGATGGACGCCGATAGTAGACTCTGTGAAGACCATGCTTGGATAGCCGTGGAGATTGTGGCCACACTTCTTCCAAGGACCAGACCTGATAGCCGACCGCCGCTGACCGGACCAGCTAGCGCCATCATGGCCATACAGTGTCGACTGCGCAGTGGCAGTCAGGTACGAAAAGTGCAGCGCGCAGTAAACCCCAAGAATATTTAGACAAGCTTCGCTTTGGTCTTCTTGTGCTACCGTAGAATGACACCTGGCCAAATAGCGTTAGATACCAGGAACGGGGCCGTTTACCCCTGTCGCTTGGCGTGTTCTGCGCATTGGGAAGACAGAAAAGGGGCCTGCCGTTTCTGTCGAACGCTGGCAAGATCGTCTGGGGAAATTTGTCCGCAGTCGCAACTCCCTCTTCCCTCCTGCACGATCGTCCTCAACTCGACCTCACCTTGGCCTGCGCGTCAAGATTGCTCTTGTTTATCGCATCAATACCTCCCGAGTCTCTACTGGTGGCCAGACAAGATGGCGGCCATGGCAATGCAACAACCCAACGCGGTCTTCCCCAGATCGCATGTCGGTTTTGACTCCATCACTCAACAGATCGAAAAGAAGTTGCTGAAGAGAGGTTTCCAATTCAATGTCATCTGTGTTGGTACGTGAAGACCTGTTCCAATTCCTGCTCGCTTGCTTACCTTCCAAGGTCAAACTGGTCTGGGCAAATCGACTCTCATCAACACCATCTTCGCATCACACCTCATCGACTCCAAAGGCCGTCTGCGTCCTGACGAGCCAATTCGATCCACCACCGATATCCAGACGGTTTCCCACAGTCAGTGGTCCTATTCAAAGAGTGTCTGGATACACAGCTGATAGTGCCTAGTCATCGAAGAGAATGGTGTGAGACTACGACTCAGCATTGTCGACACCCCCGGCTATGGCGATCTTGTGAACAATGACCGATGGTGAGCCTGATCATGAGCGCACGTTGCGGCGCACTTAGCTGACATTCTTTTAGCTGGGATCCCATTGTGAAATACATCAAAGACCAACATTCCGCCTGTGAGTGCTCCTCCAAATCATACACAGTTACCCATCATCTGCCAATGTTTGGTGTTTCCAAGTACCACTCTTCGTTACTAACAACGAAACAGACCTCCGCAAGGAGCTCACAGCCCAAAGAGAACGCTACATCCCGGATACCCGCATTCACTGCTGCCTCTTTTTCATCCAACCGTCCGGCCATGCTCTGAAGCCCATCGACATTGTGGTCCTGAAGAAGCTCTCCGATGTGGTCAATGTCGTCCCAGTCATTGCCAAGGCCGACTCTCTCACGCTTGAGGAACGACGAGCGTTCAAAGAGCGAATCAAGGAGGAGTTTGCTTTCCACAACCTGAAGATGTATCCGTACGATAACGAGGAATTGGATGATGAGGAGCGTGCCACCAATGCGACCATCAAGGACATCATCCCTTTTGCAGTTGTCGGCAGCGAGAAATCCATCATTGTTAACGGCAAGCAAGTCCGTGGCCGACAGAACAAATGGGGCATCATCAATGTCGAGGACGAGAACCATTGCGAGTTTGTCTACCTCCGAAACTTCCTCACTCGCACCCATCTCCAGGATCTCATCGAGACCACGAGTCAAATCCACTACGAGACGTTCCGGGCGAAGCAGTTGCTGGCACTCAAGGAGAGCAGCGCCGGCGGTATGGCTGGTAGCCGGCCCATCAGCCCTGCCGCCGACCGAGAATTGAGCAGAGGCTCACAGAGAGTGACCATGAACGGATATTAGAGGAGACGAACATGTTCAAGCATCGAAGAAGTGGATGAGGGGATTGGGATGATTTGACAAAAGCAATGGTTGAGCTTGAGCGATTGCCATGTCCTCGTCTTTTCATTCTATTGCTAAGCGTCTATCAGAGAGCGGGTCTTTCGTCCTTTTGCAACCGGGGTATAAACTAATTCCTCATGACCATTCATCCATCGCTGTAGTCGAAATGAGAGCTGTGCAGAATTGTCGAGTCAAGTTCGCGTTCTCGTTGAGATATCTTTCATGACCCATTCGTCCAGCTCCCTGAAGGTGCGGTCCAAGTCGTCGTTGATGATGACCTTGTCATTCTTGCCTTCGCTTTTGCAGTATTCCATTTCGTTCTTCGCTTGAGCCAACCTCTTCTGAATTGAAGCCTCATCCGTGTCGCCACGCCCCCGTAATCGCTGCTCCAGGATTTCAAGACTGGGCGGTTGGATGAAGCATATTCTCGGATTTAGGCTGCTCTTCTTCAACTGCTTTACCCCTTCCATCTCAATGTCGAATATGCAAATCCTCTTGCCCTCGGCTGTGCCTCCATTGATGTCCTTCCCACGACCCTCGGCGACGTCCTGCACGGCTTGCTTGGATGACCCATAGTAGTTCCCTCCGAATTTGGCATGTTCGAGGAAAGCATCGGCCGCGATCATGGACTCAAACTTTTCGACGCTGACGAAGTGGTAGTGGGTTCCGTCTACTTCGCCCGGTCTGGGTTTTCTTGTGGCATGGGACACACTGGCTTCTTGTCAGCTCCGAAAGACGAACGACCAAACGTCCTGAGCGAGAGTGATAAGGTTTTTCTCATCAGACTTACGAGAAGCCAAAGAGATCAGGATGAGCTGCAAACAAGCGCTTTATTAATGTGCTCTTCCCCGTGCCGCTGGGCCCAGAGAACACAATAGCTCGGAAACGGTCATCTGCAGAGATTGGCGCCATGCTGAGGGCGCCGCTCGAGTATCGGACAGCGGCTCGAGGTGCAGATCTCACGCAGGCACGTAACCCCGAGGAAATCAAGGGTGTTATGGCGGACATAAACTCGAACTCGTTAGAGAGGGGAAGAACCCCAGAAATCTATGGCCGTTGTCCTGCGGTGAAGGGCAACCAATCGCCTTGCTCAAGAGGAGCCCGCAGCTGGCTGCCTTTGATTCTTGGCAGGGGAAGATCGTTGAATCTCGAATCCTGTTCGCTCTAATGCAACTTTGGGATTTGCGAAAGACGTCTATTACTGACATCCTTCATTTGTGATGCGTCGGGGCCTATGGAGGAGTCACCTTTGATGTCCGATGGCCATGGTGAGAATGAGCCATCATGTGTTTCTGCAATAGGGGAAGAAAACAGCTATGCCGTCGACGGTGTCGAAAATAACACCGCGCAACAGACCGATATTGGTGTCCCTGGCACGACCGCTGTCGCGTCGCGACCCCGGTATGTATTCCGTCTCCCCAGGCGCACCAGGTACCGATGGACCTTTTTAACGCAGCCATTGACGCCTGCACAGGAGGAAGAGGGGCCGTCATCCAAAGGATCCACTGGGTCAAACAGTCCGGTTCCAGTGCTCAAGGCTAGAAGATCTCGAGGCCAACTTGAGAGAATACCTAGCAAACCCCGTTCACCCTGCTGAGCACACCACCTTGGAGTTCAGCTTTCCAGTTACCGCAGCCTTTCTGATACCGGCTCGAGAGGCGCTCGGAACCGCTGACCCAGGCGACAAAATGACACCTTTTACCTACTCGCTGTTTAAGAAGTCTGCAGTTTCGGTGGTTGATGCTTTGCATAACATCCCTGATCCGAAGGAGGTGAGTCTTTTCACTCGTCGGCGGATGTCCATTGAGCTGTTTCGCCACATCGGCAATCTAACTCGTGTCCACAGCAAATGATCACCCAGAAGAGAATCTCCAAGTCCCTGGTGGAGGCCATTTCAGAAATTGACGGCTTCCGCTACAGCTTCCATAACAATTGGCTGTCAAATGCCGATCAGGCGAACGTATGTGCCCCGTCCGCCGATCGACCGTGTTTCCTTCTGTACTTTTATTGCGTCTGCGGTGTCAGAGTGGGCGGAAGCTAAGAATATCCTCAGAGATTCTCCTACTATTGCAACGATTCCATACTGAACAAAGGAAGAGCTGCAAACGAGGGCCTCGCTAAGATCCGTGGTGGCGTGAAGAGTCGAAAGCCGGTATACGAGTGTGAAGGCGGGATTTGGATCAAATTCTCGCTAACCAAAAACAACCTCCAACTCGACTACAAACATATTCCCATCCATCCCACTTTCGAAGAGACAGCACCCCTTCCGAGAAACGGGAGTAAGCGCAGGAAACTTTGGGAGATTTTCCATCCCGAAAAACTTCCTCAGAACAGGGGCCGTTTCGCGAAAGACAAGTCTAACCCGCAGGAGAAGGCTCGGAAGAGGAAGTCCACAGATGATCCGAAGACGCCAGGAAGACGCAAAAGAAGGGCCACCGAGCCAGCAAGTCAATGCAATGATTTATCCACACCCCAGAGTACCCAGCACCGAGAGAACAGTTTACAGCCCCTGTTCGACTTTCTTGGATCGGCGGATCGGCTTGAAGATGCTGACGGTGCGGTCCCTGAAACAGAAAGCCTCGTCGACTGCAATGGAGGCTCAGCACCACCGGCTCTTGGAGCAGACGCCGAAGACGTCCCAGAAATTGAAAGTACCGCACCTTCGGGTAACAAGGACAAGACACACCCGGGTACCATGAGCGGTTCTATGACTAACGAGGACTTGACGCGAGGCAAGAAGACCAGGCCCAAGAAAAAGGGCTCAAAACGCTCCACGGAGCAGCCTCCTGGGGAATCTGCTACTGCTCCCATACCTCCAACAGCTGTGACATCACAGCCAGCTCCAGCAGCAATGCAGCAAGCCAATGGCCCGGCACCTGCATCGGCAAGTTCGGACGAAATTGATGCCTTGAGACGGAGATTGCTCGAGGCCGAGGAGAAGATCCGCCAACTCGAAGGCCAAAAACAACAAGAACCACAGCCTCCACAGCCTCCACAGCCTGCTCAACCTGTCACCATAATGCAACAGCCTCCTCTGCCACCTCCAGCCCCTCAGGCTCAGTATGCGCCACCACAGTACTCAAATCACGCAGCTCCCGCCCCTCCGGGTCAATGGCAGTATCCTCCATATCCCCCCTACCAGTATCCTGCTCCCGGGTCTTCCCACCCTCCACTTTCGCCTCCTCCAGTCCCTGCAGCAACACTACCACAGCCTTATTATCAAGCGAAACAAAATCTGCCTCTTCCTGTGCAGCCGAACCCATCGCCTTCGTATGGCTTTGTCCCGAACCCTGCCGAGCTTTTTGCAACGAATATTAGGCCGCAATTAGTGCCGAGTCCATCTCAGAGCGTACCCGGTCCTGCGCCTCCGACATTACATCGTCAGCACAACAACGCGGCACCACCTTTGCCAGCACAGAGTCCTGCTCCATCTCAATCACAAGGCCAATCCCACCCCTCGAGCTCAGCTCAATCTCAACCGCAAACCCCCGTCGCAGGGACCAACCGACCAATAGCTCCGTATCCGCATACTGCCGTGGAACAACAGGGGGTTCAAGCTCGGCCACCGAGCGAGGCTCAGCCGCAAGCCCCAAAAGCTTAGAATCCAGGACGCGCCCTGGAAAGGAAGTGGGATACAGTATGATCACGGAGCCCACTGCGTTCGGATCCAGGGTTGGTGATCTGGTGCTTCTTCTTCGATGATGGTATTCCAGTCTCCTACTCACCCAAGCGGCCAAGCGACATAGCGGTTCGAGAAGCAGCGTGGTGTACTGTGTTTTTACCGATAATTGTCTGGATCTGCTCGTCGTCTACATATGATGCATCGTCGATTAATAAGTAAGACTCATATATCAATATACCAAATATACCAATATGTTGAGGCGGTCCGAAGGAAACCAAGCCAGCTTTGGTTGGCCTCAGTTCTTCTTTTGACTCCAGACTCTGTGCTCTGTGAAGGCCCTTCCTCTTCTTGTAGAGACCGCAGGGCTCTGCAGTAAGCCATGTGCACTGAAATCTCAGCTGAGCATGGGGTATTGTGTCAACTTGTGCAGCATATAGTCATATGGTGAACCGGGGTGACGCTTCACGGCCAACAGGTATACCCCTCTGCAGCGGCAGGCACCGCCTCTACTTACACTCGACTACACTACATCTTGAAAGGAATGGTGGCGATGTCTGCAAGTTGAGTGGTGTGTATTTGTCTGTCCGTCTAGGGACTGTCGAAAAGAAAACAGGCAAAATAAAAAAAGGAAAGAAGCGCAGCCTTGTGCGCGAAAAGCTCCACCAATCAGAAGGCCAGATTGCCTCTCTGTACACGTCTCGACAATGTACAGGGGAACGGCAGCCTTGCCAAACCACAGCTTCGTCAGCCCCATTACAATGGTGTGCTGGTCCTCCTCGTCACGTTGCGCGATAGCCACAGTTACCATGTAGGAAGTGAGTGATACTATACTCTGTACCGTTTCTCTATACCTAGGTACCGAGTCTGGTATTCTCGGTCCCTCTCATTCTCAGCTCATCTGATCTTAAATTCCGAGGGGGAGTCGATTTTGTCCGGGTGGGTTGGGAATAGTCAAACCGATCGCATAATTAAATCGTGCTTGTTACTTAACCCTGTAATGTGCCAATGACGCTACTGTAGATGCCGGTGCTGCGCAAAGATGGACATGAAATGGTACGACGCTCAGGAGATTGCTCTTCCACTGGCTAAAGTCGCGCACGGCGGACAAGGTCTTTAGTACTATATACTGCATGATGTGAGTACTCCGTACAGAAGTCGTAGTTAACGTACTTTTGCGTGGACGGGGAAAGACAATAGAAAGGCTTAATCAATCGGTGGCGGTATTGGTCTTGGAGTCTTGCTCGGCGGAGTGCCTTGTTAAAGTCAGGTACATCCGATGTCCGGACTGCAGGATACTGTAAAGAGGCGTGCAGCCTGTTGGGAAGTTCAATGGCCTGATGCGTAGAGGTTGAGTGTTTACGAGTCGAGTTAAATCGTAATATCGATTGATTTCAGTACCACACGACGGCGACGTCGACTTCGCCATGCCTACCTGACTACCTCGTATCACATCATAGCATAGCATATCGTACCATATCATATCATATCATATCACATCATAATCATATCATATCATATCATATCATGCCATATCGGAGACTACTGCAGGAATACCTTCGAACGCTCCACACAAGTCATACATAGTCATCTGTGGTCCTCCAGCGATGGGATGTGTCAACCCAATCCTAATTATCCATGACGATGTCCTATACAAAAGACGTCGCAACGACTGTGTCCCTGCTTGCCCAAGCTTCCTGCCCAGCCCAGGTCCATGTCCATTACCGATATCCAAATGGATCGCCAAGAGAGAGAATATCCTGCCTGTCCTTACTCATTGACCTTTGTGGCCGCTTGCGACTCCGTACCCGGCCGTCCATCCATATATCGCTAAAGAATGTCCTTGATCAATTTATATCCCTCGCCCACTTGACCGGCCGTCCCCTGCTTGCTCGCAGCGGCATCGGCAACCTGGTCCGCCGCCGTGTTGATGACCTCGTGGAGTCCGAGGCCTTCAAATGCTTGGCGCGCGACCGTCACCCAAAGCCAGCCGCCCTGATCGGTCTGCAGGAGGCCGATCTTCTGTGTCGCGTCGCTCTTTTCGGGCGTCTGATGTTCGTGGAAGAGATCGGAGACTTGTTTGACGGCCTTCTCGTGCGCAGCGTTGGGTTCGAAGAACCCGGCAGCGAGACCATCGACCGTCAATCTCTCTTTCACTTCATGGGCTTCTGATGGGCGGGTCTTGAAGACGGCGAGCATGGCGAGAGCCAAGGCGAAGAAGGCATAGACACCCTTGAGCGCAATCAGGGTATACAGCGGTAACAGCGGGACCCGTGTTGCGAGGTAGGTGTTCTCGCGCGTCCACTCTCGGTCGTTCTGGACGGGGACGGAGAGACCGGCGGAAAACGCCACAGCCGCTTTGGAAAAGAGGTTGGCAAAGACCTTGCCGAGGCCATCTGGTCGGAGCTGGTAGGCAGCTAGTGCTGCGGCGTCCTGAAGGGCCAGGTGCGAGAGAGGGCTGTTCGTTGCAAAGGGGGCGCTGTAAACCGCGCCGTAGTAGTCGGCTGCCAGTTCGTATGCTTTGAGTTCAGTGGGCACCACGCTTCCGTTCATCCAGTAGTACTCGGCCTCGTAGATGGTCGCGGAGCAGGACAGAATGAAGACTGTGTCCCCATTTGTGTCGTTCTTCAAGAAGCCGCGGGTCCGCATGTATCCGAACTCATCAGCGTAAGTGTCCACAGGAGGGAAGCCCTTGCTCCAGGAAAGGAAATGAACAGGATTAGTAGGTGTGAATAGATCGGTAGCGCTGCTTCCGAGTCCGACTGGTTGCGCCAAGGCCGAGTCGTTGAAGAACTGAATGCCGACCATTGCCTCGTCGGGTGACGAAGTTGCGTTCTCGACCGCGACTCCGACCTGGCCGGAGAATGAAAAGGACGGTGCAGTGTACGTTCCGCATGTGAAACCGCCTTCCGGGTTGACATCGCAGGTATTCGTCACCACCTGGCACTCGGTCTTGACGGCGAGCGTTGGTGCGACAAAGTCTAGCTTCATGCTGCTGTGAAGATCCCCAAGGAAATAGTAGTTAGATCCATCATCGACTGTGACATTAAAAATGGTATTGGTCCGGGAGTTCCGCATTAGAGTCTCCGCTGCCTCTTGCGCATGGTAAAGGCCTTCTCGCTCTTGACCTGATGCGTTCCAGCTCGTCATGCTGCATGGGTAAAGACACTGCACGTTAGGGTTCGACGGACATCTGTGCCTCTGCCAGGATCCTGTGGCGCACCGCTCCGGATCTAGACTTCGTCCAAAGGAGAAAGTTGTGGCTGCACTCGGGATGACAAGAGCGATGTTGATGGCTTTTGTCGCGGCACCAAACCAACTCTATGGTATTTGTCAGTATCCAACACCACCGTCAAGGCAATGACATTGAGAGGAGACGCCAGCACTGGCCCAGGTTCCCAGGGCGACTTACATCCAGAATCCCAATCACGAACCTGCAGCACTCTGTTAGTCCAGATTCCAAGCACGGTAGAGCAGTCCATCTTACGTCATGACCACGATGAATAGGAGGCAACAGAAGGCCAAGGGAACTGGCTGTACCAAGTCCTCGTGGTTCTGCCAACGGTACTTAAGGGTATCAAGCAGTGGCTGTGCTCCCCCACCGTTCAGCAAGTTTATCAGGATGGAAACTTGATGTGGGCTCGGGAGTTTTTCTGACTTGGTCGATGTTGCCCTGATGATGCGCTGGCCAGCCAAAAATGCTACCAACGCCATGCTAGCTCCGGTCACGAAAGGAAGGATCTTCGCCGTCCAGGAAGAGATCATGTGTAAGACAGCAGGATTAGTGATGCCCTTCTCGTAGAGATAGTACGCTTTGCTGCCACCGTTGTTCTCAATCTCTTGAATGCCATGGAGGGCGCTCAGAGCATCGTCCGACATTTTGGTTTGCTTGGCCGGGTCGAAGACGTAGCTCTCCGGAATGCGATTGTAGAGAACTGCTGTCAGCAAGACGCTGCATACAACCACGACAGGGACGCATGGTCCAAATGCTCCCCAAAGCAAGGAGGTTAGGGCGCCCTCCATGTTGCTCTTGGATGCATGTTGTTGACCAGGAGAAGGCGGAGGGCTTTCGCCGCTGAAATCTGTAGCTGGTGTATCAAGGGCCTTCTCTTGCAACAGGGGGATCTTCGTCGGGGATGCCAGAGGCTCTGGAGGGGCCATCTTGCTGTCTGGTCAGGCTAGAAAATGTCAATAGCGACAAGAACGAATTTACGAATATGGAGAGAAGCGAGCAAGGCACTCGTGAAGCAAGACCCAGGCTGTGACTATATGATGGCCCATGGTGGCAAGCCTCTCTATGATAATGGCAGCATGCTTGCGAACTGCGGCTGAGCGGATACCATGGCATTCGAGCCATGCAGCCGTCGGAAAAGCCTGCTTAAAGCGAACCGAAATTCGCTTCGCACCTTGCAAGTTGTCGAGATCGCGGGCAGTCATGATGGTAGAGCGACGAGTCGAGATGGTCCCAGGGAAGGCTGAAAACTGAAGGAGGGCCAGGCTTTCCAGGCATTGGACACGTCTTAATCGACGTGCATGCGCCAGCCAATCCGAGCTGTACAGCTTCTTTGAAGACTCGGTGGCTGGCTCAAACCTGCCATTTGGATCGGCATCGTGAATCTAGACCAGAGGCAGACCGAACGTTTGCAGAACTGGACGATGCAGGATAACGAGTCCGCTGGAATGGCATTCTGGAAACCCATCGCGGCAAGCCAGTAATATCATGATCGGTAAGTTAGTGTCCCTCCCACAGGCGCAACCTCTTCAAGGACAGCCATTTCAGACTGGTGTGCTAAGCACAGCTGTTCTAGCTTCTGCGAGTCCGCATTGCCATCGCGCAACAGGGTCCGATATTGCTGATGCGTGCATAGGATAGGCAATCAGGCGGCGCGGGAGGGGAGGTCGAGCCAGGTGGCTGGCTGGCCTAGCTCTAATGCGCACTGCGCTGGAGGGCTATCAGACTGCTTTGGGCACATGGACGTTGACTCACAGATGATAGCGGCCTAGAATATGTTACACAAAGTGATGAGCTGGACAAGTTGATCGAGCTGGATGGTCGGTTGGATCAAGCTCTCGATAGCAAAGCGAGAGATTCGCGGATGCGCAAGCCTGGTGGGCCCCGCCTGCCCCGCCTTCCTCGCCTGCCACGCCGCCTAAGCTTAACGAGGCGAAGGTTTTTTAGGCTTGATGGAGCCCACGTAGTGGCCAATAAACGGCCAGGCTAGCCCTACTCGTCGTCCCTGCGACAATCAGCGCTTTGTGTCGACTCACACAAGAGCCTGAAGAGGAGCATAAAGCCTTGAGAGGCGCATCAATGGGTATCTCTCCAGCAGCTGCGCATTCAAAAACGACGCGTGTTCTCGGCAATTGCAGGATCCAGCTGTGGCGCAACGATGAACAAGAGCAGAATAGGGTCAACAAATGCTCGCTGGGACTGCCAGCCCCGCCAATAGTGAAAGACACATCGTCCTTGAATACTTCCAGATAGCACCGCTCAAGCTCTCGACAACACAGCAGCGCGAACGTCAAGATGAAGCACTGGTCCAAGATTATTGACTATCTATCTCGTCATGACGCGTCGTCCATCCCAAACAATCATCAAGGCGAGGGGCCTGCCCATCAGCGAAAACCAAGCAGTAGTGTAGTCATACATGATGAAGAAACGAGTGATGGTGCCGGTAAGAAGTAACGAAGGTCATGAGAGTAGTATACTAGAACGCCTGGCCCCATTCGATCCCAGCGCTGAAGAGGTTGGAGCTCATCAGCACTAAAATCGATCTCCGCTAATGCGGCCTCAATCTCGATGTGAGAGCGGCTAGCTGTGCGTAACACTTCATGGTACTTGACAGTCGAAGTTTTCGAATTCTGTTGATGAAGTCACATCGCATTGGACGCAATGCCGGGCCAGGAATTGCACTTCATCCAGAAGCCTGTCAGCGATGTCCGGCTTCGAGATGCTTACGCCTTCAAACAAGCCGTATTCGAGCGCCTCACGGATGTCTGCGCAACGATTGGCGTCCCATATGAGCCGTGTGCTTCTGTCCAGGTTGAATGTAGTGGAGTGCTCGTTCCACTTGTCCTTTGTGACATCCTGCGTGAGCAAGCTTCGAATCATGACAGAGAAGCCGATGTTGCCCTGAGTCGTTGGCTGGCAAAAGTTGTCCCCTTCGACATGACCTTTGCAGTGCGCCAGGTAGTCTTTGGCATTTGTGGATACATGTACGCAAAGCGAACAACCCCAATGTCTTTTCTCCCGTCGTCTCTCGTTCTTGCAGTTCTCGGATCCTGGACAGTGACGGTGCTGAGTGCTGTGATGTCTCTTCCACATTTCAGCCCGATTCGTTTCGTAAGGGAATGGTGAACAGCCTTGGTGCCTGCACCCGAGAGTAACGGTTCTATCATGATCACCTGGAGACGTTTACTATGGACGACAGCGTGAGGATAGTTCAATCTATACCTGTGAGATGCTTGTAAAGCTGACTTAGACTCGAGTATGACTTCTCACGCGCAAGCTCCGGACATGGAAATCTAGGTTTCTGGGATCGTCGCCGTCCACAATTCTGCTCTTGTACGAAAAGACTCTGGCTCAGACGATCTGCACCCGACATATCGCACTCTTCGACTTTTCCGGGCACGACGAGAGGCATCGGCACCGGAGTCAGCATCTCGGTATAGAAATGACTGCCCTGTTGCGACTGGGCAAATTCCATAGTGTTGAGTAGCTGTATGTTTCCATCATAGTAGGGCTGACGTCTTGCTGGGACTGGGTTTGGTGAATAGTCCATGGCATCCATTTTGACTGCATCCCCCGGATACAGCCCGCGTGTCATTGGTGAAGCGATAGTATTGCACGGGCATGTGTGGAATATCCCGCCATATGCTCTTACACCACCCATGCCGTCATCTAAGGGCACACTGAAATCTGTTGCCACAGATCCCCTTTGGCTGGATTAGTCGGACAGGATACTAGGTACGCCGGAGGGTACTCGTGCAGAAGTGCGATATAAGAAGGTCGATCGGGCATGTTCAGTTGATTGAAAAGCGGTCAACGCTTTGTCAACTTCGCCCTCATCTGCATCCTGCAGCAGATAGAGCGCAATGATGTACTCAAGCTGGCGTAGTTGGTGCATTTGCCAGTGGTTGATACCAATTCTAGCCAACCGTTGTACTGCATCCTCAACGCTGGGGAAATGCATGTCCGACTGCCCTTGTACCTCGTAGTTGACGTAGCGGCCAAGCAGGCCGACATTCCGAGGTTCGGATGAGACAACGGGAAGGTTGGGGGTCCGAAGGAGATCGAGCCTGTCTGGGCCATGGCATGGGTAAAGCATGGCCTCGGAATGGGTCCATATTTGGCTGGAGGTTCGATTGATGATATCAAAAGCTGAAGAACAGGTGAAACGCTGAAACGACTGGACAGATCGGCGCCGGCGCAGATCCTGGAGGGTAATAGTTGCGAGTATATCGCTGTCAAGGGCAAACTAACGAAGGCGAGAAACCAAAGAGAAAGAATGGACATGCACACTCCACGTTCTCTGAACGATCAGTGGTGGCTCCGCAAGAGAGTATGCAAACTGGGCATCCACAGAGAAGGACGGGCCAGGGAGAAGTTTTGTAAAAGTCTCGAGCACGACGTCCAAACAACCACTCACCTCGTTGATGACAGCTCTGCGGCTCAAGTGGCAAGAGTCGCAACGGTGTCTTGTTACTGGTGTAGACAATGATCGAATCAGAAGCGCTGAAGCACTGGACGGTCGGAGAACCTTCATGTGTATACGAGCATGTTGACCGGTTACAAGGAAGGATGTTCATATAAGGGGATACCGAGTGCTGTTTCCACCAGTGAGCACATTGGCGTAGCGTCTTCTGAGCTTCTGGTGCTCGCCACAGCCTGATGCGCGGACTACATCTGAGACGCATCGAGTTCGCAGTGAACCAACCGGAGGTGGAGAGGTCTGCGCCATGGCGGCAATTGCTATGAAGACCATGCCAAATCGAGCTTTGTAAAACTCAGCGTCAATGACTGCTTTCAGGAGCTGCGGCTGAAATTGCGGGCGAGACGCGCAACGACCGGAAAGGAGAGAAGAAGAACGTACGAAAGTATCCAATTGATCAATCCGAGCCGAAGTGTAGCCCCAAGCCCCCGAGCCCCCGCTTTGGTGGCTAAGAGTTTGCATGGTTTGCAGTGTTTGTCTGACCGCTCTCCAAAAAAAAAATAGTTTCTCGCACTACTACAGTAGCCCATGTTTGCCGGCGACACCGTCGTTCCTGTATCGCATCATAGTCTAGCAACATAACATGGCTGCCAGCAAGCGCTCTGTGGAGAGTGCTGACACTAAACCGTCTAAAAGGGTGAAGACGTCCAGAGAAACCACCAAGACAAGCAGAGCTTCGTCTGGGCAGCCAAAATCTCTCGATCAGGGCTTCACTGCATTTGACGATTCAAAGAATACAGGGGCGGCAAATTCAGCGGTGAATGCAAGGAAGAACCGGAACGAAAAGGACCGTCCATCGGTGCATCAGTCTTTCAAGAAACCAGAACCATATCTGAACAGTACGTCTCAGAAGACCCTGCCAATTTTTCGTGGCACGATGAGGGTTGTTGCTAACATTCTCTCTCGCCACAGACCAATCCTCTCGCGAAGCCCATGCGAAGCAAAAAGCCCTGACACAAGACCGCCGAGCTGCGAAACCCAATGCCGACTCGATAGCCCGCTCAAAGAAGATTTGGGAACGTCTGAGGCGGAAATCCCATGTTCCCAAGCAAGAGCGCGATGAATTAGTGACAGAGCTCTTCCAGATCATATCTGGGCGGGTGAAGGATTTTGTTTTCAAACATGACTCTGTGCGAGTGATTCAGTGTGCTCTCAAATATGCCACGCCGGAACAGAGAAAGCAGATCACGGCTGAGCTGAAGGGCAGCTACCGCGAATTGGCCGAGTCCAAGTATGCCAAGTTCCTGATCGCCAAGATGGTCGCGGGTGACGATGAGAGCCGGGATGCTGTGGTAGAAGAGTTTTACGGCCATGTGAAGCGATTGATTCGGCACCCCGAGGCTAGTTGGATTGTGGATGATATCTACCGAACCATTGCAACCAAGGAACAAAAGGCCATCCTCCTGCGAGAGTGGTATGGTCCCGAATTCGTCGTCTTTGGCAAGTCCCAGAAGAGCACCATGACTAGTTCAGGCGACGGACCAGTTACGCCTGACCTTTCTGACATCCTCGCACAACATCCCGAGAAGCGAGGACCGATCATGTCCCACCTTCACGAAATGACCAATCAACTCGTCCAGAAGAAAACGACCGGCTTCACTATCCTCCATGATGCTTTACTGCAATACTTTCTGAACTGTAAGCCAGGCAGTCCAGAGATTGCCGAGTTTCTTTCCATGCTCCACGACGATGAGGAAGGGGACCTCCAAAAGAATCTTGCCTTTACAAAGTCCGGGTCTCGCTTGCTTTGCCTTTGCTTGGCTCATGGAAGTTCCAAGGACAGGAGAGGGATAATGAAGTTCTTCAAGACGCACATTAAGCTCCTGGCTGGTGATCAGTACGGGCATAAAGTGCTATTGACGGCGTATGATGTGATTGACGACACCGTAATGACATCGAAGACCATCTTCCCCGAACTTCTGTGCAAGGACCTGGAGGCAGGACCGAGGGAAGAAGAATTGCTGGCTCAAGTCGAGCATCTTACAGCACGGATCCCGCTCCTTTATCTCATGTCACCAGATGCACCGAAGTGGCTCATCACGGAGGATACGGCCGCGCTCATTTCGGAAGTCCGTGAGATCAGGAAAGAGACGTCCAAAAAGGATCCAGCGAAGCGTCGGTTGGAACTACTCGAAAACATTGCGCAGCCATTGCTCGATCTCATCCAGAGCCAGGTGCAATATCTGGCACAGTCAAGTTTCGGCTGTCAGTTCATCACGGAAACAATATTCGGCTGCGCTGGGGTCGGCGATACTGAAGGTGCATTGACTGCCCTCGCCAATCTGGCTACGGATCGGCCTGAAGACGCCGAGAAAAAGGGGGAGGTAGAAAGGATCATTTCTACACCAATAGTGGGCCGAATGATCAAAGCTTTAGTGCAGGGCGGACGGTTCGACAAGGCCACGAAGTCGATCAAGCTTGTTGAGCCTTCCTTGAAATTTCACCAGACACTATACTCCAAGATCAAAGCCACTGGTAGCGATGCAGAGATCGTGAATTGGACGAATGGGCCAAACAGCTTTGTCGTGGTCGCGATGTTAGAAGCTGAAGACTTCGAGGCCAGGGAGGAGCTGCTGAATGTGTTGAAGAAGAATGCTGGTAATTTGAACAAGGACAACAAAGGCGCAGCGATCGTTCTGGAAAAGCTAGGCGGCAACACCCGCACAGAAGGGGAGGAGGAGAAGCGACGGGCAGACCAAGCGGACGAAGGGGATGACGGAACCACGACCAAGCAGAAGGACAAAGGAAGAAAGGGCAAGCAAAGGAAACCCTAGGAGAATCAACACAGCGAGGATGAGCTCGTAATGACCAGGACTGGTGCTGTGTATTACTGCCGAATCCCAAGTCCAGCTAGTTGCGCGCTCCTTGCAGGACTTCAGAGCTTGTCTCCATACAGCTGCAGGGCCGCGTGTATTTTCCCCATGCCAAGCAGCAGCGGTTGAGCCTGCGTTGCTCGGCAGGCAATAGCTCTAACTAACAGCTAACTTCTGGTGAGCAGACACGAGTACCTTGTACGAACACTCGTGACGTGCAGTGCAAGTGTATGTTACATTCAACTACCGGTGACGGTTGTGCCAGCGATCGGTCTGATCGGTCCTCGTTGGAGCGTGTCCCAGCCGCAAACAGCCAGAGGATGGTGGGGTGCCGGATAAACGTTTGGCACCGTGATTGGTTGGCCAAGGACGCAGCGGAGGGGGGTGCGGAGGGAACCGTTGATGTTGGTGTTGTCACTTTGTCCTCACCTGTTCCTGTTTGTTGGCTCTTCTCCAAAAACTTTGGAACAAGCATGTGCCGCTCTGCTTGAAACCCTTCACCCCTTCTTTCTGCTATACGTGGGATTCTCCCTTCTGCGCTGCGCTTTCACACTCGTTCCCAGAATATCCCGCTACAGTCCAGCGTCGAACCGCGTTACCTGGTCAGATAGGCCATGCGCGACCATGGGGACATCCACTAACTCGTCGAACGGTCACGTATCTCCACTGCAAAATATTGACTTGGCATTTGACAACAACTCTCTCGAGGACTCTGCAAGGTCTTTGGCATACAGAGTGCAGCCCAAGTGGCGGGACGCTCCAGGCGACATTGTCATCACCAAGTTTACGGACGGAATCACTAACACGGTAGGTACCAAGCCGTCACCTTTGTTGAGCACGTGCTCACCCATGTCTGAATCTAGCTCCTCAAGATCTCGAAACACACGCCCGGCCTGTCAGAGTCAGAAATAGACAGAGATTCCGTCCTCCTTCGTGCGTATGGCAACCACACTGAGATCATCATCGATCGAGATCGCGAAGCCAGATCGCATGGTCTGTGTGCAGAACTAGGGTTGGCGCCTCCGCTATTGGCAAGATTCAGGAATGGCCTGCTGTACAAATTCATCATTGGCCAAGTCTGTACTCCGCCAGATCTCGTCAGCGAACCCGTCTGGCGCGCAGTCGCCAGGCGACTAGGTGAGTGGCATGCACGGCTGCCGATTGCGGCTGTGGTCGAGGAGAAGAAGGAAGTGAAAAATGGGGTCAATGGCCACAGGCTGAATGGGAACGAGCCAGCGTGCTCCGCGCTTGCTTCGAGGCAGCCTGTGCCGAATATGTGGTCAGTGATGCAAAAGTGGGTGCACGCCCTTCCGTGCGACAGTCCTAAGCAAGAGGCTCGGAAACAGTTGCTGCAGAAAGAGTTAGACCGGTCATTCAGGGACCTTGACAATGAGCGAGGTCCCGGCTCATCTGGTTTTGTCTTCGGACACTGCGACTTGCTCAGTGCCAACGTCATCATGCTGCCAAAAGACCATGTCTGTAGTGCGGAAGGTGATTCCCTCCAGGTCTCTTTTATCGATTACGAATACGCAACTCCTTGTCCCGCCGCCTTCGACATTGCGAATCACTTTGCCGAATGGGGCGGGTATGACTGTGACTACAACATGCTGCCGACCAAATCTGTCCGCCGTCAGTTTTTGAAGGACTACCTGGATTCGTTTGCAGCCCATAGCGACAGGCCACTTCCCGACGACATGCTGGACACCTTGTACCAAGAGGTCGATCGATACCGGGGCATGCCCGGCTTTTACTGGGGCGTCTGGGCCCTGATCCAAGCCACCATCTCCCAGATCGACTTCGATTATGCCTCGTACGCTGAAGTCCGATTAGGCGAGTATTATGCCTGGAGAGCGGAAGAAAATGGCAGCCGAATGCAGAACAACCTCCAAATGCCCCTTCGAGAAAGGAGGTGGGCCATGGAATGAGCGTGAGAGCTGGATGCATACCTGTCTCCCGCGTCGGGGATCTCTGGGGACGGTTGTAACAGAGAGAGAGGGCTCCACGTCTATATTCCCCTTGTCGTCCGGAAGCTAACGGACCTTGGACAAAGATATTGTAATCAAAGATTGCCTTTCATTGACATACTGGGGTACTCGGGCACGCCGAGCGTCGCCCCTGGTGGCTGTGTCCCGGTGAGCGAGCGCACAGGGCTGCATTATGTAACAGCAAGACTGAGCTGTCGAGAACAAGAAGCGGCTAGGACGCCATAGCGGTTGAATGGCGTGTTGCACAATTCGTGGCGCTTACGTGATAGTCGCTCAGACCTCAGCCGCCTGGCCTTGCATGAAAATCCTCCATATGAGAAATGCCCAGTATGAGGATCTGACACGGGCGAGCCATTCTACTGTATCTCCTTCGCTTGACCATTGTACCGGTAAGGCTTAGACTGTGTGGAGAGCGCGTCATGCACATCTTACATTACTACTGTCTATTCGAGAAAATCCCTGCCACTGTTCGATACTCCACGCAAGACATTCGCTTAACAACGGCCACATTGCGCGGTTCCGACAGCGAGTCTTGAGACGACGTGACGACCAGGCTCTCTCGGCTACCGTCAGCCGCCAATAGTCGTCCTTAAGACTCTGCCATGATGGACATCAGGACTGAGATGTTGATTTCATGAAAATCAGACCCGACGACTAGCAGACTACCACTGTCCCACACGGTCACTACTCGCTGCCATACCACTTGGTGAAGCTCAATTCAAATGTCTCCCAGCCCACAGACCAATATCTTCATCACCTACAACGATCCGAGCGAACTCAAAAGCCGGCAGAACCGCCGTGCAGTTTCATCCTTCGCCTCGAAAAGCTACCGGCCCACGTCGAAGAGGATCATATTAGACCGCACCCACTATCGACCCTTTGTTCGACGACCAGACAGCGAAACACCACCACCACCAACGGGCGACACCAAGGTCAAAAGCAGGCATACTGCCGCGCGAAAGAAGGACTCTCCTGCGAAGAACCTGGAGGAAAATCCATGTCTTGGAGAGATTCAACCACGCAATGACTGCGCCTTGGGCAGCCCAATGGCAGATCCCTTTACAACATACCCGATCGCCTTCCGGAACTATGTGCCATTCCTGGTAGACTACTGTGAGTATACTTGATCAAGCAGATCTCGTTCCTTGCACATCCTCGCCTGCCCTATCCCTCATAAACCGTAAAATCTGACCAATGTAGTTATTCGGTTCTTGACTCCTCGTTTCAGTCCCGCGCTTGCAGTGGAAACCAGCCGATATCTGATCTGGTTCAATGTCGCCATGCACAATTCAGAACTGTTCCATGCGTTGATTGCCCTGAGCCAAGTGTACTATAACATCGATGTGAGAGGATTTGGCAACACCCACTGGACCGCGCTGTATCATCGGGGCGAGGCACTGAAGCGGCTCAGACAGAAGGTAGAGACGGCCAAGAGCTCCGACGACGATGCCGCCATCTTAACCGCCCTGTGGCTGATGGACGTTGACGTAAGTATCTTACACTGTTCCTTCGGCGCCACCTCTCCGTGAACGAGCAACTTGATTTGCTGATCAAGCAGGCCGCGCACGGTGACCTTCATGCGTATGCAATGCATAAAAGAGCGAAAGAGAGAATGGTTCTGACCCGAGGTGGAATCAGGCAGTTGAACGCCGAACTCCAGGACGAGCTGCTAAAGTGGGTGGAGGGCCCGCTCACTCATAAGGTCGGACCACTGACACTGTCCGCGTAGGAGCGAGTTCTTCTTACCGTTACTGCTGTACGGCCGATTCGTGTGCGAGCTTACCGATGACGACGACGTGCTCGTCAGGTTCAAGGAGAACGATCCCGTCAAGCCGACTCAGATAGGCGGGTTTCAAGGCCTCTTTTCAGTCCTGGCGAGCAAGGGCCTCATCACATCTCAAGTGGTGGAGATCCTCCAGCGCATCTTCAAGCAAGTTTCAAGGCAGCCTCAATTCGCTCGAAGCGGTAACACAGCGGGCAGATCAGACAATGAACCCCCACTGCCTCCACCCGTCGATCAGGCATACAACGAAATCAGTCGTGTGCTGGGCATCACTGACGAAATCGAGCCGCAGTCACTACACCACCGGCTGCTCCTGGCACTGTTGATCTACATTTTCAACTTTCACAATCAGCCACAGGCGCTCCCTCCAGCCAAGACCATGCCCTCGACTCCTCAAAATCGCAAGATCCGACATCCCTATCTGGAGATCCTGTCCAAAGTGGCTCTAGAACTCTCCCAGCCGAGCAACCCGTCTGATCGGAACAAGGTCACGGAACGGGAAGTCACTCTTTGGACGATGGTAGCGATCGGCGCAGCCTCGAGCTTCAGCCCGTGGCGGCTGCAAATCCCTTTCATGGGCCACATGATTGAATGGATGGAGAACGATGAGCAGCAGCAAGTTGAAGGTAACGAAGCAGCTGCGGAAGAGGCGTCACGGAAAGATGCATCAATACCTCCTCCGGCCGGTGATGCCACCGAGCCATATAAAAGACCGCCCACGAATCTGGAGAAGCTCACCGCCTGTCTGAGAGGCTACTACCTCTACGGGGCCGATAAGAAGACACTGCGAAGTCTGCAGAGATGGCGGGACTCGGAGCCGCGAGATCCGGCATGATGGGAAGTGAATGGAAGGGCGGTCACAGTGACGCACACTACATCATCGGCGGTACTCGACGTACTCAGCGGGTCGGCAACACTACACTACGGCCGCGAAACGATACCGAGTTACACGGATTAGACATTTAACACGGTATCCCAAACGTGCAGCTACCCTGTTCACCCATGCTGACTGAGTCTCTAACCCTTCGAAAAGGCGCACAGTCAAGTCATACAAACCCTTGCGGGCAATACGCAGCAGCAGCAATGACAGCAATGACGTCGGCAAAGGCGCAAAGACGACATACAGCACAGGGGTATGCATGCATGTATATATGTATGTATACATACTACATATGCACCGAGCACGATAATGGCCATCTGATTTTTGCCTTTCGAACCTATGAAAATCCGAAAAGGGCCCTGAACCGCCGTCACGGCCACGCTTTTCGAACTCTCCCCTTCACAGGCTAGGTCCGTCTACATTGGCGTGGAGAGCAGCTAATGAGGGTTGAGATCCCACGCTCAAACGACCGATCTTATAGTCTGTGAACACGATTGAGCACTTGAGCACAAACGAAAACACTATATCAAAGCCTGCCGAACTCGAGGCGTTGCGAATGGATTAGATCTTCGCCACCACTTCCAGCGGGGCCTGCGACAGCTTCGACAGCTCAATAAATATACAGACGTGTCGGTCGGTGGTCGAGTTGAGCACCCCACCCCCCTTCCCCCACGGAATCCTGGCAGTGGCCCCCATCAGCCAGCTTGTTGAGTACAAGTGCAAGTACCGATTCATGGGCGATACATACATCTGGCGGTTTATTCGGCGTGCATTCATGCGCGTGGGTAGACCGAGCAGCCATGGAGATGGTTCGACTCACCGTCACCCAGAACCGAAAGTAGTTCCCCACCCAGGTTACGCAACATTGTCAAGACTTGGTTCAAAAGATAGCATTTGTGACGGTTTCTGTGGAGGCTACTCCGTCCGAGTATGGGAGCGGAGAGAGCCGACTGGTATGTACTGGTGGTGGGTAAGCACGTATTGAGTATTGCGTACTTTTCGAGCCTCAACAGTGCCCATCTTGGTCCAGCGATGCATAGCGATAGGATGTATACATATCGACAGGGTAATATTGCGCGGTTGGCCTACAACTCGGATCAGATCTTACCCTGTCGTTATCTGTCTGACCAGGTGCAGTCAGAACGACGCAGTACAGGTAGGAATGAGTGATGTGTCCATGGCAGGAGACTATGTAGCACTGCAGTCAACTGACAATGCATCCTCTTCTTTCAGATTCTATTCTTATTCCCTTCCAATCCGTATAATGCGCCTCATTTCGAGTGCCACTGCCACTATTGATTCCCGTAAATAGACCCGCCAGCGTTCCTGACACATCTCAGAACATCGCCTACCAAGTACAAGCTGCCGGTGATGCAGAGTCGGCGATGGCGATCCCTTCCGTCCGCTGCAGCGGCAGCGGCAGCTGTCCGAACGGCTTCTTGGACCGCTTTGGCAATGTAAGCGTTGTGGAGGTCTCCATGGTTATTGTCGTCGGGTATTGTTCCGTCATCAGGCGAAGCCTTCACCACGCCGTCCGTAAACTTGCTCGCCCTGGCTGCCAGATCGCTCGCGGGCATCGGCTTCACCCAGGGCATGCCGTCCACGGGGCCGAAAGCGCATGTAATGACGTTGTCGTGAGGCTTGAGCAGTACCGACAGAATCTTGTCCACGTCCTTGTCTTTCTTGACCGCCAGGAGCCAAGTCACGGGTTTGGACTGATCTGGCTGCACGGTTGAATGGTCGGAGCGTACGTTGTTGTCGACAAACTCCACCAGAGCGGCGGCCGATTGTGCATTGTGAGCTCCGTCGAGAAGGACTCTCCTGTCGATGGGAGGGCCATGTCCGAGGATTTCTGTGTCTGCGATATCTTGGGGGAGGAGCCCCCGGGGTAGTGTAAGCCACTGGAGACGTCCTGGCAGGCTTGACTGTGCCTCGACGATGAGCCTCTCGAGGGACGCCATCGTTGATTCAGGTTGGGAAGGCACGACTCCGGAGATCATGCGGTCATTTTGTGCCTTTGCGGGGGCCCAGTCTGTTGTTGCTGGCCCTAGTTGGTGATCCCTTCTTGGTGGAGGCTGGCTGCTAGAGTGCCTAACACCGAGACTATTTTCCACATGTCGAAAAGCAGACCAGGCAGTATAGAGGTTCTGCGCTTGGTGGCTTGCCATTCTCAATTGTCTGATGACACTGTCCAACTCTCCTCGCCGTTCCTCGAGAGAGAGGTACACGCCAGCTTGCCCATCTCTCCCCCAACCAAGCTTCTTGAGCTGCTTTGCAACTACTTCAAGGACACTTTTCTCATTGCTCTGGTCCACGACGACAGGCACGCCGGGCTTGAAGATGCCGGCTTTCTCAGCCGCAATGGCTTCGATCGTGTCGCCGAGGAACTCGGTATGATCCAGGCCCACCTTTGTGATAACACTCAGGATCACATCAGCCGGCCTGAGAACATTCGTCGCATCTTCTCGTCCACCCAGGCCGCACTCAATCACTGCAACGTCGACCTTTTCGTTCGTAAATAGCTGGAAAGCAGACGCAGTGAGGATCTCGAACTCGCTGGCTCCGATGTTCTCCTTGAGACTGCGGTCACGGAACTGCTGCTCGATTAGAAGGTACTTGGCGCGATCGACGACATTTCTATTGATCGTGATACAGTCCCATCGGTCAATGATGTGAGGAGACGTGAACCGTCCAACTCGGTAGCCCAAGTGGCCGAGGAATGTCGAGACTAGAGCTGCAACGCTGCCTTTGCCGTTCGTCCCGGCAATATGGACGGCTTTCCAGGGTAGACTCGGGTTAGCATTGAGTAACGGACTTAGGAGCTGGGTGATCCTTTGGAGACCGAGGGTGATCATGCTGATGAAAGGTTGAAGCTCGACGAGCAAAGAGTGGCGAAAGTATGGTGAAAACCGCCCGTGTCGAAACTCATCTTCTCGGATAGTTATGGAAAGGCTAAGGTCTGAGAGATGATCATGATGCGTAGTGCGACTAAGATGGTGTACTGAACAGGTGAACAGTGTCGGGCAAACAGATAGAGATTGGGGAGGAGCCGGCGGTGGTGGAGCAGAACTGTACGAGGGGTGAACGCAAATGAAGTCGAGTTGAAATGGAGGAGTGATCATGCACTAGCTGCGCAAGGCTGGCCAATCACATGTGAGCCTAGCACTCTACGAGGCTGTCCCAGATTCACGCCCGTTGTCTGCGGGCTGTCATACCTGGCGAAATAAGTAACGGCGTCCGTAGCGGAGAAAATTAGGCATGGCTTTTGCCGTCGAATCTCTTGGCGATGAGAGATGCCATTGGACGATATCCTCTACCCACCCGGCGTGGTCACCGATAACCTCTACCCCAAGCGAACATCCACACGCCTCGCTAAGAACAAACAGAAGCAGGTTGCTGAAACCCCTGACACACATTAGTTACTCATTAACTGTCGCCCAGCGTCTATCCCTCCAGGCCAAGGTGCCTCCTTATTGCCAAGTATCGCTCATACCCAAACAACTTCACCTCAATCCTCAAAAACTGAATCCACGCTCGTAGGAGCCTGAAGAAATTCCGCGGTCTAAGGAAACCGCCCCTTCGCTTGATCATATCTTTCTCGTCCTGCCAGACGGTCCAACTGGCGTATTTAGCCAATATTAGCATAGGTCTCATGGGCTGCGTCGAACCCAGCGCCTCATCCAGACTTCGAGTGAGGTCGTTAGTTTTGAGAATCAAGAGGATGATCCGTGGCACATGCCCCAGAAGTTGCACGAGCTGTTGAAGAAGGTCTTCGCCAAAGACTTCATTAATGCCCTCCTTCTCATTGACGTCCCGCAGTGACGTCGTGAGCTGTTTGCGCACAAGCACGCGGTAATCTCGACCAGTGATGGCAGAGGCGAATAAAGGAAATTCCTTGTCACCTATCCCAGCGACCTCGTAGGCGTATTTACGCATTCTCGCCTCATCAGCATCGATCACGGCGAGCCAAAGCTTTGCGTAGTCCTTCCGTAGCTTGTCATCCGGCATGCGGTAGAGGCCATGGTCGTACAGCACAATGTCAAAGTTGTACGGATATCTCCTGCTTGGATTGTGACGAATGGCGATGTTCCCGGCGTGCGGATCGCAATGTAGTGGCGCATTCCGCGAAAAGATCATGACGTTGAAAATCCTAGCCAGTGTTGCCGACACCTCGTCCCGGGAAATGTTGTGTTCCTTGAGATATGCGAGATTGTCCACCCTAGCTCCGGTCACGTATTCCATGACGAGAAATCTTCTGCTCGCCGACATCACTTTTGGGATGATGAGGGGAAACCTCGTGTTCCGCTTAAAGTAGTTGCGTGCGTAGGTCGCATTCTGACCCTCAAGCGCAAAGTCGAGCTCCTGGGGAAGGGAGAAGTCCATTTCATTACTCAGCCATTCGAGGTCATAGTCGGGGAAAGCTCTCTTCAGACTCCGAAATGTGAACCTCGTCAGTGCAAGATCGAGTGGCACCCACTCCTCAAGGGTGGGATGCTGGACCTTCACAGCCACTGTTTGACCCGTGTCTCTCAGGACTGCTATATGGACCTGGGCCAGCGACGCTGCGCCAATAGGTTCCTTGCTGAACTCGGCAAAATCGTCCTCTATCCGGCGGCCCGTGTCTCGGAGAAACATGTCTTCTATCGACTCATAGGACGATACGGGACACTTGTCCTGTAACGGGACGAATGTCTCAGTCCACTCGAGAGGAAGCAGGTATCCCATGGATGATATGTGTTGGCCCAGCTTGATGAATATTGATCCATTGGCCTCCATTGCCTTGAGGACTCGATCGGCGCAGCGTTTATGGCAGGCCTTGAGGCTCTTCGTGTGTTCTTCGGGATCATTGTACTGCTCGTTCAGCGTGACTCGGTAGCTGTGTCAGGTCAGTGCTTTGCTTTGGTGAGCCATGGTCACGCCAGTGCATACTCATTTATACAGACCATCAACGTTGAGACGACCCTCCCCGTCCTCTCTGCAGCCAACCAGCCATGCTTGATGTTATCCCCAAAGGCAAGGACGCCGGCACCAGCAACACCTCCACCTGCGGCCGCCCAATATACGGCCTGCCAGGGCCTCACTACCCTCACCGGTCCGTAGGAGGACGCAAAGCGCCTCCGCGACTTGTGGACGGGATTCTGTGGTAGACTTCTGCACCGAGCACACGTCCAGGAGACACGGCCCCGCAGGAAGGCAAGGGCGTCGGTAGAAATTCGCATGGGAGCGAGTGGGAATGCTATTGTATGGACATAGGATAGGGCGTTCGACGATCGTGCTTGAAAGCCTTTCAAACAATGGCGCTGAGCGGCACTGCACTAGCTTTGGACAGGCTACGGGAAACAGCTGAATTGCTCTTGGACTCGATCAGCAGATACAGTATCAGCGGATTGGATGTCGAATCACGAGAGCAACGAGGCGACGGCGCAGATTTTGCGGAGGTTTTGACAGAGCAGTGACGTAGGCGTGTTTCTAAAGCGGCATCTATGTACGGAGTCACGTGGAAGTATGCGATGCTCCTCGTCTCTGTGTGAAATTATCTATTATTTCTACTGTCTACGAAGTACTGTGCTCATGTACTTCCATTCTCCTTCGGCTCAACCGGCTCTCTGACCAACGTCTTCTTCCCTTCTAACCGGATTCTCCCAACCATCGCTGGCCTTCTCATATGCAGATACTCGCTGAGGAAGCTCTTCGTCTGAATCCGCACCCTCTCCCGCCCCAGATACCCCATCTGCTGGTACAGTAGTTCTCCCTCAGGAGAGGCCTCGATCCAGCAAGGCAACATCAACGCATCAGCCACATCGTTGCCCCACTGCATCATCATGCGCCCACATCCTTTGCCCTGGTATTCCGGATCCGTGAACAGCAAGAAACACAGGACGTGGCCCTCTCTGCATTCGCGACGGCGGCGGGTGAGGAAGTCTTCCAGCAGCACGGCTGCGTCGGCGCGTTCCTGCTCCGTCTCCAGGTACAAAAGGGCCGACTCGTTCTTCGCCTCTTCTTTGAGTTGGGCGGTCTCGCTGTTCGGTCGTCTGTTTTCGTTCTTTGCCGCTTGCTGCTGTTCCTGGGGCGTCACGTACGTGGGGAAGATCTTCCAATTACTCGCGCAGACGATGCGCGTTCGCCTCTCGGTGGAAATCGTGTTGCCTTGCTCATCGAGGACGTTCACATTGTCCTGGGCGTCGAGGTCCTCGATCTTGAGAAACAAGTCTGCCGGGTCGTTGAGCATACCATGTAAGAGCGTCTTCTTGGTGTACGCGTACGACGACGGGGATCTACGCCCGAAGAAGACATTGGCCAGTTCGATCTTGCTGAACGACTCGAACATCATGGGGACAATGGCATCGAGGTCTCTAGCCTCGAGCCGAGAAAGGACGAGACGCATGTCGATTGCTTCTCGCTTGGCCGTTGCTGTTGCTTTTGCTGTTCTTGATGCTTCACGCGCACCCAGTCCGCTTAGTCTGTCGTAAAGTGTTCTCGTGCTCTGCTTTGGGTGTATCGATATGAAAGTCTAGGCAGTCCGCCCCTTATACCTCAGGGCGCAGCGTGAGCAGAACCCGAATGAGCACGCCTCTTCTCCCACCTCATACAGTACCGGCCTCCTTCACGAGATCAGCTTTGCCGAACACCAAGCCTCGGACTCCTACCGAGCAAGTTTCTGGGTGACAGAAACGTGCTGTGTACGAATATCTCACGCCAAGCACCTTGTTGAAATCAGCTTCAAAGGCGACAGGAGCGGTCCCGGTGGGTAACGAAAGCATCAATTCGAGGACTGAGTGAATGAAGACATGACTGACTGACTGACTGGACGAGTGGATCATCCGCACGCCCTGCGTCTGTTGCCCGAAATTCCCAACACTGCAAGCTTGCCTACATAGTACTTATTTACCTACCTAATCAGGGCATAGCATCACGAGCAGAGTCGAGCAATAGCATGGACATATCATCGCATAGGTGACTCAAATGCAAGCGGCTGCATCATGCACATGCACCTACGACTTATCAAGTTAGAGCAAGGGAGATGAGAGGGAGATGGAGACGGGAAATCAACGGGAGTTGAATGCGTCTTGCCCGTCGTGTCCGCCTTGTCCGCCCTGTCCGCTGTGACGAGGCGGTGAAGTCCAGCGTACGGAGTACGCGTACGGCATAAGGCCTTCTCACGCTTGCTTTGCCAGCTCCAAGCGTCTCGTGCTCTGCACTCATACTAATCGGTTAGTTAGGCGGCTTACATACACTAACGAACCCCTCCAACTGTCGTGCATACTACTGTACAGTAGCTTACGGAATACTCAGTACTTAATTTAGGCCGAATGCACACATACACAGATCGCTAACAAGCCCTAGAAGCCAATCCCACACCCTTTGCGTCGATGAGCCGCCTCAGCTCAAAAAGCTTGGGTTGGACGTCCACATCCACCATGTCTTCTCTCCATTCATTCACCTAGCTGCTCTGGGTGCAGTCAGTGCTTGTACAAACCCTGCTCTTTCGTTTCACGGCGTCAATCTGTATACCCATCACAAGTGGGAGTATACACCAACCAAGAAAGGAAAAAGGGAGATACAAGAAGAAAGCGGACAGCCGAACGGGCCGCACAGACACGAATGGTATGGAAACCCCGGATTGCATTGCATTGCACTGCATGGCTTGGTGGGCTCCTTGCGGCCATTCAAGCTTCTATGGTATGATACGATACATACGCGTACCCAATTTTATGTCTAGTCCCCCGTGAACGCCAGGAATATCAATCCCCCTACCCAAAAGGTGGACGCCAACCTCGGTACACCATATCGACCACATCCAAGGGACGTTTGTCGACATGACCGGTGGCAGGGTCAAGAAATGAATGAAAGATTTGCCCGGTTTCTCGCCTTTCGCCATCGTCGTGGGCTGTTCACGCTGGCTAGTAGGCCCGTGGATATGATTTTTTCCCCCCTTTTGCCTTGTTTCATAACATTCGTTGTATTTCGTCATTTGTGTTGGGGAAGGTCCTGGGTGGAGATGCAAAGAAGGGATGTCGCGAAAAGCAACGGCCGTCTAAGCTTCTTCCAGGATCGGCTTCACCGATATTGGTATCTCTAACAGCTTTCTGGCTTCTCAGAAGCACGTTGATGTCGGGTGGACTTCTCAAAAGTCTCGGTACCGGGGGCCAATTGTTTGCTCAGCAAACTTTGATGAAAGAATTGTGGACCCCAAGTCTCGGGCGAAGGAGTGGATGGAGGAAATGAAACTTAGTTCAACCACCATTGGATGCCGCTGACACGGCCGTCGCCTCCAGGGACGATGGCGTTGAACAGGGCATCCGTGCAGTCAATGGCTCGGTCCACACAACCCATGCACTTGTCGCCCACTGTTGCCTGGACGGTAATGCCACTGTCGGGGTTGTACAAGGTGACTGAGCGACCGCAGTAAGGGTTGCCGTTGGACTGAGTTCCCATGAATGCGAATGGGAGAGCAATCTGCATCTCGCTGTTGGTGTCGACGTTCCAGCCGCATGCGCCAAGACCTGGAGATGAACGTCAGTCACGTTTTAAATCTGGCTCCGCGGTCGAGTCACTTACCGCCATCCCAGTGGGTTACATCGCCTTCGCAAGCATTGCCAGAGCCCTCGCACGAACCGTCTGCCGCCTTGGGTTGAAGAGTCATCATCGGAGCGATGAGAGAAATTGGGGAAGGAGACGAAGCAGCTGGAGAGGGATCCGGGACCACTGAAGACGACGAAACCGGTGCGGGTGCTTGCTCGGCAGGAGGAGTGTAAGCAGCAGCTGGGGCGACAGTTGGGGTGGAAGAAGACGGTTGTTGGGGAGCTGCAGCGAGCGTCGCCAGAGTAGAGGGAGTGGGAGCTGCCTCGTCAGGGACCACTGCAGGAACCGAGCTGCTGGTCGTGGCAGCGGCAACCGGAGCAGGAGTGGGAGCAGCTTGGTCGACCCAGACGGTGGTGGTCTCCTCGACAGTCACCCAGGCGATCTCGGTGACGGTGTTGGTGTAGATGCCGCGCTTGTTGGCTCCGGGCATGGGAACCGCGGCGACCAGCGGAGTGAGCACCGAGGCGGCAAGGATGATGTTCTTGAGGACGGCCATTGCGACTGATGTCGGAATTGAAAGAAAATCGAAATTGAAGTTTAGGTGAGTGGACTCTGAAGTGCCGCAAAGGTCTGGAGATCTGGCTCAACAGCAGGTAAGGAGTGTCTAAGAAGGAAGTCAAGAATCTGAATCCTTGATGGCTTGGTCTCTGAAGTAATGGTGAGCGTGGTGTCGCTGTCGACGATGACAAGCCTGTGTTGGTTGAAAAGGACTGGTGACGGGGAGCTAGCCCACGAGGAAGTTCGCAAAGGACGGCGGTCGGAAGCGGAGTGAAAGAGAGAGTGATGTTCACTTCCGGCACGGGGGACAAAGGAAGGACTAGATAAAGAAAGTGAATGAGGGTACGGTTGGGGTAGGAAAGAGAACGGACGAGAAGAGATTTTTTCGTTGCACTCTCTCTTTGGTGAGAGGAAAGAAAGAAGGCGAAGAAGTCAAGATGCGTGGTATCCGTCACCGTGCATCGACCCAGACCTCGAGATGCCCGAAAGGGAGGAAGGGGATGTGGTCAGTTTGCATTCCTCATTGGGCATCCTTGGTCCCGTCCGTTGTGAACTCTGCCCCGTCTCCTTGCATATTGTTTACTCGGTTTCCACCTGGCAGGTCGTGATGAGGACTGCTGTGCTGTTACGTGCGACCTTCGCCGGGGAGCCCCGTCAACATCCTAAAGCGGGAAGGAGGCGCTGATGTGGGAAATTCGGGAGAAACCCAGGACTGTTCACTAGCCCCAGAGACCCAGCGCACAGACCCGACAGCCACAGGGTTGGTCGTTCAGGTACCGCGCGGGTGCCTGGAGTGGCCCGCCAGGCTGCAGTGGAGCGTCTGATTTTCATCGTCGGTGGCTTAAGGGGAAATGTGTCGTGGCGCCCGTCGAAACGCAAATGCTCGGTTGAAGTCCGTTTGACCAGGATGTGAGGAGCCAGTGAAGTGGGACCCGGCACGCCCCTGTTTTCCTTTTCTTTGCCCTCGCCCCGATTCGTGGCAGACAACGTGGTTTTTCAGGAACGGCCGGCACTAGGCTGGCTTTGTCTTAGCCGTGACCAGTTCTGCTCCTTGTGCCCTGTGCCTGGCTTTTGATCGCTCTCGCTTCACAGTCCGTTCACCCACCCGCTGACTGGGCGCTGGTCCTCGATCGTCGTTTGACCTGGATCTGAAACCGCCCACCGCAGCGCGCACAGACATGCGAATTTCATGGTTTGGTCCTCATGAAGATATGTATGTATGTGGTGCGCCGGCCTGCCAGGTGAAGCGCTGCCGTTCTTCTTGCAGTCGTGTCTGCCACCACCACCACTCAACTGCCATAACCCACTGTTGCGCGCCGGCGATGCCCAACACTGTGCAAATTTAGCCGAGCGAGGATTGTTCGCTAGCCGAACCCGGTAGCCAGGAAGCATTGTCCGCTCTGCAACAATGCCACTTTGCGAAGGCGACAAAATCCAGCACGGCACAAGACAAAACGGCAAACGGCTCATGCATGCGTCGACCCAATAGCCACGCAACGTGGCCAGTGTATGCAGGAACTGCTGCCACTACTGCACTTCAATCCGTCAACACTCGGCACGAAAAATCCTCTTCCTGCCCCAGCGACTAAGAGTACCCGAGTTCGGTCCCACAACCTTGTTGCCGTTCGGACTCCTTCCAGCGCGCATTTCAGAATCCAACCGCATTTCTGGTCATTGAGTGCATATGACAGAATGCGCGTGGAGTCGAAAATTTTGAACTGGCTTTTTGGCCTTCGGTATCGACTCGGGCCTCTCTATCACAATGCGAAAGCTACCACATCCCTGGTTCTCGCACGTGCTGAATCGTTGATCTGGAACAGCAGCTTGACTACCTGCCTTGCAATGCCGACGAAGAAACTCGACGACCGGAGCGTTATCCACCTGGGCACCCACTGCGCATTGTCCAGTACGAAAAGACAGAATCCAGCACGGGTACCTGCTTCTGCACCTAGGTAACCTTCTGGAATACCACTTACCCACTCCTGGTTCGGCTTCTTCGACCGCTCGCCTTGCCTCACCCGCGAATCGCCCACTTCCGCTAACCCAGAGTACTCCTACGAGTACGCATCTCGATGGGGTCCATGGCCACATCCATGTTACCGCGGTACAATTAGTGAGTTCCGCCGTGATCGAGTTCTCTCGTGCTGTATCCTACGCACGCCCAACAAATGTGTCTCCCGTCGTCCCTGCGTTGCAAGATACAGCACGACTGTTCTCACTTTCGGCAAGTTTCGCCAGTCCTTGCATTCAGGATTCTCCCCGACCGCCCGCATCTCATGAGTTTTCATTTGATGTGACGTAAGGCGCAGGCGGGTCCTGCTCCAACACTGTTCCTCGTAGGAGCAGCCACGACAGGCAGGGCGAGAAGGTATACCCATGGTGGCTTCGGCGCATCTTACTCTGCAAGGGAAGCCGGTCCCGAAGGCGAAGGCGCTCGACCTCGGTCACCGTTACATACCTTGAACTCAATCCGTGGACAGGACCCCAACCTGGCGGTACACCAGCTGCACGGAAGCCTGGAACTTGTGCCTTCAGAAGATTGGACCGTGAGGGAGTCTTCCTCAACTCTGATCACCACTGCTCGGACCTGCCTGGACTGACAGTCTTCGTATTTTCACGCTTGAGGGCTCTCCGTCCTTCGTGCCTCCGTGTTGACACCGGTGATGCTTGGAACATGTTTTCCAACCCCGGCCTCTCATCCGCAGCCTAGCTCCTGTGTCTTCATGGCTGGATGGACTGGAGGGATGATCAAATCACACCTTGGCAGGGAAACCCAAAACCAGTCTCGGTCTAAGTATAAATGTGATTGAATGTCATCGTGTTGGTCCTCGCACGCATCCATTGGGAGACCAAGGTGATCTATTGCCTTTTCCGGTGAGCCTAATATGCAGACCCAGAGTATTTGCTTATCGACCACCATCCTGCTGGAAATCGGCTGAGATCAAGAGTAGCAGGCAAATCTCGCCCGGTAGCGACATACTGAGCAGGCAAAGCCTCACACAGTAGCAAATGCCGCCGTCTCATAAGAAAAGGTCTTGATCAAAACCACCCTGGCAGAGTATGATTAGGTATTGTGAAGCTGCACTCACCAAAGTCGCTTGAACGCAGCAGAAAATCAAATATCCAGTCCGATACCAATGCCCGCACTTTCTCGAGCTTGATCATATGCTTTTCATAACTGTATGGTAATCATCGAAGTCATCTTGCGGATCTCGATTCTCCCACCGCGGTCGGTGGCGAGTAATGGTCATGTCTAAATCCTCGTCCATCTGACTATGGCGATTCGGATTCCTATCATCAGCGTGCGGGTCGCGGTGGCCGCTGTTGCTGCTGGCATGAGCTTTCGGGAGGTCTCGTTGAGCAGGCCACAACGCGAGATCCGCCACATAACCTTTGGCTGGCTTGGGCTGAACAGATGGGGCACTTGGGTAAGGGTTCCTAACGTCTGCAAAGTCCATCGCCAACACGGGAGACGCCGGTTCACCGTCCACCATCAGGTTCGTGCTTCGCCGCTCGACAGGTTGGACTGATGGCGATTTGAAATGCCTGTCCCTCTTCCGTCGACCGACTATGCCTGGCGCTCCGGACTCTGTCACCTTTTCCTGCTCGACTGTGCCAGCACTTTCCTGTGATGTCGGGCTAAGTGCGCGTCGTCTGGAACGCGTCTCATGAATGGGGTCGACTTGACTCTTCGCCTGTGGGAGAAGGTTTAAGTAAACCGCAAAAAGCGTCCCCGATACGGCCACAGCCAGGGGCACACAATACGAGTACTTCAATCCATGTCCATTGGCGACAGCCCACTGGATGGGTGGGAAGACCGCTCCACCTGATATGGCGGCCGTCATCAAGGAAGCTCCAGTCTTGGTATGTTTGCCCAAGCCTCTCATTGCTATGGCAAAAATGATGGAGAAAATACCAGCTTCGAAGAACAGTGTGAGAATGGGGACTGCAGCTCCCCCGTTGCCGTCGAGATGCATATCCAGGGCCAAGCAGACGACAACCCCGACATAGGACCCTAGTAGAATCCACCTGGGCTTCAGAAAGTAGTTGAGGAAGGTGGCCAGGAACCGACCGAATGCAAAGACTCCGTGACCAACCATCTGATAATCGAATGGTTGAAGAGTCGAGGTTGGCTTCAGCAACTTGAAGAGCGGTTGAACGTTGTTCCCAACACACTCTTGTGCGCCCACGTAGCAGAACTGGCTGAAGACTCCCAGTCCAAGTGTCACATAGACGACTTTCCAGGGACCAACTCTCGCCATATATGCGTCACCACGACGTTCAGCCAAATCCTCCAGCTGCTCATCTGATGCCTCTGGCAGTGGAATGTAGTAGAAAACGACTGCCAGCGCGTACACGAAGAGGGCAATCCCAAGATACGTCCATTGCACGTCCACAAGTGAGCCCGCACTGTTGACGCTCTTGAACAAGACTTTGGTGGCTAAGAGGGGAGAGCAGACCGTGCCGATCGCTTGAAAGGCCTGGGAAAGGTTCAGCCTGACTTCTGCTAACTCCAGCGGTCCGCACAGGGCAATGTAAGGGTTTGCCGCCACTTCCAAGCAAGATAAGCCAAATCCGACGATGAAGTTTGACACGGTGAATGCAGCGTATGATGTCAAGACAGCAGACGGCCAGAAGACTAACGTCCCGCAGCCATACACTGCCAAGCCCGCGATCATCAGCGCCTTGAATCCATATCTTTTGATGATGAAGCGGCCCAGGCTCAGAGGTCCGACGAAGTAGCCCCCATAATAGGCCGAATGGAGGCCCAGCCCTTTTCCTGTCGAGACGCCGGCCACGAGCTGAAATCGAGAATTGAGCGTGTCAAGCAGGCCATACGCAAACCCCCACAGGAAAAAGATGACTGTGACCACGGCAATCGGCCACGCGCTTTCCCGATTTGACAAATTCAGCATATTTCGTTTTCCAGACATGTTGACGAATCCGAAGTCGGAAACCGCGCTCTTGTTGGTGTGCCTCCGACTCAGTTTTGTCGCCGTCCTTGAGAGTGGTGATCCTGTCTGCTCCTCAGGCGGCCACGCGAGCATATTCAGAAATCCCATCTGGTCGCCTTGATCATCTCCACAGTATTCCTGAACAATCGGCCTCCTAAACGCAGCGGGGTTGTTGAGCATCGACACGTTTCCTTTCGGAAGTTTTGTACCCGCACTTCCCGCACTCGGATTTCCGGCATCGACGCTGTTGTTGGACGTCAACTCTTCTCCGGCATCTCTGATGAAGCTGGGCAAGAAGCGAGCAAAGAGAGGTTTTAGACTCGGCACACATGCACAGACGAGACCGATGCAGACCTCCACTGCTGACCACATGAAGCTCAGACTTGCATACCAAGAAAAATCGTTGTCTTCCACAGTTCGCCCTGGGTCGCTACCAGTACCTTTGACCACCTTCAACCGATTCAGTGCCGCTTGCTGTAAGTAAGCAATGCGTATAACGTCAATGGCCGCAACGAAAGCACCGAAACTGAACGTAGCCACCAGAATGATTTTTTGCTTCCGAGGCAAGCGCATTCCCGTCAATATTGGGATCGGGAGAAACAAAATCGCAATATCCGTGATGATGTTGAGGGGCGCCGAAGACAGATATAGCGTAACGATATCTGTGCACGCAGCGTTCTCGGGTGTAGGATAAAGATACCCGGCTGCAACGGGAGAACATTGGAAGATGTTGAAGAATGTGAGAGCCAGTCCGACGAGGTTGACCACAGCAAGGGTCAACCAGTTACACCACTTGAAGACGGGATCAACGTCCTTGCTCATCACTGACAAGAAGAAGACAATGATGGAGGTCTTCGTCAGCATCAAGGACGGATTGTAGAGAATGGCGAAGGTATATTCGGCCTTCCGAAGAGCGCTGAACGAGCTGTCTGGTATGTCTTGCTTGTGCTTGCCTAACCCATAATGAACAGCGACGCATATCGACGAGGAGAATCCTACAGCACACACCCATGCTACCAGAATCCACCAATCGTCCTGCCTGATGGATCTGACAAGTCGAACTCTTGTGAAAAATCGAGCTGCGACGAAGGTGGTGGCAACCGCCGTCACAATAATGGTGACGGCCGATGTGGCCGGGCCCCGGTCCTGGACCATCTACCGAATAACGGTGGTAGTTGGGCAGTACGCTCAGCTCTTATTCCCTACCGACGACTCAGCGAATGTCGTTGACTTGAGTGCGTCATGTCGGCTGAAGAACACGTCGAGAGAACAGACAATGGCTTTGACCCAAGCTGTCCACATATGTGGGAGATATTGGGCAGTAATTGCCAACTGGATCTTCGAAGGGTATGTGAGAAGGCGGGAATTCTGTTAAAGGGAAGTGAAGGAAGCTGGTGGTGAGTGGACAAGAGCGATGCGCACGAATCCGTTTGGCGTCGGTCGTAGGCCGTTTGACCAGTCACTCGCGAACTGGCCAATGAAAGAGGTTCCGCAGGCGTATTCTACCCGCTGCTTGATGTTCGTGAGGCATTCGTCGGAGAGGGAAGTTGGCTGAGAAGCTGCTGGCAGACGCTTTGCCCGATGTGCTCTTCATGGCTGAGGGAGATTTTAACCTGGACAGCTCGGATCTGTGCTCCCCACCAGCGTTCTTTGCCAGATGCCGACGGCAAATGGAAGCGGTGGAAGTGGCATGTAGAAGCGTCATTCGTGTCACCGAGGGAGGGTTGGTGATCGCTTGACCTGGTAAGCTGGTACTCGATCATACTCGTATTGGAGGGGAAAGACACGAACATTCGAAGGAGGCGGGCAGAAAGACGCGGGGAAATATTAGGCTGCCGACCATCGAGCCTATCGGGCCGACTTGAAGCATGCCCCACGCACTTTAAGTGCCTGGCAATGCCCGCTCTTTGGCTGCCACGGCTGCCTAGCGTCTGTGCTCCAGTTAAAGCTTCCGGTGGTCAAGAACCGACCTCTAACCCTAGCAGCCCCGGAGAAACACCACTTGGCATGAGCAGTGGATTATTGCGCTCATCACCTATATCGCTTATCGAGTATGAGGTAGATATCATAGCATCATGTAGAGGAAACAAACGTCGACGGGCTTGCTCACTGATCTCACTGTGAACGCGCACGAGACACATCTCAGAGGAATTCAGGATAACTCAGAACAATTAGAGTGGCTGATGGAGGGACAACCGTTTTGTCGACCTTTCCAAAGCAAACCACTCCATACACACATGCTATGTTGCTATTTTGCCCAACCAAGAGCCCAGAATTGTTTATGTACGGCCGACATAAGAATCCCCTCGAACACCGGCACCATACTGATGTTGTGTACCAGACACAATTGGAACTTCAGGCAGATCCCCGTGACCCTCTTTTCCCAATGTCTCGTGCTGCTCAGCCGCGCCGGCACCACCTTCTTGCCTCTTTGAGATATCTCTCGCACCGCTCTCCAGCCGCAGCTTGTCTGCGGTGATGAGATCTTCGCCCTTAGGCGGCACCCACTTGCTACTCTTCCATGGTTTCACCTCCAGCAAGAACATGGTATCGATCTCTTCCAGTGATCTGCCAGAGGTCTCCGGCAAGCAGAAGTAGACAAAGAAAACTGCGAAGAGGTTGCATCCTGCAAAAACGTAGCCGTACGAATAGTTTATGTCGCCTGTAATGAAGGGGGTGAAGAAAGCGATGAGAAAGTTGAACAGCCAGTTAGAAGCAGCACAGAGGGCAATGCACTGTGAGCGGTATCGCGAGGGATAGATCTCAGCAGTCACTGCCCATGCCATTGGGCCCCATGTCGAAGCAAAGGCAGCACTAATGTTTGTGTTAGCTTTGTAAACATGCTTCATGACGGACTAGGACTGGGCATGGTCCTAGATCGGTGAAGCACGGGGCGATACTCACATAAATAGACAGGAGAAAATGATCATCACGTAGCCGATGCTCTGATTGTTTGAGCCATCGGCGTTCTTGAGCGCAAATTGTCCGCAAGAGGCGAAGACGAGGAAGCACATGAACATCCACCCGGCACCGATCATAAGGCATTTGCGTCGTCCGAACTTCTCGACGAAATAGAGGCCTGGGAACGTTGTGGCGACATTGACGGCACCTGTCGTCGAATTAGTCAACAGCAATGTGAGTAGCTGACTCGACTTACCGAGAATGATCTGAGTAACGTAAGAGTTCGAAAGACCGACGGATGCAAAAACGGTCGTCCCGTAATAGAAAAAGTAGTTCGCGCCTGTAAGCTGTTGGAGGGCCTGGACGGTACAGCCCAACATAACCCGGTAAGCCATCCTGGGTCCGGTGAAAATCTCCCAGATAGGATGCTTTCCACCTTCGAGTTCTATTTGCAGCTTTTCTTGCATCTCCACTAGCTGGTCCTTGACCACTTTGTGGCGTTCAGACACCCCGTGGAACCTCGCAATGCTTGTTGTGGCAGGATCAATCTTTCCATGGCGGTAGTCGTGCCTGGGAGTTTCGGGAAAGAAGAGGATACCAACGCCGAGCACGATAGCGAACAAAAAGCCAATGCCCATCGGGACTCTCCAGGATGCCGTGTTGTTGATTGCCTCAGTGCCGAAGTTGATCAGATTCGCGATGAGGATGCCAATGGTGATGAAGAGCTTGATTTCAACAGTCAGCGGCCGCCAATAAATTAAGAACTTTCTTCTGTGACTTACCTGGTAACAACAGACGATGGCTCCACGGACGTGTCGAGGGCTGCTTTCTCCCTGATATGCAGGGACCAACACTGCCTTCTTGTTAGCGTCCAAAACAAGCGGCAGAACACCCAGATTGTGGAAGATCCAGCTGGACCGGCAAAAGGTTTGAGCTTGCTAACCTGAGAGACCTCCAATGGCCAATCCAGCGATGATACGGCCAATCATGACCTCGTACCAATGACCGGAGCTCGAGCCTATCTGAACAGCGACACCGATACAGAATACAATGGTCCAAATGACAATCGAATACTTGCGACCAAGAGTCCGGTTGTTGGCAATTGGACCGGCAATCAGAGCTCCGATCAACGTCCCAATGGACAGCTATTTGGCATCAGCTTGAAAGCAGAAAGCGGCGACTTATTGACTCACCATTCCTACGATCAAGCCCGAGCGGACGTTACTGAAGCCCATGGGATTTCTTTGATCTGCAAAGTTCCGGAGGAAGTCGTCCATCTCCAGGAATCCAGAAATTTGACCAGTGTCGTAACCAAAACATAGACCGCCGAAAGAAACCAAGACCGCCATGAAAAACGTCCTTACGGTCAGAAATGGCACTTTGGACTCATCGTCGAAGGGGCCTTTTTCCGTCTCGATGTCGGCCGTCTCTCCTGTCGCCGTGAAGGAAGACCTCACGGAATCCCCACGGCGGGGCTGAGGTTGTTTCTTCTGGAACATGTCTTTGATAGCCATGTCGTGCAGGTAAGTGGGTTATGGACTGGACGATCAGCCGTGGCTCAAAGGGCACCCGAACGTAGGTGGAGGGGCATTCAAGCCTTATGTACAAGAAGTAACAAGGCAGTGGCTTCGGTCTGCGGCACGAGTCGGCAACGTCATCACAGAAGCAAACGCACCAGATGTAGTATTGACACCAAGCTTGAGATGCTGGGCGTCGCGGGGATGCCAGGATACCAGGGCATCAAAAGCTTTTTCGAGTGACACTCCGTCGATCGTGGGCCACGCACATCGCGCAGTCCGCACCATCGACGTCATGCGAACAAAGCCTTGTCCAACACGTGCCTGCAAGGCTTTGATTTTGCCTCCACCCAATCCAGAAATGGCAAAGCGTGGTCCTGGCAGAGTAACCGGGATGTTCTCCATCCACGCTGCTGGTAGTCGAGGGTTTGCTCTGCGCGTTTTGCAAAACATTCTCAGTCTGTGTATTGTGCACAGAGTAGGACTACATTGACGCTCGATGCAAGAGACCCGAACCATTGTTTCCGATCTGGTAGCGGGAAAGCGTGGTTTGCGGGGCGAGATCCTTCGTCTTGCGTGACGATCAAATGACGTCGACGTCGCAATCGGCTAAGCACACCCGATCGTGATCCACACCTGGCTCTTCTGCCCCCATGATTCGCACCTTGGTCCTTTTCCATGCTCAGGCATATGTCATTAGCGACGGGTATCTCGTGAATTGCATGGTTGTTCGGAAATCTTCCTGCCAAGCACTATGCGAAGGAGGGTGGCTTTTGTGCCTTAGGACACTGGTGGGATTACTCGTACGAGTGGGCTTTGCTGAGTGCCCGTACCTCGAATTCCGCCGCTCGATCGACAGAACTGCTCGCGTGATGATCGTCTGGACACCGTTTCCTACTGGGTAGAAATGCTATTGGACACCGCCCACTCTCAGTGTGTCGAAGCATGGATGCATGGATGAGATACTACCCCAACACTCCGCGTCGAGAGTGGTCTTCCCTGAAAGCGCATTATCTGCTCCCCCCGCAAGGAGAACTTGAGAACGGACTCTCGCCGCACCCAAGCGTCGAGATAAAGACAGCGTGGGCAGCCAGCAGTAGTCCACTTGCAACGTAGTTGAGGTCGGTCACCGAAGGAGCGGTCCGAAGCCACATCACGGGTCTCCATCAGAGGTGGACCATACTTGTACTTATACCTCGAATCCTTTGTTTTTCGCAGCATGGAGGACCGTGCTCAGACCAGTGCTGGCATTATTGACCCTCTCCGGTTCAGAAGGATACTTGATCGGCCGCGTGAGTTCTTCGGAGACACTGACATGGCTGAACCAAAGCTTTGATTCTGTGTCTCCCTGAGGTCCTCTGATATACCAGGTCGTCGTTGGATTCCAAGGACTGAGCCGCAGGGTTGATGGGAGCAAACAGACGGGGACCATTTGGACTGGGTAGTCAAGCTTCCTCCGCATCGCAGGTCCATCGCAGATCGTCGCGCGGAGTCAGTGCCATGGGACGCTATTCTTGTGGACGTCCGTCTTTAAATTTCTGGAGACCTCCTGCGCCTCTGTAGCCCTCGAGGATGCTTTCGTTTTGTGTGCGAGGCATGCCCATCTCATCCTTCTGTTCTGTGCCCAATGGTTTGGCCTTTTTGTCAGTCAAGAATTTGGACTCCTCCTTCGAATCGGGGCGGGCGCTCCTGAAGAGCTCAATGCCCGAAGTGCCTTGCACTGGATCGAGGACACCGTGTCGGCGCAAGCTCTCCTTGCGCATGTCCAACTGTCCACCGTCTGCTTCCCTGTGAAGCTGGGCATTTCGTTTCGCGGCTCTGATCGAGGTGACCGAGTAGGTATAGAGGAGCCCTGCCATGACAATTGCAGCGATGGGAGCAGTCACGGTCTGGCAAAAGTGTCAGCTTTACACAACCAGGCAATGGACGCAACGCACTCGGGGGTTCCAGACGGAACCTCGTGGTTTCACAACACGAGCCATCACAGCTCAGGCGGTACTCAGAGTAGCTGTCGTTATGAAGTGACCGCAGCAGATTGAACACTGGAAACCACGCGATCAAGCTTTTAATGATTGGACAAAGTTCAGGCATCGTTCTCCGCACTTCAGATTTGACTCAAGCTTGCGGGTCTCCTTGTCGCGCCTGAAGCATATCTTCCCTGGTTGACATCACCACAGAAGGACAAACATTCGGCCTGAAAAGTGTGCGCAATAAGTCGTGTGTTTGTGTAAGGTTCTGGTGCTTGTTGACGGGATGGTCGGACGGCTATGCTCCTAGTGATCGCGGCAAGCCTGCACTCGTGTAATGATGCTCATAATTGCCCAGTTCCAGGTTTACGAGATGCTAATCACTCTTGTCGTGTGCTCGCTGTCTACACAGTAGATATCTTCCCTTCTCGTGCCGATGCGGGGATATGCCGCATCCATGTAGGTTTGCTCGCTGTGCCGCTACCTGGAATGCAGGAGAAACCAACACAAAGGACATCGGTCAACACCAAGGGGATGCTCCTACGTCGGCAGTCGAGGAATCGGCTGCGGCACTCGAGCGATGCGGAACAGGAAGGTCGAATACTGGCAGCACACGGAAATCGAAGGTGGCTTTCCACCCTTCCACCCACTTCTGACGGTAGAGGCTTGCTGACCTCATCGCTGCGCAGAACCAACCGTCAAGCGTCAAATCATGATGCGCTGGCAGACAAGTCCATCTCAGAAGCGGATCGACTAGGAACAACCATGGCAGCACCTAGGCGTTCAGCGACAAATCAAGGAACAGCCCGAGTTGGCCAGAACCACAGGTTGCTGCAAGTATCGAGCTACTCGCCTAAAAAGACACGGCCGTCCTTCCGTCGCGTGATGTCCTCCTTGTAGAAGAACTCCCACGAGAATTTCTTATTCCTTTACCCGGCAGCTAAAGAAGCAGGGACGCCTAGAGGACTTGTCCCATCTGCACGAACAGGCATAATCCAGCGACCCGAAGCACCGTCACAGGCTTGTCGGTTGGAGCTTGTCGTGGCTGTGCTCGTTTTTGGAATCACTCGGCAGGCACCTCTTTTTATCTCTTACAGTTCTCGCCGCTTCCCGCATAAGGTTCACGAGCTCGCTCATACCCGCCGGGAGTACTGACTCTCCATCCCTCCACCGCATCCGCATTGACCGACAGAGAGACACTTCGATCTTCTATCATCCGACTTGCTCCATATTGGCGCTATATTAATATTCTCCAATTCCCCGTTTCCCCCTCCACACAGGTCGACACTCGACGTCCCTAAGGCGAGCCGACCTGATAAGATACCCGTGCGACAGAATCAGCGTCATCCAGCTGACGAGAAGGCCAACGGCCTCACCCACATCACATCGAGAAACTTTGTCTTTTTCTATCCGCCTTGCACGATTACGGGCTGAACCGAGTCCTAACAACCCTCTACCTTCTCCTCGAAGACCTCCGACCCCGCGCCTTTCCTGATATTCCGGCCTCTGCTCTGAACGGCTGGTCGATAGTGAGATCCCGCCGCCATGACGTCTCTAATCTTTGGAGGGATTTATATGGGCCACAAAGGCATCGTCAACCACCGTCGCGAGAAACAACGGCAGAAGAACTACGAGCGGTGGGAAGGTTTAAGGGACGAGTACGACGAACAGAGAAAAATAACTCGAGCATCTCGATCGTTGGACATACAGCGCACTGGAGACTATGACCCGGACAAACCGATTCTGACACTGCGCGATCAACAGGAGGCAAACGACGCCCGCACAAGTTGGCGACCACAAGAGGCCTGGGATGACTCTCCGAGACGAACCAGCGTTGAAGTCACATCGGGCTCAGGTCTAAGACCGCTAGCAACCAACAAGACCGGCGCAACGTGGGACGAAGGTCTCCCGCAGCCTCTCAAAGTGAGCCGGCGCAATTGGGAGGACTACGCCCCTCCCGTCAGCAGGAGCAGCAGTTTGCGGAAAGCAAGTACGCCTACTAGCCCACCACAAGACACAAGCAGCAACAGCAGCAACAACACGCCATCGATGAGCAACAGACCCTCGCCTCGGCTAGATGCACCTACCCCTACGACGCACCTTTCCCACCCTCATTCTTCGAGGAGCGTCACCACTCCGCTCGAGACTATGCACCATGAGACCGTAGAGCCTATTGAATATAGCAGGCCGGGTGGACTCATGGCGGAACTGATCGAAGGGGCCGACTCACACCGACCCGCGCCCTACACTCATCAATCACCCCAGACTTATACGGGATACCCGGCGCAAAACTACTACCCGCCCGCGCCAGCGCCTGCGACTGCGATTGCGACCGCCCCTGCGCCGTATGACGGGAGCATGCAGGAATGGTGGAATCGGCCTCTGAACTGACTGCCCTGTCAGATTCCTCTCGAACACCTTTTGATGATATTGCCGTCGGCGTTGTGTCTCTCTCAGGCGTAGGCAGACGGCAGCGCAAAGACGCGCACCAGAGCGTATCAATAAATCTCCTTAACTATTTTTTCTCTCCCCCGATCTGATCTAGCACCTAGAAAACATCAAGGATTTGATTTCCACCTTTCTGACCATGTTTATCATGGCTAAACTTGAGAGCGATGGCGTTAGCATCCGAGGGGCATGGCACGGGGCATTGAGATCGACCAGATATACCGTACTCCGTACTCGGTACTCCTCAACACAGTACTACCGGCTACGAGTACATAGATTGTCGAACGTCTAGACGGCCGAGGCGGCTACTCACAGCAGGGACTTTACCGCTGCGCACAAACTCCACGGCCAAATCCCGGACTGGGGAAAGGAAAGGAACCATCAAAGAAGGGAGAGAGAGAGAGAGAGAGAGAGAGAGAGAGAGAGAGAGAGAGAGAGAGAGGGAGAGATGTGGAGGTGGAGGTGATGATGGGATGTGGCCGGGGGAGAGATCTGCCTACGGAGTACTGGGGTACACAGTACTCCGTACGAGTACTCCGTATTCCATACACGGGCTGAATCTCCCGACAACGAAAGTAAAGTACTGTACTGCACTCCGTACTCGGGTGGTCTGGTCTGGTCCTGGCCTCAACGGCATCGAATTACATCCAGTAGCGCAGGATACAATTTACAATCATACAATCATACCTTAGAAAGACATCCCATGTCAGGGGCAGGAGGTCTGGATCATCAGTACCTATTGGAACAATGTCCCGCTTTTTCTCGTGCCCAACTAACACTGTTTGGCCCCGAATAATGCTTGACGTGGAATACTGTAGGTACACCTGTACTGTATTGTATATACTCGCGTGGCTCCGAAAAACAAAATCTCGAGAGTCTCGACCCTGACAATTGTCGTCGAGCCCGCTTGCTTGACGCCTAGACACCCATCCGACAAGCATTGATAAAGAGACGTCAATCGCTCATCGAGCAGGAGAGCCGAGAAACGAGGGTGCCACACGGCCCAGCAGGGAGGGACAAGCGCGCGTTCTTGCCACACGCAATTCATTATGCACAGGATTTTTGGCGCAGTCTTCTCGCAATCATGGACACTCTCCACTCCTTGCTCTGTGCAAGGAGCATCCACCCGGGCGGTGCTCCACGGAACTTGGGTATATATCCTCGACACTTATTCCTCCAGGTAAAGCGTGCGGAATAATAAATCTACACTTTTTCTCCACCAGTAGATGGTCTTCACTTCTCGCTGAGTTTATGTTCTGTCGCCTGCGTCTTTGTTTGTGCTGGTGTGCCGAGAGTCGACGCCCACGAACGTCGAACGTCGAATCTGGAACAGCGAATCTCTGTGTATTGATCGGATGCGAGGAGTGTAGAATTATGCGGCGTTTCCGGGTTTCTCTTCCGTGTCGATATGCTATTCATTCAAGGGGGTCAGTACAAGTCCATCTTCGGAACGGGCATCGAGGTTCAAAACAGAGATGGGACGACGTCGATGTGAGACCCAAGTGAAATAGCATGGGGAGAGACGGGACGTACCCAAACGACGTAATTCGGTAGTCCCACCACCTGGTATCCGGCCCGCTTGGCCATCTTCGCGAAACCCTCTGTTTCTGCTTGATTCTCGAATGCGTAGCAGGGGAAGTTGATGCCTGGCGGTCACGACGCGTTAGCAAATGCGCCTTTTTACTTCCACTGCAGCAGACTCACCAGATCGATGTACGTCGGCCTTCACCAGGATATTTACACCCCCAATGCCGTCCAGCTCGATCTCTTCATCCTTATTGTGCCTCCAGTCACCCATGCGGGCCATATATGTGCGGCCGGTATCGTACTCTTTATAGCCCTCTGCGAGTACCACGTTCTTGTCCAGAGAAGAAGCTAGACGACGGCCCTTGTCGGATTCGATCCAGCTGTTGTAGTCGAAGCGGCCTTCGATATCGCGGCCGTTCTCGTAGCGGTGGAACCAGATGTCTGTCGGGAAACGCGTGGTTAGTTTCGAGGCTTGCAGATATGGGAACTCGGCGGAAAAGGCATACTTGGTACTAAAATGTCGCGATCATGCGCGACGAAATCCTCGATGATCTTCTTAGGGGAATCCACAATATCGACATCCCGCCAGTAGACCCAGCTGTGTTCGGGCTTCAGGGCGGCAGAAAGAAGGTAATTCCTCGCTCTCCCCATTGCTTTTCTCCTTGGACCTTGAGCGGCGAATCCGTGTCTCGATTCGACGTTCATGTCGAGGTTCGACCCAAAGTCCTTCTCCACGATCAGGACGCTGTGGAATGGAATCTTGTCTGTCCTTTGCTGGATGCGGTTCAGCTCGGCGGAAAGCACGGCCAGGGTATCGTCGACGGAATCGCCGACCAGGAATGCTAAATCGATCAAGTCGTGTGGATATGTGAGTTCAGACAGCAAGTCGAAGTATTTGATCAAGTAGGGTGCCGCATCGCGGAGAGGAGTGAGGATCAGCACCCGTTCCTTATTGCTCAGTGCTCGGGGGGTGGAAACGATGGGATTCAGGTCAATCCGTTCGATGGTGCTGGCGTTGACTTGGTAGGGTTCATGGTGGTTGAAGAGCACAGGCGTCTGGAGGTGTTGGTTCCATGCCGCCATCTCGTTCTTTGTCATTTGAGTGGGCGGTTTCGAAGGCCCGAAGCAATAGAAACTATACGTGGCTCTCAGTCAGTCTCACAGCATGCACTTATTCCAGGTGATCCGTACTTTGACATCTGTTGTGTTGATACACTGATTCCCCGCCATAGTAAAATAATCAAGCCCGTCAATGCCACCGCAACCAGGAATCTTGTCCGAGTCAGGAACATTATTATCGCCTTCCAGGGAGGTAACCTGGCTTTGGCGGACTTCCAGGTCACGCCACCTTTGGGGAGGAGCATCTTGAGTATGGGCGAATCGAAAGTGGTGGGAAAGTGAAAAGGAGGAGGGGACAGAATGCGGCGCCGCGAGGAGAGGAGAGACGGCCTCACTAGGAGGGCTTTGAGGTCGTATTTGCCAGTGTGAGATCTTCGCTCTTGACTGTATCTAGGAAACGAGTGGAATGGCCTTGAACATCAGGCCCTCGAGGAAATGAAAAGCAGCTGAAAAGTCGTGATCAAAGTGTTGGGGGCGACGCTGCTCTGTGGCCGGATCGAGAAGGCGCGCGTTGTCGGAGAGCAGTTGTTGCAGCGCAGTGTAAAGACGTCGAAAACAGTGGCAGAAACGAGACGGCGCATTGGCTTGAAGGGCCGAATATGATGGCGGTGTTGCAGACGGCGACGTGGTTACAATCCATTACCACGCAAGCACCGAATCCCTTTCTCGTCGAATTTGGTTTAGCTTGTTTCTGGCGGGTGAACCATGCACGAACACGACGAAGTACGGAGTAATAGTGCGCAGGGACAATCCTCGCTCCTCTCTCTATACTCCGGACCACTGGCGCCAATGCGATTCCAACGACTCATGTTGCCTACAACTGTCGACAAATCTCACTGTCCTTAGTCACTCCTAATACTAATCACCCGAGTATCCGAGAATTTTGAAGCACAAGCTGGACCTTTGCACGAGTCTTTCCCCTGTGGTGACCTTCTTCACATGTATCAATTTCCTTCTCGTTATCATTCAAACGCAAATCTTTCCCGGCTATTGGGAACGAAGGCCACATCGTGATCAATGAGGCCAGAATCGCCATCCATACGAAGAACGCTACTTTTCCAACTGGCTATACTGCAAGCAACGGTTCAGTTACAGTGGATACAGCATGTGAAAAAACCTGTGCCGGCCGAATGCCAGACTGTGTTCCTTCCGTAGTCACGTATTTCACATCACCCATCTATCCGATATAACAACCCATGACAAGGCGTATTTGCCGACTATGTTGTACATTCGTTCATCTTCTCCTCGATCCGAAAGGACCTCCATGTACGTCTACTCGCGCAAGACTATTCGTGAGGTTAGAGCCTCACCGGTCCATGCTATCATCCCGCCGTGCTCTCCCCTTTGAAGGTAAATGCAGTGGCGTTGCATGGCAGAAGGCATGGCTTTGGACTCTCAAATCATGGACCCCTACCCTGTGAATGGGGAACCACGACTGTCAAAACTACCGCTGTCGTGCCGGACTCTCGTCCAAGCCCGCTGCCGCGGGTAGTCATCTTCCATGTCATCTCCTCGGCCTCTTTTAATGCCCACATAGCTGGGCTTACTAGACGACCTCCTAGGCGAGGCGCTTTGAGAATAATCAGCATCTGGCGCGCGGGAGGAGGCGTTTCGTTCTGGTGGCTGTAAGGATCGAAGCAGCAGTCGCACCGTGGTTTCAGCGCGTATGCACCGGTCGTTGAGCGCCTGAACGAGGCGGGCAGCGATTTCCTGCGTGTAGATGGCAGCGTACAGCTGCTCGTCTTTGCCAGGTCCTTTGCCCGCCTGGGTTCTGGTGTCCTTGATTGACTTGGCGTGTTCAGCGCCGCATTCGGCGGCGACTTCAGGACATCTCGCGTGGCTGTCGTGCTGACAACTACGATGCCGGTTCCGCCTGGCTTCTTCCTGCTCTCCATGCTTTTTCTGGCTTTCTTTCTTATAGATCATTCTGTCCGACACTTCTGGGTATGGCGTGTCCTCCAGCTTTTGTCGAGACGGGGAGGGTTCCTGTCCCTTCGGCGCTGATCTGCGCGGGATAATCACCCGGTCACCGTAGAGGGCGCGGGTCTCGTTGCGATAGAAGAAAGCCTCGACAAGTTCTGATAGCCCCATCCCCTGGAGCTTTTCCTCTAATCTCTTGCTGTATTCATTATCAGGCTGAAACCAACCTTGGACGTAGGCAGGTTCGATCTTGGAGCTCTCAAGCATGTTCCGTGCAGACTGGACCACGACAGCGATCTCGGGATCCGCTTGATCGAGTGTCCTCTCGAGGCTGCTGAGACCAAGCCCCATCTCGGCATCAGTGTCCACTAAAGATACCGACGATGATCGACTGACAGTCAGCGATGGGGATGGTATTTGATTCCAGGCCGGGTAGCCAAGCGGGTACGCTCTCTTGTTGTCACGAGTGATGGGATACAAAGTCGGTCCTTTGATAGCCGTGAGCGGCTCAGACGGCTGGGGAAGAACTCGGTCCGCACGCAACGTGGGAAAGCTGTGTGAGCGCGATGGGTACGGCCTTGGGGAGAGGCCCAGGAGTGGTGGTAGCACTGGCACAGGCACTTTATCTCCGAGTAAGTCAGAGATCCTGGGCAGTAGGGGCTGCGGACGTGATGACCCAGTCTGGTTCCCTGAGTTGTCCATGTCGAAGGCCTGTAAAAATTCCAGTGAGCAGATGGTTCTCGACGAAGTGGAGGTCAACACACCATGTTCAACCCTACCCGAACCACTCAAGGGAGCTGTGAGTTGCGAGGCTGAGACTTCAAGCATCCAATATGGCAATAACGATGGTGAGGAACCGTTTCGGTCCTCGACAAACAATGTGTATCCACGAGAACAGCTAGAAAGGCTCGAAGAAAGAGTGTTCAGAGTAATACCACAAAAAGAAGGCTTGACTTGAGACGAAACACCGACCTTGATGACAGCCCGGGCAGAATATGTATCTCTGCGCATATCGCCCCTGGCCCGCTCTGACACTGCACGACATGTTGAAGCCATTTCATATGCACTACTCCACGATCTCTTTCCGGCCCTTTGCGTGAAGGCTTGGGGCGGATGATGTAGAAAGCGGAGCCTACATTCGAACGAATGATCGCGAGCATGCCTAGGGGTCAGTCGCTCAGCGCGCATCCTTCGACATGAGCATCGGTTGTTGACACCAACACATTGGGACTTTCTCCTCCGCGCTAGGCTCGGGCGGGGAGATGGCATTACAACGGTCAGCTGGATGAGACCGGACGATGGCGACCCTGTCATTCCAACCTGGGGGATGGTGGAGCAACATCGTCCCAGGAGAGCGCGATCCACTCTCGATCAGAGCAGTATTGTGGAGGGCTGCAGGATACAAATACGGCCATCGAGGCACTCGGGTCGCAGCTGGATCGCTAGATTGGCAAAATGGTGTCCCTAAACTGGTAAAGGATAGATTGACGTGCGTTTGGTAGCGACTCGCTCGTTCGCTTGTCAAGTGGATATGCATGTGAGCTGGGTGCGATCTCGCTTCCAGCGATCTCAAAAGGCGAAAATGATTGATCAACCCGGCAGTCAGAGTCAAGCGGATGCAGAGCGGTTGAGAGCCAAGAGTGAATGGAGAGTGAGCAAGGACTGAGCCAGGACTGGACTAGAAGTGAACTGGCTTCCACGGAGCCTTCAGAGGGGACGGGGTCATTTTACCGAGACCCTCTCGTTGCGTCTGCCCGTTTCAGATGTCAGAGGCTCCTCGAATGCTACAGCTATCATTGCTGCTCGAACGAACTGGCGAAAGCTGTACCAGAGTGTGTTAAAAGCCCGAAAAGTGACTCCTCACATTTGACTAACGGTCGGAACAGGGCCCATCCCTCCATCCCGCGTATCCTTGCAACCATTGGCGCTTCGCTCCCCACATCATCGCCTAAGCGCGAATCGCGGACAAACCGGGACTCTGCCAGAGAATCTCACAGTCGCCTCCGTCGCTGTGCGACTGCATGAACACAACAACACGTGCCGCGGAGTTGGAGCATGTCATTTGTTCCATCAGGCAAGAAATTAAGATGCATTGAGATTGTCCATAACATTATTTGGGGTATAGTAACATATGATCCAGATTTCACCGCTTCCTCTTGTGACGCATGCTTTCCGAACTTTCAGACATTACCCTCGTTATTTGGAATAAGAGCCGATTAGTAGTGAACTATTGCCAGATCATGACAGGCTCGAACCAGACTGCTGGAATCAATTGCGGTCAGTTATAGGACGGACCAGAGTTTGCGAGGCACAGGAGCAAGACACCCGCGTCAATCGTCGGCTCGCCCCTCCAAGAGTTTGCGTGATTCGTCCAGTCGCCGCCTCAGCACTTTTGCGGCACGAACCTCTTGCTTCCTTTCCGACTTCAGGATCTCATTGCAAACCCCTCCAACCGCCCGCAGCAGGTCGAGGACAAGGTCCTTGTCCACGGCGGAGAAAGACACCGACCCCGGTCCAAAGCCAACCTTGAACTCTGGGTCTGCTAGCTTGATCAGACTCTCCATCAGGATCTCGGTATTCGCAGGATGGTCAACAGCCACCTCGCTTTGTGCATTAGGCTGGCTCAACGGTTTTGGCGTAGCGAGGGAGGAGCTCGGCGACTGGACAGGAGGAGTGGGTATGCCATTCGAAACGATTGACCCTTGCGTCTGAATGCTGCGCGGAGATCTGATCTGAGTTTGCCGAGCGCGTCCGCTCAAGGGCGGTGTCGGCCATACCGAAGAGGTGGCTTCCCGCTTCGGGCTCATTGGCGGCTGAGGAAATCCAATTCCAGTACCCCAGCCCAAGATCTCAGAGGGCATCCCGTCCTCGATCTCCGCACCTGCTCCTTCTGTAGCTGTTGCGAAGGTGGCGACCGTTGACAGAGAATCCATGCTATTGCTACGGGCTGCCTTTGCCCACGGCTTTGGTGGTGGGTCAGCAGAGACAACCTCAGGAGGGGTTCCTGGTCTCCGGAATGTCTCTTGAATCGGAGTTGACGCCGCTTCTTCGTCTGTACCGGCTTCCTCATCGAGCTGCGTCTCACCGTCCTCCTCATCCGCAGTTGGGGTATGTTGGTTCACCCTGGTTGTTGCCACACTGCTGCAATCGCTGTCGCTAGGAGTTTCACTTCTAGTACCGGCCCCCGCATAATTTCCCAGAGCGCTGTGAAGGAACATGTTCTCGTAATCAAACGCGTCTAGCCGGTCTTCGTGACGCTCAGCCCCTCCCTCTGCGGTTAGCATATGTTCAGGAATATCCGGGACGTCGGGCTCGAGGTCCTGCAGGCTCTCCTCCAGAACCTCATTTAGATAGATCTGCTCTTCTTCTGAAGCAGCAATGGGGTCATCATCCTCAAATTCCTGCGCTGCATCTTCGTAGACAGACTCTAGAATTATAGAATTCGGTTTCTCGAGCGGCTCGGGTTGCACGTGCACGGACTTGTGGAGACTGGGAGTGTTCTTGTCGGTCCTTGCTTCACTCAGGTAGCTGGAATCCTTTGTTGCCGAAAGATCGACATTAAGATATGTTTGGGCTTGTGGCGTGATTGGTGTAACATGGACCTCCAGTGGCTTTCTCGATCGGGACGGGCTCCAACCCATGCCGGCGTTCGTGTTGATAGGACTGCCAGCCTCTTTGTATTCGGGGGAACTCGTATACCATTGCTCCGGCGCCTGAGCACTCGTAAAGGGACTGGGTGTTCTGATGCTTTGCATGCTTTTTCTCCTCATGCTGTCGGCCTGTGCTCTGTCTTTCAAGTCGGAGATTTTGGCTTGGAGAGTGGACATCTGCTCACGGATTTCTTTGGTCGAACGGTTCGACATCACTGACGAGGAACGCGCCAAAGCTGTCGTGGGACTACTCGTAATCACTGAAATATCTTCTTTAGACACCGTTGCCAAAGTATTGATGCCGAGGCCTCGGGGAGTAGAAGACTCCGGTGAAGTTTTGGTCGTGCTTGGGGCACTTTCTTCCTCTTTGAGTATCTGCAAAGGTGAGTTGAAGCTGCGGATGCTGGCTGGCGAAAAACCAGCTGGCCGTGTAGATGGTGGCGAGTGAAGCTGCTGTGGAGACTCCTGTCTGCGACCATATTCAAGAGCACTCGAAGACCTAACCTCGGGGATCATGGAAAGACGCTTCAACCCAGAGGCACCTGTCGTCGTGTCGCTGCCGCCTCTAGCGTGTACGACTGAATTTGTTCTGTTGACAAGGTGGATCGGTCTCGCCTTTCGCTGGCTCGCCCCTGCCAGGGAGATTGAACGATATAGCCCGCCAGCAGGCTGATGCAGCTCGTTCATGTTCGGTGAAGACCTCGAAGACAGGAGAATGCTGTGACGAGCTTTGCTCAAGTTGTCTTCCATATGGGTGAGTCTCTTCCTCGCGTGCTCGAGGATTCGCTCTGCTCGTTCGTTCAGTAAAGCCATTTCGTCTTCCTCGTTTGTCACGACCGTGCTGTTTCTCTTGCTTTCGACATCGTCCACCTCTTCATCTGCGACCTTTGCTACATCCGCAGCCAACCTTTCATTCATAATCTTAGAGGTGTCGAAGTCGAAGTCCTCCCAGTTGCCCAAGTCAGAGCCATTGCTTGACGAGGAGCGACCGCTCAACCTTCGCGCCGCGCGCACCGAAGGTCCGGCCGGGGTCGGTGATGGCGGATCTGATGGAGTTGCGGTACCCGTTCTTCGGCTCTTTCTCGACCTTGGGGTTTCTTCCTCCCCGATATCGCTCAGGGGCGCTCCATGCTCATAGCCATAGTAGTTGGTGTTAATGGGAGGAACAACGCGAGACGGCAGTCTAACGGTCGTCGCAATGCCCAGCTGGATAGCAGGCTCAAGCTCCGGAGGGGACGAGCCCAACGAAACAGCCGAATCTGGCCGTAGCGGAGGCGGAGAGGAATGTAAAGTCGGCGACGAAGCTCGCGGAGTTGGGCTGGCTTCTAGATGTCGCTGATATGGTAATATCATGTCGGGATTTGTCAATGTGGGCGAGGGAGGAACTTCCTGCGTGAAGAGATCATGGGGGATCGCAGGAGGGATCGGATGGGCGTGTGCGTTCGTCATTGTGATGGCTGATCGAGCACGTCGTATGCGGTGATGCTGACAGAATGCGACAGCTGGTAAGACGTCGGCTCACCCGTGCACAATAAGGCATGCTCTGACAGGAGATTTCACTGGCCTCGTGCCATTGAGCGCAAAGGAGATTGACAATGTAGACAGTAGTAATTCCCAAGACGCAATGGGAAGCCAAGCCGCAGGCAGTTGATACTGTATGAAAGAGGAGTAGGACTCGGACACGACGTGTGTGCAAAGAGCCCACCTGGGCGAGCGAACAACTGCGCACCAGAATACTCGAACTGGGAACTGCGACAGGGGATGTCAAGACCAGAGAAAGTGGCTTGCTGGTAGGCAGGAAGTGGAGTTGCGGGCGCTGATTGAGGAGATTTTGTATGGCGCACACAACCGGAAGCAGCCTCAACGGCGCAGCCGCTTATGACTGGCTGGGTCCCTGCATCAGCCCCGGAATCAGCAAACCCTAGGCGGGAGCGACCCAACCGGAGCTCGTCCTCCAGGCCAGCCAAGGTCGAAAAAGTGCGCCCAGAGCCCTAGATAACGGCGGCCGGAAACCTTGTCGCTTCGTTGCTCTCAGCTTAACGCTGCAGAACCCACATGTCCAATATCTGGGCTTAGACCCTGGTTGAGTCAAGTAGCAGGTGAGCAGCAGCAAAGCCGCAGATGCTTGCGACGGAATCGTGATGCTGATGCCGACGCTGATGAAGCTGAAGAACCCAGCTGAAACGGAATTTGTGTTGAGCGCTCCAACGCCATTGACGCAAGAGTCAAGAATTGCACCATGCCCGCTTTCGCTCTTGTCCCTGCATCACCGTCGGATCTGGAGGCTGTCGCCCGTGTGCAGTTCGAGGCCTGCGCGAAGGATCATGGCTTTCCTGTCATATTTCCAAAGGGGCCGACCTTGACCTCAATCACCCATTTCGTGCAGGCGTACGAAGCCGACATGGAAAACGATCTCAGCTGTCACCTCATGGTTGTCAAAGACGCCCTGACCGGCGATATTGCGAGTTTCGCCATCTGGCATTTCTATCCTCCACGCAGCTCAGAGGACATCGAGGAGGAAATGTTGACGCGTGACTTCCCACTGCCGAATGATGCGAATAAGGAGCTGGGCAACAGGTTGATTCACAACAGTATCAGGAAGCGGCATGAGGTGGTTGCATCTGCCATTGGAACAAATCAGCCCTATGCCTGTAAGTTGTAGAAACCCGTTGAAGATCGTTATCTTTCCCTTGGCCAGCACCTATCTGACAGTGGCGAAGATCTGGCTGCTGTGGGCACCAGGCCCAAATACCAGAATCAAGGAGCCGCATCCCTTTTACTGAAATGGGGTCTGGAACGGGCGGACGACAGAGGTCTGGCAGTCTACGTCGAGAGCGCGCCAATGGCACTGCGGCTTTACGAAAAGTATGGCTTCCGAGAAGTTTCTAACTTGACGCTTGATATGGCGCCCTGGAAGGAAGGTGAATATCTCAATAAGTGCATGGTTCGGCCGCCAGCTACCTGAGATCCCTCTCGTCGAGTTCCAGTATCGACCGTTATAATCGCCGAATTTGGATGTGGTAGTATCATGAAACGTCAGACTGTCCTCAACTTTGCTCTCACCATCAACGGGCCCTGCTTCTCTCCTATTCCGACACTCTCCACAACCAACTCCTCGTTTGGATCTACAAGTTCAAGCTCGTACCGTCGCCATACGGCGGCGAGAATTTTGACAATGCTCATGGTCGCCACATTTCTTCCAATACATGCTCTATGACCCACTCCGAAAGGGGCTAAATCATTTGGAGATAGTGGTTTCGACGGGTCCAGCCATCTTTCGGGTCTGAAGACGTGATGGTCATCACCCCAAACAGCGGGATCGTGATGGACCACGTAATTGCACATGGATACGTTGGTCTAGGAGGCTCAAAGTCAGCATAAGAATCAGTGGGTGCGAGTACCATGACGTACCCCTGTTGGAACTTGGAACCCATTGATCACAGCTCCTGTGGGACTGGTGACAGTTCGCGGCAATGGCATGGTAAATACGGGAGTGATCCGAAAATTCTCACGAATGGACGCCATTGCATACGGAAGTTGGGCTTCCAATCCTGTGTATGCTGGTAAAGATACATCGGAGGCATCCGGCAGGGGAATGCATGCCTCAAGCTCTTTAGTGAGCTTCTCCCCGATCTTCTCGTTTCGCAAGAGATGGTAGAACAGCAGGGTCATAGTACCAGAAGTGGTGTGCGACCCAGCAACAAGGAACGCAAAAGCTTCGGAAGCGATGGCGACCTTCGGCAGGTCTTCGCCTGTCTCCGGGTCCTTTGCCTGGATCAGCCTGGTCAGGATGCTCTGCTTTTCACTTGTCTTTTGTCGAGACATTTCCCGGTCAAGACACTCCGAAGTTCTGTCTTTGAGTCGCTTCCTGCTGTTTAGAAGGTCTTGCAGCCATGGAATGGGCAGATAATTGGCGATGCGCATGCTGTACGGCAGCAGCGAAGGCAGCATGCCAAAGATGCAGCCCAGGAAGATGTGCTCGTTAATCGGGGGTAGTTGCGCAGGATCCTGTGCTTTTTGGCTTCCGAACTCGGTGTGAAAGACCAGTTCGCCGATAATGTCGAAGGCATAGTATCCGAAAAGGTCCTTCAGATTGAAGGGCTCGGAACCCTTTGCGTCAATGGCGTCAAGAAGATTTTTGATATGGACATCGTAGATGGACTCCATCTGGGAGAGAGACGCCACCGAGAAGCTGTGTGCCATTTGACGGCGACGCTTAGCATGCAACTATGTTTCTGCTTAGTATTCCGTGCCTCTGAAGCGACATTTCGACAAGGTACTGACCTCCTCATCCAGCATCCCAAAGGTGTTGGGGTGGAATGTGGTGAACCCCTGATAGAAGTCGCTCTTGGGGAATTTCCGCCCACCCTTGTATACGTCGCTGAAGATGTCGCGGCTCTGGAAGCTCAGTTCATTCGGGGCAATCCGAACCACTGGGCCGTACTTCTCGTGCATCTTCAGCAGCGTGTCTGGCATCCGCCTCGTCCACAGGTGATAGACCCTCCATAAGTCCGTATGAGCAGCCCAGAAAGGTCCGGGAAATTTTCTTAGAGGATGGAACAAGTGATTACGCAGAAATGAAACGACGAGGGCCGTGGAGACCAAGAGGGCAAGATAAATTGGCAACATCTTTGAGTTGTTCGCGGGTGTATGAGGCAGCAACCGCACCCACACGATACAGAGAGGAGTTGTGAGTGCATCTCAGGCTCTTGATATAGCCAAGAGCGGAATGGGCACTTCACATATTTCTGATGTTCATCAAGCCAGATCGTTGGATCTGCCCAATTGGCCCAGCACGCCTTGGTGGCACGAGTGAGCTTTCCGGGGCCACCTCATCACTTCGGCCTCACGTCACCAGCAGGACGAGTCGGAGCTCTTACAGGTCTGGACGGCCGGGGACTTTCCCAGACTGCGCTCATCAAGACAGGACTTCCGCGCTGTCGCACTTGGTCGGAATGGTCCGACAACTCGTGGAGAAGCTGGGGCATGCATTCATTTATTTCGAGGGGAGACCCAAGGAAATCTCGGGGCAAGGACGGTGCAAGGTGTCCTGGGAGTGACTGGATACGGGATCGCAGTGACAGCCATGAGTTTCTCGACTTCAGGCCAACCTTGGACAACGCAATCCACCCCACCCCATCGCGTCTCGGAATCCAACGCGCTTTCCGTCTTAGCGTTCCGAGATCTGCATTCCCCACAGTCGCCGGATCCTGGAAGGGGCTGACTTACGGTCACTTTGCTTCGGAAGGCAGCATTGGGTCCAGAATTGGCGGGAAGGAATATGAAAATACAGAAGTATGGAAACATAGAAATACAGGTTTGTGCGCGCGGTGTTCCTGCCAGCGATCCGAATCCAGACCACGAGCTATTCCTGCTTCTGGCAGCAGGTTGTTCTTCCGCGCAATGTTACGGAACTCATAAAGTGAGGGTCTCCCAACATATTTCACGCAAGGGACACTACAGAACATTACTGCCAGCACGATTTGGACGAGGTACGGAAGATCGAACGGCGTCGGATCATATAGGACAGAAACAATGGGCTCTCCGCTCGCAAGTTTTTGAGTGCCGCAATGATGATGGCTCTGTTCCGCGCACCCATCGCGGCCTTCATTTGAGTGGATGGACTGCCATCAAAGTGTAAATGGACGGGGGTCAACTGGGAGGGTACGAACTCATGCCTCGAGTCGTCGTATCCAGCGTCACCACGGACAGATATGGCGTGCGTTAACATAACAACCTGCAAGATGGCAAGCTTGTCTGCGCCGCTGCCATGATGATTTGAGGTCTGATCAAAGGCTTCAGAGCTTGCCAGAGACCAGGCGATGGAAGGCACATAGTATTGCCTTATAGAAGACCAAGTTCAAACTTGCTATCCTCATGGGCGAGCAAGCTGCTCTGATGGCTTGCTGAGCGTAGGCGCAAAATCCCTTACCCAGCCAGCTGCACACTTGCAACCGTGGAAGTTGATGCTGTACATTTCAAAGTTGCATTCCATGTTCCAACCCAGTGCGCCGCTGACCTTCAGTACCACGCGAGCACGTTTGGCTGTGGGAAGCCACCCTGACACATGGATGTAAGACGGTAGCGACGCGAGTCAGCGATTGTATTTAATTACTCGGTCACTCGCGACAGAATTGACTGCAGAAACTCTTGATTTCAGGCAACCTCTGGGTTTGACCCAATAGACCGCTCTCGATGTAAGCTTTTAACCGAGTCCGTACACACCTCCGGATTGGCAGCTCGACCTTTTTGACTGCACAATTCCGCTCGTTCTCGCCACACGGTCGGCTCCCACGGCCTTTCCAGCTGCCCGCTGTGCCAATCTCCCCCGTACGAGGACCCCCCGCTCTGGGGAATTTTCAGATCCAGAGTGCGTAGTCTTATTCTTCAACGACAACCACACAAACATATATTCCGTGTTCCCAATCTCGGTGCTACCGCCTCAGATGGCGTCTGGGTACCATGAGCCAAGACTCACGTTCGCAGGGCTTTCAATCCCGGATTTAAAGATCAACAGTCAGCATCGAGGCGTCCGCATCCTCTACGCCGATGGAACCTCCTGCGAAGAGAGTGAGGTCGTCCACTGCATATAGAAGGGCACCTTACGCAGCAGCAGCATGTGATTATTGCCATGGCCGTAAGCTGAAGTGCTCAGGCGACCGTCCCTGTGCTCGATGCAAGAAACAAGATATCTCGTGCAGTTACCCTACAAAGGCATCGTCCGCCACGACCCAGACGGACTCGGGCTTGAACCAGCAGCAACCGCCTGGAGATCAAAATGGCACCAGACTATCGGAAACGTTGTTCACGAGTATCGATGATTTGCAACGTCAGTTGGACGATTTTCGCACAAAACTTCGCGGTGCTACAGTACCTGGACTGTCCGAGTCCTTGTTGCTGAGTCCGCCCGAAACGATGCAGCAGAAAGTCAACCCCGATGAAAGGACGACAAGAGATCCCGCTTTAATGAAGGAGGAGTCTACCTCAGCGAATTCCCCGGGTATATATGCCGGCCCAACGAGCTTCGCTTGGGGAATGGTGACGGCCGACGCAAGGCTTGCCAATTTGACTCCATCCAGTCGAGACGACGCCACGCCGGGGAGTCCACCACTGCCGCTTGCTCAAAGTCCACAGGCTGCAGGATCGCCTCCTTTTCAACCGCCTGAACCGACCGAGTTCTATGAGAATGCGTCGTTGGACAAATTCAGTGTCGAAGACGTGCTTCGCTATCTGGATATATTCCAGAATGTCTATGGCGTCCTCCATGCCATTCCTCAACTTGAGAAGATTAGAACCAATACTCCCAGTTTACTCCGGTCTGCAAAGCGATCAATTTGGTCACAGGCTTGCGATCCTGGCCGCTGTGGTCTGTTGGAGATGATGAAGATTATTTTGGCAGCCGGGCTTGTTGCGGAGGCCGGGACGAGGACCAAACTATCGGAGGTATTGTATCGATCTGTGGAACCTTGCATCACTGCGTGTGCTTTTCAGCACACCGTCACATATGACTTTCGGACGCTGTTGCTGCTGGTGGTAAGAGTGGCGTTGCTCATGTGATAGTTTGACCTCGTGGTTAACGCTTGACTTAGGCTATGTACCACTTCGCGAACGACGACCTCGTGCTCGGGGCTCGAGCGATCATGTACGCCGCGCGCACTGCCGTGGAGGAAGGCTTATATCGAATCGAGACCCTCACTGCCAAGGTGCCGGATCAAAAGGAACGGCAGGCAGTAGTCCGTCAGTTGTGGAGCCTGTTTGTGCTTGATCGGCAGTTCAACTTCGCCGCCGGCCTGCCGCACCATCTGAACGACCGGGATGTCGACCTGCCTGCCCCCGTTGAGGCACCGTATCTGGCTGCTATGGTCAGCTATGTCATCATGGGGGCTCAGGGATGGAACTCGCTCGTCAACCGCAACTTGCTTGCCAGCGGTCGCATACCCTCCAAGGACGCCCTCAATTTCTTTCACTATCAAGTCCATCATTGGAGAGAGGAGCTTGATCCGTCGGTCCGCTTCGACCCTCGGGCGATCGAGTCCGACGACGGCGTATTCTTCACCTCGACGCAGGATGAACGCGAGATCTATCTCAAGACGCTGCTCTACCTGCGATCGAACCAGATTCATATCCTTGTTCTCCGTCCAATTCTCATATACCCTCAAACTGCACGCAATAATACCACTCTTATCATGGACGCCATCGTTCTGGCCAAGAAAACGATCCGCACGCTGAACACAGTGGCCGCAAAGACGGCGCTCTACACCACCAGACAAGCAATCTTCAACCATTTCCTCTCGTCGGCATTGGCTGTTCTCTTCCTGACGGCCGCGTATGACGCCGAAACCCAGGCAACTACTGGCACACGCCCAGACGCATCAATCAGACTGCTCGGAGACGCTGCCACCGAACTACAAGCGGGCCTCGATCTCATCGACCGGCTGCGACGGACCTCACAGTCCGCTGCCAAGCTTTGGGCGCGTTTCGCCCGCCCACGACAACAGCTCGTCCGGCTGGGTATTTTGAGCTGCTCATCTGTCTCTCAACGGGAGAAACAACAACACCCACCCCATGAAGCCACAGGTCATCGTCCTTTGCATGCACAAAGTCATACTCAAACTGAGACGCAAGATTATGACATGAGTGGAGCCAACGTCAGCACCAGCATGAACGCCGGCGCAGACCATCATGCCGTCGACTTTGGGGCCTCCGTTGCCCTTGCGCCTGACTTTGACTTTGACTCCGTGGTAGGCGTCTTCGAGCAGGACAATGGCCTCCTTTGGCAGGACTGGTTCGAGGGCGGGTTCATGGACTCTTCCGCCCCCTTTGGCATGCCGGCATGGATGTGAGGGCGTGGGCTTGTAGGGCGACGGACCTGGACGGGCGGAGGAGGCTAGTAATCCGGAGCTCGCGACGACCCCGAGAAAACATCTCCTGATACGCAAGGTTCCTTTCACATGATATGATTTATATGGCTTATTGTAAGCCGACGAACCCAACCGGATCGGAACCACCAAGGGCAGGACCAAACACTGACGAGTGGTGAAGTTAAGCTGAAAGTTGTGAGGTGAAAATGAAACGCGGCGATTGATCGCGCCAAGACTTGCAGCAAGACGCGACGCACTCGACACGGTCGACTGATAATGGCCTGGTTTCCATTTGCACAAGTATGTACTTGTGCGTGACGCGGATGGTATGGGTGTCAAGCCTCATGAGATACTGCATCTACACCGATTGCAACGGAGCGTTAGGAGAGTTGAGCCACAAAAATGTGTGATACTGTGTACCTTGAGCGCTCATTCATTCTCGCGTCAACCACAGCCGACTCGACGAATTGTCAGGTGTATGTCTGTCTTCAAATCGTTCATTATGCGCCAGTCTTGGAATCTATCTTGCTTTGACACATCCTTGGTTTCGAGCAATCAACGGCTCGGCACTAATCCAGGTGTTCTCGACTGTTGCCGCGGATTGCAGTATGAGAATCAACCCGTCCGTTTGACGAGTCTAGTGTACGCAGTAGGTACGTATGTACCACCTGTATTACGATACAGTCACCACGAGAAGTTGACCTCGACCCTCAGCGGTGGAGCATGAGCACACTGAACTGGACATCTTACAGGAGTACCGCGTGGTTCTCGAGTCTTCGTCTCGGCCGATTCACCCCGCTCCGCGCAACACAGAGAGTGGCTTGGGATCTACACTGACAAGCCTGAGAACGAGTACCCAGTAACTCCATGATCCGTATTCCGTACCGTTTGCGCTGACCCGTCGGTACGAGGTAAAGCTGTGTTCTCTCCCACCACAGTCTCTCGACACGTGACATTGACTCCTGTTGGACCCCGGTTGTCGACGACTGGCTGCTGTTCTTCCCTGCCACAATGCCGAGCCGCCAGTGCAGCTCGCCGTGACCCAATCAGAGTCATGTACACAAGCACGTTCCTCAGTTCTCTCATACGATTGGCGGACTGGCGACCTCGTCCTTCGTCGCTCCATTGTTGACGACGCCAGTCACGGACCACAAGCTGGTGCCGAGCAAAGCAGCAGCATCAGCAGCACCGGCGGACCGAGTCACACTCCGGCGGAGAGTTGTCTCGATAAGCCTTCGTGTTCGAAATGCTTATCGCGACCGAGGTCGCCTCGGCGGCTCGTTTACGGTCGAAGCACTGCCCCTGCAACAAAGCCCAAAAGATCGCCGAGCCTCAGGGAGTCCCCTCTTCGATGAACGTCGAGGCGGTGAGTTTGAAGTCCTCGAAAACCCGCCAAGAATCCACTACAGCCGCGATTTGCGAGACAGGATCGCAGTGACATGGTTACTTTGTTTCTCCTGTCAACTGCGTCTACGAGTACCGGATACACTGATCGGCTCTCCAGACGCCTGCTTATTACCCCAATTGCTGGAAGCAGGGATAATGGGACGTTTGGACCCAGGTCCAAAGCGAACGGCGCCGTACCCTACCGTGACCGACGCTTCTCAGGCCACCGTCCCACCGCCACCAACCCGCAATACCCCAGCATATCCCCGTGATGGACTAACCCCGCAGAACATTCACCCGGACCCGCTAGAATTCCGCAAATCAAGATCCATCGCGTGGTATATCTCGGTGTTGATCACAGCGAACAGCCTGACTTCATTGTGCCCGGTCCATGCATAGGCGGCGAGCCGGCGGATTCAGGGAACAACGTGTTGGAGAAGATGCAGGTCATCAGTCAGGCTCTTCTGGCAGCATATAAGGCGGCTCATCTATGCTTCCGCCCAGTGTTTCTATTTCTCCGAGGACTTGCAAGGCTCTCAGGTTCAGCCGTGTTTTTGTCCCGGCGTTAGAAGCCGCTGCCAGTTCTGACACCAAGGCTCAATTAGGTTCTGATTCGACACCTGACGTATTTCTCCAGCAATGGATGAAAAGGTCGTCAAAGCTGATCAGGTGGATGTCGACTCTGGCAGCGACAAGAAGGTCGACACCCTTGCCGAGATTGAGGCCGTTGATGGCCTCAAAACCGTCGAGGTCGGCTTTGCTGCTGACCAAGTCCTTGTGGACCTCGACGAGAAGGAGAAGACGAGGATCTTGAGAAAGATCGACTATCGTCTGGTTCCTCTCCTCGGTGTGCTGTATCTGTATGTCGGCCCCTTGAGCGTGAGCAACACGATATCCGGGTCACTCTAACCATCACAGATTGGCCTTTATCGACCGTGGCAACATCGGAAATGCCAAAATCGCGGGTCTCTACGATGACTTGCACCTTCATGGGATGCAGTACAACACTGCATTGACCTTGTTCTTCGTCCCCTACGGATTCTTTGAAGTCCCAAGCAACATTGTCCTCAAAATCCTGCGACCTTCGATTTGGATCTCCATTCTGATGTTCTCTTGGGGTAGGTCGCGTGCCATTGCACCATACCTACAGCTCGCTAACATGGTCAGGCACGGTCATGACACTCATGGGCGTGATCAGTTCGTACCAGGGGCTTCTGGTCACCAGGTTCTTCCTCGGTGTGGCAGAGTCTGGATTCTTTCCGGCTGCGACCTACCTCCTCACTATCTGGTTAGCAGCCCCAACGCCGAGAACACCCTGGACGATGTTCTGACTTGTCCAGGTATCTTCGATACGAAGTCCAACGACGCATGGCTGTTTTCTACGCCGCAGCATCCCTTTCCGGAGCCTTCTCGGGCTTGCTGGCTTATGGCATTCAACACATGGACGGCATCGCCGGACTTGCCGGCTGGAAATGGATTTTCATCATTGAGGGTCTGTTGCCTGTGGCCGGGTCCTTCTTCGTCTGGTTCCTCCTTCCCGACAGCCCGGAAACCGCGAGATTTCTCACCAAGGATGAGAAGGAGTTCATCATCAATCGACTGGCGCTTGAGACGGGCTCCGGCCACGGCCGAGTTACCAACTCTGACAAGATCAGACTTCGTCACATCGTGGCGGCTTTCAAGGAGTGGAAGATCTGGGGTGCTGTTGTTATGTTTTGGGCTAACACGGTAAGTTACTACCGAAAGCGAGGCTAAAAACACTCTTACAGTTGTGTACTTTGAGACTGACTCTGGGCTACGTATAGATCGGTGTGTACGGATTCACCGCCACTGTCCCTTCTGTTATCGAGGAACTTGGATACACCTCGGCCAATGCCCAGCTCATGACTATCCCCATCTACGTTTTTGCCATGATTGTAAGTCCTGCTCCATGAAGCTCATGTCCCAAGATCCCTGTCCCTGATAGGCAGACCAAAGCACACCACTGACCAGCCGTGCAATGTAGATGACTTTGATCTTCGCCTTCTGGTCCGATCGCGTCGAACAACGAACCCCTTTCATCATGGCCGGCTTCTCCATCGCCGCCGTTGGATTCATCGGCGAGCTCGCCATTCCGCACCCGCGTCTCCCTGGTGTCACGTATTTCTTCCTCTTCCCGCTCGCAGCTGGCCTGTACTGCCCCTTCATCTGCCTCGTCTGCTTGATCGGCAACAATCTGGCTCCCAGCTCCAAGCGAGCCGTGGGCATGGCGCTTTTGATCAGCGTAGGCAATTTCGGTGGCATTGCCGGCAGCAATATATACATCGCTTCCCAGGCACCGAAGTATCCCACCGGGTTTGGCACCGGACTGGGCATCTGCGTGGCTGCGGTCATCATGGCGTATGTACTGCGAAGGGCGTACCGGGCGGAGAATGCCAAGCGGGATGCGTTTATGGTGGGCAAGACTGACGACGAGGTCAAGGCCATGTACACGGAGCAGGAGCTGTTGGACATGGGAGACAAGTCCCCCTTCTACCGCTATACAGTGTGAACAGCGAGCGAGGAGAGTGAGAACAACATGGCAAATGAGTATGGCTGCTGGATCGCGGATATCACGAGCCACCACCGACATTCACATAGACAATAATGACAACGACCACGAAGTGTCTTGGGCACTTCATTCGGATCGAGCGGACCACATGGCCGATAGGGGCACGTCCGTGGTAGACGCCACTATCAAAGTTGACCGTGATGGGTTCTGAACACCGCGAGTCTGCACATTCTTCTTCAGCGATCACATGGCCGATAGAGCTCGTACGTCGTACACCACGTTATTCAAGTTGACCGTGTTGGGTTCTAAAGTGCCGCTAGTCTACACATTCTTCTTGAGCGGGTTTTTCTTGCCGTACGGCCAACCCCTCTCTTCTGGAATCTCCCTGGCAATCCACCTCAGGATCGCGGCGTTGGTCTCCTGAGGCTTCTCCAGCGCGACCCAATGACCGGCATCAATCGCCACGGTCGTCAATTTCCGACAGTAGGCCTCCATGGGATCCTTCAACCTGGAATTATTATACGTCCCAGCCACGACGTCGGCCAAACACTCGACGAACAGGACCGGCACGGAGACGACGCCATCGTTGACCGACCAATCCTCGCACCACTTCAGATTGGCGTCATGGTTGAGGTAATACGCCGTCGGGGCCCAGAACCCGCCGCCCTCGTCGTCAAACGCCGCGACCATGGCGCGGAGCATGTCCTCGGAAAGTAAAGTCTCGGCCAAGGGGATTTGGGGCGGAGCGGCGTCTGGGCCTCCTCCTCCTCCTCCGAACCAGCCTCCATTCTTGAGCACATGGGCCGTGTATGCGGGTTTGTTCTTGATGTCGGCGGCACTGGCGTCCAGGTGCTTCTGCCCCTCGTTGTTGTTGTTGTTGTTGTTTTCGTCATCGCCGCCGCCGCTGCCATACAGCAGCAGCAGCAGCTGGTGCGGCCTTTTCGCAAAACACACCTTCAAAAACGCCTCGACGTCGCCGTCAAACACGGCGACGGCCTGTGCAAACTCGTCCTTTGTCAACTTCTCATACCAAGCCTGATAAGCCCACTGCGCAAAGGGATACTCGTCCTCCGGGTAGACGTCGCGGTTGGCGTACTTGACCAGTTCGCGCGGCCCGCCCATCTCCAGCGTGCGGTAAGGGATGGCCATGTTCACGACACCCAGACACACCTCCGGGTGGTGCGCCACGAGGGCCCACACGACGGCGGCGCCCCAGTCGTGGCCCGATCCGCCTATCCAGATGGCTTCCTCGCGCTGGAGGCCGTGCTTGAGCAGGTGGACCAGTTGGGTCACTACGTTCTGGAGCGTGTACAGCGAGTGGTCCTGCGAAGAATTGGCGTTTGATACCTCCGACTTGCCGTACCCGGGCAGGTCGGGGGCTATACACCGGAAGTGTAGTGCTGAGAAGGCTTCGAGTTGGGGTGTCCATGTTTCGGCGAGGGCGGGCCAGCCGTGGATGAAAATCAAGAGGGGGCCCGTCTCGGGGCCGGCGGCGAGGTACGAGGTTGTTTGGGAGTATTTGGTGAAGGAGTGGCGGGTTATTGTTGTCGTTGTGGTGGTGTTGGTTGTAGTGGTTGTTGTGGTAGGAGGAGTGTGGTTGTCGGTGGTGGTGGCCATGTTATGTTATGTTGTGCTGTGTGGTGTTGTTGTTGTTGTATGGCGTTGTGCCCTGTAATGCTGTGTTGTGTTGTGCTGTGCTGTGCTGTGCTGTGCTGTGCCGTGGTGTTGTGTTGTGTTGTGTTGTGCTCGTGTTTTAATCACGTACTGTGTAGTCCCCACTGGCAGCGGTCGTGTGTATGTACCTAACTTATGTATATACTATACCCCGTCGTATCACTGCCCGACCTGGACGCCCGAGTTACTTATCGGTTTCCCAATACTCCGTATTCACGCCTGAGAGAGAGTCAGCGCTCGAGTCAGAAAGGAGTCATCCGTCCTGCACCACGATTCGGATCCTGTACGTACGTATGGTTGTACATATGGACTCGTAGAAAGGCAAGTGCAGTGGTAGGTGAGTACAGTGGTAGGTCGGTAGATGGCTGCCTCTAAGCTCCGCATACATATCTCCTCCGTACGTACGGAGCACCGTGATCTAGAACCTACTGTACCTAACCACTGCAGCCCAGACGGCTTGAGCTGCCTTCTTTGGACACATCCGCCATGCAGCTGTGGTACAGGACGTATGTACTGCTTGGTGCTTGGTGTCTAGCCCCTCTCCTGCCGCTGTCCCTTGGGGGCATTGGCACATTGGCATATGTATGCATGCATGCGTGCACCCCGCTGTAAGCAAAGACGCGGACGGAGAACCCAAATGCCGAGCGAGGTGAGGAGAACGCAGTGGTGACACTCCGGGGTGAACGGGGTACATACGGAGTAGCTCGTAGTGTGATCCTGAATGAGGAGTCGCCGGGACACTATGGCCTCACTAATGTGTGTCGGAAGTAAGTACGGAGTACTGTAAGGTGTTTACTCGGAGTCAATAGGCGGCGAGCTGATTGGGGTCAAGTTACTGTACCGAGAGTACTCCGTATTCGGGACTCGATCTTTGGGGCTCAATTTTGTGAACTTCATTCTTGATCATCTCCGTATCCTCCTCGCTCGCACGCAGATACATACATCTTGATGGCCACGCCACAACCAGCTCTCCCGCCAAAGCAGAATCATCCGGCGACGGCCGTCACGTCGACCGTGTGTCAAGTATCTATCTTTTAGTCCATGTCACGCCTTGTCCATCGAACTGTGTCGGATCCCAAGCAACTTATTCCCAGACCTCCACGTGCCCTTGGCCCTCGCCAGGTCCCCCGACATGGTGATCCTTCTCCATCGATCCTGTTCAGTCAGCTCTTCAGAACGCGTCTCCATGCCGTTGAAGACCAAGATTGTGTGCTTCGTCCCGTAGACCGGCCATGGCTGTGAACCATATGCGAAATCAAGTGTCGCCTGGGATAGGCGGTCCGCCGTCTCTCGCACGTTGGGGTCGGCGTTGGGACCCGCGACCGCGGGGAGGCGGCAGAAGAAGGGATTGTCGAGGGCATGGTACGCGTATCCCTTGAGCGGGCTCTGCTCGAACGTGTCGGCCTGGTCGAATCGGTACAGGCTGACCGGCGGAGAAGACTCGGCAGAATGCTCCGCAATGATGTACGGCAGGCCCGAGAAGATGCTGTCGGTCGCCATGGCCACGAAGCCCGCAAGACACTTCTCGGCCGGTGCTGCGGCGGAGATGCCATACGCGTCGGCCAGTTCTTGGGCGAGCTGGCGATCCGAGAACGAAGACAACACACGGTCTTCGAACTGCTGCGACGTCCACGTCTTCCATTGCCCAAGGCCGAACAGGGCAGCCTCGTCTCTCGTCGAGCCCACGACCACGCCCTCGACCCACGGCGCAAAGGGGGCAGGGCCCGCGATGGGCCTCTTCCCGTCTTGATATACAAACCACTTGTCGTCCCACAGCGGGGTCGCCAGTCGGGGCACCATCAGCTTCACGACCTGCATCGAGTCCAGGTCGCGTAGGGCTCTTAATTTCTCCTCCGCAGACGCAGACTCCGCCACGCCCGCACTGGCCACCAGCTCATCGAACGTCTCTTGCGCTTCCTCGGGCCTGGGATAGTCGAGGTTGGGACTGGATAGAATGATGCCTCTTCGACAGACGGGGACGTCCGATCTCAGATGGGCAAGCACACTCCATCCACCAGCGGACTCGCCGGCTATGGTCACGTTTGCCGGGTCGCCCCCGAAGTGCTGGATATGCTCCTGAATCCAGAGCAGCGCGACCCGTTGATCGTGCATGGCCATGTTGGAAAAGGGCGTCTCACCGCTTGCCTCGGCTTCGGCCCTCAGTTCCTTGGACGCCAGAAAGCCAAAGAACCCCAGTCGATAGTTCATCGCCACGTAAATGACAGGTTTGCTCTTCTCGACGGAGTGCTGGACGAGGTAGTTCCCGTCGAACTCGGAGTTGCCATCTCCGAAGATGAACCCTCCGCCGTGAATCCACACCACCACGGGCAGAGGGCCATCCGAGTCTTGAGGCACATAGATGTTCAGCCTTAGACAGCCAAACTCGTCCACCGGGTACTCAGAACTCCGTCGCACTCCTTCGTATAGGTGAGCTGTTTCGGGGCGATTGACGGTGAGCTGCGGGCATCGCGGCCCATACTGAGTCGCGTCCAGGACACCTTTCAGCGCCGAAAGATGCGTGGCTTTGGATTGTCGGAACCGTGCAGGTATGGTCGCATATTGAATGCCCAGATAATTCGCAACCTTTGTGCTGGGATGGATGAAGCCCTGGACTTTGAGCTCTCCTACCTGAATGGAAACCTCGTCGCCGGCTGTAGTGTTTTCGCCCATTCTGAACTGATATTGCAGGTAGATTGACGTGGCGAGGATGACTGTCGGACCGGGATCACTGAGCGGCAAGACTGCTCTGTATCTTTGGGCTTTATGGATGTTGGATAGTCCCCCTCCGCAGAAGCAGCATTTGGATACATACTACTGGGTGAAGGCCGGTGGCTCATCTGGATTTACCCCCCTGCCCCCCCAACCCCACACTCGGCATCGCATAAGATGGTTCGGCAATTGGGCGATCGATGGAGCTCATGTCCCGCGTTGACATGAGAAAGTTGGCTGCTTCTCCTGCTCTTGTTGACCATGGCCTCTTTGTAGACATCCGCGTCGATACTCCATTGAACGCGGGAGACGCATCAGATTGAACTGTGTCCACCCAACACTCAGCATGAGAAACACATCCCGGGCTTCAGCATATCCCATATCCTTTGACCTCGAACTCATTAGATGGGTTTATTCAACTCGCCGACCTCGGTCTTCTGAGTCGCTGACCAAGGCGTGATATTCGCACATGGCTGTAATCCGGCAGCTGTATCTCTTAACTTGGTCAGTCTAACGGGAAGTTCAAGGTGTCCTGTCGACCCCTTCCCAGACAATCCTGGGACTGCCACAAACGGAACCGCGATGACCGAAAGGGAAACCACACTGGAGTTCAAAACGCGTGCTCGGCCATTTCTTTCTTCCACCAAATATGGAACTCCTCTATCCAGGCGTCCGGGAAGAAGAACCGCTTCACCCGGAGCTCGATTTCATTCCAATACCTCGCTGTCCGTGGATGTCGCCTCACGAGCCGTGCGAGTGTCTCACCGCGTTCCTCTTCGGACAAGCCCAACCCCTCGGCAGTCGACACGGTTGTCAGGATTGCCACGCCCCAAATGGCGAGATCGGCCGTGCAACCTTCCAGCGACATGAATGTCTCGGACGTCGTTTTCAGGACATTCTTCAGATTGCCCAGAAACTCGCCAAAGATTTGTTGCCCCTTGTTGCGAGTCGCCTGGAGACCGTCGCGGATGTTGAACATGAAACACAGCACGCAGATACTTCTTTCCAGCGGTGTGACGCTGCGCTGCGACATGAAGCTGAGCAGATCTATCCCAATTTTGTTGACTTCAGTTACAGAGACGTCCTTCCTCAACGGTGAGTCCTGGGCAGCGCTAGCGAGGCGGGCGAGAAGCTTGATGATTTGCACCGAGAGGCGGCCGTCGATAGCGATGTCGCCGAAGCCGACGGGGAGAGTGGCGATGAGAGCACAGAGACTTGGCGAATACGGATGCTCGGGGTAGATCAATTCGATCTGAGGCTTGACCGCGGCGGCTGAGCATTGTCGGTAACGTTCGGAAGCAAATTGACAGAGCGCATGGCAACTATGTACGCGCCCGCTGTTAGCATATGGTCATAAATCGTTGCGCGGCGAGTGCGAGTCCTGACCCAGTCAAATTGTATATCGTGAAGCGGTCGAAATCTCCATGCTCCAGCCCGCCACGAGAGGCGACAATGGCCTGCAACCCTTTGAGATGGGTGGCAGCATTCTCGTCATGACCTGCGAAGAACTTCCCGACGGTCAGATTCTCTCCCAGACACCGTTCAAACTGGTGGGACCCACGTCGGCTGAGATGAGAGCGATGATTGTGTGGATGGTAATGTCATCTGTAGCTTTTTCCTTGACTGCGAGCCTGCGGTGAAGCTTCGAGATCACGCTCGTCCTGTAGTAGGAGAAGCGAACTCCGCCAGGGACAATTGCACTTTGGCCAGCAGGATGGAGTCGTGACATGGACAGAATGATGGCTTCGAACAACATATCGGACTGTAGCGCCAGAGAGAAGAGTCTGTTCAATAGCCAATTCCCTTTCTCGTCGGAGTACAAGGACGCATTATCTCTGGCGTAGACACGAGTGACTGTTATGGCCCGAAGGTCAGGGGCGCCAGATGATCGAGTGATTAGGTGCGCTGGGTCAAGTCCAGCCATAGCACTCACAGTAATCCGCCGCCCATAGCACCTGTCCAGATTGAGTGACCGGAAACGACGCAAAGGGATCACGACGGAAGCCATCAAGTAGGGTCTGAGGTGTAGCCAAAGCTTCGGCTTTGTACGTCCGACCAGGGAGGGAGGGAGCATCATCAACGTCCTCGGCGCTCGCTGAACTGGGTCTCTCGATAACAGAGTCCTCCGCAAGGCCTGGCTCAACTTTCACCAGCGCAGGATTTTGTGGCTGATGTTGCCATTCGAGAGGCGGCTTCGACGTACGCTTCGACGTTCTGAATCTGTGCTCTTTCCTGGTCGAGTTGATGTACGCGTTGATCTGGGCTCGCTTCCGTCTGTCTCGAAGGTCGTCCAGATCATGGTATGTAATAAACCTGGTAGCCATTTCTGTTTCTCCGATGTCTGGAGTTGGGGGAGGCGGGAATGAGACAGAACTGAAGCTGTGAGAGGCTTTGCCACAGACAACGTTAACTCATGTGAGCTGAGTCCAGCTTCTTGGTCAGCTGTCGAATGCAACCGCGTGTCGTACCCTGCAGTTAGTAACGAAGCTACAGGACAGTACCACCATGTGGCGTTTTGCATGCCGCGTCCTGTCGGGGCTAATTTATTGGCGTACGTCTTGATCATAAGGGAGAGCTGAAAGATTCGCTTCCCGCTTCTGCTGCACCAACTCATGCATGACTGGGATGGGGCTACGAAGGCTCAGTGCTCGTCAAATCCTGCACAGCCCTGTAGGATTGTCCGTAGTGAATAGATCCAAGTGAGCACCGCTCACTATGTAGAGCACTGGAATTATCGGCTGCGCAGAAACTCATAGTTGATCGTGTCGCGCAAGCCCCATATCTTTGCCGCGAGCCATGCTTGCTCTGTTCCCTGCTTTGAGGAGTCATGCAGCTGGTTGTCTGGTCCAACGTTCTACACACGTAGTTTTACGACAACGATTCCGGGCATTGAGCTCTGTTTTGAAGAAAAATGCCTTGGTCTTTAACTCTGAGTCCGACACTGACCACTGTCTATGTACAAAATCTCCGATCGACGAAGAATCCAGGCGCCTCTGCTGCGCCCTTCTGCCATCCTTCTTCTTGGTCGTTAGCGACTGGTTGCAACAAGAGCCCTTCGCAGATCGTGGCCGACATCTGCAAGCCAGGGCATGTATCACGGGGAAGTGAAAAAGCTCTTCATGTTCTACGCTGAGGCTTCTAACCCCACCGGTCGTCCCATGCTCCATTTCTCCTCGCTGTCGTCCTTCTTGCCACCGTCACTTCGACGTTCCCCTGCCCTTGACTCTGGCTCTGGCTGGAACCAGGTCGTGACACCGCGGCGTGGGTGCTGCCGTTAACATTTCGACTCTGGCTGATACTGCTGGTATGCACATGTCTCGCTTCTCTCCGGGCTCTCTGCTCGGAGACAGGCGTCGCAGTGGCGGCTGCACTGCCGTTAGTTCTCCCTTGATAAGCTCGGGAGCTCGTTGTCGAGCTGGGCTCTTTCTCTGCGGATGATCTGGCCGAGCCAACCATGCTTTCTCGTGTGCTCTGCCTAGAGAGTCGATGCTGGCTTGCCAGGTTTGTCGCTACTGTAGGTTGTCGAGTAACCCTGCTCTTATTCACCGTCATCTCGGCCACACTGGCTGTGTTCGCGCGCGTCAAGCTTGGCATCGCAAATGCTGGCGAGTTCTCACGTGCGTACGTTGACCCATCGCGGCTGGCAGGCCGCATAATACTCGAGCCATTGACGTACACGCCGTTGCGTTGCCGGCGTGGAGTTTGTGCCACGGGGAGCTCATACATGTTCATGCTTGCCCGCTCGGAACGGCCAAGCTGCGGAGACGTGGGCATGCTCATCTGACGGTCAAGCAGATGGGGAGGTGTTGTGGAGCTCGTGCGCCTTTGGAAACCCGGGTGCTTCCTTCGAGCGCCATTCGTAACCGGATTAACGCCCTGCCCACTTTTGATGCTCACGTTGTCCGACTCTTCGCACGACCGGATGAGTTCCCCAGCCATGCTGCGAACAAGCACTGCAGAGTCGGAATAGGAAAGTTCTCGAATCACGTCGTAGAGACTGTATTGCTCGAGGAGGAAGAAGCCTTCTTCTGTCGAGTCGCATATACTGCCAATGATGCGAAGGAGATTCAGACGAATCGCAGGTTTGTTATGTCCCAGTTTTTGGCCCAGCGTGTCAAACAGCTGCGAGCTTCGCGCCATGGAGGCTGCAAGAGGCGGCGACAGGCGGAGCAGCTTCTGTAAAGGCTCGAGAAGATTTTCGAACGAGGTCGATTTGCTGCTGGTCAGCGCAGCAACAATTGCCGAAATGAAATTCTGGTTTTCTAGCAGGTGATCTTCGACCCGAGCAGTCTCCTCTTGAAGCCAAGTGAAGATTGCATCCAGAGCTGTGACTTGCCAATATGGATCAGACAGTAATGAGACGTAGAAAGCAAGACCTTTGTTTTGCCAAAGTTCCCGGCGAGCAGCTCGTGTGGAATGAGCCATATCACAGAGAATTGGCAAGGCAAATTCCTTCACCGGCGTCTTCTCTTGTTTGACGATCTTGATCAGGATCGGAATGATGCCGACAAGAGCCGCATCTTCTTGCCGCCGTTTCGACAGTCGGCAAAGGTTATATATGGTATTCAAAATTTGGTTGGACATCTCCCTAAAATGTGGCTTGTTCATGTTGTTGCTGAGGAGCTCAGACAGCACATCGATAGCATTGGAGTTATGCAGTGCATCTAGCGTAGTCGACAACATGGAGAGGTTCTTGATGAACTTCAGCATTGTCACTTGGTGTGCTGGAGCCATCCTTTTCAAGTTTTTCAGGACTCGATGGAGAACCGTCCGTTCGGCGACCAGTTCCTTGACGTAGTTCTCTGCTTGGGAGAAGACGAAGAAGATGCTGGCGATGCGACCTTCGCACAAGTCGGCGAGTTCTTTCTGCTCTCCAGAATCCGAGGGCTCCATGAGAACCCGGTTGAGGACGAGTGACAATGGTTCCAGCACCGAGTTACGTGATAAAATCCGGCAGAAGTCGTTCTTCGGAGTTGAGCCCTGAAGTTCAAAGACACTCCAGATGCCATTGACTCCGATAAGGACTAACTCACGGTCATCGTCATAGTCATCCTCCAGAAAGTCAACGAGGACCGTCAATCCGCCGGCACTGACGAACATCTGGAGGATGAGATTCGAAGCCTCGTACATCTGCTTGACAAATCCTGCAGCCTCAAGGCGTATTTCTCGCGGGAACTTCTTGGACGCAAACTTGTTGATCTTGGGAATCCCGCCGACAAAACATAAGTTTTCTTTGACATCCTCATCATTGAATATGATCGCGTTGACAATTTTCAAGAGGTTGAGGACAATATCAAGACGCATGCAGTCTTCCAGAATCTCTAGAATCGGTAAGAGGCCGTGGGCGCTAATAATGACACTTTTGGTTTCTGAAAAGATGCCGAAGTAGTTTATCAGATCTTCTGAGATTTGCAGTAGGGCGTCGTCCTCTTGCAAGACTTTAAGCTGACCCACCAGGGCCTCGACTTCTGTCCTAAGACGCGCGTGCTTGTCTCGAGCAATGTTCGACTCAAGATCAACTTCTGGAAGACCTTCCTCTAGCTGCGCGAAGGGGTCGTCCTCGTCTTCCGCGTCTGGAAGCCAGGACAAGTTCGAGATCTTTGAGCTCAACATGAGTTCGGAGCCATCCTCACTGGCGGCTTTCTCGAGGACCGCAGACGACTGCCCGAAGACGTCAGAGAAGTCCTCGTCTTGCTCGTTCTCAGCGAAACGCTGTATCTCGATCGAGGACCGTGTCCGTCGCATGGACAACCTGTTATTGGGCGCTGGCTGCCTCTTGAGGCTGCCGCCAGCCTTCGGCGGTCTCATGCTCTGTATCAGATCGGTCACGCTGGGCGACTCAAGTATTTTGGACGGTGCCTGGTTGTCCAGTCGCATAAGACCAAGCTTTGTGTCCAGAGCCAGCTCATTTCCCTGAACAATATCAGAGAAGTCCTCGATCGAGCTTTCTCTGAAACGTCGTGTTGGTGGCTCATTCTGTTGGGTCCTCGTCGGGGTGGGTTTCATTTTGTGGACGTCCACTGGTTGACGAGTGGAGGGCAAGGAAGCTTTTCGCGGTGTCGCTGCCGGCTTCGTCCTTGTCTTCGGAGGAATTTCAGACTTGTGCCGCGCGTGCCGCACCTCAGGCCTTTTCTTCGTCGTGGTTGTTGCTAGTCGCACTGTCTTATCCACGTCGACCTCCAGTGGTGACACGGCTTTCAAGGTTGAGTCTTTGTCCTCCACGAACTCATTCTCTTTTCCCCACGTACTCTCGATAGTAGCAAATGACTTCAGTCTTTCGGATGACAACATTCCTCCGAAGTTGTCATGGGGCCTTAGGTGAGGTAGCTGGAAGGTACTAGCTGAGATGGCCGTTGCAAAGTCATTGTCCCAGTTATCATCATCCTCCAGCGAGCAAAATTTGGTCGTGTTGTTGTCCTTGTTGAGAAGAGGTATGGGAGACTTGGTCTGGGATTTGGCCGATCGAAGCATGTCACGAGCCACGGGCACAGGGCTGGCAGTTGAAGCATTGGAGGGCTTTCTGACCAGACTGCCATTTGGAGAGTCTTTGAGAGCCTCGTTCCATTCTTGGACACTTTTGACCGCCTCATCATACTCGGTAGCATTCTTCGGCTTCTCCGAGCCGCTTCGTTTCGCGCTCACAATCCAGGGATGTTTGAGCAACTTTTTTGCTGAGACTCTGAGATTCGGGTCTTTTTGAAAACATTGCATAAGGAAGTCCATAACCGCAGGCGACGCTCCCTGCGGGAGAGGCGGATGATCATCGTTGACGATGCGGAATAGAGCTGGCATAGGCTGAAGATTGTGGTATGGCGGCTTCCCGTCCAAAAGTTCTATTACTGTGCAGCCCAAACTCCATATGTCGGAAGCGGTTGTTGCGCCTGTCAACTCGATCACTTCAGGAGCCATCCAATATGGGGTCCCCACGACACTGGCCTCGTGCAGGCCGGTTGTCCTACTTGCCACGCCAAAATCGGCGAGTTTGACCAAGCCTTGCTTGGTGGTCAGAATGTTGGCACCTTTGATATCGCGGTGGATGACTCCCTGGTCGTGGAGGTATACCAAGCCCTGGAGCACCTGAGACATGTAGAGAGCCACCAGATTCTCCGGGAAGCGACCAAAGTTCTTGGAGATTGAATGCAGGGATCCATTCTCGCAATATTCCAAGATGATGTTGAGCGTGTCTGGGGTCTTGACGAAGCCCTGGTACTTGACGATGTTGGGGTGGTCGAGATTCTTCAGAAGATCGATCTCCAGCATGATGACCCTCAACTCGCTCTTGGGCAGATCTGCCAGCTTGATCTGCTTCACAGCTACCGTCTCCCCAGTGCCCCAGTTCAACGCGCGGTAAACAGAGCCAAATGCACCTTTGCCTAGACAGTCCCCCAATTGGTAGTCTTTCAACTCGGCGACATCCTGTGCCTTGGTCTTCTCCCTTTCCTCTCTCTTCACTGGACTTGGGGGAGATCTGGGGGTCTTGCTGGGTTTGAGGCCAAGGCCATCGACCGCTCTCGCTGTAGGGATATCATCTTGAGGTTCTGCAGTGCGGGCAGGCATACTGAGGTCGACTGGCACACAATGGAAGAAGAAGTCAGAGGTCCGAAAAGGCAAGCTTGTGGCCTCTCATCGTCTCTGCGCCCAGCTGCAGCTCTGTTGGCGAGGACGAGCGATTGGTGATCGGGACGGTGTCCGACGCAGGATGCCGCGGCGTGGTGGTTTGGACTGAGACTGTACCTGCGGCATCAAGGGATCGAAGTGGCAGTTGCTGAAGGGCCGCGTTCATACAAGAGCGCACTACGAGCTCGTCACGCTCCCGGAATGCGTGTGGCTACTCGTAATTGTCCAAATGAGCAGCGGGATTCAAGGCATTGACCTGAAACAGACAATTGAGTGGAGGCACGAGATTGGCTTGTACTGAGGTCCGACCTTTGCAGGCCTCGCTTGTTGAACGTTCAGGGCCCGCCTAACATTGCTTACTGCAGCCCGATCGGCGGCACTATCAACCGAAGTCCCACCCACGTCAGGGACGCCGCTGCTCTCTTGGGCTGTTGACTGCAGTCCCTCAACGTGCCTGGAGGCTAGGTAACCACTACTCATCCGACTGGCGGCCAATGTTGCTTCATGCAAGTATTCTTTGCAGTTGCCTTTCGCCCCCGGATGATCCCCAGCCATTGCATTGAGTGGACTTGTATTGCTACATCAGGCATTGAGAAGAGTTCCGCTATTCACGAGTCGCGTGCTGCCATGTGGCAATGACATGCCAGCACAGACAAACTTCGCCTGTCTATCCAAACAGCCTGTCCATGAGACTAAATTTGGCCACAAATGGATGTCTGACACTACCCAGTCCTGCTGCCATGAAGCTCGCTGCTGCATATCGCAGAGAGTAGCTCAAGAAACAGCCAACCCAGATGTAGCCCACGGTTCTCGTCTTCCCTAATTATGCCACGTCAACTCCATTGCTGCCCACTTGGCGCAAGATTGTGTCACAACTTACAGGACTCCTTTAGACCCGCCTTCTTCCCCATATAGATAGCGAAGTCCTCCACGGTGATGGCGACCGGCTGGATCATGAAAAAGTAGAACTGGCACCACGGCAGTTCCGAGTAAGGGCAATTGAGGGCGCCAATGTGATGAATCAAGGCCGACACGACAAAGGCATTGTAAAGCTGAAGGTATCGTGAGGCCAGAGTCCCTTTGCGAATCCTCGCCAGCCTTGTTAGGCTGGAATTCGCTGTCTCGAAGGTTCGACGCAGGAGCTGGTGCCTGTAGTGCCAGGTGAGTGACAACGACCCCATTGGACTGCGAGATTTCACCCACCAGCAGTATCCCCAGATGTTTCTCACCGTATATCCTTTCTTGATGAACGAGCCAAAGAGAGGCGGCCAAGACTGGGGACTATGAAAGCCAGCACCAACCGCAAAAATGGTAACCAGATAGTACCCAAACACCATTGTGAACCCATTGTGCAATCCAGTCTGCCACCCGAGAAATATCTGCTTCTCAAGCGGCAGCGAGAAGAAGTCTGGCATATGGGTGGTGCCATCACCGAAGGGCGTCCGCCGCATGTACCACTCGTGAACGTCGATGTACACGAAGCAGTATGCTGCTCTCAGGGCCTGTTCGAGAACGAATCGACTGCCTGGATCAGGTTAGAATCGACAAGAAGAGGAGTAGCTCTGCACCTGCGAGATACGTTCGCTGAAACCTCGTCCACGTTCTTTACCCGCCAATTCCAGCCGATCCCGCGCATCGTCGTGAAGAGATCTAGATTCCAGCAAAATTTCCACCACAAACCCATTCTCTGGATGTCCTCTGCAGTTTCTCTATCACTGCCATCTGCTCTGACTCGTCGCAATGACTGTTCAGCGTCATGTAACACGCAGACGTCGATGAATCTGGCTAGGGTGATGGAAATGTTGACGGCAGTCAAGTAATCCTCCTCAGGTTTTCCCGTAGTATGCTGGCGCAGATTATACAGAATCCAAAGAATCCAAAGAATGGAAGGGATGGCAATGATGTTGCGCAACTGGCCCTTGGGAATCAATAAAGTCGTGATACCGATGGTACCGGCAGCGAGGATGCTTCGACTGCCCGGCTGGAAGGGACGATCTGGCGGCGGAAACCATTTTGGATCCATGAAGACAGTCTGGAGAAGAAACGGAGAGACAAAGAAGGGGACCCCATTGTACGGCTTTTCAATACGAAGCATGGTGACAGTCAGGAAAGCAAGTGTTCGGCGTGACGCGAGGGAGAATACGAATACGAAACGTCGTGGACACGCGCATTTGGCGCCTCAGGTGCATCTTGTACAGGACGCACGGCATTTGGTATGCTTGATCTTTGACACCGGGGGGAGAGTTTCTTGGGAGAGCATTCAAACAAGCCCCGGCATTGACTCGCGGCTGAGTTATGCTGGAAGGATACTGAACTCCAAGGCGGAATAATGTGAGAGTCAAGTGCGAGTGAAGTGAGAGTGAAATGCAAGAGAAAGCCTGAACGCCAAGGATGGCGCGTCCAATTCTCGTGGCCTTGTTGGTTGTGTGGTTGTTCAGCTCCGCCTCGGGCGCCTGCCGATTCGGGCTGCACTCCAAATGCCCGTCCAGCCTCCGTGTCGCGGTGCCCCAGGAAGAGTTTGCTCCCCAATCCGCTTCCCTGCAGTATCACCACCTCTGCCTCCGCAAACAATCCAGGTGTAAACCACCATCTCTTCTCCGTTCTCTCTGTCAACCTACCCTTACCACTCCACTCCCTTTCAATTGTTTGTCGCGTCCAGTCCTTTCTCTTGCGTTTCCAGACTCTCCACTCCAGTAATCGATTACCACCCACATCACCGGCTGCGACGCGCGAACTGCGACACGATGGGATTGCCGTGAGTTTGCTCTCTCGATTTTTAAAGCCCCCGCCCCTGGCGCACCCATCCGCGCCTGCGCGCAGTCGGGGTCAGCATTATTGTTTTTCCATGAATCCAACCAGACAAGCCAGTCACTGACAGATGGCGCCTGCTAGTATGTTTCGCGAGCCTGACGAGCTTGCCGTAGACGAAGCTGCTGCGAAGCTCGACAAAATCGCTGCCGCAGGTAGATCTACCATCCGGCGCGAATCCACTACCCGACCAAGGCGATTTTCATCCAGTCGCTCTCTCATCGACCATGTACTAGGAAGCCGCCGCGAAGCCGCACAGAGTGTAAATCAGCCTTCGCGACCGAGTCGTGAGCAAGAACTAGACGCCGAATTGGGTCGGCTTCGGCGGCAGAGACAGCGCGCCCGTGTCCATCAACGCGACCGGGAACTTGCAAGGCGAGTCGGCACCGACTATCCACGCCCTGAACCGGAGGCCCGGAGTGACCTTGACGTCGATCTCTTAAGTAGACTGCGCACCGATCCCGGCACCGCAGCCATGGACGAACTGCACCCCGATTTCACCTTCGACACTCTTCTGCCTAATACCCAAGAAAGCATTTCGCAACATCTGCCACGTCCGTCAAGGGAGTCAGGCTTGAGATTCGAAGTGGGTGCGACTTCTCAGTCCGACTCCGAGCACTCTCGTCCACCACGAATGGTTGCTTCGGTTGCGTTGCGCCGTTCAAGTCCATCAGGGTCTAGGCGAGCTCGATGGTCGTATAGACCTGCATTCGCTGACCCGGAAGATGAGGAAAATGAAAACGCCTATCGTTCGGGCTCGGAGTCTCTAAGACCGGAGCGCATCCCCGAGGACGGACCGATAACCAGTCCTCCGCCAGAGCGACAGGATGCTTCTTATCCCCCGTTGCGACGAGTCAACCATTTTTCGCCTCGACCTTGGGAAGGCCCCGGATCCAGATTCGATGGACTCGGCGACCGGATTCGCAGTCCAGGTCCGACAAATGACGAACCCGTCGAGGAGAACTGGGCAAATCTTCTAAGCACAATGGATCCAGGCCGATCAAGCACTGCCACTTCGTTCATGTCAACCCGCTCGGACTCCAGAAATGGTTCAAACAGATCGTCGCAGGCGACGACCATGACGACAAGCTTTGGGGAGATTGGCGGAGACGACTCATGTGACCTGGATCTACCTTCTGGTATCACCGAAGACGATGTCCGGGAGATCCGCGCTCGACATGGACGGTTGCGAAGAGAACTAGATCACAACCCTCTCGGGCCAGAGGATTTGATGCGCCACGGTCTTTCGAGAGATCTCTCCCGGGGTAATGACAGGACCCTTGAGCTAGAGCTTTTTGGTGTAATCCTCGAACGGATGCAGAGAAGGGAGGAAATACCGGACGAGTGGTGGGCTGCAGTTGGGTTGTCCCCGGATGTTGTGAGAGGAAGTGCATAACTGCGGTCGCCCTAGGGCTGGCCAGGACGATCATCGAGCGCTTCATTGCGTTTTCGATACTGTCTAACCCGGAGGTGAGACAACGTGGGTTGACCGACGACGGGAGTCTCTGCGTTCAAAAGCTGCCGGAAGTGCATTTTGTGGAGGATCTAGACGCGACTTGAGATGCGGACCTCACTGGGTCCACATCTGAAGGCCCGTAACATCGACGGACTTGATCTACGACCACAGGCTGGATTTGGTGTATTTCTTGACACTAAAGTCGTCTCACACGTTTCGAGGGGCAAGGAATGTTACCACAACTGGATAGTACTTCCTCGGACACGTCAGGATTGCAATGAGGTTGCTTAATCGTACCCGGAGCTTGAATGACTGCAATGGAGCAAAACATGTGGCACGGCTTATGATGCTATGGGCGGGACCGGAATATTGTGCTTGGACCGGGGATCTCGCAAAAGAATGGGCGCCGCTTGACCTTGGCGGGCGATAGCTATGGTCTTCTACGAAGGATGAAAAGTCATACGGATATTCTGTACTATTCGGTTCAGTCCTGGCGTACTATCCCCTTGTTCGGCAACGTTATGTATCTCTTCGTCGCCAGCACCGTCTTTGACGACTAGATTTACCCAAGCGGGTAACGGCACCAGTTGACTCTAGACGGGCCATCCTGCCGAGGATCACGCTGTTGGCGTGCCGTCCCAGGACGACAGTCGTGAGATAGTCACGATTCCGTGGCAGCACGTACGACGATCACAAGCACTGCGGGGGCAATGAAAACGTCAACAGCCATTAATAACATAAAAGAGTCGATCGATCAGCTTCAAGCAGACCATGCCAGGCCATGCCAATGCAACGTCGGTTTCCACAGCTAATTGAACATGTCTTCCAAAGGCCCCCCTCCCTCTTCCTGTCCTGCCGTGCCCATACCAAACGAAAGTCGACCGCCACTAACTCACGTTATAACTCACCCGGCTCGTGCCCTTCTGGCGACTGATCTTCCTCACGCCAACCTTGCCACACAGATCCGTCGTGTCGACATGCGTGCCCCCACAGGGATAGACCTCGGCGCCCACGATCCTGACGACGCGAAACTTCTCCCCACGCGCCACATCGACATTCGTATCGCCACCCCGAGGGATCAACCGCTCGAGGCCCTCGCGCCGGAAATCGTCCTCGTCCCAGAACTCGATCTGCACGGGCATGGCCCGCTCGACATACTCGGTGACCTTGTTCTGGATGCCCTCCTTCCACTTCCCCTCGATGAGGCCCTGGAACTCGCACGCCGCGCTGTCGGGGAAATGCGACGCCTTGAGCTCGTCGAAGCCCGGGATCTCGTGCTCGAGCAGGTGCCGCACCGCCGCGCCGAGCACGTGGCCCGCGGTATGCAGCCGGGAGTATAGCGTGCGTTTGTCCACGTCGATGGCCTGCGTGACCGTGTCGCCTGGAGTGAATAACGGTTTGGTGGTGGCGGCGGCGGCGGTGGTGGTGGAAACGTCGGCGAAGCGGCCGAGATGCAGGACCACACCGTCGTTGAGGGCGTCATGGCGGACTGCGGAGACGGTGAACCTCGCGCCGCTGGAGGGCGACGTGATGACGCCCACGTCCGACGGTTGGCCGCCGCCTTGAGGGTGGAAGATGGTCTCCTGTGTGACGACCACGGAGTCTTGATCCGTGGGGCTGGCCGTCTTGAACACCTGTTGCGAGGCTTCCGCTAGTTGGGGGAAGGGTGTGACCGCTTGGACGAGCGTCGAGAGGGTGTATAGTTTTGCGTTTGTCTGGTAAGCGAGGACTGTGCGGGGGAGGGTTGTCGACATTGCTGGTGAGGGCTTGAGAAGATATCAGAATTCGAGATATCTTGTTCTTTAATTCTTGATGCTTTTATTGATTTATTGCTTTATCGTCTCGGTGTTCTTGAGCAAGAGAAGAAAGGACTTCGGTAGAAGATCGTTGAAATTGGCGATCTTGTCCGCTTCTATACCTGGTTTGTTCCACCTGTATTGTCTATATTCGTAGCGCTGCGTCGTAATCTAAGTGGTACTGTGTATTGGTGACTCGAGGGAAATGGCGAGAAAGAGTTCGAAGGAAACATGTCAATGGGCGTTGACGTTGCATCATGTACAGTATTCCATGCGGAAAAGTGGGTACAGACCACCACCATGCCAAAACACCGCAGAGACTCCGGGCTTCACTCTCCTCCTATCAGCAGGTCTATCAACCCTTGCAAACAGGGTGTTTCATGGGGAAGCATGGTAGACCTGGTTTGATCATCTTGCGCGCTTTACCAGGATCTTACATTCACATCAGTGTAGTCGAGGCAGTCTTACCCTAGGCTGCGAAGCGCTGCCCTCACCACTGCTCTCGTGGACCATGCTTGGATGTCAAGACCGCCGTCTTAGATACGCCTGTGCTTCTTCCGTGATATTGTGTCCAACAAGCCATTGCACGACTGACGGATGCGGATATTGTTTAGTCATGTCTTCCTCTGGAACCAGCAGAGGTGCATCTTCGGCCAGCTGTTTCTCCAAGGCCATTCTATGAGCTAGCCATGCTTGATCTCTTGCACGCTGGGCGGGTCCGTCTGGGAGTGAAAACGTCGTTCCATTCTCGCGGGAGATGTCCTGGATTCGTTCACAACGAGGTTTGCGAAGGTGTTCGTAGTCTGCTGCTGCCCTTGGGAGGTCTTCGACACCCTCGCAAGTCGCGAGGCACAGGCCTAGGACTTCGGCGTCTTCCAGTGAAGCCGTTGCACCAGATGCAGCATGCGGTGACATGGCATGGCATGCATCTCCCACAAGGATAACCCGCCCGTTCTCACTTGACCATGTAGGTAATGGTGGTAGCTCGGCGATTACCCACTTCGCGCAGCTGTCCACAGCGTCCAATACTGCCTTAACGGTGTCATTGTAATCCTTGAATACTTTCCGCATATCTGTGACATCGCCTGGCTCGTTGTACTTTCCCAGAGGTGCTTCTCCCTGGTCAGGGACCATCATCACCAGATTGTAGAGTCTGCCGTTAGCTATCGGGTACGCAATGATATGCGTGTCCTGACCAGCCCATGCCTGCTGATTCCGATTCTCAATCAAACCGCGGGTCGAGGCGTCCTGCATCATCGTCTCACGTGGAATCAAAGCACGGTAACAGAAGTTTTCTGTCCTTCTTGGGACGATTTTTGTCAGCGCGGGTATCGATCGCCGCACCCTTGAGTGGATGCCATCGGCGCCAATAATCAAATCGGCCCTCAAGGTGCTCCCATCTGCCAGCATAATCGTGACATTTTCAATGTCTATGTCTGCAACTTTTTGCCCGAACCGGATCTTGACCCAACGCGCCATAGCGGCATCGGCAAGGATCATCTGATAATCGACTCGGTGAACAAGCCAATGTGGAGAGCCCCTCACTCGCTCCGAATAACTCTTGACGTTGGAAGGGATCAGACCTAGCAGCTCGAAATCGTCGTACCGTCTGATTTCAAGGAAGTCTGGGCGGGTGGCCACGGCCTCAAAATGCTCTTTCAAACCCCAGTTGCTGAGCAGGCGTGAAGCGCTTGCATTGATTTGGACGCCCGCTCCGGCTTCGGTCAGGACGGGGCTGCTCTCGAGAATGAGGATTCCGTGCTTCGTCTTCTGGGATATACTGATGGCTGTCGCCAGACCCGCAATTCCAGCACCAACAACGACAATCTGAATAGAGGCCATTTGTGCTTGAAAAACTAGACAGAAGGGGGCCAGTCAATTAAGCATTTGCCCAGTGCTGCCTCTAATGTGTATCTCCACCGAGTATTCCAATGGGGATCCATTTGAAGATCTCAATGGGACTTTCGACGCGGCACCAGAAGCTGCCGTACAGTACTCTTCAAACTCCGGGCAAGAGATAATGCTCCGAGTCTGAAACAACGAAAGCACTCTTACCTGGTTATCTGATGACAGAACACGCTAGTTAGGTAGATGAGGGGAATGGGACTGAAGACTGTCGAGTCTGTTCAGTTCAGAGCTGCAATGAGCAGCTGGGAAACCAGGTGGTACACTGAAGCTTATAGTGGACAACCTGACAGTACCACCCGAAGGAAGCATGGAAGCGGTCCGGCGGCTTAGACACACATTACAGAATATAAGTGTACGAAGTCCAATACTGAGTATGAGAAGAGACTGAGTCCAACACAAGCACAAGGCCAGGTCGCGCAACGTGTAACGGGCAAGTCGGCCGAAGGCGTTCTTCGGCGCGACTCTTTTCTCGCATCAGCCTCACCGTTCGCTGCCATTTGGCTCACTGTTTGTTCAAGTGTCAGAAGTTTCTCACTATAGCTATCTTGTCCTTCACTACATTGTCCAGAGTAATCCCGACCCGGCAGCTTGCATTTTGTCTGATTTTCTTGCAACAATGGACGAAGATCCTCCAGAGACCCCAGCATCAGGGTCGCCCTTGTCAGACATTGACTCTGATGAATTTCATGAAGTCGTCAAATTTGGGAACAGACAGCGCTCTGGCTCAAGAGACTCTACCATCTCTGCATCAGATGACGAGACAACATCTGCCATGAGTGCGACGGCGCCGGTCGACATGCCCCCCGCCAAACGTCGAAAGACAGGGGCCTCTAGCTACGATCATGCCACTCCTCAATCAGCCTCGACCGCTATCCCTCCCCGGTCTCCTACAGGCTCAATCTCGAGCGATACCTCAGGCTCTGTCCCCACGTCGCCGTCATTCGCGAACCTTGGCCCTACACATCCTCTCTCCACCGCATACGCCGCAGCTCAAGCCAATCCTGAGAACCCCGACTCAGCGGACTACATCCAAGTGACCAAATGTCTGTGGGAAGGCTGTGTAGATCAAGAACAGGGCAACATGGACAACCTAGTAGCACATATCAACGATATTCATATCGTGCCACGCCAAAAGAAGTACTACTGTGAATGGGAAGGCTGTGTGAGGAAGGGCCAACCCCATACTAGCGCATACGCCCTGAAGGCCCATATGAGAAGCCACACCAAGGAGAAGCCGTTCATGTGTCAGCTGCCAGAATGCGACCGGAGTTTCACCAGATCTGATGCTCTAGCTAAGCATATGCGCACCGTGCACGAAACAGAGGCACTGCGGCCTAGTGACCCTGTGCCTCGAGGTCATACAGGAGGCATCTCAAACGGAGGAGCGTCTCTCATGCCACCAAAGAGATTGAAGTTGACAATGGGCGGCAAAACAAATGGCGACAAGAAGGCTACGTTGATCGGAGACCTACCCCCGCTACCAACTCGGTACACTCTTTCCCTGGCGGGGATCAACCCAGAAGACGTTAGAATGGCAGATGACAACGACTCTGACGATCTGATCGATGCCGTCGACGTTGATAGTGTTCCAATGACCCTTCCTCTCCCTCTAGACTACTACCCGCCCGACATCTCGGAGGATATGGATGACAGCGAGCGTAATCTGCCTCCGTCCCAGTGGTTTCGACTCCTGCGCAGACAGGTCCACTGGGCTGAGTCAGAAAGAGAAGAGTTGCAGAGAGAGCTGGAAGAGCTACGAGCAATGACCGAAGATGCAAGAGGCCATCCGATCAGGAGGGGTTTGGGCGATGAGAAAGGAGCCGATGAGAACCGGAGGATGGAATGGGAGCGGTCAGAGGAGATCTTGGAAGCGCTGTTGCGGGCTGAGGTTGGTCAAGCGCTGGAGATGATCACTGGCGAGGCGCCAGATCAAAAGAGCGAGCAGAACCCTTGGGAAATGCTCAAGGTGGCCCAGGCGCTCAGCACCACTTCGGCAGCATAATTGACGTAGAGCTGAGGTTATCCGGCTGGTCTTGCTACTATACAGATCGTCTGATCACGAACAGTTTTCGGGACTCACTTTCGCATGGGATCTTCGCGTGTTTTCTCCTGATTGCCGTTAATACGAGTACGTGGGTACTTATCCATGGCAAAACATCCGAGCCGCACGAAGACCTATTTGGACAAGCCTGGGTCGACGAGCTGCGGCGGGATAACGCAAAGAGCCAGAGGTGTCTTGCCCAGAAGTTCTAGGAGTTGCAGCCCAGAGATACTGTACATGGACACGCTGGTCATTTCCCACATGCACGGGTGTGTAGGGCTGGAAAAGTTGCTGAGGGTTCCTCCCACGACTGGTGCTTGCTTTTCCTGGATTCGGCCAGCTGACAGTTCTCTACCACTAAGTTGTTGACATGTGCGAATTTGACGCGCATGACCTCGTTTCCTGCAGCTGGCGATCCAACATCAACAACGGAGGACTGTGTAAGTAGAAGGGCCAACCGTTTCTGCCAGTTTCCGATTGAGATACTCCAATGCGCAGTGACGTGCCTTGAATACGGAATGCTTGTCCACGGGATTCCGGGTGTGAGAACCCAAATTACCTAGAGAATACTCCGTATATGATAGGACAATAAAGCGCGCAGATGCGCATTTTGTACAGAGGATCGATGATTGAAAATGGGTATCGCTGGCGGCCCGCGACTCGCGCAATCGGTTGGAACTGGTTCTCCACGGGGAATTGGCAAAGCCTGTCAGACATGTGTCTTTGCGAATAAGTATGATCGGGATTGTAAGGGTTCGAAGTAGCACTGCCGAGTCTCAGCCTTGTCTGACAACCCCCAACCTTTTCATGTTCCCGTCGTTTGTCCACAGATGTGCAATGTAACTGTTCGTATCGTGTCTCGACAAGTCCCCTATCAGGATGAAACCGGGCGATTCTATTCGTGTGTGCCACGGCATGCTTCAACGTGATGCTCATGGATCTGTCGGAGTCCGTCCGCCCTAGTTCTAGATACTTTGTGCGGCTCTATTCAGGGGCAGCAATGGTGTCACTTGCCCGAGCATCCGCGTGGGATGCACCATTTCGAAGCGAACTGCAGGGTCGTCCTTAGATCCAGATGGTTATGAGTCACAAGGTACTCCGTAGTGGGATCAGACCAATTTCTGTGTGCAGACCCTGGCGTATGGACTGCGACATGCAAATTGCATTTCAAGCCTCTTAAGGGATAGCTCCTGTAGCGATGCGCGCGAACAGCTGTGCATTCCATCCGCTTCAGAGGCTCAGCAGATATAGCGAAGGATGCGCTGGTGGATATGAATTGTTCCTGAACCCCGCTGGAAGGGACCTAAGCACGTTTGCAACCACTTCAGATTGGGCCTAGTCAGTTCGCCGTGGAGCCATGTAACAAGGCGCAGAAGTGCCAGCCGTGGCCAGGACCTTTGGTTAAGCCGCAAGACGGTACACCGTGTGGGATCGCTGGTTGGTAGAGACTACCCGAGTTCACCAATCAGAGGTGCCTCGTTTCCCCAGAGGACATGCTCTTTTGTAAAAGGCCACAGTGGTTCATCGTCCGATTCTCGAGGGAATGCGCATTATTGGGCAGACGCCGCGCAGCAGGACGTCAGTAGCAAGTTGCTGGCCCGAGATATGTTTCATGGCCACACGATACGTGATTGCGGATCGACTTGTGTCCACTACTGGGCAGAGAAACCGTTTTCCGTCGCATAGAGTTTAAAACACTATCGCCATGTACCATTTCCGTCTTGTGGGCTGCCGAAAGTGAGAACCTGCGCCGCAACCCGCAGAGACTTGGTGGCTGTTTGGACTCGGTTTGGGGCACTGAGGGTGCTTCTCTCTGAAGTCGCAAAAGATGTCATAGTCTATCTAACATTCTGTAGTGTAAAGCTTGCCCAAATTCGCTGCATGGAGGACACGGTACTCGGTGGTTTGAGCCGCTGCCAGAGACGTGCTCCTTCGACTGCAATAATGAGTCACAATTGTTGGAGCCAAAAGTGCGCAGAAATTAGCCAATGCCAAAAGAGGAATAGCTCAACAGGGATGAGGGGGACCTAATGCTCAGGTTGCAACCGAGGAGGAATTGTGATTGGCTGACGGGGGGCCTTCTCGCGTGAACAGTCGGTACAGTGGGCCCCGCCCGTGCTTACCTGTGGTGGCCTTCACAGTGCCAAGCCCCTCCCAGGCTGCCTTCTTAACTCCTCGATTTCCTGCGTGTCGCCTGGACTTTTCCTCCTCTCTTCTCACCCCGCACACTTCAACACACACAGGCAATTCAAAGAACTTCAAGTCATGGAGTTCTGAATACCTTCACCTTCTCCTCTTATCTCGCTCAGGCAAGATAGGATCTCTCACGATACCAGTCACTCAACCCAGCTCCCCACTCCACTCTTCGCTCACAAGGTTCCTTCGGGACTCTCGTGAACAGTCAGCTCCTCGCTCCAAGCGTCTCGGGCTTTCACCTCCAACCGCAACCATTCAAGCGTTGGATTTTCCAGCTTTCACCACGGATCATCAGCAAAGATGGCTTTCCCCAACCCCAAGATCATCGACTGCATCGTCGCAGAAACAACAGCAACACTCCTTCGACCAGGACTTTCAGCTCTTCGCCGCACCGGAGATCCCTCCCAGGACCGCTCCTGCCTTGCGTGCGCAGGCGACATCGAGTACAGCCCCTAATAGTCGGCTAGCCCGCACTCGGCACCTCTCTATCAACAGCGGAGTATCGCCAGTACAGTCTACCTTGTCTCCATCGCCAGGAAATATCTACTCGTCACCAGTTCAACAGTCTACAACAAGTCCAGCATTGCACAATCACTTACTCCGCGAAAATCATTGGCGCCAGCTTGCTCGTTTGCAAGGTTTACCGCCCGTGCCCACTTTCGACTCCGCTACCACTGTTCCTCGTAGAAACTTGTCGGCCCCGAACCCGCAAGGTACCTATAGTATTCGTCACCTTGTCGAGTCCTTGTCACTGACTCAGCCAGGCACTATGTCTACCGCTTTTGACAGCATGTACCTTCCCGGAGGCGACTTCAACGCCTCCGGGTACGAGCTCCTTGATTTCGATGCCCCTCAGTCCCACTTCGCGGGAGTCGACGGTGGCACAATTTCGCCTTCCGACTTGTTCGTGGATGAGTCCATCATGTCGGCCCCAGCATCTACGGTCTTCCCCAATCTGAGCACCCCGGGATCCAGCTTCTTGGAATCTCCTGCAATGGCCAGCAGTGGCCTTAACACTTCTCCTCTGGAAGACGGACTCCTTGATGCTCAGCTGAACTACTCGGAGCTCGAAGCTATGGCGCCGTTGTTTCCCCAGAACAACTTGGATCAATTCGCCAACCAGCCCATGGCGCAAGAGTGCCTCACCAAGTCAAGCAGCTTCAGCAGCGTGAACTCTCACGCCCAGCCATCTAGCATGGAGCGTCAGAAGTCAACTGGAATGGAACGCCAGAAGTCTTCCCCTGGAAGGCCTCCGTCTCAACCATACCACAACCGCAAACGGTCAGACACTTGCGGTATCTCCAAGCCACCCAGGCCGCGCAAGCAGTTGCCGGAGATCCATGTCGACAGCGATGACGACAAGGAGACCGCCAAGAGAAAGAAGAATACTGCTGCGGCCCGCAAGTCGCGCCAGCGGAAGCAGGAGCATGCCGAACAAGCTGAGAGTGAGATCCAACGCCTTCGAGCCATGATCTACCGTCTCGGGGGTGACCCAGATGTGGACATCTGAATCGGTGCTGATACGGAAAGGACTGACCATTACCACTATTGTCGAACTATGGAGGTGGCTTTTGCCCTCTCACGGAACTGATTTCTTGCAATTGCAAACGGACTACGATCGAAGCTGTACCTACCGTGCTGGTAGTTGCCGACAGCAGCATGACGCTTGGGGTTGGGGATCATTTTGGGCTGAAGCCAGGAGGGCTGCTCACCCAACCGCCACGTCGACTTTTCTTTCCAACCTTCATGTTTTGTGGTTTCCGCGACCGCGATCGTCGGAGCTCCTCGGTCTTCGCCTTGAAAAAGGATAGTTGACCCGGGGCCCTTCGAACCTACATCGCTATGATTTCTTTTTGTTGCCTGCGATCAGCGTGTGATACTTGGAGCCTGCGTAACAGCGAGCTTGAGGTGTCTGGCGCGTCGTTCGGCTTACGACCTGTTGGCGAATGCGCAAATGGCCGGTTCTGACCGTCTCCTGTTCTTGATACTGCAAGGGATGTTCCGTTGTGGCGTCTTGAACAATGGATTGACTCGTGGCCTGTGTTGTACTTGTGCTTGATGTCAGTTTAAGAGTATCGTCGACAGTCTCTGCTTAGCAGCTGGCAATCTCTGGCGGTGTCTCGGCCACTCGTTCAGATAGCTTAATACCGAGCTACTTTAAATGCTGCTCAATCCCTCCATATCCTCTCTGTCCACACCCTGACCTTCTCTTTGCCCACCTATAGCATGGGGCGCATTATTCCTCCTGCCGAGCCACTACCTTGATCCACCATGACGCTGAGCTCCAAAATTCCCTCCTAGCCGACCCTCGACTCGGTTTGCGGCTGCTGAGAACCAAAGTTCGTTTCCGTTTGCTCACGGATTGCCGCCCCACCACGAAAATTCCCCTCATCGCGGTTGAGTTCTGAGTCTTTGCGCGAAATCTTTGTTAGACCCCCACCAGGTCGTAGGCAGTCGATAAGATCTCGACCGCGTAACGCGGTATCCCTTTCTACTTCCTTGCCAGTATGGTAGACACGTTGCGTTGACACGAAAGTCCTGCTTTACCGCCACTTCAACCACGACTGCACTCACCTGTACCTCACCCGTAGACCCCCCCTCCGATATCGCAATAAATTCTCCTCCAGACGGCGACGCTCCTGTCACACCAGAAACCCTACCTACCATGCCTGTCACACTTGTCCTCGGAGCCCAATGGGGCGACGAAGGTAAAGGCAAACTGGTCGACATCCTCGCGTCCTCGGCCGACCTTGTCTGCCGCGCCGCCGGAGGCAACAACGCAGGCCACACCATCGTGGTCAACGGCACGACCTATGACTTCCACATCCTGCCCTCGGGCCTCATCAACCCGTCGTGCAAATACAATCTCATCGGCACCGGCTGCGTCGTGCACATCCCCTCGTTTTTCAAAGAGCTCGCCGCGCTAGAAGAGAAAGGATTAGAAGGCGTCAGGGACCGCATACTCGTCTCGGACCGCGCGCACGTCTGCTTCGACCTCCACGGCGTCGTCGACGGCATCTCCGAGGACAAGTCCAAGAGCGTCGATGGAGGCAAGAACATGATTGGCACGACCCGCAAGGGCATCGGCCCATGTTACAGCGACAAGGTCGCCCGCCGGGGCGTGACCTTCTGGATGCTCGTCAACGAACAACAGCGCTGGGAATGCCGACTTCGCGACCTGGAAGCCGGCTATCGGAAACTCTACGGCGACGACGCTCTGCGCGGGTATAGCGTCGAAGACGAGATCGCCAAACTGAGAGGCTGGCGCGACGAACTGGCAAAGTACGTCGTCGACCAGACTTCCCTGCTGGCACAGGCCGTGGGCAACAAGGGCATCGCGACTGCCAATGGCGCAGGATCAGGATCAGGATCCGCATCCACCCAGCAGAGCAGCAGGATGAACATACTGATCGAGGGGGCCAACGCGCTCCTGCTCGACATCGACCACGGCACCTACCCCTACGTCACGTCCAGCAATACCGGCCTGGGCGGCGTCTTTACGGGTCTGGCGGGTCTGAGTCCCCAGTCGCTGTCCTCGCCGGGAAGCAACATCGTCGGCGTGGTGAAAGCGTACACCACGCGCGTGGGCTCGGGGCCTTTCCCCACGGAGCTCGGCGCTGCCATCTCGCCCACCGACGCAGAGTACGGCGAGCGCCTTCAGCGCGTGGGCCGCGAGTTCGGCGTCACGACGGGCCGGAAGCGCCGCTGCGGCTGGTTCGACCTCGTGCTGGTCAAGTACTCGGCTGCCGTGAACTGCTACACGCAGATCAACCTGACCAAGCTGGACGTGCTGGACGACTTTGAAGAGATCCGCGTGGCAACGGCCTACACGCACAATGGTCAGACGCTCGAGAGCTTCCCCGCGGATCTGGATGTCATCGAGAACATGCAGGTCGAGTACAAGACGTTCAAGGGCTGGAAGACCACGACGACGGGGATCAAGCAGTTCGGCGATCTCCCCTGGGAGGCGCGGGAGTACATCGCCTTCATTGAGGCTCAGGTGGGTGTCCCAATCAAGTGGATCGGTACAGGACCTCGGCGGGAAGATATGTGTGTCCGGTAGGCTCCCTGGGGCGGTGGGCCAGAGAAGGCATCGTTGCTTGGGTTGAGAGAGTATGGCAGCTCGACAGGATGGTTCGTTGTGGCTTTTATTATAGAGGCCGCTGCCCTGGTGCACAAGGGTTCATGTTCACGATATGAGTGGAAAGCTCCTCGGCAGCATTCCTGGCCGGGAACAACACCAACAAAAGATCACGAATTCGCTGTTTCAAGGGTGGCGTCTGTACATAGCATCCTTGCAAGTGGCTTGACTGTTCAATTGGCTACTGTAGCAGACATAGACGAAAACGTGTCCAAAAGTTCTCCTCCGGACAGGGCGTGATCCAGCATGCCATATGAACCATCATGGTCCGTGTCCTTTCTATTAGGTAGACATGATTGCGACTTTTGTCTCCGTAGGTGCCTGTTTGGCTTCCAAGCCACTTTTCAAGCTCAACAAAACACCACACGCGGCCCCATCGCCACCACACTCCAGGTTCCTTTACAAGACAGCCACAACTCCTGCAATTGCAATGACGGCTGCGGCAAAGCTACCGACCTGTTTGGTATCCGCGGCAGCGTTGCCGCTCGCTGAAGCACCTGATCCCGAGCTCGATGAAGCACCGTCCGCACCTGTGGCACTAGCCAGAGCAGTTGACACTACGGAACCGGTAGTGGCGGTCGCGACGACAGTGGATGTGCAACTGCAGTCGGGATCGAAGACAGCGGTGGTGTAAACAAATGTGCCGGCCGAAGTAGCAGAGGACGACCCTTTGGTCGTGGAGGCGGTGGAGTTCGAGGTGGAGGTTGCTGTGTAAGGAGCTGCAAGACAGAGAAAATCCTTGTCAGTATGGTTCTCGCCCAGATGCTATGCTTGCGGGTGATTGAAGTGTTACATACCGACGGATGAACCAGCAGCCGAGCAAGTCGAGATGAAAGCGGATTGTGCCATGCTCACGGCGTTACCGTTACACACGCTAGCGATGGCCTCTTGCACATCGGTCGCATCGTCGCCACAGATTGAGGAGAGGTCGCTAGGATCGTCCTGCGTGTTGACGGCGTTGAGCAGACATGCTGGAGGGGTGGCAGCGAGGACTCGGGCAGCAAGAGCGAAGACTGGCAAGATGATGGAGGTCTTCATTGTGTAGAGCTGGATCTGTCTGGGTGTTTGCGTATTAATGGTAAGCGAATGGTTGAGTTCGGTGGAGTTGACAGTTGACGCGTGGAGGACAGCTGCGCTACAGCGTCAACAAAGCTGCGTCGAATGAGCGGAAGAAAGTTGAAGACGGTGTCAGAAGGAGTGACTGTGAAAGTGAACGGCAACAAGGGCCTCTGCTGGGGGTTAGTACAAGTGAGTGAAGCGAGGGCGTGAGTGAAAGAATGTGAAAAAGGTTGAGAGCCGGTGGCTGCACAGGAGAGAAGCCCCTTGAAAGGAATCTGGGGTGGACGCGATCGACCAGGGGCAAAGGAAAACGCCCACACGTGATTTCCACGGATGAATGTATCTCCAGTCCGGGTGGCCCGCTTACTGTAGCCCTCAGTTCACGCGTGCCTGAGCTTTATCTCAGATTGCGAAGCCTGGCTGGAGGGCCGTTTGACCGCTGACCATTCGTTTGCCTCGGTTGAGGTATGGCATTCGAACAATCGGCCATTTCTCCATCGACGCTGCATCTTGCAACCACCGTCCTCTGCGGAAGCGTTGGCCTGTACGCCCACTTTGTCATCCTGTATACCCGAATCTGTGGGACGGCCCTTCCATCGCCCGCGGAGAGATGACGAATACGATCCACTCATTACACTGCTGCTGATAAGGCCCGACAATTCTTAAAGCGTAGAAGGTCTTGCCCTCGTTCAAGATCGTTAGGCCGGATGACCCGGTCGCTGAAGGTACCACCACATCAACAATACCGATCACTTACGGAGTGGTGGAAAAGAGACAGTCTCCTCAGTTATGGATTCCCACGTGCAACGCCTCGTCGACCAGACATGGGGTCAGACGTGCTCTTTCCAGCGTGTAACTTCTCATACTGACCATCAATCACAGAGAAGTTTCAGAAATGTGACGCCTCGCAGCGCCTCTTGATCGCCATCTCAGGGATTCCAGGCTCAGGGAAAACTACCCTCGCCGCCTCGGTCTGTGCTGGACTAAACAAGACATACCACAGACACCACCATGAGCGCTATCCCAATAGTCCAAATCGCTCGCAACCAGATATTGCTTTCGTCGTCCCGCTCGACGGCTATCACTTGACTCGCAAGCAACTCTCCGAAATGCCCAATGCCGAAGAAGCAGTGTTCAGACGGGGCGCGGCATTCACGTTTGACCCGCACAGCTACCTGGAACTGGTTGAGAAAGTCCGGAAACCCATCTCACCAGAGTCACGCACGATCTTTGCGCCCAGCTTCGACCATGCGGTCAAAGATCCCGTGGCGAACGACATTTCCATCTCACCTACCGCGCGGATTGTCCTGTTCGAGGGCCTCTACACAGCTCTGGACGAGGAGGGATGGCGTGACGCCCATGCCCTCATGGATGAAACGTGGTTCGTCGATGCAGACATTCCGACTGCGACTGAGAGAGTTGCGAAAAGGAATTACGCCGCCGGGATTTCAAGTTCCTATGAGGAAAGTCTCGACAGGACCGAGAAAAGCGACATGAGGAATGCGAGGGAGGTTCTGGAGAAGAGGCTGCCCGTGCAGGAGATTGTGCCCAGTGTGGAGGACGAGAGCTGGAAGAGCGAGGAGGTCGACAACATGGAGAAGAATTTGAAGAAGCTGGAGGATAACGGCATCGAAGTTGATAATGATGACGATGACGATGATGGAGCGGCTCTCCGAAAGCAGAGGATGAGCAGGATGGATAGCATTGCGTTGCTGGCGGCGGATGGTGTGGGCATGTGATTAGGCAGCAGTCACAAGGCTGGCGAGCAAGGACATCCTGGAATTGCGAGTCAACCGGCACGGGGACAGCTCATTCTGGATCGAAGTGGATGTTATCCTTAGGGCGACGACCGTATCCTTATCCCTTGATACTTCCGATTAGTTGCAATCCAACATCTAGCAAAAGATCCTTCTCAGCGGGATTTCACCCATAATGTCACCATTCTTCGATGGCTGACCTGCTTGGTGCTTCCGAAACCAGTCAAGATATCGCATCTATGTAGCTCGGTTTTCACTGACCGTGTAGCTGCATCATCAACTGAGACTTCATACCGCCGACCTGTTTGCACCGGTGTCATCTGCCCGAGAAAGAGGGTGGTGTTGAGCGCACCCGCACACAATAGAGAGGTTCAACCTATTCAGCACGCAAGAGACTATGTCCCATATCCAACCGCTATGAACTAGACCAGTAATATCCCCAACACTGTTTGTTATGGTGACGAGGTACTCTTGACGTCCTCCAATGGCACTAAACAATCCAACTGCGGGTTCTTACCACACACGTTATCTGCTCATGTACTCCGTACATTCTGGAGGCCTGTCGTTAGATGAACCGCAATCACATCTTTGGTCTTGAGCAGATGTCATAACCTCGGTTGTTACGTTTCCTGTGGGCCACGCCGGCGGCAAAGAAGTACCACCCAAGATATTGGCTCGCCCACTGCATGAGGCTGGATACCGGAGGTCGTCCACACTCGTTCCGGTCTCATACCTGGTCCTGCCTTTCAGTGGACATGCTGACGTCAATCGTTGCTCGGCCGGATATGATTTTCCGGGCCGGGATCCGAGGCTTGACCAGTGACGACAGCCACCTTAAATGTTGGCGGACCTCCAGATTCGGAGCATTCAGAGAAAGGTATTTGTTGAGCAGTATCACCGCTGAGGCAGTCACATAAGCTGAGCAGGGAAAAGAAAAGAGCCTCATACCACCGACTCACTTCAACTTCGTATCAGACTTTTCGCTGGATTTTGGCCTCGCCCTCAACTAGCGGAACATGGCAGACTTCAACGGCGCCGAGATCCCGATCTGTTATGCTTCATGCTCGATAGGGCATGACAGTGAGAAGCACACCATACCAGAGAAAATCAAGGTTCTGGCCGGTGCTGGCTTCGATGCCATCGAGCTTTCCATGCCAGATATTCTCGCCTATGGGCAACAGATATCTGAGAGCAAGTCACAACCTGCTGCCAAGGACTACGCAACTCTCCGATCTGTGGCATCCGAGATTGGACAGCTGTGTGAGAAGGCAGGCTTGAAGATCCTGATGTTGCAGCCTTTCGCGAATTTTGAGGGCTGGCCGAAGGATAGTGAGGAAAGGAAAGACGCCTGGGAGCGGGCGCAGGGCTGGATGAGCATCATGGAGGCGGTAGGGACGGACATGCTCCAGGTCAGTGGCTCTGCTTGTCATTGCAGTTGAGAGACAGGAGCTGCGATACTGACCAACCGACAAATAGATCGGCTCGTCAGATGCAGATGGCATCTCCGGAAACGTCGATGAGCTGGCATCTGATCTGGCTGAGCTAGCAGATGTGTTTGCCGAGAAGGGCTTCCGAATTGCATATGAGAACTGGTGCTGGGCAACCCATGCTCCGACGTGGAAAGATGTCTGGGAAATCGTCAAGAAGGCCAACAAGCCTAATCTAGGGTTGTGCCTGGATACTTTCCAGAGCGCCGGAGGAGAATGGGGCAGCCCAGTCACCAAATCGGGAAGGATCGAAGACGTCAGCACAGAGCAACTGGAGAAGAGGTGGAAAGCTAGCTGCGAAGAGCTCGCCAGAACCGTTCCTTCGGAGAAGATTTTCCTTCTGCAAATCTCAGATGCCTACAAAGTAGATCCGCCCTTGCAGGACAAAGCCGACGAAAGTGGCTTGAGACCTCGAGGCCAATGGAGCCACGATTATCGACCACTGCCATATGACGGGGGCTACTTGCCAGTCGAAGATTTCACCAGGGCTGTATTTAAAACCGGGTTCAGAAGTTGGGTGTCGGTAGAGATATTCGACAGCAAAGGGCCGGAAAAGTATGGGGACGACATGGGAGAATTTGCAAAGAAAGCTTTCCAGTCGGTGACCAAGCTATTGGCAGAGGCTGGAGGTGCTGCTTGAATGCTGAATGTCAGGAGCTGCCTAATTGTGGCATAGACCCAGAGTCATTTAGATAAGCACGGCCAAGGTCGATGCAGGAATATCATCCAATCAATGTCTGTGTCGTAGTTGGACAGCATGTCTCGTATATGAGGCCAACTGCATCGTCGTGCTCGACAGGCCAGGTCGTCCTCGACGTAACCGAGGAATGGCCAACTTGACGAAGTTTCATACTTGCAGTGCCTCAGACCCTGGAGAGAACCACGTGTGACCTGGTTTGCTTTGTTGTCCGGTAGCGACCCTCACCCCTGCGGGTGTTTTTGCTGCGCCTCGGACAGCAAGGGAGTTGGAAGTCGTAAATGTCCCCACAGGTCCTTCAATTTCAGGCCGGTTTTCTGAAAAGCTAGGAGGGCTAGCAGGTGGTGTCTGACAAGTCGACGTGGAAGCCGCAGAAGGGCGACGGCGTTCTCATGAGCCCCTACCTAATGGGCAAAATCACGCATGTCTCGAGGGCGGAGTTTGGGGTGAAATGCCACAATGAGTTGTACAGGAATTGATACTAGTAACCTAGAGGAGCCACAATAATGAGATAAATGTTTGTTCCCATCATGACTTCCCCTACATGAGTCCTCACCAGCGCAGCCCGAGCCGTGATTGCTCGTTCGATGGCATGGAAGGTCAGCCAGGCGCATTGGAGGCCTTGAGTCACGTCGTGAACTTGCTCAACGTCCTGTAATGCTTGGGCTCTGCACAAGAAAACGGAACGATCCGAAAGAAACGACGTCGTTTGTGTCATGCAGGTATGCTTGAGCTTCGCATCAGAGAAGCTGCAGAAGTCTGTCAGCTCGTGGAACTTGGAAGAGGGAAAGCTGGTTTGATGTCGAGCTTGGACGCGTCCTTGGAAGGAACGTAACACGAGCGGAAGCTTCAATCGCCATTTGTGGATGCCAAGACATCGAGATAAGACACGGAACAAGGCACGAAGACAGGAGATTGGCTGGCGGGATCGGCGGACGTCTTGGCATTTTAATTTCCTGTGACACTTTCAAAATCCCGACTTTCCGACTTCTCAATCTATCTTCACGTCGAACTTGCATAGCAACCCACGACATCACACTGCGGCCCAATCTCTTGCTGGCGTGGTGGCATGCTGTTTCAGCTCGGTATCGCGTCATGCAGCCGATAGTCTTTTCCAGGACCGCTCGGTCGACGCCTCTTCCTGCAGCCTCAATGCTTATCTGGATATCAGTAAACCTTGCTTCAGTTTTGCCTGATTCTCGCCGTTTTCCAGGGACCCATCTGTGGTACGGTTTGTTGACATCCCGATCGGGCAACCTACGATCTTCATTGATTCCTCTCACTTACGCCGACCCCGCTATCTCGATGGCGTTTGTCAATCTCGAGCCGGAGTAGGAGATCATTTCTTCGCGGCTGCACGATGAACATCGTCGGCAATCGGCGTGAGAGTCAAGTACGGATAGATCGGAATGCGCCTTAGGATCTGCCTCGGCCTCACTTCCGAATAGCTTGTTGAAATTCGATCCGAGAAGGCTTTGTTATGTGGCCCCCCTTGTGGCTTCCCACTGGCCCTTGCTTTGTCCCCGCGCACCAGGAACCCTTTGACAGATTTTCACCTTTCTGCTGTGGCACAACACAGACCGTTGACACGACACAGGATTGGGTCTCCTGCGGATTCAATTTCCAGGCGACGCTACATGGACCCCGAAATCATTTCAAAGGTAAGTCGGCGCCAATACAAGCTCGAATGGGCGTACAGCATGTACGCTAGCACGGCTCACAAGTCTGCTCGCCATCTGGTCGTGTACAGCATCTTATAGAACAATATCCCTTCCCTCAAGCCCTCTCCTTCTCCCAGACACGCTCTCATTTTGGCTTTGGCGTTATACGCCGTCCACTCCTTATTATCATGTCCTCTGAAGGTGTCGGCGGATTGACGTTGATCATTCCACCACCGAGTAATCGCAACGATATGGAAAAGCAACCTATCGACATGGAAAAGAGCATCCAAGATGCACAGAAGCCTTCGGGACCACCAGTCGGTCCTCCTGGCCCTCCAGGTGGCTGGCTATGTGCACGGATGACGAGATACCAAGAGGTCCTTTTCAACATCATGGTCGCAGTCCTTCAACTTATCCCTCAATCAACCTTGACGACAGTCTTCCCCGTCAGCAGAGACATTGCGGGGTCCTTCTCAATATCAAATCCTTCAGTACTGCCATGGCTTGTTGCCGCCTATGCGTTATCTTTTGGAACCTTCATTCTAATTGGAGGCCGACTCGGCGATATTTTCGGCCACAAAACAATGGTGGTCATCGGCTTCTCCTGGCTCAGTTTGTGGAGCGTGGTTGCTGGCTTGAGCCACTATGTCGGATACCAGCTCTTCTTTGTGGCCAGAGGGTTTCAAGGTCTCGGTGCAAGCCTCATGGTACCCAATGGTTTGGCGCTACTGGGTCGGACGTATCCGCCAGGGTCGAAGCGGAAGATCTTCTCGTTCACGCTTTTCGGCCTTTGCGCACCAGTCGGCGCCTACCTTGGGATGCTCTTTGGTGCATTGTTCACCAAATACGCAACCTGGTGGTGGAGTTTCTACACCCTGGCCGTCGTTTGCTCCTTCCTCGCCATTGCCGCAACGATCATCCTAATCTCGCCACCTCCCACGCCAAAGCAGATGCTACCGGTCAAAGACAAGCTTCGGGATATGGATTGGCTGGGCGCTATCACGGGCGTTGGCGGGCTCATATGCGTCCAAGTCTCTCTGGTCTCTGCTCCTGCATCGGGTTGGAGTACGCAGTATATCTTCATGCTGCTCATTATCGGGCTGCTGCTTATCGCATTCTTTGTCATTACGGAGATCAAAATCGCCGAACAGCCATTGGTGCCCTTTAAGATGCTCAAGGCGGATGTTGGCTTCGTCCTCGGTGCTGTAGCCTGTGGCTGGGCCACTTTCGGCATCTGGACGTGGTTCTTGTGGAAGTTCCTGCTTGGCATCAAACAAGATACTCCCCTCGAAGCTGCCGTGCAGGTCTTACCCATTGTTCCCGTTGCCCTCATCGCCTCGGTCTTGACGGCTTGGATGATGCGAAAATGTCGACCATCCTGGACCCTTTTCTGGGCGTTGGTCGCTTTCGCGTTCGGCCCACTGCTGCTCGCCGTTGATTCAAACGTCGACAAGACGGTATACTGGAGCTGGACTTTTGCCAGTCTGGTTGTGATGCCGTTCGGTATGGACATGTCGTTCCCAGCCGCCACGTTGATCATGTCGAACTATTTCCCGCCACAACAGCAGGGCATTGCTGGCAGTCTGATCAGCACGGTGGTGAACTACTCGATCTCTCTTGGTCTCGGCCTTGCCTCCACGGTAGAAGTCCATGTGAACAATAATGGCCTTGATCCGCTGGCCGGTATCCGCGGTGCTTGGTTCATGGGAGTTGGCCTTGGCGGCCTCGGTGTCCTCATCTGCATCGCCTTCATCATCAGATCTATCTTCCACCCAACACCCACAATGTCCAACGGACCATCAGGGCCTCCAGCCTCAGGAACAACCTTGCAAGGGACACCACCGGACCCGAAGATATCGCGACCTACAACCATGTGGAGCCTCGCCACAACAATGACCCCTGAGACCCCTGGAGTACAAACACCGAAACCAAAAGACCTTGAACCGTTCAAGTCGGTGAACGTTGAAATTGCATCCATCCCCACCGCACCATCGACGCCAACACCTGCACCCACGTCGCTGGCTACACAAGCATTCCATGCTTTGCCCATCGCCTCCACCACAACACAAACATCACCAAAGGCCACGCGCACCGAGGGACGACCTCAAAAATCGACCGAGACACATCCTACCAGACGGCCGCGCAAAGACAGTCTGGAGTGCTTGCGATCTCAGTCTCACGACCGGACAGACTCACAAGTCCACCTACAAGCCCCAATGTCTCCGCCTCCACCGATCCCGCTTCCAACCGAACTGGACGCCGTGTACCGTAGCCGCGGCAGTTTTGAAAGCGAAGACGGGGAAGAAGACCGTTGGGAATCTCCTCGAGAGTTGCCCGCCAGAGGCAGTAGCCACCTCACGGAAGACCAAGCCCACGAGCACTGGTATGGCTATGGCTCTGCACCACGTGAGGCGGATGGGTGCGGCCACGACACGAAGCCAGTGACGCCCCGAGAAATGGTGGGAGATAAGTGTTAAGATTTTCTACGGATTTTCATCCCTTTTAATTTTCTATGACGACGAGAATACCATTTTTGGGAAACGTAGGAGGCCGGAATGACGACCTCTAGGACGGATGAAGGCGTTTGGGAAGGATTTTCATATGTGAATGGGGCGTGCACCTTCGCGCTAGAAGCGCATGGATACCTGGCGTAATTAAGGAAGATATCGACCTTCAGCATTGACTTGCTTCTGATCGCACTCTCTCTTGTTTTGGGCATCTTTTCGTTGATAGGGGGCCTTTTGTGAAAGCTCGGCCGTTGACCTGTGCCTCGACATTAAGTGCCATCGCAGGTCGATGTCCTGACTGTATCTCGGACTGAATTACCGTGCACGCTATGTACTGGGAGGGATCACTGCATTTCGGGGGACATAAGGCTCCGCCCGCCATTCAGCCTGCCAGACTGGTACTATAGACAGGTGATACAGTACACCCTCCTATATTAGTCTTAACTTGGAGTTACCCACAAATACTATCTAACGGCATGGCATGGCATGGCACCCGTCGAACAGCCTTCTACTGTAGCCGCAGGGATCCTGCCTTACATCTCGTCGGATTCTCGCGCCACTCCTTTCCCATCACCATCTCATCTCATGCCACGACGCTCAATCTCGCCCTCGGCGTCCTGGCCGTACCCATTCATTTCTGCGCCTCGCCCTCTCGTCCCCCCGAGACTTCCTTTCCGCGACGTATGCGTCCTTGATGTCGGTCGCCCGCTCGACCACCCTGTCCTGCACTCTCAGGGCCTCCTTTGTCCGATCGACTCTGCGGAGCTGCTCGTCCAAACGCCGCCGGAGGTGGTTGTACCGCGTGCTTTCAGCGCCGAGGGTGCTCTTGGTATGGGAAATTCTGCTCCGGAGCTGCTGGTCGGTCAGGCAGGCGAGATAGGCTCTCGAGGGGAAGCTCAAGGGGGCGGGTGGTCGTGGATCAGGTGCGTCATGGGGTCCACGGGTGGGGATGTAGAAGAGCGGCATGGCTGTCGTTGTAATTGATTTGGGGGGGTAGTGTCGCGAGTGAGCGCTGTGGCCGATATGGTTTTCGACGGGGTTCTTCGTCGGGTCGTTTGCAGAGATGGTCAAGGATATGGATGGGGCTTTGAGCTAGCAGAGAAGTACCTCTGCCTAGTGATTTCCGTGGAAGAACCGAAATATGGAGAGTTCGGGATGATGTGACGAGCTCTACGAAGGAATTATACCCTTGACTTCTGGTGTGAGGCTGGTGGTATCATGTTCTTTGTTAGCCTTGTTGGAGGTGCTTTGTCGTGACCCGACCCGGCCGCGGTTCATTGCTGTCTCAGACGGGCCCTTTCAAGGTTGACTGAACAATGGGGACCGCATCCCGAGACACCAGAACTACAATGTGTGAGGGCAGTCTTGGTCATGAAAGGATATGATATGTCACAGAGGGATAGGAGTAGCCCGGACTCTGATAGTGGGTTCTGGCAAGGCAAAGGCAAAGGCAGACAGAGTGGCGGGGCCAACAACACTATGCTGTGAGGTTGAAGACATGTTGAACTCTGTCGGAGTCGTGGCTTTGTTGACCTGGAAGTCCACATTACTCTGGCGTGGAGTACAGCAGCAAGATGCAGGTCATCTTGAGGTGTACCTCTAGGTCCATGGTCTTACCGGCCCGGACAAACATGATTGTTACGACAGAAAAGAATTGGTGGTTGAGATGTCCATGGGCCCGTCCGATCGGCACGAGGCAACAAACCGCCATTGTCGAATGATCGAAGTGCGCTAAAGAAAGTGATAGGACGAGGACACATCGAGATACGGTTGAATCGGGTATGGGAAAGTGGAGGGTTCTCGAAGGCAGACAGTAGGAAGATATTCTACGATTGCGGTCAGTCAAGGAAGACATACCAATCAAGGCTGAGGGTATTTGAGACTTGCAGCTAAGAGCGCCGCTGGTGGATATAGAATTGGTTAGCTTGCGTCTTGCTTATCATCTCGAAGCCAGTCAAGTCGGTGGGGCATGTGTGGTTGATTCCGTCAATGGTATAGCATTGCGTGCAGGAATATAGGCTCGAGGGTTCCCTGAACTCGAAGGAAAGGTCTCGTAGACATAGAAGTGTGTCTGCCGACAGCCTGATTGTTCTACTGACGGCAATGGAGAGTCCGCAAGCGTCCCGTAGCCCTCAGCTTGTGGGTAAGCACCTTGGCCATCCTACTCAGCACTCAAGTCAATCAGTTTTGAACATGGTGGACCCAGCAAGAAGCCGGCGACGAGGCTGTCACAGTGTCCGCGTCACTTGTGAACCAAAGGATATATAAGCCGTGCTTGGCGAAGATCCCATCGATCGAGCTGATATGTTAGTTGCAATGAAGGGAGTAATCAGCAGTGGGAGGAGGCATCTCTCTCTCTACACGGAAGTAAAACCCCGAACCCAGATGTCGTGCATCGTATTGCTTCCGTCGAGAATGCATAAAGACGGTCGCACAGGAGTAGGTTCACTACTTGCATAGCATCGCCAGGACGCAGAAGTCGCAAAGCGTTGGCGGAGAAGAAAATCCAAGCCAAATCACGAGGACTCACAGCCCGGGATAAAGATGATCCGTATGTCAAATATCTTCTGCCAGTCATCGCAGATTTCTTGGAACTCAGAATCACTCCGTCCAGTGAGTGCCAGTGTGCCGGAAAGGAACTCAGTGATCATTCAAACTGGACCTTAGATCTTGATATCTCTTGACGCCGGCATTGGCGGCCTTACATACATGGACCTGAAGCCGCTTTGCACGTGCCAGGCGTGTCTCGCCGAGATTGTCATGCTACGCTCAGGTCCATAGGGCGACCCTGCGATGAATTGGAAAGCCCAGCGTCGAGCGGCTTGGTGAACTCAGCGCGCCAAGGGCAGAAGGTGTTTGTTCGTGTTTAAGGACCATCACTTTCTCCTTCCACTGCCTCTCTCTGGATCTACTTTTCATGCGCGACTGCTCTACCTCCTGCTGTCTTTCCGGGACAATTCTGCGACGATGTCGTTGATCCTCCTCGATCTCCACGGACCTCCTCGGAATGCTACGTCTGTCTCTGCTTGAGAGGTTTCCGGCCAAAGCCGACGCTTCCTTCAATGGCCCAGTAAAAACCCTGTCCGCGAATGAGCTTCGGCGTTCCCCCCCCAAGATTACTTCAAGGAAAGCCTGCAAAGAGAGTTGATAAAGTACACACACGACACGAAAGAGGCTTTCAATGCAAGCTGTTCAACAACATTGTCAACCAGTTCACCGAGAACATAGGCTTCCTTTTATCCGTACGGTATCCCTTCACAGGCAGGATCGATCCATATTGCCCACGCACGCTGACTTCTCGGATTGTTAACCAGCCAAACATCGGGATGTTGGTTTACTCTTGAAACGTCTCCTAGGAATGGCAAACTGGGCCAGCACTTCGGGGCATCCATTTCGGGAAAACAAGCTATCGGCAGCTATTCTAGTGGCGTTCGGCATTGCAAGTTTGGAACGTGTCGATGTGTACAGGCACATCTGCTACCAATCGGAGCCCAGCAGTTCGTGGGCTATCTCTGTACAGATGCCAGCTTCTCATGAGTACGCATTCTCCTGGCGCGCAAGGCACCACTCATCAGGTAAGCCGGACCTACCCACCCAGCAAGTTCGGGAAAGGCGGCGAAGGACGTTACAAGAGGCTTGAATTCGTTCTTAATCGCGGCAGACCAGCAGGGCTAGCTCGTTCCTCTATTTCCTGACTCATCGCGGACTCACAGAAGCCAACCACAGCTGGATTCGGACCATGCAGGGTTATGTAAGTTGTCGATGGGCACTCGGCCCAGTACGGACTCAGCCGTACGGCGATTGTCTACAAGTAGACGCGGCCGGACCGCCCGTGCCCGTCTTCTCTCGTACTCTCAGTTCAGCGTTCCTACACTACGCTCACTGCCGCACGAGTTCATTTCTTTCCTCCAAGTTGACGATGGCAGAGAAATTCTCCTTGGACGTCACAAGAGTTGAAGGTCTCCAATCTCCACCTTCGCCAGCTCGAACGTCTGGACTGTTGCTCGAGCAATTTGAGAGCCATGAAAAGCTGGCATTGAGCACGAAGCTGAGGTGGAAGAGAGACATTTACGTGCTCGCACCTCTCACTGTGCTCTACGTTTTCTGCTTCCTCGACAGGTTAGCACTGCATTTCGACAACCGTCGCCATCTGGGGCGGAATCTGCGCATGCACTAACGATCCTATTGCCAGGACAAACATTGGCGCGGCCGTTGTTTTTGGCCTGGCCGAGGACCTCAAGCTCACTGGGACACAATACAATTCAGCCTTAGTCTGTTTCTTCGTCCCTTATGTCCTGTTTGACATCCCATCAAACATTCTGCTCCTGCGCTTTAAACCACAAATATGGCGTAAGTCTCTCCTGGCAATCCTACCCAGAGCTGTTGGCAGGTCCTGGTCCCGGTGCTGATGAAGCGGTGACGCAGTGCCCGCTTGTACCCTCTTCTTCGGGGTTATGACCGTGCTCCAGGGAGTTGTGCACAACCTCGCTGGAATCGCAGTCGTCCGTGTTTTCTTGGGCATAGCAGAAGCAGGTGTCTATCCCGGCTGCGTGTATACGATATCTCGCTTCTATCGGCCGGAAGAAGCCCAATCTCGTTTCGCCATATTTGTCGGATCAACCACTCTCGCAGGAGCATTCGGCGGTCTGCTGGCCAGCGCCATAGGGAACATGGATGCCATATGTAACTTGAAAGCTTGGAGGTGGATTTTTATCCTTGAGGGCTGTCTCACCGTCGTTGTGGCCCTCGTCCTCTTCTTCCTCGTCACCGATATTCCCGAAAAAGCACGCTGGCTCTCCGATCCTGAACGGCGAGCCCTTCAGAGTCACCTTGGCGTGGAGGAGTCTTCTTCAAGCGGTGGCGGAAAAGCAAGCGCCATCGGCATTAGCGATGTCATCGACGCGTTCAAAGACGTCAAGATGTGGCTGTCAGGCTTTATGTATCTCGGCATGACTATGCCGGTAAGTCACCCATCATGAAACTCTTCTTATGATGGAGGTAATGACGGAGGTCATAAAGTCAAACGGTCTAGGTTTGTTCATACCAAGCATCGTGCGTGGGTTAGGCTACTCGCCCATCAGTACACAACTGCACACCGTCCCAGTGTACGTTGCGGCCGCAGGCTTCGCCTTCTTCGTAGGCGTCGCATCAGACAAAACGAAGATGCGAACACCGTGGGCTCTGATATCGATCATCACCGGCATCGTGGGGTTCTCCTTCCTTCAATCGAATCTGCAGGAATCTCATACGCGCTACGGGTTTTTGTTTCTGGCTGGGATGGGTGTTTTCAGTGCGATAGTCGGTGAGTCCAATTGCTCCACAGCAATAACCCTTGTCACGCTGTGATCAGCGGACTTCCCCTTGCTGACTCGCCCGAAGCAATCTTGTGCTGGTACACTATGAACTGTGTCGAGAGTCAAAGTACGCATATCCTGATCTTTCAGTCCCGCCACATGCCAGGTGTACTGGCATCCAGAGGGTGAAGACTGATTTCTTGAACCAGGGCGAGCCATTGGTTCTGCGTTCCAGGTGTCCGTAAGTTGGCTTTTGCCCCCTAAACTTATATGGGGACTGGCGATTACCGGAACGACATAATGTCGAAGTCTCCTGATTGTATCGCCGAGTCGCCGAGCTGTCAGCCCCGAATCCCTGTTGTGCTGGAAGCGGTGCTGACGGTTCACAGTTCGGCAATATTGGCAGTATTATAGCGACATATTCCTTTCTGAAGACAGACGCCCCGGAATTCAAAACTGGATCTCGCATTTGCATCGGCTTCTTGTGCCTGGCGTTCGTTGGCTGCCTTGCTTATTATTTGGTATGTGTCACAGAGAACAGAAAGCTCATGAAACAAGATGGCGACGGTGATGTGCCCACCAACGGAAGACGCAAGGTCCGACTAATGCTGTAATGCTGTGGGCGATAAGAAAACGAGATAGCTGTCCGCCGGGACCGATGAAGCCGTTGACCATCTCACTCCACTTTAGGGTCGCACAGTACTTGTTGCATTTCCTTAGCGACGGGAGTCTCCTGGAGTCACCCCTCTAGGCCTGCCTGACTCGGCCGTTCGATGGTCGTCGTCGTGTCTACTGAGCGAGCCGCCTCGCTTGGCTTTTTTCCCAACTCAGCAAGGTCCATTACCCGTTAAAGGAAACGCCATGACAAACCGTGCATCGTCCAGCATGCCACCACATACATGACAGTCGGTTGAACTGCCGAGCGTCAGTCGGTCTAGTCCACGACGCCGCCTGCGCTGCTGCTGCCGATGCAGCATGACTGGCAGCCTGAAACAGGTCCACCCCTAAAGGGGTGGGTTGTGGCGTATTTCTTGTGCTGGTGTGCACCACGCAGTCGGTGTGCTATGTGATTAACAATCACCTCCAACCATGCGGGATGGCCAAAGGCCACAAGGAACCACAACTGACCTTCATCTTGCAAGGAGGCCCGTCTGGACGCATCTCAGGCGTCAACCTGTCTGATGTCAACGCTCACGTCGCGCGAGTACAGCATCAGCGAAAGCGAGGGCCAGCATCACCATCGTCATGCTCGCCAGCACCGAGGAGACCGCTGACGGCGTACGAGCGCATTAGGGAGAAGCAGCAGCAGCAGCAGCAGCCGGTTTTGACGCACGTCTTCTCCAACAGAGGCCAGGGTGAGCACAATGTACCACCGCCGGTCGTACTGGCGGGGAATTCTGACCCCTTCGCGTCGACGACCATTGCCGTCACGGCGTCGGTCAACCATCTCCTGATCTTCACTCGGGACTTTATCCTGCCGGCCAACCACGGCAACGAAGCGGCTCTCTACGGCGGCAAGATACACATGCACCGTTATTGGAGGGACAATGTCAGGGGCCTTGATGACGGCCGCGCGGACGGGTACGCCTACCTGGCGCGCTCGGCGGCCATTCTCGCCAAGATCAAGCCGGAGAACGAGACGGTCCTGCTCGCCCTGCACTACATCGGCAAAGCGACGAGCAAGCTGCGCGAGTCCATGCTGGAGCGCGAAGACTCCCAAGCTCATATGTGGGAAGTGTACGCCCTGCTGGCGGCCGAAGTCGCGGCCCACAACTTCAAAGCAGCGGCCGTGCATGGGCGCATGCTGGCCCGTCTGCTTCAGCCCGAAGGCAAGACCCTCAAGGCCGAGCCACGGCTCTTGATGGGCGCGCTCTTCCAGGACATGACGCGCGCGTGTCTCTCGCTGACGAGACCCTCGTTCGACCTCGACCGCTGGGATGCCGAGCATCTGCCCGCGCACATCATCGACGAAATCGCCCCAGAGAGCCGCGACGGTCCGTCCGCGCTGCCCTTTTATGAAGACCTGGCCCCTTCGTTGCCGCGCTCATTCGCCGCTCTGGTGATTGGGGTGCGTGAATGGCACCATGCACTCGGCATGGGGATGCTCAACAAGAGTCTCGCCACGCTCAAGGTCTTCACCAATGCGGCGATGAAGATCATGCTCCTTTCGGGTCATTTCCTCACCCGTTACCTTGATAGGGTGGAGTTGTGGTCTCATTTCCCGTCGCCGGAGTTGCTGGTCGACGCGTGCTTGGCCCTCGCGGCCGCGTACTGGGTGCGGCGCGCCGTCCACGACCGCATGGACGCGGGCAGTAAGCTCGAGGAAGCGGGCAGCTGGGCGTTTGACATGAGCCTCGTGGTGGCTCGGCGGTTACGCGAGCTGGACCTCAAGGTTGAGGAGCAGGGGCAGGGATTGGTCAAATTAGGGAGCGAGGCTGCAGAAGATCGCCTTTGGTGGTTATTTGTCGGCACCATGGCCGAGAGGAACGTGCGCCTCATGCCGGATTGTGGGGACTACAAGGATTATCATGGCGGGAGGTTCGTGCGGCTCGCACGGGAGATGGGCCTGACGGAGTGGGCTGACCTGGAGCATGTGTTGAGGATGTATTTGTTCGTGGAGCCCATGGGGAGGAAGACGAAGAAGTGGTTCCTCGCGAATGTCAATGCGAGTGTCAATGTCCGTGTTGATGTCACCAGTGGGCCGGGAGACAAGACATGAGGCGAGTTGACATGTTGGGGCAGACCGTCGCCCAAGACACTTCAAATCCTGCTCCCTGCGAAAGGCGGTACCAACACGAAGAAGAAGTCTCTCGTGAACAGGCACTGCGAGCAGAGGACAAAGCATATTCCGAGCGGCAAGCGAGACTCAACTATGGGGTAAACTCGGTGAGCACGACAATCCCCGAGAGACAAGCAGGAAGGCTGTGCATATACCACGCGACTATGGTCGTGATGTCGGGTAGGCGAGTCAACTAATTAATTATACCTTGATCGCATGGCATATGGACTCGGCGATACACATTCGGCCCTGGCGGTCAACGTTGCAACCTCCCTGGCCAAATCCGAATGCCGCCGCAAATCGACCACAAATACGAACGCGTGTACCGACAAGGACGAATCCCAAGCCGAACGCGACGAGGTCCACGGATCTGGCCTACATTTCGGCCGTAGATCGCCCTGGGCATTGACAAGCAGCGTCCGGACGAGGTACTGTATCTCGTACGGTTGGGTTCACGTCTAAGCAATTACTTCTCAGATCTAGGTGTCATGCCACGCCTCGATGGTCATGGAGGTAACAAAAAATCCACGGCATCGCGAGGCGGTCCTACTCTGCGAGCTGTACCGTTCATTCGCTATCGACGGCAAATGATTCGTGCTGCGGAGCACATGATGCTTGCTGCTGGCTGGGTTCGACAATGTCGCCGCCTCCCAGTACTCCGTATATAGCGTGTCTTCGATTTGAAGCCACTTGCTGTCGTGGGCGGTCCTGTACCCCGTACGGAGTACCTTCAGCTGCATTTGAAACGACATGCCCAATCTCACTCAGTCGGTCAGTCAGTCAGATGCGTCTGCGTCTGCTCTTTGCCCAAATCGAGGCAGATTACGGAGCAAGGGGGTACTTACTTGCCATGCAAACTCAGAGGGAGAGGGAGATATCGCAAGCCTGGCTGGAATGCGCTGCGCTGTTCCCCATCCCCCAGCCTTATTAGCCACCTAGCTTAGGTAGGTAGGTGATTCGGTGACTCGGTGACTGGGTGACTGGGTAAATAGATGTCTAACTCCTCCTGCACAGCATCAGTTTTCATTGTCCTGAGGACGCCTCTACGTGGGGCATCAAATTGGGCGAGAAGACCACGCTGATGGTCCGATCCAATGTCACGCGTTAGGTGTCAAACTCGCCACACGATCCGGAACCGTGTCCGAAAAACAGTATAGTCCGGTAGAGGGAGCCGCAGAGACAGACATAGATACAGAGACAGACATAGATACAGAGACAGACATAGATACAGACATATATACAGACACAGATACAGACATAGAGAGGGGATAGAGATAGATAAAGATGACGATACAGACATTGAGATAGATACAGAGACAGACCCTACTGCACACTGTACCGGTTCGTTTGTCCGCGGGCTCGCAAGGGGATATGACGCGAGATGGAGAAGAGCCCAGAGAGTAGAGACGAGATGAGACGCGACGCGACGCGACACGACACGACACGGAAAAGAATAGGGAAGAGATACAATGCAAGCAATGGAATACAACGCCACGCAACGGAATGCCATAGCAATGTGGTGGAATTTGAATCGAGGAGAACCGCATCGCTCCGTTCTCACATCAGCTACTCACTACCTATCACTGTACTTTGTTCCTAGTACTACCAACACTGGACAGCGGACGGACAGTTGACGGGTGGAATATTTGATATTGGCCCAACCTTGCAAGACCAAATGCGAGGACGGGTGGCTCCTCTGTAAAATGTGTGGATACGTAGCATGCCCAGGGACGGACAGATGCTACGACATTACCCAGCTCACTGTATACATATCATGCATGGCCTGTCTCTACGGTTTAGTTGAATGACTGGCTGTCCATCGTACGACCTGTATCAGGTCTCCTCGCACCCTCGTCCTCGGGTTTTGTATTGGCTTACTGTAAGTCACCTCTGCCGGATCGGCCAATGAATACACACTGTATACATGTCCATGTCCGTAGCCAAGACAAAACTCCTTACTCTTACTCGTACACTTTAGGTGATTCGCTGTAGCAAAGTCCGCTCAGCCGACGGTGGATGGGAATCACGGAGGCATGCCGCAAATCATGATCTGAGCACCAAATCGGTCCTGGGCAGAAATACAATAATTTAGGAACATGGCAGTCTCAGGAACTCAGCAAGTCCCGAACACTCATCCCCTTGCCTCGATCTCTAACATCACTCTGTCCAGCGGCGCCTTCAAAAACGGGCGCCGCTCCCACTGCGACTGCCGCTTCCGGTCCTCCCTGTCGTCCTCCACCACCACGCCACTCATTGGTCAGCATCATCAGCGCCGCACTGGCCGTCGCTTCCGCGGTTCCCGATCCATTACTCGCAGCTCCGGGACTCCTGCTTCCGGCGTCCCGCTCCCATTGAACGGCCGCATTATATTGCCCCGGCAGTTGTAGCCTCGTCATGGCCGGCTGAGGCAGCGGAATCCCCATCACGGCTTTCGGGGACGGGAGTGGCTGCATGCTGGGTGACGGATTCGAGATCGACCCCGACGGAGGGTTGTTGACGGTGGTCCACGACGCCGCCGTCGAGGCCAAGGAAGGGACATTTGACGTGCTCGATCTAGCGACGCTACTGTTTGTTTGCGTGCGCGATAGATCCGGCGAGAAGTGAATGGAATTGAACGCGGGGGAGAGCAAAGTGGGCGTCGGGGTCGTGGACAGCATACCGACGCCCTGATGCGCCTGGCTTCCCTGTGACTGGGAGAGAATGTGCGGAGACGGATAGGCCGAAGAACCAGTCAAGGAGGCGATGGACGACTTGCGCGAATCCCGGAGTGACCACTCGGTTGCAGCCGTTGTGCTGTGTCGGTTGCTCCGTAGCTTGGCCGGAGGAGCTGGGTCGGGCATGTGATCGACGAGCTCTTTCTGGTCGCGGGTTTCTTCGTGTTCGTTCTGACGTTCGATCTGGTGCTCGTCGTCGTCTTCTTCTTCGTCGTCGTCGTCGTCGTCAAAGTCCTCATCCTCATCTGAGACGTTGTCTACTTGCATTCGCGACCCAGCAGACGGTCTCATCTTGCCGCCGGACCTCGCGTTCTCGGCCTTCAGTTGCGCCACGCATCCCTCGAGATATCTCACGTACTCAATCCCGGCCTGCAGTATGGCCAGTTTGTGCATTTCCACACCCTCGCACGCTGGGATCATGTCTTTCAGCACCCCAAATTCTTCATTCATTTTACTGCGCCGTCGACGCTCGATGATGCTGTGGGCGGTTTTGCGGGCAATTTTCCTGCCCGCGGCGCTGGTCGCGGAGGGTTGTTTGCGCTTCGAGGATGTTGACGCGCCAGTCGACGCTGCCGTTGCTCCTCTCCCGGTCGCGGACTCCTTGGTAGAAGGCGCCGATTGAACCGCCGATGTTGCATGGGATGCTCCCGGGGGGAGGTAGTCGGCATCACTGGACGGGGACGAGGTGCTTGTCTGGGGGGCCTTGGGCTTCATCTGTATGATCTTGCGTGCTCGGCTGGGCGGGGGCGGGAGGGCGTACGAGTCTGCAGCATCGGCGCTGGCCACTTTGGCCTCAACGGCGGCTTTGACTGCACCGGACGCGGTCCTCTTGTGTCGAGGACTGCCAGTGAGGGGTTTGTCCTGGGGCGAGATGGGGGGCGTGGCCTGTGTGAGTGCAGTGCCCGAATAGTCTCGGGCTTGGGACGATTTGGAAGGCCGAGCTTGCGCATGTGCATCGTTTCGCATCGCCGGAGGAGGTAGGGCAAACATGGATTCCATGTCCGCGGCGTGGGAACCCTTGGCCTCCGCAGCAGCCAGGTCTGTAGAGCCGGTCGGAGTGGGCGGAGGTCTCGGTTTGGGCATTGTGGAGGTTCAAGAACTCTGTTGGTTATCTGAGCAGCTGGTGTAGGAGAAACGCTCAATGTTCCGGGCGATAGCTTGCAGAAACGCCGAAGGAAGTCCAAGTGTTTTATTGAAGACAATATAACTATCGAGGGGCAGAGCGTGAGGTCGCAAATAAGATCAGATCACCAGACGAAGAATTGACAGACAACTATGCTTGACGGAAGACATGACGGACGAGGACAGGAGGTGAGGATGTAGCCCAAGATAACCGTAGCAGGAAGACATACGGGCAACAACCTCGCCGGTTCGCAATGCGAATTCAATTTTCTCAGACGTCGAGACAGTCGGATATGGGCACGTGTGCCTGATGCGAGGAGAAAAAGCACGCGACACTCGTCGAAGGGACGAACCTCGTGTAAGAGCCCTGATAGGTTATTGGAGCATTCCCATCCGCAAGCAATCCAGCCTAGTGAGACCTCGTGTGCGGCGGCGGTGACGGTCAGTGGCTGCGCGGAAAACAGAGGCTGCGGCCCAGAGAAGGGGTGGGAGGGAGCCGTGTGCGTGAGGACCAGGGCACAAACCCAGAAACCAACACGGTCATCTCGAGGCTTTTTGCGGCGACAGTGAGCCGTCGGAGTGGTCAGAGTGCGCAGTGAAGAGAAAGTGATGGGAGACTGACAGGGAAAAAGACGTCCACGTTCTCCAGCGAGCAGCGTGATTGGATGGCCGCACTCTGGGGCTACGAGCACCGCTGGTTCAGCTTTGGCAGGAGTCTTGCTGCTCCCTCGCTCCCCTCCCCCGCTTCACACGGTCTCGGTTGAACGCATGTGATACGAGCTACCCGGAAGATGGGTCAGTGGCCAGCGTGGGATGATGTTCCCCAGGTCTCCATAGGGAAGTCACTCGGTCAAAGAGGGAAAAGCAAAGTTTGGTACGGGTATCTTATTGTGATTCTGTCGTGATGGGCAGCAGCCATGAGCACCAGAGATCGTCAACCACACCGTCTGAAGCAGTGTATACTACTGTCATCCCCCTTCTCACCCTTCTCTTCCTCGAAGGGCGTGCACGCTGCTCGCGTCTTTCGCATCACCCACCGCATGCTTCTTTTCGCCATTGCTGACGCCGCGCGACGATTCCGGTCGCTTGAAATGCACCTTTAATGGCTCCCATGAATGAGCATTGTATGACTGTGGTTGTTGTTAGCATGTTGTCAACCATTTGCGAGAGTACTGGGCTCCAACTCACCTCCTGGACTTTCTGGCAAGTCTTTAGACCCCATTCTGTAACGCCCACCATCAAGCAACTCTCAAACATGAACGCCATGCTGCCCTCGCCGACCTTTTGGGGTGGCAAATCCATCGTCGACGCCTTTTCAAATGTCTGCATGTCTGGTCCATGCCCGCTCATAGTATTATGTAAACTCGCGCCAGCCGGCTGGAAGCCTCCCTTTCCGGCACCCTTGGCATCATAGTTGCCCATGATCAAGCCCATGAACTCGGACATGGTATTCCGGTGATACCACGGAGGCCGGAAGGTCTGCTCTGCAACCAGCCATCGAGGTGGAAATATAACGAAATCTGCGACCGCCGTACCCGCTCCATGAGGATGCGAAGGCGCAGTGAGAACGGTGAAGATAGAAGGATCAGGATGATCGTAGGAAATGCTGCCGACCGGGTTGAAACGGCCCAGATCATACTTGTAAGGGAAATAGGTGCCGTGCCAGCCGACAACGTCAAAGGGGGTGTGCGACTGCTTGGCGGAGAAGAGGTTGCCCCCAAATTTGCCATACACCGTCCACTGCGTGTTCTCGTGGTCCTCGATGAAATCGGCCACCGGGGTTTGGAAGTCGCGCGCGTTGGCTAACCCATTCGAGCCAATGGGACCGAGTTCGGGCAGTTTGAAGTGGCCCTGGTACAGCTCGCAGATGTATCCTCGTGCGGGTTCGTTGTTATGCAATGTAACGTGGTAGCGAATCCCCCGCGGGATGACGCAGATTTCATTCGGTCGCAGCAGTATCTTGCCAAATTCGGTTCGGATGTCAAGAACGCCATGCTGTGCGACGATCAAGAAGTCGCCGTCTGCACTGTAAAAGGCCGTCTTCTCGGGCATGCTAGTGCCACACGCGTAGATGTAAATGCCCAGCCCTTGCTTCATGGTGGGGTCGCCCGCGCCAGCCACGAGATGAAGAGAGTGAATCCATGACACTTCTTTGTCGAAGTCAAAAGGATCCCATCGCAGTTGGTTCGGGATCGCGTTAAAATGTGTGCCGAAGCTGGGCGTGGGAGATGTCAGGCCTTGCGACGAAGAGGCGGGCACTGGTTCAAAGTTCTGGTGGCTTGCCGATGGCAGGATCCGATAGAGCCATGTTTGTTGATTCTCTTCACGGGGCGCGGTGAAGGCGGTACCTGACAACTTCTCGTTGTACAGGCCGTACGGGCATTTCTGGGGTGAGTTCGCCGCTAACGGCAAAGTACCCTCGATGGCTTCACTCCTGGCAACGAACCGTCAGCCGAATAACCCTTGTCTCATCCTTCAATAGTGCATACTCTTTGTACCCCCCGAACCCATTCAGATATTCGTACGTGTCGGTCACAGCGAATTGGGTTACAGGCATCGTCGATGGCTTGCTCGTCGGTGAACGTATTCACGTTTCGGACTGATAGTGGAACAGAGTCAGCCACACTCCAAGACGCGAAATCGGGTCGAATAATGGGCTGGCTAAGGCAGACTTGGAGACGCTGAGGAGAGACCGGGGAGACTCACTGGTGAGGGGTGTCTTGTACTTGATGTTGATGTCCTTGTTCTCCCTATGCCTTTCGATGGCGGACTGTAACCGTTTGAGGCCCTGCATGAAGGGCGGTCGTGTGGTATGATGACCTGTGGAATATGACGGCCTGGTCAGAGAGGAGAGTGCGGAATGCTGTCGTGAAGAAGCGAGGGACTCATTCCGTGGGGAGGAATATGAATGAAATCAAGCGAGCCTCCAGCCTGAACGGATCGAGGGCAAAAAAGTGGGTTTGGGCCCAAAACAATAGTGCAGATGCGCTAAAACCAAATTCGCGAAAAAGCAAGGTGACAGGGGGCAGCCACCGAGCAGGACAGGGCGGGCTCCGACAGACCGCGAGGCGTGCGAGGTGCGATGCCAGCTTGTGTCGTATCTTGGTGGGCAAAAGCAGCCGGAAGCGCAGCGTCAAACACGAGCACAGAGCCCGAGGCCAGGGCGGTTTCGCTGCGAGGGTGCCCGGGTGCGCACGAACGGGCAACGGCCTGTGAGCCCGAGGGTGGGATGTGCTGGATGTCCTGGCTGTCCCGGCTTGTGCTCAAGAATTGAATCGGAACTGACGCGGCTGTGAGTGGATGAGATCAAGCCACCGCAGCCCGCGATACCAATTTCTGACATGGGCGGCGGCAGGAGGCGCAACTCGTAGCTTTCGCAATTCAGTTGGGTCCCCACCGAGCTCTGGCACACCCAGAGGGACCATGCCGCAGTGCGGGATGCCTGCTGTGCGCCTATGACGGTGATTTGCAGGCCAGGCTCGAGGGCAAGTTTAGCAGCAGCGTTAGGCGCAGTAGCCCGCCTGTGGGGCGCGGAGGGGCGATCGGCAGGGCGAATCGACGACGCCCGAGCTGAGTTTCCGAGCGCCCATTCTCTCCCGTTGTGCACAGGCTTCTCCAATTTCTGCTGCCAACGGTGCCGAGTACCCGCCAGAAATCTGCATCCCACCACAACTACAGCAGATAATCCACTGTTCCATGGTGTTTATGCAGACGAGCATGATGCAAGGTTGTCCCAGACGCCTTGATCAGATGCACCCCTCACAAGATGCATTGCAAGCGAAGGGTGCGGGCGTGGGAGGAAGGGTGAGACTGAAGTAGCATCCTTCTGACTCTGTTCTAGGAGCAGTCACTTGCCGGAGTCCGTGGATGAGCAAAGGTCTCCGTCGCGGCTGGCCTGAAGTTGTTGCTGTTTCTGTGTCGGCTTTGCAGCGATGGGCCGTTTCAGGACCAGAATAACTACGAGTACAGCGAGTTTCAAACCTGCAACCTTCGACCCCCGAAGCGTACCCAGTAGGGTTTCAGAGACTGGCACCTGCCTACACCTGTCGATCCGGGCAATTGTTGAGGATCTGCGGCTCGGCTGATGGGAGACTGTGCGCCCGGCGAGAGAGATCAGAAATGTGTGCGTGATCAGCGCTGCTGGTTACGCGGTGGAAGAACCCGTTCGCCGGGTTGCGTTTGCTCCTCGAGGAATCATCCCGGTGAATGCCCAGACTGCAACCCTCCCGACTGTCCAACCACAGCACATGAGCCATGATGGGTGGGAGCTACCCAGCAGACGAATGACAAGCAACTTGCAAAGGATGACGCCAGCTGATCGTCGTATTGGCTGTCCCTGTCTCAGTCCCTTCTCGAACGTTCACTGCATGTCCGGACCACGTTGTCGAGCTGGGTGCTCATGACGATCTTACCATGGCAAATAGCCTGAAATGAAGATTATGTTCCAGGGACATGAACATGGGATCTCTGCAACCCTCAGACTCCGTGGTCACCGTTGACTGTTGCCGATAACGGCCTCGAACTTTCGAAACCGTTGAGAGAGTGAAGAGTGGCGAAACCGACATCTAGATTGTGGGTGTCGGCTCTCTCGGCTTTCGTGCACACTATTGCCAGTACGAGGTACTCCGTCACCCGTACACGGCAAGTCGCCCAGTACGAGTACTGTGACTTTGTGCGTGTCCCGGTCCTCGAGCTCCGCGTGTACTCCAAGATTCCAGCTCGTGTGTGGCAAAGTCCATGATCGATGCGGAATGACGCCGAGGCACCCTCGCAGCATGCCAGCCACATGTGGAAGCCCAGCCCAGGTGGCTCCTCTCCCAATCAGGATTCCGCGTCGAACATGTCCTCGGACTCGGACGGTTCGGTGTCGAAATGTGACCGCAAAGTGGCAGGAGGTTGGTGTTTGCGTCATCCACAACAACTGCGCATCCACGGACTCGTAAGTCGTACTCGACCGAGCG